TGAGGTAGAGTTTCCCCCTACCAAAAGCTTTTTTCATCCTTTTTTTTTCAACCCTTGGAGATTTTGAACTTTTGTTTTTTATCACGAGGTCCAAGTTTTCCCTTTGTTACAAGTTCAACCTTCACGAAAAAAAGAAAATTGTTCAATATCAATGAACTTATTTCTCAGGTCTTTTATCAATTTTCTTCTCTTTTTCTAAAGCTCGGCGAGTGCGAATTTAGTGTTCGTAACCCCGAAGTTCCTAATTACATGAGCAAAAAAAGTTGAATAATTTTTAATACTACAGCGAGTGCAATGGAAACCTTGCGAAGTTTTAGTCAAAATATATTATGAGATAAACAAAAATAAAAAAACGCGGAGAGTGATTGAAGTTAGAGAAAAAAACGTTATTAGGGTCTATAATTTTTCGAAAAATTTTTCATCTAATAATGAAAGTTCACCTAGATATTTATTCATGAGAAATGATTCAGTAAAAAAACGCAGGTCTCTCATAAAGTCATTTCAATTTAGTACAATCATGAGAATTTTTAAAAAGGATCTCCAACTTCCAGAACAAAGTCCCGAGTGGACAACTAGATTTTTTTATTCCGCACAGAGAAATGATGCATTCGAACAGTACATGCACGAAAAATCAGCCTTTCGACTACTCCGCCATAGCATCTGGTCCAGCTCAAACTTCTGCCGATCCTCCAGCAGAAAAAAATCCTTCCTACAGTGCCAGTGATTGCCCCTGATCCGCAATACTATCAAAAACTTTAATCATATGAAAGGTTTTTTTTTTGAATAAAACAAGAATCAAATCTCGCTACGCATATATTGTGGATCAAAGTCTTCTTCGAAGCTTTTTTTCTTTTTTAACCTCGGCTAGTTGAAATAACCAAAGTTTTCCCACGAGGCATTCATCTCTGTTACCAATTTTTTTTTCCGATATTTCAAGCCTTGGTGAGAACTGAGTTTTCAGTCCCACGAGGTCCAAATCTTCTTTGAACACCCGGATGAATAGATTAAAATAACTTTTCTTCGATTTTTTGAGCCAGACAAGCTGTAAGCTAGATATTAATAATCTTTACTTTTTTTGATATGAATATATGAAAAAAACATGGCTTTTTTGTGTGTTCCAGAATGTTTTCTGATTCTTTTTTTTCTTCAAGTTTGATAATGTCGGTTTACTTTCTCACTAATAGTTTTTGATTGTTTTTTTTATTCTTTTTCATAAATGATCACTCTTGTATTGGATGAAAGAAGGACAAGTGCAAACAAGAAGGGTTTCCCATTACAATCAATCTCATCAGAATTCCGAAAGTCAACTCAAATAAAAAAAAGTAATTTCTCATAGAACAAAAAAAAAATCTCAATTAAATCAGGCGACGCATATTTCGTTGAGGTAGAGCTTCCCCTACCAAAATCTTTTTTCATCCTTTTTTTACAACCCTCGGAGATTTTGAACTTTTGTTTATTATCACGAGGTCCAAGTTTTCCCTTCGTATCAATTTCAACCTTCACAAAAAGAGAAAAAGTTGTTCTACATGTTTTAAAGCTTTATGATATTCCTATTTTTTTTTATCGATCTTCGATATTTCAACACAAGTTTTAAATTTCACCGAGCATTAGTGTGCAATTAATGTGTCCCGATCGAAAATCACCTCGGTTGATTTCTATGTAGTTTTTTTCTACCTTTTTCATTTCATATATATTTTTTTTAAAATAGTTTTTTTGACGCGTTTCTTCCTTGTATTTTATTTTTAGGTGATGATTGCTCTCATTTAAAGAAAAGTTCTTCATTAGGCGCGTCTCCTAGCTCACTCATAATGTTGAAACTTTATTTTTTTGTTTTCGTTATTGAATTAACTCAACGCATAGATTGTTGCGAGGAAAGCTTCTTTCCTCTATTTTTTTCCCTTTTCTCACCTCGGACGCGTTTCACATTTTCGTGTTAACACGAGGCCCCTCATGATTTTTTCGCAATTATTACATTCTTAACCTCGGAGCGGAGAAGACTTTTCAAGTAATTGGAGAGCGATTTCTGCACGAGGCATCAAACTGCATGAATGCTTCGTTAAGGAATGTTTCACATTCATAAAAACGAATATTTTGTGAAACTGAAAAGCCCAAATTCTCTTTTTCGGAGAACACCAACATTTTCCAAAAGGTTTTTTCATATGTTACCTTTTTTTCCAAGCCTCGGTAAGTTAGAGCTCATTTTTCAGTTTGCCACGTCTTACACTATATCGCTCTCTGAAAATTTTTCCTTAAAAACGCATTCTTTTTTTAAAATTTGATTTAGTAGTCAATTGGTTCAGTAGATTCAGTAGTGCATGGGAGCCAAAAATATAGCAATCTAATTTATTTTAAATTTCAAGATTCTGAGAGAGAGCGGTATGGCAACTGCACAATCTCTTCCTACGCAGTTATTTCGAACGTTGTAACTGTAAAGCTTTCCGACGTCGCTGTCCATCGCCTATAAAACCAAGCCAGGACGAAGTCAGCGACAAGGTCATATCTGGCGGCTGCCTCCTTTTCTCTCTCTACTGTCATTTTAACTATGTCACTTTTAAAGTTTTCAAATGAATCTGTTTGGCTCTTTGGACTTCGTTCTGCGTTTTGCACCAAAAGAAGAGGTCTTCAGGAAAGGATCAGACACACAAGAGTTAAAAATCTTTTATTATATATCCAGCGCAAGAGAGAGGAAGAAGTTCTCGCACATTTCCGGACCGTTTCTCGTGTCGTTTTTCTCAGTTTCGCTACATAGAACGTTTCACGAATCGGAGAGAAATGATCCAATCCTTCCAAACGGTTTTTCTCGACGCCAATGAAGCTGAAAATTACTGTCAGAACCTTAGATTCTGACCATGAAGCCAAACATTTCAGAAGAGTTTTTAAAAAAATTTCAGACGTTTCATCCTTTTGAGGTACAAGAAAAGTCCGCGTGGCTCTCCTATCAAGGAGAACGGCGAGCAAACTTCCAAGGACCTAGTCAGTTTAATTACGGCCTTGGACAAACGCCAGAACTCTGAGCCTGCCAATATTCATGATTTGAATTCTCTTAGCAGTCGTAAAAGACCTTTTGATCACTCACAACGTGTTTCAAAAAAAATGAAAAACTCCGAACGAACGACTGGACGCGCTGGAAGAAAACGCGTTATGCGTGGGTAATTCAACAGATTTTTTCCGCGGAATATTTATTATAAAGGTATAATTATCCAAGTTTGAGGATGAAAGAGACGTGCTAAAAAAAAGACCCGCGTGACAGGCAAGGACACCGCTCACAATAACTAAGATCTTTCGAACAATTGAACATATTGAACAAAGAAAAATTTTATATAATGTCAGTAAGCAAAAAAATTATATTACATAAAAATCAAACAAAGAAACTGGGAACACAGATTTCTCAAAAAATTCAAAGTTTATAACATATCAGGGATGCACGAAACGAGGTTTTTTTCATCTAGTGACGAGTTCAAGACAATTTGAAATGAAAAAAATTCGGATATTTGTTTGGAAATAACACTTACAAACGACCAAAACTCTAAAGATAAGCGAAAAAAATTATCTTTATTGAGAGATATTACGCAAAATCTGAAACAGCGCTGGGTTTTGATCGCTTTCGGTATGTTTCGTTACGACCGGAACGTCATAAATGACGGCTTATTTTTAACATTCAGCTCAAAAAAGACTTTTTTTTCATCTCGAAATATCTCGAAACGAGATCGTGTCCGTGCACATCTGTAACATATGATTTGTAACTTTTATTGTAAATTTCCATGTATGAGAAGCCGCAAGTTCGTTTAGAAATGAAATATTGAACAAATGTAGAAAAATTGTACTTTATTATGGAACATTTCCAAGAAAATCATACTCACAAAACTATCCATGCCTCTTGCAGATATTTCGTGATATTATTTCATTGATTGATTGACAATAACTTTTTTTTTAGATCAAAATTTTGACAATTTGATTCATAATGACATTTTGAAAGATCAAAATGTGACATTTCATTTCAAATGATCTCTCATTATAAATGACATGTTGATTTGTCAAAAAAAACGACAGGGCGCATTATTTAGACATGTTCTTTTTTCATTGAGCCAAAATGTAGACATTTCAAATTTCAAGGGACACGGCTTTTTCGTTGCATCTTATGGCTTTCTTCCACGCAGCTTGGTTTTTCTCGACTTCCGATTGGCCCATGTCCCTTTGAATGATGCCGGCTTTTATGGCGCGGACTTTCTACTTGATTTTTGTTGATTTTAACTTGTGATTTTTTTTCTTTTTAATGTACTGGTGGAGAAGGATACAAATGTGAACATTTTCTCAAGCGAAACATATGCACATTTCTTTGACGATTTGTTCATATTTTTTATCATTGGTCAAGTTTTGGATGACGAAAGAGCTTTCATGAAAGGGGAACGGACTGGTCTCCCTCGGTCGCGACAAGAATGTCTTTACGTAGTGCATCAGCATATGAAAAAGTTGTCTTATGATATACACGTCAAAACATTTTGAGTACATTGATATTTACTTTGATTTTCGATTCATCATTTTCTCGGTTGGCTGTTTTTAGAAACTGAACAAATGGTTTGACGAATCTAGAATGATAGGGATGGTCAAAGTCAAAAATAAAGCCCTACTGAATTTTTTTGATTTTCGAGAGAAGTGTAGATTCTAAATGATGCCGTTTCCAATTCGGTGACTTCTTTCTGACTGCCACGCGGGTCTTTAGTAGTTACGATAACGAACCGAATCGAATAAACAGTTTGAAGTGAAATGAAAAAAGTTAAAGAAAGAGAGATGATTTGGAGGCGGACGAGGTGGCTGGCTGGATAAGTAAATGGAATGGTTCCTATTGGAACTTTCCTCCTGGCAAGCCAGCCACGTCATCCTCTGAGTGGCTTGGAGGCGACTACCTTTTTTTCTTTTCATGTAGTTGAAGTCCTTTTCATATTAATGATTTTATCATACAATAAATCAGACAAAAGATGGTGAAAGAAGGGGAAGGAAGGATGGTGGACTGGAGGCGAGGGAGCGTCACGGCGTCCGCGGCGTCCGCTCCGGCTCGAATGGCGTTGTTGCTGCGTGGCTCGTCCGCAATCCGCAGGCTCCGTTTTTTCTGTCAACACCAAAGTTGTTCTTGTCTTTGGATTGTGAAGGCATCAGGCGAGGGACTGTGCTGGGTTGCGCGTTGCAGGCTTCATAAATCCGCTCACGCTATCGCCTCGATTGCCAGACGCCTGTTTTGGCTGCTCTAATGGTTCTTAAGAGCGTCTGGAGGATGGCGCTCTATTGCGTCGTTGCCTTTTGGCCTCAGCATCTTCTGATCTCTTACTGTTTTCTTTTCATATGTGTCGCGCGATTTTATTATGCTACGAATACTATAAAATTTTAGTGACGTTCATACAAAAATAAAAATAAAAACTCACCGAATCCTTCTCCGTTCTAGCGTAATGCAACTTTCAAAAACAATGGGGAAAATTTTGTTCTAGATTTCACAACTAATATGGCCCGGATCATGGCTGTAATTTTTGGATTACTGTGGCGCGAAATTCGGTTTGAAACAAGAATTTCATATTTAAAACTTTTGTGTAAAACTATTCGAGCCGATTTGAATTGGTCTCGTTTTTTTTTCTTTTTTTTTGCCGAAGTCCAAGGATTGTGGCCATGTAGGTAATAATGAAAGACAAAGAAAATGTATAGTTTAGGCGCCACGGAATTCGAAATTTATGTGAACTTTATAAAACATGATTTGCAGTTTGAGACCTCGTGAGAACTCGAAGCTGGTGTTTTTCAATTCCGAGGGTCGAAATTGGAAAAAAAATTAGAAGTTATTTTCAATGGGATTTGATCTGTTTTGAAAAATAAGAAATAATCCAAAATTTCACAAGCAAAAGAAAAAATTAGTGTCTCTGTCGTATATGATATTTCAAAAGTTACTAAGATAACTCGAAAAATTTTGATTCTCGGGCTCCTGAGAGCATTCTTCCTTGCGGAAGAATCAACCAAAAAACAACAAAAACGTTGCTTCCGGCATACCGAGAAAAAAAAAGCAAAACAAGGAAAAAGGTTTGATAATCAAGTGGAACTTGGACCTGTTAAAAACTAAAAGAAAGTTGATGAGCTCGACAGTCTCCAAAGGCACCAACAGAAAGAAACGGACGTCATTTTCACCTGTATTTATGAACAAGCATCTTTTTCTTTTTTTTTTCAATTTTTCTATTTAAATCTCGATCTTCGGCGTGTGTCGTTTTCTTTTTAGGTCCAGGTCGCTTTTTAATATACATAAAGTCTCCCGCTGCTTCATATCGTTTTATCATTTCTCTTACTCCATGGACGGTGATTTCAAACTGCTGTGAAAGAAAATTACCTTTCTTGGGTTCTCGTTCTGATAGCCGGACACAACAACTTTGGACGCTTCCTCCGTCAAGTACCGACTTTTCAGTTTAGACTTCCCACCTGGAGCATAATTGGTGTGTACCTCGTAGAAACTCGGATAATTAATTCAAAATAAAAAGTTGAAATCTTTTTTTTTTCTTAATTTGTTGTCTTAATTTGGTTCTAGCGCGAATTATAAGCCCTTAGGTCATTTTCTATGTATATTTTGTATTCAAAAAATTGGGTAATGTATAATTTTTAACTTAAATTTGCCTTTTGGCTTCTTCTAGCAGAGTTGAAGCAGCCTTGTTTCATCTTCTTAATCTAGTAAATCTTTCAACTAGATATGGAAACGTGGAAACTCGAGAATTATGTTTCTAATTAATCAAGGCTTGAACTCAGTTTAGATATGAGTGAAGAAAAAAAAATAAAACTCGGGTGTCGTCTTTGATAAAATTCAGAAGAAGGAGCACGTAAAGAATAATTAACTGTCTGTTTTCCGTTGAAGCCTGAAGTGATAATAACCTGTATAATCTGAAATCTTGGGCATCGTAATGCATTCTTCCTTTCGGAAAAATCAGCCTAAAAACAACAAAAAAATTGTTTCCGGCATACCAAGAAATAAAAGATTTTCAAATACATCCATCTTTGTTATGGATATATTTGAAAAATAATCAATCTATGTGATTTGATTAAATTTTTGATTTTTTTGGAAGAAGTGAAAGGCTCGGTTGCTTAACGATTCGAGTTGGACAGTAAATATCTTTTAGTTTCGAACGCAACTATATTTTATCTATGTTTCGAAATGGATTCCAAAATAAGTTAGTAACTTAACTCGATAAGTTTTCATTCTTGGGCTCCTGAGAGCATTTTTCATTTCGGAAGAATCAACTTAAAAACAAAGTTGGAGGCGTGCGCAAAGTCCTCTTATAATGAATATTTATCGTGCAATAAATCAGACATAGATGGTGGGAGTTTAAAAGGGGAAGGATGGGTTGAAAGCGAGGGAGCAGCACGGCGTCTGTTCCGGCTCGACTGGCGATGGTGCTGGCTGGATCGTCGGCGGTCGGTCGGCTCCGATTCTTCCGTAAGAACAAAGTTATTCTTGCCTTCAGAAAGTGGAAGCGTCTGGCGAGGGACTGTGCGAGGCTACGGAGGCGCAGGCTTTATCAATCCGCCTGCGCGGTTGCCTCGCGCCAGACGCCTATGATTTGGCTTCTCTAATGGCCTTTGGAGGCGTCTGGAGGATGACGGTCCGTTGCGTCATCGGCTTACGGCCTCAGCAAAAGAGCCAAGAGATCTTCTGATATCTTACTACGACACAAATGCTGTTTCCGGCATACCGAGATATGACGAATGATGAAAATGTAAGATTTCGATGCTTCAAAGAGTAGAAATAATAAAAATTTGAAAAAAATGATTTAATTTTTCTGATTTTCAAATAATTTTAATACGTAAAATGAATTCAAAGTTTTCAAAATGTTTGAATTGAAGCAATTTGATTCCTCGTGCAGAAATCGCCTCTCAATTTCTTAAGAGAGTCTTTCTCCGCTCCGAGGTAAAAAATTTTAAGAAAAAAACTTACCGAGAGGTTTTTACAAACCGATTATGCTCATTATAAGTGTAAGAAAAATTTTTCGTAGGCCTCGTGGTAACGCAAAAAAAAGCGAAACTCAACCGAGGTGAAAAAAAAAGAGAAAACTTCGAAGAAAAGAAGTTTCTCTAACAACAATCTATGCGTTGGGGGTTCAAATAAATAAAAAAAGGGAAAAACAACAGGAAATGGAATAGAATCGATTACTCTCCGTGAATGATCTAATCGAGTAGCAATTTCTAATTTTTCCCGAATGAGACCAAAAAATTGATTGAAAAATTAAAATAACGAACAATTGGGGAAAACTCTAGAAACGAAAAGAAATAGGCAAGGTCAAATTATAAAAAAACAAAAAAAGAAAAACTTTTTGTCAGGGCACATTAATTAGACATGTTCTTTTCATTGAGCCTTTGACATTTCAAATTTCAAGGGACACGGCTTTTTTTCGTTGCATCTTATGGCTTTCTTCCACGCAGCTTGGTTTTTTTCTCGACTTCCGATTGGCCCATGTCCCTTTGAATGATGCCGGCTTTTATGGCGCGGACTTTCTACTTGATTTTTTTTTTGTTGATTTTAACTTGTGATTTTTTTCTTTTTAATGGCCCCGTGAAGAAGAAGACAAAGGTGAACATTTTCTCAAGCGAAACATCTGCACATTTCTTTGACGATTTGTTCATATTTTTTATCATTGGTCAAGTTTTGGATGACGAAAGAGCTTTCATGAAAGGGGAACGGACTGGTCTCCCTCGGTCGCGACAAGAATGTCTTTACGTAGTGACATCAGCATATGAAAAAAAGTTGTCTTATGATATACACGTCAGAATAATTTAAGAACTTCGATATTTTTTTGGTCGGCGAAATTCGGTTCGAAACGAGAATTTCATATTGAAACCTGTTGTGAAAAAAACTAATCGACTCGATTTGAATTGGTCTCGTGCTGAAGTCCAAGGATTGTGGCCATGTAGGTAAATATTAGAGACGAATAAAAAAATAAGAAGCCTAGATTCCATGAAGATCCTAACTTTGTGAACTTGATAAAACATGATTTTCAGTTTGGGACTTCGTGAGAACCCAAAGCTGGTATTTTTTGACTTCGAGGCTTGGAATTTTGAAAAAAAAACAAGAAGAGAATTATTTACTGTGTGATTTTGATCTGTTTCTGAAGAATTAAAAAGTATCCAAACTTTCACGAGCGAAAGAGAAAATTAGTGTCTCTATCGAATATAATATTCCAAAACTTGGTAATTTAACTGGGAAAACTTCGTTTCTCGGGCTCTTGAGAGCACTCTTCCTTGCAGAAGAATCCACCTAAAAACAACAAAAATGTTGTTTCCAGCGTACCGAGATATGAAAAATAAAGGAAATGTAAGATTCCGGTGCTACAAAGAGTAAAATGATGTCAATTCAAACTAAAATAGGACCTCGCGTAATCCAAAGGATTAAGCTTCGTGGTAACGCAAGAAAAGCGAAACTCAGCCGAGGTGAAAAAGAAGAGAAAACTTCGAAGAAAAGAAGATTCTCTAACAACAATCTATGCGTTGGGGGTTCAAATGATTTAAAAAAAGAAAAAAACTATTTACAAAAGGTTCGATCTCGTGCTACAGCTTCTGTTTTTTTCTTTGAGTTCAGTTTTCAAATTTTTTTCTAAAAAATTACCAAGAAAGTGTTTAGTAATACTTTTTAGCCTTTATTGGAATCTCTTTTTTTCCGAAATTTTTGATTTGCTTGAACTTCTAAGCCTAATTATTTGCTTGTTTGTTTCTCAACTGATCTACATAGTATTCCAAAGGTGTTAAATTGGATGGAGATCAGAAAAGAGCATTTAGAGATTAATTAATTGACTCATTATTGTAAGAGAAAAAATATTGATAACCTGTAAATTCTGAAATCTTGGGCATCGAAATGCATTTATCCTTTCGGAAAAATCAGCCTATTAACAACGTAAAAGTTGTCTCCGGCCTTCCAAGAAATAAGAAAGAAAACGTTTGAACAGACTCGTACTTGAAAATAAACTCAAAGTGATTTTTGATAAATGACCGAGGTCGAAAAAATGAGGAAAAACTTCAGCCAAACTTAAATTTACAAATGAAAGACTGATGAAACTTTTAGAAAAAAACCGCAAAACTTATTTACGAAAGATTTGACCTCGTGCTTCACTGACTTTTTCAGTAAATGATCCCCTAGGGGATAGAAAAAAAGGTTTTTTTGTCAACAAAATATATGTCGCGCGATTTTATTATACTATGAATACTATAAAATATTATTTACTGTTCATACAGAAATAAAAAAATAAAAAAACTCACCGAATCCTTTTTCCGTTCTAGCGTAATGCACACTTTTTCAAAAACCAATGGGGAAATTTTGTCCTAGATTTGACAACTAATAGGACTGGGGCGCAGCTGGTGTTACCAAAATAATGCGACGCGAAATTCGGTTTGAAACAACAATTTCACATTTGAAACTTCTGTGTAAAACTATTTGAGCCGATTTGAATCGATCTCGTTTCTTTTTTTTTTTTACTTTTCTGAAGTTCAAGGAATGTGGCCACGGAGGTGATAATGAGAGACGAATAAAAATAAGAAGCTTAGGTTATATGAAGATCCTAGTTTTTGGAGATCCTTAAAATTAGTGTCTCTATCGGATATAATATTCTGAAACTTGGTAACTTCACCAAAAAATTTTGATTCTCGGGCTGCTCAGAGCATTCTTCCTTGCAGAAAAATCAACCTAAAAACAACAAAAATGTTGTTTCCGGCTTACCGAGACAAAAAAAGCAGAAAAAGACAAAACTTTGGCCTGAAATGAGATTTGGTTGTGTAATACACTAAATGAAAATCTTTCAATTGAAGCAGTTTGATTCCTCGTGCAGAAATCGCCTCTCCAAGTTCTTGAGAGAGTTTTCTCCGCTCCGAGGTGAAAAAGTTCAAAAAAACTTACCGAATATGCTCATTATGAGAGTCAGAAAAAAATTTCGGAGACCTCGTGGTTACGCAAAAGTGCGAAACTCAGCCGAGGTGAAAAAGAAGAGAAAACTTCGAAGAAAAGAAGATTCTCTAACAACAATCTATGCGTCGGGGGTTCAAATAAATGAAAAAAAGGGAAAAACAACAGAAAATGGAATGAAATGAAATGCTCTCAGTGATTCATTGGAAAAAAAAGAAGCCCAGAGCAGAAGGAATATCAAACTTTTCTTTCTGTATCTCGATATGAAGAAAAGTTCTCGAGCGTAATGATTTATTTTCTTATGTTTGAGATGAGGAAGATTTATCCTTTTAGCGTTCCGTATGCAAAACTGTTAATCTTAGCGAAGAAGTTGGGAATATCTTCAATGGAACGGGAAATTTGTATTCCTGTATTCCAATCATACAAAAATATAAAGTCGTGCATCCAATATGAAATTCCCGATTTGAAAAGCAAAACCTCTGAAAACCAAGAACTTCTCCGGACAAGCCAAAGGAAAAAACCAAAGTGACTTGAAGAAACCTGCTGGCGCAGTTCGATCAATGGTTCACTTGGCAAGAAATGGCTCGACATTGGAAAAATTCTTGGCGGTTTTTCACTTTTTCCCTCCCCATAATGATAAGAATCGATCCTTGGAAATGCACTTCGAATTCGAAAAAATGAATAGAATTGGAATATTAGGTCACAAATTCTTTGTTGCCACCATAGACTTCCCACAACTCCACGAGGAAAAAACAAACGCAATCCGAAAATTTTGAGAAACGCAAAAGAACTTTTCTGTTTTTTAAATAAGAAATAAATGGCTTAGAACAGGAAAAGATGTTCTTCTCAGATCCATAGAAACTCTGATGAGAAATGGCTCAAAAAGAATCCTCGTAAATGAAAGAATTGTTTTGCAAGGAAGTGGATGGGAGAGTTTCGAAATTAGTTATTTGAAAAAAATCTCCGATAATCCTAAAAAAAAAAGAAAAATAAAAAAGAAATGTCAGACTTGTTCTCCAAGTAGGATAAGGATGATAAATAAATAAAATATCTAAGGCCGGAGACGGAATTGTAAAATAAAAAGAAGAAAAAAATCCTAAAAATATCTGGAGAATCCTAAAAAAGGGGCAGAGACGGGAGGAAGCGGAGTGCCCGGACGGCTGCTGGCGGCTAGAATGAGCGAGAAGGCCGCAGTCGCCACGCCCCTCTTGTCTCCGCCGTCTTCCTATTGGTCGGAGCTAATGATGACAAACGGTCTTGAACGGAAGACGCCGACGCGTTTCGAACGCGAGGCGTGCTCGAGGCGAAAGGAGGGGGGATGGGGGGTTGCAAACTGTCGCTTTTTTAACGCTAAATCGCTGTAAGTGCGTTTCGCGATTCTTTTCCGTGTAACCACGTGAAGAACCTCGTCACATCGGTTTGTTTTGCTGTAGAAGTTTTGAGACCTTGTTTTTCCACATGCTCGCGGTGGCTTAAAACGTTAAAGGTAGACATGAAAAGGGTATATGGTGACAAAAGCTTCGAATAGAAACGTGACGTGCTTAGATCCAATCACGTGATTGCAAGAGAAAACGGAAGTCCCTCTATTGCGAGAAAAAAGAAAAACTCAACTGCGAGATAGTTTTTTTCAATCAAAAGATTTTATTTCTGGTCTCAGAACTGCATTACAGAATTTCAACAAGCGCCGGTGACGGCTGTTCTGCACGTGCAAAAGATGAAAGAAGTTGCCGCGAGCGGCACAGACTCCAAATAAGAAAGGTTCCCCAGAAGGCCACCACTCAAGAACCACATGTGGACGACGGAAATTTGAAAGAAGCCGCCGAAAGATTCGGCATGCCTTTTATAAGCAATGATCTCTCAACGAAAATTTTCTTTTTCTGACTCGAGCCTGTTTATAGAGAAAACCTTCTCCTGAAGAGGAACTCTTTACGGTTTCAGTCCAAATTTAAAGGAGCGAAAATTCAAAAACCAAAAATTTCCTGTAATATTTTTTAGTACGAACATGCTCAAAAGTACTTTTTTCTACTTTCGTGACTAACTTTAATAAAAGTTGGTAGACTTGATACCTCACACCAAATGTTCTTCTTTCACAAAGAATTCTCAGATGACGTGTTCAATGAAAAGACACTTTTTCAAATGATTAAGCAAACGAACGACGCGAATGGACATGTCTTGCCCTTTCCAAATAACATTTTCGCGATTCGAAAAATGGGGGTTGTGTAAAGCGCAAGTGACGCAAGACTACTGTACTGCATGTGCAGAAGGTGAAAGAAACTGACGCGAACGACGTAAACATTGAATAAAAAGGCTGAAAGGTTCGAAGACCAGATGGGCAACTTCGAAAGTCCCTTTCTACAAAGTTCGATGTTGTTACAAGCGCAAGGGAAAGAAAATAAAAGTCTTTCTGTGGAAATTGATAATCCAAATTGATAATATTGGTAACTGAACTCAGAAAACTTGAATTCTCGGGCTCCTGAGAGCATTCTTCCTTGCGGAAGAATCAACCAAAAAACAACAAAAACGTTGCTTCCGGCATACCGAGAAAAAAAAAAGCAAAACAAGGAAAAAGGTTTGATAATCAAGTGGAACTTGGACCTGTTAAAAACTAAAAGAAAGTTGATGAGCTCGACAGTCTCCAAAGGCACCAACAGAAAGAAACGGACGTCATTTTCACCTGTATTTATGAACAAGCATCTTTTCTTTTTTTTTTTCAATTTTTCTTTTTAAATCTCGATCTTTGGCGTGTGTCGTTTTCTTTTTTTCAGGTCCAGGTCGCTTTTTAAGATACATAAAGTCTCCCGCTGCTTCATATCGTTTTATCATTTCTCTTACTCCATGGACGGTGATTTCAAACTGCTGTGAAAGAAAATTACCTTTCTTGGGTTCTCGTTCTGATAGCCGGACACAACAACTTTGGACGCTTCCTCCGTCAAGTACCGACTTTTCAGTTTAGACTTTACAGCTGGAACAAAATTGATGTGTACCTCGTAGAAACTCGGAATATTCAATTCAAAATAAAAAGTTGAAATCTTTTTTTTTTCTTAATTTGTTGTCTTAATTTGGTTCTATCGCGAATTATAAGCCCTTAGGTCATTTTCTATGTATATTTCGTCTTCAAAAAAATTGGGTAATGTATAATTTTAACTTAAATTTGCCTTTTGGCTTCTTCTAGCAGAGTTGAAGCAGCCTTGTTTCATCTTCTTAATCTAGTAAATCTTTCAACTAGATATGGAAACGTGGAAACTCGAGAATTGTGTTTCTAATTAATCAAGGCTTGAACTCAGTTTAGATATGAGTTAAGATAAAAACTCGGGATGTCGTCTTTGATAAAATTCAGAAGAAGGAGCACGTAGAGAATAATTAACTGTCGGTTTTCCGTTGGAGCCTGAATTGATAATAACCTGTATAATCTGAAATCTTGGGCATCGGAATGCATTCTTCCTTTCGGAAAAATCAGCCTAGAAACAACAAAAATAGTTGTTTCCGGCCTACCAAGAAATAAAAGATTTTCAAATACATCCATCGTTGTTATGGATGTGTTTGAAAAAAATAATCAATTTATGTGATTTAATTAAATTTTTTTGGTGATTTTTGGAAGAAGTGAAAGGAACCGTTTTTTTTCTAAGGTGCATGATGCCTTGTAGTCTTATTCAATCTACTATTATCATGTTGCTTCAAGATGTCACCTGTGAAAAAAAGAGAAAAATTCATCAGGTTTTAATTATTAGCTAATGGAAAATAATAATTCCAGCTGTAGAAGAAATATCTTATGGTTTTGACCGCTTCTATCTTTTATCTATGTGAAATTTTGAAATGAATGGATAAAAAAGTCTCTCCGTCGAATATGATAATATAAAACTAAGAAAAGTAACTCGAAAAATTCTGATTCTCGGGCTCCCGAGAGCATTCTTTCTTGCGGAAAAATCAACCTAAAAACAACATAAATGCTGTTTCCGGCATACCGAGAAAAAAAAAAAGCAAAATAAGAGAAAAGGTTCGATCTCCAACCTGAACTCGAACATGTAAAAGATTGAACGAAAGTCGAGAAGCTCCAAAAAAGTTGCAGAATGATTCGAGTACTTTCACCGTGATCGGCTCATCCTTTGCAGACAGTCTCCAGTACCACTAACGAAAAGAAACGGACGTCGCCTATATCTGTATTTATGAACAAGAATCTTCTCTTTTTTTTATTTGTTATGTCATATCGGTTAAGTCGCGAATTGTAAGCCCTCAGGTCGTTCTCCATTGAGATTTTGTTTTCAAAAACAGTCGTGAAATGTTTAGTTTTAACTCAAATCGGCCTTTTCAGCTCGAAAGGAATTTGAAACAGCCTTACTTCTCTACGCCTTGTGGTGCCTCGTAGTCTTATTCGATATTCCATTATCATATTTCACGAAATCGTCGGTAAGGAAAAAAATAATAAAAAAAGTTCAGGTTATTATAATTAGTAGCTGTTGGGGTACAAATAATGATAATTTCTTCGTTCTCAAGTTTGAGTATCTTGCAGTAATCTTCCATTTTCTTTTGAAAAAATCTTCTTTATCTATTAAAATTTTGAACTACTTGTGGAAACACAAGAATTTTGTTTTTTAAACCCCAAGGCTTGAACTCAGTTTAGATGTTAGTTAAGAAAAAAATAAAACTAAGGCTTCGTGGTTGATAAAATTTAGAAGAAGGAGCACGTAGAAAATAATTAACTGTCTGTTTTCCGTTGAATCCTGACGCAATAATAAACTGTAAAATCTGAAATCTTGGGCATCGTAATGCATTCTTCCTTTCGGAGAAAATCAGCCTAGAAACAACAAAAAAAGTTGTTTCCGGCCCACCAAGAAATAAAAGATTTTCAAATACATCCATCTTTGTTCTGGATGTGTCTTATTTAATTTACTATTATCATGTATTTTCATGACTTCACCTGTGAGGAAAAAAAGGAGAATGTGTTCAGCAGGGCTCAATTAATAACTCTTGGATATATTAATTCTAGCTGTAGAGAAAAATGTCTTATGGTTTACAAAAATTTTTCAAAAAAAGAATGGATAAAGAAAAAAAGTCTCTCCGTCGAATTTGATAATATAAAAAAATAAGAAAGGTAACTTGAAAAATTTTGATTCTCGGGCTCCTGAGAGCATTCTTACTTGAAGAAGATTTAACCTAAAAAAACAACAAAAAAAGTTGTTTCCGGCCTACCAAGAAATAAAAGATTTCCAAATACATCCATCTTTGTTATGGATGTGTTTGAAAAAAATAATCAATTTATGTGATTTAATTGAATTTTTTTGATGTTTTTTTGGAAGAAGTAAAAAGACCTTTATCCGGATACCGTTCTGATCACAAAAGACAACGGCTTCGGTTTTTTTCTTTGAGACCCATTTTCAAATTTTTTTCTAAAGAAAAATTACCAAGAATTCTATATTTAAATTTGTTTTTTTCAAAATTTTTTTAGCCTTTATTGGGATTTTTTTCCAAATTTTTTTGATTTGCTTGAACTTCTTGGCCTAATCATTTTTCTTTTTTTGTTTCTCATTTGACCTACGTAGTATTCCAAAAGTGTTAAATTGGATGGAGATCAGAAAAGACCATTTGGAGATTAATTAATTGACTCATTTTTGTAAGAGCCAAAAAATGTTAATAACCTGTGAAATCTGAAATCTTGGGCATTGTAATGCATTCATCCTTTCGGAGAAATCAGCCTAGAAACAACAAAAAGATGTTTCCGGCCTACCAAGAAATAAAAGATTTTCAAATACATCCATTTCTGTTATGGATATATTTGAAAAAAATAATCAATTTATGTGATTTGATTAAATTTTTTTGGTGTTTTTTTGGAAGAAGTGAAAGGCACGGTTTTTGTTGTTCCGTTGAAGAAGTCTATTTTTATGTTCAATTTATGTTCTGAAAAGGTATTTTGATTTGAAAAATGATAAATTTTCGATGGAGAGCACAAATTAACGTTGGAAGGAAATGATGAATTTGATGAAAACTAAGAAAACTTGCTTTGAGCCTCCTTTTGGACTTCAAACTCTGTCCGGCTATCGCTTTCATCAAACAGGATCTATGCATGATCATATCACATGCTGGGCGACCTTTGCAAAGCACCTCCATATATATTTTTCAATTTCTGACATGTTTCCGCGCGTTTTCCTCTATGGCATTATGTCTGGATTATCAGATTCTTGAACTGTTCGCCGAGACCGGTGAAGAAGCGGTCTTTTTTTCTGAATGAAAAATCACGGAACGCATTTTTCTTAGATGTATTCCCAATGGGCCTTGTCTCTCTTCCAAAAGTTGAAATAGTACTGGAAGATTGAGAAAAATGGTTGAGAATTTTTTTGAAAAAAATCCACATGTATAATTTTTCTAATTTAACATAATTTCAATAGGTAAAATGAATTTAAAATTAATTTTTTTATATTTTTGAAATAGAGACAGTTTGATCCCTCGTGCAGAAATTGCCTCTCCAAGTTCTTGAGAGAGTCTTCTCCGCTCCGAGGTGAAAAATTCAAAAAAAAAACTTACCGGGAGGTTTTTCGGACCGAATATGCTCATTATGAGAGTCAGAAAAAAAGATCGGAGGCCTCGTGGTTTCGCAAAAAAAGCGAAACTCAGCCGAGGTGAAAAAGAAGAGAAAACTTCGAAGAAAAGAAGATTCTCTAACAACAATCTATGCGTTGGGGGGTTCAAATGATTTTAAAAAAGAAAAAAACTATTTACAAAAGGTTCGATCTCGTGCTTCAGCTTCTGTTTTTTTGAGTTCAGTTTTTCAAATTTTTTTCTGAAAAATTACCAAAAAAATTTGTTTAGTACAACTTTTTTTGAAAAAAATGATTAATTTTCGATGGAGCGCACAAATTAACGTTGGAAGGAAATAATGATTTTGAAGAAAAGCTAAGAAAAATTTACTTTTGGCTCCCTCCCTTTTGGACTTCAAATTCTGCCCGGCCATCGCTTTCATCAAACAGGATCTATGCATGATCATATCACATGCTGGGCGGCCTTTGCAAAGCACCTCCATATATATTTTTCAATTTCTGACATGTTTCCGCGCGTTTTCCTCTATGGCATTATGTCTGGATTATCAGATTCTTGAACTGTTCGCCGAGACCGGTGAAGAAGCGGTCTTTTTTCTGAATGAAAATCACGGAACGCATTTTCTTAGATGTATTCCCAATGGGCCTTGTCTCTCTTCCAAAAGTTGAAATAGTACTGGAAGATTGAGAAAAAAATGGTTGAGAATTTTTGAAAAAAATCCACATGTATAATTTTTCTAATTTAACATAATTTTCAATAGGTAAAATGAATTTAAAAATTGTTTTTATATTTTTTGAATAGAGACAGTTTGATCCCTCGTGCAGAAATTGCCTCTCCAATTTCTTGAGAGAGTCTTCTCCGCTCCGAGGTGAAAAATTCGAAAAAAAAACTTACCGAGAGGTTTTTTTCAAACCGAATATGCTCATTATGAGAGTCAGAAAAAAAGATCGGAGGCCTCGTGGTTTCGCAAAAAAAGCGAAACTCAGCCGAGGTGAAAAAGAAGAGAAAACTTCGAAGAAAAGAAGATTCTCTAACAACAATCTATGCGTTGGGGGTTCAAATGATTTAAAAAAAGAAAAAAACTATTTACAAAAGGTTCGATCTCGTGCTTCAGCTTCTGTTTTTTTTTGAGTTCAGTTTTTCAAATTTTTTTCTGAAAAAAATTACCAAAAATTTGTTTAGTACAACTTTTTTTGAAAAAAATGATTAATTTTCGATGGAGCGCACAAAAAAGTTGGAAGGAAATAATGATTTTGAAGAAAAGCTAAGAAAATTTACTTTTGGCTCCCTCCCTTTTTGGACTTCAAATTCTGCCCGGCCATCGCTTTCATCAAACAGGATCTATGCATGATCATATCACATGCTGGGCGGCCTTTGCAAAGCATATCCATATATATTTCAACTTCTGACATGTTCCCTTATTCAAGTCCCTTTTAAAACTCAGCTCCCAAGTTGTCGACAACCGAACAATTGTACTTGTTTTTTGTGAAATGTCCGAAAAATCCACATCTATAATTTTTTGATTTTGAATAATTTTAATACGTAAAATGAATTTAAAGTTTTCAAAATGTTTGAATTGAAGCAGTTTGATTCCTCGTGCAGAAATCGCCTCTCCAATTTCTTGAGAGAGTCTTCTCCGCTCCGAGGTGAAAAAGTTCAAAAAAAAACTTACCGAATATGCTCATTATGAGAGTCAGAAAAAAATTTCGGAGGCCTCGTGGTTACGCAAAAAAGCGAAACTCAGCCGAGGTGAAAAAGAAGAGAAAACTTCGAAGAAAAGAAGATTCTCTAACAACAATCTATGCGTTGGGGGTTCAAATGATTTAAAAAAAGAAAAAAACTATTTACAAAAGGTTCGATCTCGTGCTACAGCTTCTGTTTTTCTTTGAGTTCAGTTTTCAAATTTTTCTAAAAAAAAATTACCAAGAATGTGTTTAGTAATACTTTTAAGCCTTTATTGGAATCTCTTTTTTTCTGAAATTTTTGATTTGCTTGAACTTCTAGGCCTAATTATTTGCTTGTTTGTTTCTCAACTGACCTACATAGTATTCCAAAGGTGTTAAATTGGATGGAGATCAGAAAAGAGCATTTGGAGATTAATTAATTGACTCATTATTGTAAAAGTCAAAAAATATCGATAACCTGTGAAATCTGAAATCTTGGGCATCGAAATGCATTCTTCCTTTCAGAAAAATCAGCCTAAAAACAACAAAAAAGTTGTTTCCGACCTTCCAAGAAATAAAAGATTTTCAAATACATCCAACATTGTTGTTTATATGTTACTTCGATAAAGTTTTAGAATCACGTTTAAAAAAATCTCGTACTTGAAAATAAACTCAAAGTAGTTTTTGATACGAGACCGAGGTCGAAAAAATGAGGAAAAATTTCAGCCGAACTTAAATTTACAAATGAAAGATTGATGAAAATTTCAGAAGAAAAAAACCGCAAAACTTATTTACGAAAGATTTGACCTCGTGCTTCACTGACTTTTCAGTAAAGATCCCCGAGGGTAAAAAGAAAAAAAGGTTTTTGTCAACAAAATATATGTCGCGCGATTTTATCATACTACGAATACTATAAAATATTATTTACTGTTCATACAAAATAAAAAATAAAAACTCACTGAATCCTTCTCCGTTCTAGCGTAATGCAACTTTCAAAACCAATGGGGAAAATTTTGTTCTAGATTTCACAACTAATATGGCCCGGATCATGGCTGTAATTTTTGGATTACTGTGGCGCGAAATTCGGTTTGAAACAAGAATTTCATATTTAAAACTTTCGTGTAAAACTATTCGAGCTGATTTGAATCGGTCTCGTTTTTTTTTTCTTTTCTTTGCTGAAGTTTAAGGATTGTGGCCATGTAGGAAATAATGAAAGACAAAGAAAATGTATAGGTTGGGTGCCACGAAATTCGGAATTTATGTAAACTTTATAAAACATGATTTGCAGTTTGGGACCTCGTGAGAACTCGAAGCTGGTGTTTTTTTCAACTCGGAGGCTTGGAAATAAAAACAAGAAGAGAATTAATTTACTGTGTGATTTGATCTTATTTGAAAAAAATGAAAAAAATCCAAACTTTCACGAGCGAAAGAAAAAAATTAGTGTCTCTATCGAATATGATATTTCAAAAAGTCACTAAGATAACTTGATAAATTTTGATTCTCGGGCTGCTCAGAGCATTTCTTTCCTTGAGGAAAAAAATCAACCTAAAAAAACAACAAAAAAATGTTGTTTCCGGCTTACCGAGAAAAAAGCAGAAAAAAAGACAAAAACTTTGGCCTGAAATGAGATTTGGTTGTGTAATACACTGAATGAAAATCTTTGAATTAAAGCAGTTTGATCCCTCGTGCAGAAATCGCCTCTTCAAGTTCTTGAGAGCGTTTTCTCCGCTCCGAGGTGAAAAAGTTCAAAAAAAAAAACCTTACCGAGAGGTTTTTCGGACCAAATATGCTCATTATGAGAGTAAAAAAAAAATTTCGGAGGCCTCGTGGTTACGCAAAAAATGCGAAACTCAGCCGAGGTGAAAAAGAAGAGAAAACTTCAAAGAAAAGAAGATTCTCTAACAACAATCTATGCGTTGGGGGTTCACATAAATGAAAAAAAGGGAAAACAACAGAAAATGGAATAAAAATCAAATAATCTAAGTGATTCACTGAAATAGTGTATAATAACTCAGATTGAAAAAAAAGAGGATAAAACCCAAAAGTTCGAGAGAACTTTCTGAAAAAAGGCTGAAAAAGATTGACCAAAAAGCCCAGAGTAGAAATGAATGAGAGAAAAAACACACAATTCTTGTTCATTTGCCATTTTTTTAACTCAACAGGAATATCAAACTTTTCTTTCTGTATTCCGATTCCAAAAAAAGTTCTCGAGCATAATGATTTATTTTCTTCTGTTTGAGATAAGGAAGATTTATCCTTTTAGCGTTCCGTATGCAAAACTGTTAATCTTAGCAAAGAATCTGGGAATATCTTCAATGGAACGGGGAGTTTGTATTCCTGTATTCCAATCCCACAAAAATATCAAGTCGTGCATCCAATATGAAGCCCCCAATTTGAAAAGCAAAACCTCTGAAAACCAAGAACTTCTCCGGACAAGCCAAAGGAAAAAACCAAAGTGGCTTGAAGAAACCTGCTGGTGCAGTTCGATCAATGGTTCACTTGGCAAGAAATGGCTCGACATTGGAGAAATTCTTGCGGTTTTTCTTTTTTTCCCTCCCCATAATGATAAGAATCGATCCTTGGAAATGCACGTGAAATTCGAAAAAATGAATAGAATTGGAATATAAGGTCACAAATTCTTTGTTGCCACCATAGACTTCCCACAACTCCACGAGGAAAAAACAAACGCAATCCGAAAATTTGGAGAAATGCAAAAGAACTTTTCTGTTTTTCAAATAAGAAATAAATGGCTTAGAACAGAAATAGATGTTCTTCTCAGATCCATAGAAACTCTGATGATAAACGGCTCAAAAAGAATCCTCGTAAATGAAAGAATTGTTTTGCAAGGAAGTGGATGGGAGAGTTTCGAAATTAGTTATTTGAAAAAAATCTCCGATAATCCTAAAAAAAAAAAAAGAAATGTCAGACTTGTACTCAAGTAGGAAAGGAGGATGAATAATAAATATCTGAGGCCAGAGACGAAGTTGTGAAATAAAAGATGAGAAATCCTAAAATATCTGGAGAATCCTAAAAAAGGGGCAGAGACGGAAGCGAGCGGGGTGCCCGGACGGCTGTTGGCGGCTAGAATGAGCGAGAAGGCTGCAGTCGCCACGCCCCTCTTCCCTCCGCCGTCTTCCTATTGGTCGGAGCGAATGATGACAAACGGTCTTGAACGGAAGACGCCGACGCGTTTCGGAAGCGAGGCGTGCTCGAGGCGAAAAGAGGGGGATACCAGTCGTTTTCGACGCGAAACCGCTGTTTCAAATCAAATGTATAACTAATCTGAAGTTGTCACAATTTCAAAAATTTCTTCAGACTTGAGGAACCTGACAGTTCAAAAAAACCTCTCAACATATGTGAAACGATTTTTGATGGGTAATGGAACATTGAGAAAAAATACCAGACTTTTCTCAGAAAGTTTTTAACGGAAAATTTTTTTTGAGACTACGTGCTCCGCTGAATGATGTGAAGGGAAATGGATTTTCTATGTTTTATCACGCAGTTGCATCGAAACATTTTCAAAAAACTTGATTTTCTCGAAGGTCTTCTGCCTTTTAACTTCTCAATAAATCGGAAAGTCTTTTTTGAAGTGGGTTCAAAGTTTATACAAAAACCCTTAGTAAGGGCCAGGTTGCAAGAAAATGGTTTGCTGAAGAGATCTTGGATAGCAATTCTTGGAGGTTACAAGTTTTATCTAATAGAAAAAAGGATAATAACGAATGTGGGAATATTCAGTAGGTTAAAACTGAACAATGTATTTTGATTAACTTACCGTTGCTCATAAAAATCCAAAAATAGCATTTTTTTTTTCTATTACCCGTGAAACTGTTTGAAGAAATTTTTCAAATGATAGTGAAAAACGAAATTCTTGATTTAAATGTCTATCGCAATTATATTACGCGCCACCCTGTCGAAGACCTCGTCAGGAATCAACTTTCTGCCGTTCCCTTGATTGGCTACCCCGTAGAAGTTTTTGAGCTATTTTTTTTCTTTCGAGATGTCTGCGGTGGTTTAAAACGGTAAACGTGGACATTAGAAAAGTGGATGGTGACAAAAGTTAAAAAAGAAACGTGACGTACTTTTGTGAATCCAATCACGTGATTGCAAGAAAAACGAAGATCCCTATACTGTGAAGAAAAAGAAACAGCTGAATTTCTGCGAGAGAGTTTATCAACCAAGGGACTTCAACTTCTGGAATTGCATTGCAATGTCGAGAAAAAAATTCGGAAAAAAAGTTTAATTCAAAAAAAGTTATTTTCAAATTTCCCGCTCTTGGGAATCCAAGTAGCCGATGAATAAAACAAGGCTAGCTCTTTTTTTTAAACAAAAGTAAGAGAAAAAAAAAAAAAAATGAAAAATTTTAGACTCACGTTTGAACCTTATAACTTGTCGGTCTATACGCTACTCGAAACCCGGTATTTCTGCCATTTTATCAAAAAGTAGAACTTGTCTATATTCTCAGTTGGTAGCTTCATCCGTAATGATCATAAGGCTTGCGTGAAACTGTTCAAAATCGACAAAGCCGAAAAAATCATTGGAAATATCTACTATATGAAACAACACATTCAAAATCGGGAGAGTGAAAAATAAAAAACACCAAAGTTTCTTTATCGAGTCTTATTCCTGTCAACGTGGAGTAGAAGTTGAACAGGACGTGCCTGAAAGTTGCACAGGACAGCATTTTCTTTCTTCTTCTGGTTTTCAAACAAGCGCCAGGGACGGCTGTTCTGCACGTGCAAAAGATGAAAGAAGTTGCCGCGAGCGGCACAGAAACCGAATAAGAAAGGTTCCCCAGAAGGCCCCACTCAAGAACCACATGTGGACGACGGAATTTTGAAAGAAGCCGCCGAAAGATTCGGCATGCCTTTTATAAGCAATGGTGGAACTCTTTTCGGTTTCAGTCCAAATTTTGGCGATCAAAATTTTCAAACAACAAAAATTTTGAACCATCAAGTTTATAAGTACGAATCTTCTCATAAGTATTTTTGCCTACTTCATTGACTCACATCAATAAAAGTAGGTGAACCCGCTACCATACACCAAATGCTCTTCTTTCACAAAGAATTCTCAGATGACGAGTCTAATGAAAAGACACTTTTTCTGATGATTAAGAAAACGAACGACGCGAATGGACATGTCTTGCCCTTTCAGAATAACATTTTCGCGATTCAAAAAACGGGGGATGAGTATAGGGCAAATGACGCTATGTTTTCAGCGGCCACAGTTTTTGAGGGTCTCTCCATTTCTCTCCAACATTTGGAAGAAATATAGTAGGGTCCGAAATTTGAATAACTTCAACATAAATTGGAGCTATTTAACAGTCATGAAACTTTTTTCTATAGATAAACTATATTGTAGAGGTAATATTCAATATAAATTATCTGAAATGTGAAACACACCGATAATTCATTAAAAATGGTTAGGCAAGAAAAAAAGGCATCGATTTCAAAAAAAAAGCCGACAGTTTTGTCAATTTCTATGAAAAAGTGTTGGAGCAAATCTTTTAATTTTTTTTTTCAAGTTCTCCGGAACCTAGTCAAAAACTCAATCGACCAACGGCCATAATTTTTTTTTACTAAAAAGAAAAAGTGAATAATTCAAGATAGAAGACGATAAAACTGGCAATTTTGAGATTTTTTTGAAGATTTTTCAATACAATGTTGCACTCGTAAAAAAAATTTTTGACGCTTTCATCTTTTTTTCAGATTGACTGGTAAATTTTTTCATTTTTGTCGTTCTAATTAGCTTCGAAAAGTCATAATCTTTAAAACATATTGATAAGAGTCTGAACACAAAAAGGTTGTGAATTGTCATAACTCTGGGAATCAATTGGGACGTTCCAACTCAATGAGGTTCTGATCAAAGTTTCGAGTAGCGTCCGCCAGACCACTGTAGTGCATGTGCAGAAGATGAAAGAAGTTGCCGCAAGCGGCACAGAAACCGAATAAGAAAGGTTCCCCAGAAGGCCCCACTTGAAAAATACATGTGGGCGACTGAAATTTGAAAGGAGCCGCCGACAGGTTCGGCATGCCTTTTCTGAACAGTGATCTTTCAAATAAGTTTATGTTTTTGTTAAAAAAGTTGAAAATGTAATTTCATTCAGACATCAACAACTTGAGATGATCCTGATGAAAAGAACTGAAAATAAAATTGTCTGATTCAAGACTGTTCATCGAGTAAATCTTGTCCTAAATAGTAATCTTTTCGGTTTCAGTTCAAAGTTTTGGTGACCGAAAAATTCAAAAATCAAGAACTTTCTGAATTATCAATCTTCCAAGTACGAATATGCTCAGAAGCATTTTTTTCTACTTTCTTGACTTCCTTCAATAAAACTAGGTGAACCCGCTACCATACACCAAATTTTCTTCTTTTCCAAAAAAATTCTCAGATGACGAGTCCAATGAAAAGACACTTTTTTCTCATGACTAAGCAAACGAACGACGCGAATGGATGTGTCTTGCCCTTTCAGAATAACATTTTCGCGATTCGAAAAATGGGGGATGTGTAAAGCGCAAGTGACAGCGTTTGCTAGGCTACTGTACTGCAGGTGCAGAAAATGAAAAAAAGCTGTCGCGAACGACGTAAACACCGAATACAAAAGGCTGAAAGGTTCGAAGACCAGATGTGCAATTTCGAAAGCCCCTTCCTACAAATTCTGACTTTTTTTTGTGAAAACCGAGTTTTGTTTCCGATAAGCTAGCTTTCTGAAAACGAAAACCTTTGAACAAGTTATTATAAACTTGCGCACGTAATTAAGTAACGAGTCGATTAGATAATTGCGTTATGATACACTTTTTCGGTATTTGAACACCGATTTCTTATGATCTCAACGAGTCAGTTACATTGTAACATTCTGAGAAAAAAAAAATGAGGTTTCGAAAGAAATTTCATTTTTCAAAAACAGCCTTTAAAAAAATTTTTTACCGACAGTTTCCACAAAAGTGCACTTTCTATGAGTAATCGGGTTGACTAAAGTTTGCCGCGTTGTTAAAAAAAGACATCGCAATTCAAAAAACAGCGAAATGATATTTCTAGAAATATTGCTGTTTTCAAAAAAATGAAATTTTTTTCGAGGGATCTTCACTTTTTTTCAAAAAAACATTAAAAAAACAATGACGATTTATGATCGACCTGATAATTGGTAATCACTCTTGTCAATGATTCTTTCAGTATGAAAGAAGTCTCATGTCATCTTAAATCCATGCCCGATTTATCTATGAAATGTTCGGCAAGTCTCTCAAAAAAAACTTTTTGGAGCCTTCTCTTTCTCTCAAAAACTTCACAAATTCCCCTAGCGTTTAAACCCTGCATTTTTTTTTAGATCCCACTAAATTTTAAGAATATTTGAAACCCGAATATGTGAAAATAATATCGTTTCAATGATGCTAGACACATTTTTCTTCAGTAATAGACTTCGACTCGACTACTTCTTGAGAACAGCCGCTCTCGGGTTTTTTCTCGGCTTCCCAAAAGATTGATGTTGCTTTATATTGCACTTTGAGTGCAACGGCGATCCGTTAATTAATCTTCCATTGCTTTTCTGTGGTCCGTGGGCGAACAGCACCGAGCAGCATTTTTACACAGTTCGTCCGAAACCTTTCTATTTTTGCTTAACAGGATTGTAATGAGTGATTTTGTGGCTGTTTGATATTGGAATTTTTCATAAATAGGCTCGGATTCAATATTAAAAACGATCCCGATTTCCTTCTGAGCAGCCAATGAACGTGGAACAATGAGTTTTGTCTTTTCTGAAAAACCCGTCGCGAGCCAAACGATGGGAAGTTGAAAAAACCGCGAGCGGCGTTGCATTTGCATTGGCAGCATTTTTTGAGGGACCTTCTTCACATAAATTAGTAAAAAAGCAATTGGATTTTTATTTCAAGTTTTCTTTCACTTCCGAAAAATGCATCAACGGAAACAAATTTGAAAAAATATAAAGGTCTGGGGTCTCTTCAAAAAAATAAACTCTTCTTTTGGGTTTTCCACGACATGTGCTGCAATGGGATTGCGCAACAGAGAAGATGGTTTACAAGCCAGACACCCTGGGAAAGCTTCCACGTGGCGCGACATACAACATCGAACATCTGGATTAGCTGTACCTCCAAACAATATCTCTAGTGTTTGAGCGAAAAGTTTGAATTGTTTTCGATTACCCTTCTCAGCCCAAGTTTTCGTTTTTTTTTTCTCTCTAGATTCTTGTCCTATAGAAGAAAAGCCTAATTTTGAGTTTGTATGAATAAAGTTCGACAGAAATGCACTGCATAATGTCCCTTCGAAAGGTTGAAAAGCGTCGTTTCATAAGTTAAGAATATCTTCACTCTACAGCCATTTCAAAAACCTCAAGCCTTCACTTCGAAAAGAAAGGCAGTTGCCAGCGTCATGTTGTTTGGTCAACACAAAAAAGTTCGGTCGCATTCTCCTGTCGATGTTCTGTTGTTCAAATATGGTAAGATTCGAAATCTTCATGAAAACCTTTTGTTTTTGGTATTCTTTTCATTTGAAGCGCGCTTGTGTCTGAATTTAGTTATGATGGAAGTTCATTGTAATCTTTGAAAGGTTAGCAAAACGAAGATTTCTTTCCAACTGTATGAACGAGAAAAAGAGGGGTTCGTCATGTGATAGAAAACAAAATGAACTCAAAAAATTCCTCTCCAAATTAAGAAGATGACAAATCAAGAACAGTTTTGACCGAATTGCATGGTTACCGTTGAAGCACTTTTAAGAAGCCGAATTTCTTGTTGTTTGGTATAGTCTGTGTGCCACGACTTGAAATTTCACCGAACGATATTCCGATCTTCCGTTGCGTCACGAAGCGTCTTTGCGAACCTCGTTCTCACTTTGAATTGGTTCTCATTTCTGGCAGAGGGACTGTTTCACTAGGAACACTTTGTAGTTGGTCGAGTTCTTAAATAAAAGGAAAAGTTAAAGGCGCGCAAAGGCACGCAGCGAGACAGCGGAATGTTGTTCGGTGAAATTCCAAGTCGTGGTACCCAGGCCAACTTTTTGTATCCTACTAAGGAAAATTACTTTTGCAGAAAGTTCTGATTTTTTATGAATTTATTCTCAGGCTGGAAAGGTGTTGGGAGAGTAACCAGAAGGAGGTTAGAAGGTGTATGGAAGCTGGAACATCTTAAGAAAGCCTTTGAAAGGTGTTCGGAAGGGGGTTTGAAGTTCCTTGGAAGGTGAAATGGAAGGTTTTGCCAGAAGCCGAAAGAATTTTACAGAGCCTTCCTGTATATTTAAAATTTTGAGTTTGAGATCGTAAAGTTCGGACCAGGTTTTGTTTCATAGATACTTTTCCCAAGTTGAAACACGGATTTTCTGCTCTCGGCGAAAATTTTTCGAACTATGAAGAATAAAAAATGAAAAAAACTTGAAAGAATGGCAGCTTTGACTTTAATTCCCCAGCAAAAACCGCGTCTCGTACCCTCGTAGTCACTTTTTTCATTTCCTCCATATCGCCTATCAAGCTGGAAAAGACTGACTTGGAAATTTTAAAATACTGAAACATCGAGAATTTTTTTTTCATGCTTCAAGAGAGTAATATCAAAAGGAAGTACACTAAAGAATGATCTGCCTTAAAAATTAAAGTTCAAAAAATGTTGTGAATCTAGCTTTTTTCGTGTCTAAATCAAACTATCAAAAAAAGCATTTGACGAGTCCCAGTCCAAATACCAGAACCAACAGGCAAATGTTGACGCGACGGCAGAAAGGGACACCGTCTCTCAAGCGGGGCGGCTCTTTTTATCACTTTAATCAAGTGGCCCTCGAACTCCTCCAGCCGAGAAAGTCAGTTGTTTGTCGACGGACGCGACCCAAACGGGGCGCCGTTCCCAATTCGCCTGAAAGGCAAGGCGTACCAATAGCCTCCCTCGGCTGACCGGAGCAAACACAGGTAAAGGTATATGTATACGCTCTTACTGGCCCCTTGACTCACACTCACTCAATATTGCCACCTGCGCTTTATCTGATCCTAAAGTGTTCGGTATCCGATTTTGACTGTCCAGCTGGTCATTTTTCCGTCATTTTGGCGAAAAATGCACTCCGCAACTCGTCTTACTGTATTTTTCACTCTGGTCGTTGTTGCATTCTCCATAAAAATGTTATAGTGGTAAGCTTTTTCTGAAAATGTCTCTTATACTTTTTAATATGGGAGGAAGTCGAATTTTTTTCGGATGTATTTTTCAATTTCTCTATATATTCTTGCTACATGGTTTATACGGCCTTTGGAGTTATTTTCCTAGTTTCCTCCTGTTTGGTCCAGAACGCTGTGAACGCCCTAGAAATCTTAAAAAAACTCCTCAATAAATCAGTTTTTTTCTGACAAAAACTCTTTTTTTCAGGAAATGTTAACCTAAAATGTCTCAATCCATATACTGTTTCAAAAGTATTGTCGCTAATTGAAGGAAAAATCGTTGATAAATGTATATCGTAAGCCGTATATTCCTCACAAAAGCCGTCACAAACTACAGTTTGAAAAAAACCGTATTATTCAATAGTCACTAAAAAGCCGCTCTTAAAATGATATCGAATCAATTCTGATTCCTTTTGATACGCACTTGATCCGAGTTGGAACCTTTTTTCTAGGTTTAGAATTTTCCTTTTCATTTTCAATATTTTTTCATATGAATACGAGATCATACTTTAAACTTGACCCCTTATAAAATGGGCCAAGAATTTGCAGGTAATAAACTACTCTTTCTTGAAGGATCTTTCTCAAAGATTTATTCGAACAGTTGTCAATTTTCGAATGATTTTTTTTACCACAAGGAGAGTTACTGTATAATTATAAACGTGTTCAGTTCAAACTAAACCGGAATTTAACCTCATAAAAGCTTTAGGTTCGTTATTTCGCTCTAACCGTTTCATACAGTTTTTTCACCATCAGGTATTTACTACGGCAATTAATAAATTGTAATATTTTTGTCGTTCAAAGTTTTTTTATGAAGGTTTCTTCATTTATCAAATCATTTATCAAATCGTTATCTGAATGGAAAAAAATTTCAAGCTCTCTCTGACCATTCAACAGGTTTTTATTAATGGAATATAGCTGATGATTTTTTTAAGAACCTAAAAACCATTGCAAAAATTGACTGGATCCAAGAAAAAGAAATATAACTCTTGATTAAACTTCAGTTCTCAAATTTTTAATTAATGACAGTCATTGAATCTTCGTGAGTTTGTTCCTTGGACTTCAACTTTTTACAGGTATGCAAGGAGCTGTGAACGGCGACAGCATTGGCCAACTCGAGATTCTCGACTGCAACGCGACCGAATTCTGTGTAAAGTAGGTTTTCGTCGTGTTTCCATAGGAGATAAGCGGTTTGCTATTGTGCGGACATGGTCGGTACGCACCGTCTATTATCTGAGGCTGAGTACCTCGCGCTGTTCCTCTGATTTGCTCAATGCCTTAGGCTCACCACTAGAAAAGAAAACAGAAACGATTACGGTCGGTGTTAAAGATTTTATTTTACGAGGAAGCAAAGTTTGGAAAAAAATGATGGGTTTTTTTTTCAAACTTTTTTTCAGGAGGAGACCAAGTTTGTTTTCTAAAACTGCTTTTCTTTCGGTTTTTCAAATTTTAAAACGTCTACTGTTATTCACTATATTATAAGAAACATGACGAAAAAAGTTTTCCACAAAAAAATTCAAAGAGAATTCGTTTTTGTACCTTTCCGACAAGCTATTTCACACCAGATAGGTCATTTTACTTTGCAGTTTGGACTTTGCTGAAATTTTTCATAACGCTCCTTGAAGTACTAGAAGAAGATTATAAGATTCTCAATCTGCTTTTCGAGAAATGAAGGCATAAGGCCTCAAAATAGTCTGTTTTTTTGGATTTTGAGGGCTTTCTGACTTTGAAGTTTTCCTTCTCGAAAACTGGAAAGCTGTGCAAGTTCCGACTATCACGATTTTTATTTTGTACTTCAAAAATTGTTCTGGCCAATTTTTAGGAATTTTCAAACCGCAAAGTAAAATGACCTTCCCTGTCTGTACCCCATGGCGTTTAGAAGATAATTATTTTTTTTTTGATTTCTCATACTTGGGACTACTTATCATAAAAATTTGAATCATATTTGCGATGCACAGAAGGTTCATGTTCATTTAATTCAAAGGTATTCAAAGTTTATATAAAAATTTCAAAAAAACGTTTGTACAGCGAAAATGGATTTTTTTAAGTTCCCAAGAATTTATTTTCTTGTATTCTTTTTTTGTTCTTTTTTTCAAAGTACCACATTTATAGGGTACTTTGAACTTCTACAAAAAAGAGCCTTTTATGTTGATAAGCCGTTGAAACGCAATTCGACATCACTTTGACGCAAAAAAAAGCTGAGATGCGTGCTATTCGATTGTTAACAAAACTTTTTCAGACTTCCGTCAACAGGCCACGTCGGAAGGAAGCTTTACGAGGGAGCTCAATACTCTTGCTCTTATGGAGAATGCTCAGTGAGTGGTGAGATAAAAGAACAAAAATAGATCAGAGCGCGTCATTCGCTTCTTCTCTGTTGCCCTTTTCGCGGCATTCGAGAAGAAAAATAGCCGGCTACTGTAGGACCAAATAGTTCGGGATTAGAAGATTAGGCGATGGTTGGAAAATGTTTACTCAAGGCAGATTAGAAACAATGTTAATCTTGTACAAATGCAGGTAGTCTCTATCGCCCTGCTTTTAGAACAAATGTCGTTTCCCTGACTTCTTTTTAGTTATACTCTTTGCGCCGAATCTCGAATACAAAGGATGATGATGAGCGTCCTATTGACTACAGTTGACTTGAAAAAGCCGGAATAATCGCGTCATTTATTTTTCCCGCTGAAGCAAAATTTTGGAAAAAAGTGCGTTTTAAATATTGCTTTTCCAAGATTTCGTATTAACGGCAAGCTACAGTATCTCGAAACGGCAAGAGCTTCTTTCAAAAATCAAAAAAGGCTTCTCAAATTTCACTGAAAAGCAAAATAAGAAAAAAAAATTTTGATCTGGAAGGGCTTCTAAAACTTTCCAGCTTTCAACTTATTTTTTGAGAACGTTTTAGAATGGATTTTTTTTTTGCTGTGAAACCGGCAAAACTGATGTCCTGAGCGTAAAAAGTCAAATTTTACAGGCTGAGGCCTTCCCAGTTTGACTCTATCGTCAAAAAGTGATTCAGGAAAATTTGTAAAGTTCTCTAAAGCTTGAAAAAAGTCATTTCATTCAATTATGAAAAGGTTTTCTTAAAATGAAAAGACAATCACAGTTAAAAAAAATATATCCGGTAAAAATATCAAAAACTCATGACAAAGGTTCAAATTGTCAAGTTAACCCCAACTTCATGGTTTTCAAAAATAGGGTAACGATTCTGATTCAGCCAGTCTACTGATGAAAACACAACTCTAAGAACTGAAATTTAGAAAAATAAGCATTTTGCAGTCTAAAAATAGCTCATTTGTTTATTGCACAGGTATCAATGTACTTCTCGTTTTTCAGAAAGATGGCTGCTTCAATAGCGGAATCGGCGAGATTTGCTGTTGTTCAGAAGATGAATGCAATTTCACACAGACGAAAAATTTCCTCGCCTTTTATGTCATTCTTTTCTTGTTTTTAGCTATTTTTGGGTACTGATTCCATTTTTTTTTTCCTCTCTGTCTCTCTTATTTTTCCTGTTGTACATGCAAATCACCTCGTTTACGGTTTATCAGATTCCATTTTTTACAGATCATTTCATGTTGATAATGTCAATTTTTTTCATTGCTTTTTTTATTTTTAAATAACATATTATGTTTTTTTGGTTCATTTCTTCTTTTTATATAAGATAATTATTTTATTTATTCGTCCGTTCAAATTGGTCAAAGAGTGAAAAATTCATTAATAAAAATTTTTCCTTGAAAAAAATTACAGAAAACAAAATATTCAGAATGGATCACTAAAAAAATCATTTTCGGGTTCTGAAGAAATTCATCATTTCGCCTTTTTTTTCCCAAAAAAAGAAACAGAACTGTTCCCCTGAAGATCCAAAGGTCCAAAAGCCGTTAAACGTATGGAATGTTTCCAAAAATGGCTTTTTCGGAGCTTTTTTTGGGATTTGAAGTTAACTTTCACATTGTCCCAACGGTCCGAAAAATGAGCAAGTTGACCCTACAGAAAAAATGCCACTTTGCGCAAGTATTTTTCCGTCGGTTGCGCTGGAACGCGTCGGTTGAAGTTGGTTTGCAACATCAAAACTTTTCAAATAATCCAGAATCCAAAAACATCGACTGCGTGTATTTTAAAGTTCAAATTCCTATTTTTCGATTTTCCTATGAAGTTTCATTCACCGAGAACTTTGACGGTACAGATTTTTTTGAGAAGGATCTGGCCGTGTATTCTTTTCACCGTCAGCTATCAGCGTATAAAATTTTTTTCTCGAAACTTAAAAATTTTAAATTTTTTTCTTTCACTTCCCTGCAATAAAAGTTGATCATGGTGTTTCCAGTTTTGCAAGTTATCTTTAATGTTTTTTTTCAAACGAAGTTACTTCGAATTTGGGTAATTCGGTTATCGAATAATGCGGAGTCGAGCTCACCGGCGTCAATGAATGAACCAGTTTCCACACACCCCCACAATCAAATAAGCCGGCAAAAGGGCGTTCAATTTGCGCGGACACGTTAAAAACTCCGGCAGCCTTCTCCTCTGTTCCGTTATTCCTTGTTATGTGCAGGAAGTGAAACAAGCTTGAGGGATTCGGTACAAAATAGGTTGGCGCCGGTTGCTAGGGGCGGCTCCGTCGGCCTACCTATACCCGAAAGAGGTTGAGCTGAGCTCTCAGTCGTCTTGCTCAGCTGGCTCGGAGCACGGTCATTCCGGCAGTCATGACCAACTTCGATATCATGGAGCACAAGGTATGTATTTCTTTTCCTTTAATTGCGGGTTACTCATCCCAAGGGAGCTTCGCGAGAGAGCCTAGCAATTAATCAAAAATTGCTCGACGTTCCAATGGAATTCATATCATTTTTTGAGACTGAAAAGTACAGTATGATCCCTTCGAAGTCTTCCATTCTGAAAAAAAATAATTAGATACTTTTCCTCTTTTCTCATTCTCATTAGTTACTCGGGTAACAAAAATAAAAACAGATCTTTACATTTTCCAAATTTTTTTAAATTTTCCAAGTACCTTCTATTCAACCTTCAGAAAGAAAAAAACCAAGTTGATTTGGCCAAATTATTCTCATTATGGATGGAAGGATTTTTTTCAGGATTTTTGAATTTTTGAGTTTTTTTCAAATTTTTCCCCCTAACAGTTTCCACCGATATCAAAAAATGATAATACCGTTTCAGACAGGAGATAACTTGATAAAGGCGTCGGAAGAAGATTTTAGACTTGTCTACGATAGCTGGCCAGAAAACTTTGGATGGTTAGTGTTTGTTTTTTGAAGAGGAAAACTTCATTTTTGTCTTGCGTTAATAAAAATCCTCTCTTTTTCATCCAAAACGGCTCTCGCAATTTTCTATTCACCACAATAATTTTTTCAAACCGTTTTTGCTTGAAAGACACGATATTTGCTATAACCTGAAACTGTAACGAGATTTAGAATTTTTCGAAACATCGCTATTGCATTGAAATTGGTTCAGAGAAAATCGGCTACTACAATTTTTTGCGTTTTTTTCCTTGAATTTAATGAAACGGCTTTGATAGCTTTTCAGACGGAGAGAATTTACAAAATAAAAAGTTAGAAAAAACTGCTTCTTCTGATGAAAAAATTTTCAGCCTTTTCGACATGGGTTTACGAGCCTTTGAGCGTTTATTCAGCTACCGTCCTGCCTTGAAGAAATATTTCAGCGAAACAGACGATGATGCGTGGAAAAAAGAAGACAGCATCAAAAAAATAGTTCTCTCTCTAGAGCAGGTGATAACTGCAGAAAGAACTACATTAACCGAAGTTTGCAAAGACTCTGGCGCAAGCTGTAGGAACATATGCGGATCCGAAACCGGAGGAAAGCAATACTCCGGTCGCGTTTTGTGAAGTTCTACAGGAGATCGGGGGACTACATCGAGCCATCGTTCAGCATATTCGACCAGACAACTACGAATTGCTCTTCAAACTTCTGCCTGAGGCAATAATTAAGACTGTCCTTATTTTATTCCAGTCTTCTTTTCTTTTTGCCAAGTTAAATGTCGTAACGTGACATCTTGGTAAGCCAGAGTTCTACAATCGCAAAAAAAAAAATCCAAATAGACTTGTAATTTTCCCACGTTTTATTCTCGTTCTGGCTTCCTTCTTTTGCAGTCAATGTCTGTGAAGTTACTTTTCCTCATTAGTAACTTCTCACGGTTTTATTCCCACAAGGCTACGGTGGTTATTAAGGAAAACCAAAAAACCGAATTCGTGAGGTTCTCACGACTTTTTACAAAGTTTATAAGCTCAAAAGTTTGGTAAAGTACGGCCAATGTCCTCGGATTTGTCTTCAGAATTTTTTTCTTGGACGTGTGCTGAGACTTTTGATTTGAAAAACAGACCAACTAGAAAAAAGTATGCTTAAAAAAATCCAATGGTTCGTGTTTTGGGCTTTCAGAAACACAGCCGATTTTGGTGCTAAAAAATCTTCAACATAAATTATTTATTCATCAAAAGTCGAAAAATCAAAACTAAAGATGATTTGGAATGAGCGGATCCAGAGGCAAACAGTTATAGCCGATTCACGGCTAACTTGAAACGCTAGGGAGCGTGGTATGTCTGCGCTCTCCACCAACCAGGCACTATCTCTTTTATTATCGTATCAGGACCCTTTTTTGGTGGCTCAAAATGACCCTGAATCAGTTATAAGACATCTAGAAAACATAATTCTTGAAAAATAACTAATGTTACAGGTTATTGCCGACGTAGTGTCAGCCAAAAGACCTTGCGGTCCATTTCAAGGCGAGGAAAGACAAAGATTTTTATCCGTCTGGACCTCAATGTGCAACTTAATGTCGCGACAGTTTATTATTGGTTGGGAGAGACGTGTTGTGCCCAAATCCGGAAAACTCAGCAAAGTATACAGGTTTGAACAAGTGCGTACCTTTCACTTTCTTCCGGTGGTGTTGAAGCCTTTTCTTTTCTTTATTTAATAAGAAGGCCCAAGAGAAATGTGTTGATTTAAGCAAAAAGTTAGAGAAAGAGCAGTCGACGGTCCCAAATCCGCCGGCAAGGTCGCCAAGCCCTGTAGTTTTGCCTCCGGTTCGTTAGATAAGAATAATTCGGACGAATGATTTACTTTTTGAGGAGAGACACGAAGAGCGCACAGTACGACGGACTCCTCTGCACGCATGCGTGATCGCCCCAATTTCAGGTTTCTTTCGGAGCATTCTTCACTAATGATGTCAAAAATTGCAGCCGTACGCAAAATGAAATGAAACAATGGCAGCTGGAGCGCGGACATTCGGCTCCTCTGCAAGTGACCGAAATCGAAGTCGCCCTCGATATGATCTCTATCCAAACTACTCCTCCATAGAAATTATCTACTCTAAAAATATTTTGTCATTCTATTTTCCGGCCACGCCGTATGCCGTTTTCTGTTACGGATCACCTACATTTCCCTGTTGACAATCGTATTTTTATTTGAAACGAAGAAACGTCGTTTATTTATTCAACAAGTTTGTATTCAATATGATTTTCGAAATAAAAGCTCCTAGAAAGCACACTGAACAATTCTTTCAACCAGTACACACACGAAAGAAGATGTAATCTCACTCTGAAACAGGAAAAACAGATAAAAAAGTTCTAGCACATAAAGACTGATAATAAAAAAATAGATATATTTAAGAAAAAAAGCTCTCATTTTAAAAAAATGATAGAGAAAAACGTTTTTTTATTCGAATAAAAAAAGTTAATTTTATAATATTCCAGAAAAAAATGAAACTTTGAGAATATTCTAAAAAAATCTAGTGAAATCATTGAAAAAAACACTGATCAAACTAAAAATATATCAAATTAAGAAAAAGCTAGCTCTGAAAAAAATTCAGAAAAAAATCGAAACCCGCGAAACAAAAAAATCAATTTTTACTGAAATTAACTTGAAAAAAACTAAATAATAGAAAAACTGATTTACATGTGCAAGCCACCAGTGATTTCCAAAGTGATCCCAGTTACGTAGGATGAAAGATCAGAAGCGAGGTAAACGACACCGTCTGCGACTTCTTTCGTTTCCCCCATCCTGCCCATCGGAATCCCGGAGCAAATGTTCGTCAAAACCTGTAAAAGCAAGGAAATCCCCTTTCGTAACAGATTTTTTCGGTATTGCGGCAAAATCACGTTTTCCTAGTGTTATTTAACATTAAAAACAAAAAGAAACCAACGAAATTTGAGTATGACAACCCTTACAGGGAGAGGATTGCGGTTGGGAATTTTCTGAAAATCGGTCAGAACACTCCTTGATGTACCAGATGAAAATCCTGAAAGTCTTAACCTGCACAACTTTCTACTTTACGAGAAATGAAGGCTTAAAGCCTCAAAACAGCTCATATTAATGGTTTTGAGGTGTCTTCATTGACTTTGAGGCATTTGTTCCAAAAAATGAGGAAGTTGTGCAGTTTGAACCTTTCAGAATGTTCTTCTATCACATCAAAAAATCTTCTGGCCAACTTTCGGAAAAGTCCCAAAGTAAACTGACCTTTTTTGTCAAACTACTCGAGCCGTAACTCAGTATTCAACCAAGCGCTACGGAAATTTTGTTATAAACTTTTTAATCATTGACGAATTAAAACTGAATTTTAATTCACCTGTTCAGGCATCGCTGCAGTCATCGGAGTTTTGATAAATCCTGGTAGGATGGCGTTTACTCGGACGTTCTGAAAACCATCAATTCCACTTTTTTTTCAAACAAAAACGCTGAAGTTCATGTTTCAGTTGGATTACGGGTCATTTATTGGATCGTACTTATGATTTAAAGATTTTCATTCAAATAACCTTGGCACATCGCTCCAAAGTCTCATTTCCTTTTTGCATTTCCCAATTTTTACTCACTTTCAGAGCAAGTTCCTTGGCTGCTGATTTCGTGAAACCAATGACGCCAGCCTTGGTTGCAGCGTAATTCGTCTGTCCGAAGTTTCCGACCTTAGAGTGCTTTTTTTCAAGAAAAAAGAGAATGTGGGAACGTACCTTTCCCACGATAGAGGAGACGTTAATGACGCTCAGAGGCTTTTTCTCGGCCGCCACCGACGCTTTCGCAAACGCTTGAGTAACCTTCAAATTGGTATATTATCGGATGATCGGAAAAATGAACAACTACCAAAAAAGTGCCGGTCAAGTTGACTCTAGACACCGCGTCCCATTTGGCCCTTGACATTTTGAGAAGAGTTGAATCCTAGAAGCATTTTTCGAAATTCATTTAGGGTTCAAAAAAAAGTTACCTGTGTGATTCCGGCACAATTTACGAGAACGGATGGGGTTCCCTTGGCATGTTTCAGAGCGAATTCTTTCAAGGCGTTCACGTTTTCTTCCTGAAATTTTTTTCATATATTTTTGACAGCTGTAAGTGTTAAGAAAGAAAAAAATTAGGATCAACGGCTGAAAGGAAATTTTCAAAGTGCAGTGGACAAAAAAACGCTTGGAAGGTTTTTTGAGTGCAACGAAGTATCCACTTTAGTGGTGAAATTTTCCAAGCACCCATAAAAATATTTTTTTCCGCAGATTTAGAGGAACCTTTAAAAAAAGCGTTTTTTTGAACAACATTACAAAAATTTTTTTCATAATATTATTCCATATTGATCCAGGTTTCACTAGAGATCCTAATTGACAAAAAAACAATAATTTTTTTAACTACAGTTCACCCGCCAAATTTCACGAAAAAAATTATTAATTTTGATAACGAAAGTCAAGTTTTTAGCATGAGTGAAGGATTCAGTTCATAAATAACCGTTTCTTGTTTGCATTTCCAAAAATTTATTCAAAATGGAAGATTTTTTTGGAAAAATAAAATTACAAACAATAACTCACTTTTTGAGACATCGCAGGCAAAAAGCGGCATGTTCGCCTTTCCCCAGTTCATGAACAGTTTCTTCGGCCGAAAATTGCTTCAAGTCAACAACGATAACCTTGGCTCCATGGGAAGCCAAAGTTTGGCAGATGGCTTTTCCAATACCGGATCCTCCGCCTGTAATAGAAAAATTTATCGAATTTTTGAATCAATGCAGTTCGTCTTTGATTTCATATAATTTGGGAATTTAACGTGAATCACGTTTTTTGATTTGGTTGAAAAATGTAATCGCTTCGAAAAAAAAATTAAATCTTTAATTTCCTGCGTGCAAAAGGAACATTAAAAGTCTCTGAAACGGTTATACGCGAATATGAAATTGAGTGGTGAATCTAAAAATAAAAAGAAAAAAATAGTAAAGTGTATGAATGTTTAATTTAATTAGGATATCTTTGTTTTACTCGCAGATTTATCGGGTAAAATGCCATTTTTTTCTTGTAAATGATTTAAAAAAATCAATTTAAAAAAACAACATTTCTCCGTACGAAAAAATGCGAATGGCTTTCATATAAAAAATGAAAAACCTGTTACAACCGCGAATTTTGAAGCAAGAAGAGACGACATTGCAGGGCGACAACCTTCAGGTACAAGTGAAACTGCGCCCAACAGTTGCGAGAAACCTTCTCGTCAGCGAGCACGTGCAAACATTGCGATAAAATCCATTGAACGAGCATCCGGGCACACTGATCGGCCAATTATTACAATAGATTTCTTTTTCAAAACACCTTATATTAAGGTTTTTTTCTATCAGGAAGCTCGAATGGATATTTCAAATTTTAAGGACTTTAATGAAAATTTTAAAAACTCATACGGTTATTCAATACCTTTTTCAAAAAAAGCCTCGCTCACCGCCAATTTGAAGAGTCAAAAAGATAATTATTTATTGAAAAAAACCATTTGAATGTTTTTTTGAACATGGCATTCTGTTAACGGTAAAAAAATTATAAAAATGGATGCCTCCATATTTGCAAAAAAATTAATTTTTCGATGAAGTCTTAGGTAAGAAAAAAATCAAAAAAAAACCTCAATTTTCAAACTATTTCGCCGTCAAATTCAAACAAATTCCATTATTCATTATGACCAAAAATTATAATTTCCAAAAACTTCTGCAAAATGTTCTTTGATCTTTTTTTTATAAAAGGACAGGTTAATTCAACTTTTTTCTTCAAGATCTTTGATAAGTATCTTTCAACTGTATGTATTCCATAAATAAAACCCAGACATTTTCTCAAGAGATGGTGAGAAAATACAATTTTTGAGGATTTTTTGGCCGACGGCATGTGAAAAGTGCTGGGTTCTGAAATTAGGAGTACGACCGTTAAACGATCAGTTTTGAAGTAAACTAAGAAACATTTGGTACATGAATCAACGCATAATCGTGTTCTGGATTTTAATAAATTAGCGGTTTCAAAGTATTCCGACTGAAAAAGATGCGATTTACAAAGCATTTTTCACATCAAATGAAAATTCTCAAGTTTCAAGCTTCAGAGGTTCACAAGAAGAAACCTTTGGCAGGTTTTTACAACGATCGAACAAACTTTTCAAGAAATCCGATTCAGAATAGAAATATTTTCAAAGCGAACCAGTTTTATTAAACTTTTGATTCATACGGGAGAAGTTTAAAAAATGTATTACGAAAAAAGATGGAAAATTCATCGATTAAAGCGTCATAAATTTATTTAACGAGTTCTCAATCGAAAATTATTGATAAAGTCATTGATAAAATCTGCTGATCATCAACTCCTCGCCCGTTTTAACTGATGAACATTATTGGGAAAAATATTATTCACTGTTTCCACTTTTTATATATCCATTAATTACTGTCTGGCGTTACAATGTGACAGTTTCTACGACTACCAAAAAGATGGCAACCTCGTAAAAGGCGACAGAGTAAATTTTTTTCAAATTTTTCTGAAAAAAATCAAAGAAGTATTTTTGAAATATTTTCAGAGCGTTGTTGATTGCGTGGACTATTGCGTCTCTTTGAAACTAGAAGGTGATTCTACGAATGAACTGTTCGCATCGTGTGCCAACAGTACAATTCCTCTTCTTTCGTGTGACGTATGTTCAAATCTTTCAATGGGAAAAATTTTTTTTGAGTGGACTTGATCAATATTTTAAAAAAATTGAGTAAAAGTCATTTTTTGGTGGATTCAAAGGTGAATTTATTCTTAAATTCGGGTGTTCAAAAATTGATATGTATTCCCCTAAAAATTTCATTTGGACTTTTGAGAGGAACGTTTTTGTTGTACCACGAATAAATCACAATGTTTCAGCCTTCCATTTTTTTTTTGCAAATGCGAGTGAGAAGACGTTCTTTGTGACTAATTTAGAGTATTTCAAAAAACTCAAAATTGAGAAGTCACCTTGAAACTGCTTGCCATACATGCGCCTTTGAAATCTCTCTTCTGCTTCTAAAAAACAGACTATATTTCTAAAAAAAGACTTTAGATTTTAATTGGATGTTTTTTAGTTTTCCCAAATATTCTCATCAATTTTATTTGATCTTATAAGTCTCATGTCACAGTCATTTTTAGCTCTGAGCTGATAGATGTCACTAAAAAATCATAGATTATCCAACGGATGAATAAATATATACCTTGCTAGAGTTCATTCAATAAGTTTTCCAGTCGTAGATAGCTTCACAAAAGTGATTAAATGTTTGCAGGACATCGGATGCAGAAAAGGACAAGCCGATCTGAAGCACTCGACGACCTGTTGCTGCAACACACCCTTGTGCAACAACTTCGCCGCAGCTATCTTTTCCATCTTCGGAATTTCAATCCCTTTTTTGCTGTATTCACTTCGAGTTGGAATCTGATAAAACTTTATTTCTCTCATTTAACATCTAGACATCGGTGCGGTTAAAGCTTTGATAAAACATGTGGGTAAATAAATAGTTAGTAAAACAGAGATAACAAATAATTTACTACCCTAGGACCAATCTAACACGTATATTATATTAGTATTCACCGTTCATCTCAATAAATATAATAAATAAATATTTGACAGTTTGGACAAAAATCACTTGGCCATGATTTTTGGTCTTAAGAAGATTGATTTGCTTCTGAGAAGGGTAGAGGATGGCGTTGGTGGGACACGCTCACTGAAATATAGTGTTTTTTGCTCAGTTTGCAACTTTTGAAGAACTCACGAAGTTGCTCTCTGGCATGATGTAGGAGATATCGTCCCAAGGATGGCGGTAGAGTCCTTGCTTCAGTCTGGATTGATCCAAGTAGTGGCCTGAAAGTGAAAATTTACCTCTCCATCATCTTCATGTCCTCCATATTATAGAATATTATTCACCAATGAATCCAATGCTGCGACCGAGAACGAAAAGACCGTTCAAAGTGCCAATCTCGATGGTTTCCTGTGCTTCAGCGGCAGTGAACATGCCACTTTGGCGCAGGATATCCACAAAAATGACGCCGATAGCTCCATCCACGTTCAGGATCAAGTTCGGCTTCTGTAAATAAATCTTTAAAGTCTTGAAAAGATTCTAATCGTACCTTAGCAGTCGTGATTTTCTCAACTTCGAGAGCAAACTGAAGAAGTGGAGTTTCTTGTTTGAAGATTTCCTTGTCCTGGGCCAGTTTTTTCAAGATCTCGACGCGCTTGTCTGGGTTGTTGATCTGAATAGAAAAAAAATTGGGAATGGAGAAGTATTTTTGAAATCACACGCTTTTGACGCGATGGCCGATTCCCATGATGTGTTTGCCCTGCTTGCGCATCTCGTTGACGAACTGCATCGGGGACCATCCTTTGTCGACGGCTTCGGAGAACTGACGAGCGGCACCATCCAGGGCTCCTCCGAAACGATCGCCCTGGAGTTTTGAATTTCATGAAGATGAGAGATAGTTGCAAATTTTTCATCAAAAGCGGTTAATTTTTACTAAAAACTCCATGATTACTTCAATCGGTTTGCTTCAATAAGTTGCTTCCGTACGAAAATCCTCACAATGGTAAGAAGTCCAGAGGTGAGAGAAGAGATCAGATCTTTTCCGGCTCGAGCGCAAACGATAGTGTTGTGTGCACCAGAGACAGCTGGACCGTGGTCGGCAGTGATCATCAGGCAGACTTCGATGAACTTGTTGGCGTAGGATGGCAAACGCTTCTGAAAATTCGTTTCTTCTATCTTTTCAAAATTCGAGTGTCTACCTGGAACCACAAAAGACCGAGGACACCACCGATCCCCATCTCCGACTCCAGAACGCGAGTGATAGGAACACCAGCGTAGTTCAGCTCCTCCCCACGTTCGTCACAGATGGATGTCATGAAAGAGGCCGGCTTGCGGATAAGTCCCAGTTCCTGGAAAAGACCAAATGTCCATATTTTCGCTTTGGCCTGATTACCCTGGCCCAAGCAAAGTCCATGGGTACGGCTGGAGGTGGAACTTCTGGTTCCGGAACAATTATTCCTTTGAAGACCAGCTCCTCGTAAGTGGCTTTGATTTGGTTGCCCAAATCGTCGAAAGAGGCTGGAACAATGGCTCCGGCTTCACGCAGGGCAGTGTTTTTCGCAGAAGCGGTTTCACCGCAACCGTTAGCTGAAGCACCGGCGTGGCCGAATTGAACCTATAAGCGTATTTTTTTATTTCTCAGGTTTGATAGTTTGATAATTTCCTAGAAATTTATAACTGCTTTTTTTCACATTTTTTGTACGATAACTCACTTCGGAGGTGATGTAGTCGGCACAAGTTCCGATACACCACGCGACGAGAGGCTTGGTGATCTTCTTTTGCTTGAGAAGATCGACGATCTTGTACTCCTCGACGCCGCCAACTTCGCCAAGCAGCAAGATCATCTTCACTCTGAAAGTTCGCATTTAAATCTTTTTTCAAATGATTTCAAACCGGTCATCTTCTTGGTAGCGCATGATATGATCCACGTAGGTGCTTCCAGGATAGCGATCACCTCCAATGGCAATACCTTCGTAGACACCATTCGTGTTGTGTGAAATGATATTATTCAGTTCATTCGACATTCCACCACTGCGGGAAACGTAGGCGACGCTGAAAATAAGAAGCATAATTGAGATTCAATAAAAATGGAAGTTTTTTTTTCAATTTTTAAATTTTCCTCACCTGCCAGGACGATAAAGCTTAGAAGCCAAAATGTTGTCCATCATGCCTCCCGTGTTGCCAATCTTGAAACAGCCAGGCTTGATCCCTCCCACAGTGGCTGGACCAATCAGCACGACTCCTTTCTCTTGGGCAACCTGAACAACTTGTCTCTTTGGTTTGAAGAATATTGAGAGATGAACCTTCAAAAGCTTCCGGGTTTGGTTCTCAGGCACTCCTTCGGCAATGATGGCAATGACTTTGAGTTGTGGGATTTCGAGCGCTTCCATGACCGTCTCGTAAACCGATCTCAGCGAGGCAAAGGTGATCATGACGCTAGCGTCTGGGTGCGAAGCAAAAGCTTTCATCATTGACTTGTAAGCTGGGATCAGGATCTCCTTAAAAAAGTTTTTTTTTTAATTTATGACTTTTAATCAAATTTTCCATCTTTTTTTCAAATTACCTTTTGTCCGAAGTAGTATTTCTGCTTGTTATCTCCGGTGAAGGGATAAGTTGATGCTACGACAGATGGTTGATCCCGACGGCAGACATAGTCGAAGTCAAGCATCCCTTGAATAGCTTTTTGTTGCTGGCCCCAAATTACAGCCTTGGTATCGTTCTCAAAGAGTCCACGAATGACGTCGTTTTCCTAGAAAATAAATTGAGCGAATGATGAAAACTGAAAAATACCTTATCTTGACCCGCCGGATTTTTTGTTGAAAGAAAATTTTTCAATGTTTCAAACGTTGTTGTTTTTGGAGCCGGCGATGTTGGAACTCTTTCCGTTCCGGCAGTCTGCAAATCAGAGATAAGATTGGAATTCGCATCAAAGAATCTCACATTTCGTTCAGGACTGAGCAAGAACTGTCCGGTTGTCTTTGGAGCAGTGGGAACGCTTGGGACCGGTCGAACCCCTAGAGCAGCTCCGACAATAGCTGTCATGTGCGTTTCAGGGCCGAACACGTGGATTGGGAGCTCGAGCTTGGTCGCTAAAAAGATTTACTTAACATTTTTCGATTTCATTTTCAAACTGAGAAAGAAAAACCAACCAGCATCTTTGATCTTTCGGAGTCCCTCTTGGTAGTTGGGACCGCCACGACGGACATAAATGGTGACCTTGTGCTCTTTGAGCTTGTCGATAAAAAGTTCGAAAGCAGTGACGATTCCCTGAAAGAAGTATATGAAAAACAGCTATCCAAAATTGTAAACCCCGAAAGTCTTGGCAACGTTTGTGAAGTTGGCGATTGATCCACCGATGATGAGGACTTTTCCATCTGGACGAGGCTCGCCTTGCGTCATGACTGTCAGAAGGGTTTTGGCGTATTCGAAAGTTTGCCCTTCGGACGGATCGCCAGAGTACTCGCCGTAGTTTGCAAGTTCTGCAGCTCCTCCCAAGTCACAGACAGTGTCACTGAAAATTGTTTTATTTATGTTTTTTGAGCTTGGAAAAATCCTACGTGAAGACAACTGAAGCCCCGCCACCAGCGACCATAGTCCAAATACGGCCTTTTCTGTTGAGGATTGTCAGTTTTAATGACGCTCCAGTCTTAGCGTCCAATTCGGCGATATATTTTTCCTTCAAATACGAATAATATTATCAATTTCCTTTTTGTATACGAACTTCCGAGGTCAAGTCACGTCCGAACGGAGCCGGCATCTCGACAGGCCTTCCAGTACGGCCTTTCCATTTGTCACCGCACAGGAAGTTGGCTGTCTCGTCAATTTTGGCGGCAAGGTCGAGAATGTGGACTTTGTCACCCTCGACGACTACAAAAAAAAAATGTTGGAGTTTTTTGGAAAAATAACAACTGACCAAACGGGTTAATTTCCAGGTACGTAAAATGAAGAGCCTTGTAGGCCTCGTAGAGACAGTTGATGAACTGTCTTATGACGGTCGCCTTCTGGATATTGTCCGTTATCATCGAACCAAGTGCATGAGTGAGATCCATTTGATCGATTTTCATCGAATCGCTCTTTACCGGAATGAAAATCTTCTTTGCCTGAATTTCTTTCTTGAATTATCAGCAAAAAAATCACTATAACGTACCTTTGACTCGACGTCGCCAATGTCGACGCCGCCATTTGGGTGATACAGGATGACATCTCCATCTCGCTGACTGTAGATGGCCACATAAACTTCGTCATCCGCTTTGAATCGGACGAGGGGCTCCATGATGAACGTATGCAAACGCCCTTCAGTTTTTCCGACCTAAAAAAAAGCTTTGATATGAAAATAAAGTAGCAAAATACCTGGAAAAGCTTCCCGCAGAACTCGTGGAGCCAGCTTTTGAGCTCATTGGGACTGCCAATTTTCACTAGCCCCATCTTTCCTCGGCGTTTGATAAGCTGATCCGGCTTCAGAACTCCAACCTGCGGAACCTTTGTGTTCTTTTGATTACTTTTCAATCTACCTGATCATGACGAAGCCAATCGCATTGATCCGCAGCCGCGTTAAAATCGTCCATGGAGGTTATACGAACCATTGGCTTGGGAATAACAAGTCCCGGAAAGCCCATCGGGTTCTCTTCGAAGAAGCGATAGAGCATCTGCAAATAAATCAATGTTTTCATTTGTCTCTTTCTATTACGAACTTCCTTTCCAGACAGTTCGCTGATAGCTTTCGCCGACATTTTCCCTTGTATTTGGATATAGACCCTGCAAAATAAAAAATAAAATGTTAGCTATTGCGAAGGAGCACGATGTGTAAGCACGAGCACGGAAAGAAGGAAACGTAAGAAATGTTGTTTTCTCAAAGAAAATTTCGAAATTTGATTTTGCATCACGAGAAAAGAAGTTCCTTTTCTTTAGTTTGAAAGTTTTCATAACTTAGGAAGAGGAGAAGTAAGAAACTTTTCACTTTTTTGTTTAAAGTTTCAAAACGCGAAAAAAATATGCCCAAAGCAAGTTGTGAAAAATGCATGACTGAGACGAAGACTCAAACTTCTTCCTATATAGACGAGTCAATGAACGCAATTAGGAAAAAAAGAGGAAGGAACGTTTTTTTGCGTTTTAAAGTGCAAAAGACACGTCGCGAGGATCCGTTTATTGTTTTCGATTGTTGGAACACGCGCACATCATGGAATTCGAACCCGAAGGCAAACAGATTCTTTGGCGATAAAAGCTGCGAAAATCCAAGCCGGCCCACACTGAAATCACAGGGGAAAAAGAGAAGAAAAAGTCTGGCGTGCATAATTTTGGCCTGCGAGACGTCAATACGAGGAAGAAAAACGAAAAGAATAAAAAAGAAGCTTCGGAGGAAAAAAGTCGTTGGGGAGAAGTTGCGCTGAAAAAACTTCTTTCTTTGAAAAAGTGAGAATCGACAGATCAAAAAAAAAAAATCTGTTTTTTTGGTTATAAGAGGTTTGTAATTTATCTAAAGTGTGTCTCAAATTAAAAGAACTCCACAAAATTGCTTTTGAGTTTAGAAAACAACTTCAAGTGCGCTAAATTTTCCTATTTCTCATTGAACGTAACTTCAATCTCAAAGTAAACGAAAAAAAATCTCTAATAGGCTCATTCTCTCACTTTGCATCTAGTCTCATATTGAACACTTATAGCTGCAGCTTATCGTTTTTCAAAACATTCCTAGGCAATAGCAATCTTTAAAGAAGGTGCCATTTCTCACGCCATAAGCTTTATACCTACTCGTAACGACGGAAATCTTGGAAAAATATGTGAAATTCACGTGAGACCTAGGTGGTACCATCGGTCAATGCGATAGTCCATTTGCAGAAAAGAAAAGGGCCAGACACACATCTCAACACGCGATATTATCGTGGCTCGTTCGATTCTTTCTCATCCAACTGAAAACATGCCCCAACGCTTATCTTGGCCTCTCAACCGAATGCTAAGAAAACATCAAAATAAACTCTACACTACTCCTGAGTGTAGTTTCGTCGCCTCACTTGCAAGTGGGATGATACTTAGGTGCAAAAATGTGTGATTGGAGCGTGAAAAAAACAGACAACTAGATATGTAGACTCTACAGAGAACATCTCTGGGTAATGAATCAATAATATGCCTATCAAAAATACTTTTCGCCTTTTTTGTGTAGAAAAGGTGGAATTCAGCGATGACAATCAATGGATCGCGAGTTACGTACGCACCAATTTATATGGGTCATGGGCATTCTAAGCGCACCGAACTCATGTAATTTTTCAACTTTGTGACATCTTCTAAAAAAATCAAATAATATCTTGGTTCAACGAAAAAAATTCCAAGATACGCTATCTCGTTCAAAGTTGTTTATAGTTATTTGGCTATAACTCTGGTTTTTTTCAAAAAAAATTTTAGAGCGAAAAAGTATGAAAAAAAGTGAGAAAAAGTCATCAAACAGAATATTTTTTTCTTGAAAAAATTTCTTGCATGTTCTCGTAACTATTTTTTTGAGAGAGTCGAAACTGAAAAATGAAGATCGAAACATTTTTTTCAAAAACTCAAATTTGATCTGATTAAGAAATAAGAAAGTTGTTAAGACTACCTCCATTTCAAAAATTACTTTAAAATCTTAGGGAGAGCAGAAACTAGTTCTACGGATACCAGAAAGACGGCAACAGCGCGAGAATCGAGCATCTGATGCACGAAAAAAGTCCAGCTCTCGTTTCGTTGTACAGGGCTCGGCCTCAGAAACTGCTTCTGCTTCAACTCCGACGGCTCCAGCTCCGACGGCTCCAGCTCCCTCATCTCTCAGCCTCTACAGTCCCATTGCCAACAGCTTCACCAGCTCGAGAACCAAACGAAGAGAAGACTCGACCAAGGAAGGACGGAGCGGATGCACGAGAGAGCTCTGAAAAATATCAAAATGAAATTTTTTCTCAGTGTTTGGCACTGTACACAGTTGTTTGAAATGGAATTGATAAAAACTTTTTTTGTAAAACAAATTTTGTCTTACAAAAGCATACCACGAAGACAGAAGCAGCAACCGGCTCCATCTCAGAGTATTGAGAAGAGCATCAAAAGCTGGACCCCAAGCAGAACTGCGAGCTGGACCGAGAGCAGAAGGAAGAGGAAGAGGAAGAGAGGAGTCGACCATCCAACGAAGGAGCGAACGAAAGAATGATTGGGATTGGCGACCGTCTGAGCCGAGCCAGTGCCACGTTGTCTCCCGCGCGATTTCCGTGCCGCAGGGACTTTTGACCCCGCCGCCTGATGGATCAAAACATTTTCGCCGTTAGACTCGCCAACGTCATCATTTTCGGCAAAAAAAGTAGAATTGAAGTCTCGAGAGAATGAATAAATGTATCGTTAGATAAATTTGAACCCTAACAAGTTCCAATTGATCTAAAGCTTCTGAAAGAAAAATAATAATAGGAGTGACTTTTTTTCTTGGTACATGAAGACTTTTTAAAGTGTTTTTATGTTTTTGAAAGCTGAATGGGTTTTATGAAATGTCCTACAATTTTTTTATGTTTCCTCCGTTATTTGAAAAAAATATAAAAAAATTTTTTTTCCACTGAACCTCAGGCTTTTTTTCAGTTTACTTTCAAGTTTTCGAAAAAAAGATAACAATGCTTTTTTTGGAAAAACTTCTTGTTGTGGTTTTTTTCTTTCAATACCTAAAAAAAGATATTTTTCCAGGTGATCTAAAAAAATTAATAGAAAGCTTCATTCATAAATAAAAAAATCTATTTGTGAAGAATAAATATTTTGAGTTTTTTTGTAGATTTTCGAATGAATCTTAATGTAAAAATTTGTAGATGTAATCACAAAATTGAATAAGTTTTAAACCAAAAACCGATTTTTTTGTGGCTTATAACTTTCATTGCTTTTTTTGTTCATTTTTTTCGTTGATTTTTCTTGAAACTGTCCTTTATCGATTTTCGCCGTAAACCCACACCACTTTTTAAGTTGTGCGCTCTGCCGCAATTTTTGCAACTCTCTTTGATTTGACCAGTGATTTTTTTGAATTTTTGAAGGTTTTTAGTATTTTACAAAAAAATTTTTTTAGCCTTGAAAATGGATAAAAAAATGCAGGTTGAATATAGAATATAAAAAAACGGTTTTTTTCTCGATTTTTTTGAAAAAAACCTGATGAAAAAGAAACAGGATGAACTTTTTTTCAGTTGGTACTTTCGCATACGTGGAACAGAAAAAAATGAAAAATTTATACTTTTTGATGGATTCAATGGAAAAATTCGTCAGACTCTTTTTTTGTGTTAGATTGAGGAAAAGCCTGTAGTTTTCATGAATTTGACATAGCGAAAATTTTCTAAAGTTAGAGCTTTATGAAGTTACTGTTTTACTTGTCCAAGGAACTCTTGTCAAAAGAATAAAACTTCAGAAAAAAAATAATATCCGAAAAGAACTTCAGAAATTCTCATTTTTTCTTTTTTGTTTTCACACTTTTCAAGAGAGAATAAGACCCTCAGCGCAGTCTTAAGGAAAGGAAACAACATTTTCAGAAACTTCCCCGGGGTGAATTTTGCGACGGCGTGTGCTAGCAGGTCGGAATCGAATAACTCTTGAATCCAATCACCGTCCCGTTCATTCTGCCGTTTCCCAATCAACTAAACCGCGGAGGATTCGACGAGCCGCTCACTACTTTTCATTTCTCACATCCAACGTGTTAACTACCTTTTCTGCTTTGAATCTATTTTTTTCCTTCAAAATAGAGGATTTTTAATTTTTGTTTTTTCGATTTTTTTGTCATAAAATTTTGTTTTTTCGGTCAGTTCAATCACCCAAGATTTGTATGAACTAAAAAGGAAGGTCATTTCACTTTGCGGTGAGGAGTTTTCTGAAAATTGATCAAACAACTTCCTAATGTGCCATATGAAAATCCTGAAAGTTTTTAACCGGAAAAAAAGCAACTTAAAGCCAAAAAAAAACACTGAAAATCTGTTAAAATCGGCCGTTTTGACGCTTCAAGCTTTTGTTTCTCAACAACTATAGAGTTTTGCAAGTTTAAACTTTCAAATTCTTTTTCTGGTACATCAAAGAGGACTCTGGATCAACAGGAATTTCCCGACCCCAAAGCAAAATGACCTCCTTTTTGAGGTTTATGACTTCTCTGTTTCAGGAGCGGAAGAGTTTGAACAATTTTTTTTCTCATGATCCCGGATTCAATCTCTTTTTTCACCAAGATTTCAAATTCTTCTAAAACTTGTCCGAAAAAAAATAAAGAAAAATTGTGTTTTCTTTCTGAAATTTTTGAACTTGTTCCAAGAAGAGTCCGTCGTGTAAATGCTTCTTGTTGATAGATTGCATTTCATCTTGAATAAACACGCAGTCCAACACTCGTTTATAATTTCAAGCCTTTTGAGCAACAGGGGATGACCAAAAATGGCTGTGTTTGTCTTGATCATTTGCTGAACAAAGAACGTTTCCGGAGGCCAGGGCTCGTCTGAATCCGCTTCTGGTTCAGTGATGTTTCAACCTTTTGGTTTTTTTTTTTTCAAGTGGAGCGTTCGAGGGCGCTCTCTTTGTATTTTTTTTTCAAAGTTTATGGCTGAAATGTGGAAAATACGTTGGGAACGTCTTCCAGATTGCTTTGTGTCTTTGATGGAAGCCCATGTTTTTTTTATCTTCTGATTTTTTTTCAGGTCAAAAGAGTTTATTCGAAACTTCTTCTCGGCAAAGTTTTCCTAATTTATATCGATTCTTTCATCTACGTATTTGAACTAAGAAGAACTCACTACAGTGAAAAGTAAAGATATTTCAGATTCATCCGATTTCAAGTGGAAAAATTCACAGAAAAACCAATTTAACTATCTCTTTGCTCTAAAAAGTTCAAAAAAGTGTTCAAAAAGTTTCAAATCCAGCATTCCATCTGACTAAAACAACCAATAAATAATGATATTGTTTGATTGATTGATATGAGCTCACTGTGCTGCTGAGCAAACTTTTTTTGTAAAAAAATATAAAAATATATCAATAAAAAAATAATTTTTTTGCCAGGTTCCAGCATAAACTCAAACTCCTAGCTTCAATATTTTTTTACTTCTCTGACGATACAGACTAAAGTAAAAAAATGAAATAACGCGTAAAGCTTTATTTACAACTATTTTGAATGTAGTCATCTGGTTTTCTTAAATAGCAACTTGACACGAACAAAAGTGGATTTTTGTTTTTCTCTCAAACAAAAACTTGTTTCACGTCATCCGAAACTAGAATAGCCCAGGCGAATTTTCAGTTTAAAACGAGAAAACCACTTTCGAGCCATGTTCAATTACATTTGCCGAACTCGGAAAGAAAATTGGTATGATGTTCAAGTTGAAGTGTTTTTGCTTCCAAGGTTTTTAAGTTTGCTTTTATATCTATGGCCCGCTTGAACACTCTTCTAATCATTTCGAGATGACAGAAAAAAGAGAAAAAAATTTTTTTTTAAGTTTTTCTTTTTACGACTAGTAGAGATGACTCTCAATTTGAAAAAGTTTTTTCGAAACATTTCCTTATTGTTAGAAACGTCAGAGATCTTTTGAATAGGAGAGCGGCCATTCAGCTTGAGCACGAATTCTGCGGGTCCGCCTCCAACTTCCCATCCATAACCTCTTTTTTCCAATTTTCGAGACCTTCGGCTCAATTTCGTACCCCTGAAAACCCTCGTTTCAGTCTTTCATGAGTTGCTCTCAAGATATTAGATAACCTTTTGACTAAAAAAATAATAGTTTTGAGACTTTTGAAGTATACATAATTTTTTTATATTTCTTAAAGTGTTTCTCAATGAGAAAAAAATTATACTTACACGGTAATCCACTTTCCGGTTTCTAAATTTTCTGAAATTTTGCTTTCAAGACACTCTCTGAATGCCCAGAGAAAGATTCTTCATAATTGCTACTTGCGTAAAATTCCAGTATTTGTCATATATTCTTATAACTTTCGACTTGAAATTTTCTACAACTTTGCTCAAAAAATCTCTGAAATTCATATGAAAACCAATGAAAGTTGCAACACGCGCCAGCTCCTAGTTTTTGAAAAGATTAATTTCGAAAGTCGTGAGGCTTAAAACCGATTTTTCGCAACGTAGAAAAAATCAGCACTTTTTATTCAAAATCCCAGTGTCTTTGTGCTTTTCTTCTTGTTTTCTTTTGTTTGAGAATTTCGAAAAAGAATTACTCCAGGCCAAACCTCGATTTAAACCTGGAATGCCGGATCCGGACCGCAGACTCTTCGATGACCTAACAAGCGCCATTCTTTTTATACCCCTCTGTTGTTCTTCACCCGACTGGCAGCGGTTTTCGCCATCGGATAACCGCGCAGGCCGGACGCCCTTTTCCTCGCCGAAAGTTAATCTTTTTCTTGGCATTTTCTGTACAAACGCAGTACTGTTCAAATAGTAAAAGTAATCAAACATTATTTTTTTTAAGAAATTCGAACAATTTTTTTCTTTCGAAAAAAAGAAGTGAAATAAATAAATAAATAAATAAAATAAGAAAGGAAAAAGGAAACATAGAGACTTCAAACTTGCGCCTTTTTTTCGAAAAAAACGGCCAGATTTTTTTCGAAGTTTTTTTCCTAAGGTTTTAACGGCCGTGCGTAGGTTTTTTTCAAAGGTTTGTATACATTTGTAAACTAAAAATTATTCAATCGAAAGAGTAAAATGAAAATAAAACTCACTTTTTGCGAATTTCGTAGCCATGTATCGAAAACAAGATTTATCGCAAGAAATTTCATCTTAGTTCTGGAATCAGAAGGTCCTAAAGTACATTTCAGCAAATTTTCGTCAAAAGTTCAACCTAGGAAAGAAGAAATTATCCTATGAAGAAGGTCATTTTACTTTGCGGTCGGGAAGTTGATAAAAAATTAGCCAGAACACTCCTTGATGTACCAAAAGAAGATTCTGGAAGTTTCAAGCTGCACAACCCTTTAGTTATCAAGAAGTAAGGGTCAGAAAAAGCCTCGAAGCAGCTCATTTTAATGGAGTTTGAGGGTTTTCTTCAAATTTCCAGCTTCTTTTCTCTAAAAGTAAAAATTTGAGCAGGTTGAGGCTTTCAGAACCTTTTTCTGGTACATCAAGGAGTGTTCTAGCTAACTTTACAGGGAAGTATGATGACCTCCCTCGATATTTTTCCGTTTTGAGTGATCTCACGACAACTAAAATTTTAGAAATTTTCTAAATTTTTTTTCGATGGAACCGCTTACGCTCTGCTTTTACACATGAATCTCAGTGAACAATGGGAAAATAACACGATTTCGGACGTGTTCAAAGGAAGCTGCAGGGAATTTGAGACGAACATCAAAACAAACTGTTCCGCTTGTTCGAATTTCTTACTGCTCTACTAACAATAGCTGAACTTATTCATGAAGAAGAAATTCGAAATAAGTTGGATTTTCTTTTTGTTTTAAGTGTGGTGCAGCATGAAAATGGAAATTCAGCAAAAATTAAGTATATTTCTTTCTGAAAGTTTCTTTCCCATACTCGTCATTACCTACAATTTCTTAACTCTTTTTGCTTTTTTTCCTCAGACGACTTCTCTGTTTTCATCGATGAAGAAATACTTCAATTTTCATCCCCTCTTATTAAAAATCTGAATAATTATACGTTTCAGAAGATTTGGCCATAAATTCTCGATCATGGTATAAATGGGTTGTTGTGTATCTGCTGAACGGGAGCTTCCGTCGCATCGCGACTACGAGGAACAGAGGAAACGTCGGCAATCGTTCGTTACTACTAATTTTGTGCAGCTGAACTAATTCGAATTTTGATAAAACACCGATTTTTGTCGATTTTTTAATTATTCTGACTCCAATCTACTGCATGGAAAACGGAAACTCCCAAATTTTTCAACATTTTCTTCTCAGACAATAAGTTCCTCGAAGATAACTCCAATTGGAAACGTGCAAAGATTCGAAATTTTGAGATTCTTGAAAAAATCGCCGCTGAAAAAGAAGCATTTTTGACCTATTTAAGGTCGATGGGAGTTGGAATGGGCGTCGCAATGATGATGCAACAAGCTGGAGCTCTGGTCGGAGCTCCCACACCAGCCGTCGACCTTTCCGCCATTCAAAATCAAATTCGTCGGGCCAAGGTTTCTATTTTCCCGGATAAAAAAACGCTGTTTATGAAGACCACATTCCTGTTTTGTTTTTCCTGATGATTGCACTCTCAGAAAGGATGTAATTGACCAGAAGAAAATCCTACTTTTTTTGTTTATACACAGCAGTCTGAGCAGTTTTCTCGTTGTTATTTAGGAAGTTTTTGAGGATAAAAATCGGCGAGAGTGAGGTGAATTTTTCTTCTGACCAACCAAATGCGTAAAACGGATTTTTACTAGAAAAATCATCCAAATGACGATTATCGATTTTTATGTTCGCAGTTTTTATTTTCTTATTCAATATACTAGAATGATCCGATCCGAGGGTTTTCCACACCAGAAAACAAAATTTTTTTGCTGACTAGGAGCTTTCAAGCTTTTGAAGCGTTCTAACTTAAAAACCAGATGACCTGCAAGAAATTTTTTGCTTGTTTTGCAATCAGAAATCTTGAAGTACAGTACCGCCGGGGTTGAGGGGGGCAGAAGAAGACGAAAAAAACGTTCTCTAGTGAGTTATGTAATAAGTCGAGTCATTCTCCATGCGGCCCAAAGTTTCAAGATACTTACTTATGAAAAAAAAAATCAAAATTTGGTTGATTTCAGGCTGAAGGACGTACCGTAACCCTAGTGAACGGCGCATTGTATTTCGACTATCAAATGGTGGCCCACATCCCTCCTAATCATGATATCCGTGTCTGACCTTTCTCAAATGTTTTTGGCTCTCTAATAGTTCATAATATATCCACTACTTTCTGCAGAAATCTTCTTTAGCATGCTTTAATTGACCTCCTCATTCTCATAAGCATCAGCTGTGATTTACACCCGATCGAAATAATTTTATATACTCCATTTTCTGATCGTCGACTTGTACTTAGTTTGAGTTTATTTGTTCACGTGAATCGGAAATAAATAGAAAGAATTGAATTAGTTTCATTCTAGATTCCTTTTTTCGTTGTCCAATACAGCTCCGGCCGGAATTATTTCTTGTTTTTCTTTCTTATTAATAATCGATACATCTCCCTGAAAATGATTGAAATTTCTTTGGAATATTTTTTTGCACTTACTTTGATAGTCACATCGCCTTCGAAAGCAACGTCGCCTTCTATCACAAATGATGAAGCGTTGGAAAATTTCGGGACTTTTGGCATCCGTTTGTCTTTGTTGGCGACCTCAAAAAGTTGGGACTTGGATTAAAGTTCAAAAAAAAGTGAAATAAAGAAAGGACTCGGCAGAAATGTTAGCCTTGTTTTAAGCAAAAACTCTCGATTACCTTTTGATAAAACTTCCCCAAATCGATAGTGGGAACTTGTGGAGCGACAAGGCAAAATGTGAAATCTGGAGTGATTTCAAATAAGTTCGAAGACATGCAGACAAGATCTTCGACTCTTTTTACAGGTCTGAAACGACTGCGATCGACGTGCACGCCTGCAAAATGTTCGCATGCTTTTTTAAAGTTTGAAAGACTGAAATGAAAAAATTTAGTTTGAGAGATATGAAAAAAGCCGAGTTTTCTTGAATGAATGATGTTGAAAAAAAATCTTTAAGCGTTCTAAATTAAAATTTGAGAAATTAAACAAAAAGTTAAAAAGTTATTTTATTTGTAGGAGAGTGAATCTGAAGCTTGGGACATAATTTTTCACATACAGTACGCCTTTTCGAAGTTCCGGATGCATCCTCCGATCGATGTTTCCAACTGGATGACCTGTCTTCCACGAACAGTCTGAATTACCATCTTTGAAAAATACTGTGTCTCGAATAAACCTTGTGATTGACGATGATTTCACTTTTGATATCAGAAAGATTTGCTTTCACAGCTTTCAAATTCACCCAAATATTATTTGTATTGAAAATTCTGAAAAACCATGTTAAAACCACTCACAAGACAAAAATTACTTGAAAACTTTAGTGGAGCAGAAGTCGTCAAGGTGTTCCGGAGGCACTTGAGGGATCTCCAGATGCATCAACCGGTTACTGATTTCGATCAAAGTTCCTCCCTGCAGAAGACACCGATTGACTTCCTCCTGTTATCTTTTCTGTACTTTGATGTCGTTCTGCGTTTTGTTCGTGCACTCCATCACGTACTCAAGGCTACTGTCAGCCATAAACTGAGCAATCGAAAGATCCAATGTGGCGCCAGTGTTGTCGATGTTCGAAACGAAGAGAATGTCACGTCCTTAATCAAACCTTTTAGTCATAACTTCCTGTTTCTTTGTAAAGACACACGACACTAGCTGTAACCAAAGCAGTTTCTTAAACTTGCACCCGACTTAAAACGACTTTCGCGCACTTTTTTTTGTACGACCACGCATTTGGGAAAATTCCTCCAACAAAAAAAGAAATGGCTTATTTGTCTCTCAAATGAGAATACCAGAAAAAATGGGAGCTCAAAAGGAACTTTTAACAAGACCATTTTTTTCCCACCTTCCCAAACAGATTATATGTAGTTTTTTTTAATTTTCGTTTTAAACTGAGTTTGAAAAATATATTTGCTTTCCAGTGACAGGGAAAAAAATTTTAAAAACTTCCTTTCTAATCTGAAAAGTGAAACCTCCCTAAAAAGTACACAGAAAGGATGACGAACTTCCTCATGTTAACAACAAAAGGCGGAACATGATGTGTTTCAATTTTTAATCGTTTTACAGACAATCAAAACGAAAAAAAATGCTATAAACTTCAGCCGAACTTGAATATACCTTCATCAAGTAGTTTTTGTAGTGTTCCCGTGTTTGATAATGCTTCGAATATATTTCCGTGTCCTGGTGGGCACCACCTGGAAATAATTTTGATCTGATAGTATGAAGTACAAAATTACAAAATGACGTTAGGATGACATAAGTTGTAGTTTTTTGGCTACGGTCTAGTTTTGAACTCACGCATCATCGCCCCATTCGGCATCACCAACTGGGAGCAGCGAGTCTTTGAAGATTCTTGGACACTTTGACTGTTCAAAGCACTGAACGTCGTCCTCAACGCCCATTTCTCGAAGCTTCTCTTGGGTGGATCGGTTTGTATAAAAAGAGTTCATCAAGTACAACGGCACGGACGAGTTGTACTTTTCGTTGCATTTCTGAATTCACATGTTATTGTTTAGAGCAGTATGAAGAGAGTTGAATATTTTTCTTGTTTTGAAGGAAAGCAAGGGGTGAGTGCACTATTGAGACCAGATGTGAATTTTGAATTTTATTGCCCACAAACTTTTTCTAACGAACCTCAAAAGAAAACCTTTTTTATTCAATTCTAGTTTAATATGTTACCTAGCAAAGGAAAAAAAAGAATACTTTTGAGAGTTTTTGACCAGAATAACTTCAAAGACACCTGATGTTGCTTGATGGCGATCTCTAGAAAAGAAAGTCCGTCACGTAGAACGATAAAAGATTTTGGTTCATCGCATCCCATCGTTGTCCCAAGCCCTCCGTTCAGTTTCACCACAGCCAGTCTTTTCAAAACATCGTTCCTGTGTTCAAAAAATAGTTCCTGAAAAACTTTCCCACGAACCTCGACCCATCAAACGGAGGTAAATTTTTTGCGTCTTTTTGAACGTCTTCACTTATGTGTTTCCATGAGTTCCAATCGATGTGAGCATTTTCCATCAGAAACTTCCGGTAAAGATCCGTGAATACTTTTTGATCCTTTTTGCTGGTCTGAAATTTTTTGGAACTAAACTGATGAACACATTTTTCAGGAAGATCTTCAGTTACTCACATAAAAAAACAAAGAAAAAAAGTAGCTGTCAGAATCTGGCGTTTTTTTTTAGATTTTTTTAGGACTTGAATGGATTAGAATCACATACAACAAAAATCAATGATAAATGGCCGCACGGAAAATTTTGGAGTATCCTTGAACGCCTTCCTTTAGGCTTTAAAAAATTCGAACGTAGTTTCAAGTAAGTTTACCTCATATTTCGCAAAGAAATCCTTCACTTGTTCGAGAAGCTTTGATTCATCGCCATGAGGAGGAGCCATCAAAGAAGAAAATAAAAAGAACAATGAATTGAATCCTTCAATACAAGTGATCGTGCAGCGAACGCAATTTGGCACATGTCAAGGCCGATCACTATCAGACTCGCTAACAAAACCCTTTCTCTTTTCACGAATTTTCAATCTGTTTTCTTTTGCCTTGATCCTTTTTTCCTTTTGTCCTTTTGTCACTTCTCTTTGTTTTTTTTTTATGTAATTCTGTCAAATTCTTTAAAAACAGCTCTTTCGCTGGATTATGTGTGATCCGTTTTTTCAAGTCCACTCTGATGTTTCGAATCTTTCTTTTCTCATCTTCATTTTTTTTTCGTTTTTTAGGTCTATTCCAAAGCGTGTAGTCACATTGTGCAACGTTGCATCACTATAAATAGTCATTTTCGGCTATAAAATGACATCACAACGCTTAAAATAGTCTGAAAAGACATTTTGAGGCGTGTAGAAAATTATTCGGTTTGTGTTCTCTCGAGGTGGCTGATTGTTGCAATCTCGGCTGTAAAACCCTTCTTTTTTTGGGTTGGTGACCGAGGGTGCGGAGACGCAGTTGGCGTGACACCGTGAGAAACGCGGGAAAAAAAGAGAGAACGACAAGAAAAAGCCTCGGGCGCGCGGCGTGAAAGGCTCATTTCGCTGTTGTGTCTGTCGAGTATGAGTCATCGGCGACGTTGCGTTGTGCCGAATTTCGCAATAGCCTCAGTCCATCACCTGGGAGTTGAGGATAGACACGCCAGCCTTCCGAGGCACCACCCCACTGGGTTCAGTGACTTTTTCAGCTTCCTTCCCCTACTTTTCGGTTTCTAATCATTGGTTGCCTCGAGGTTTATAAAGGTTTATGAAACTATTTCATCCCTTCAAGTCTCAATCATAATCCGTATTTCTTAGCTAGAAAAATACATCTTTGAAATAAAAAAACAGCGATATTTTTTTCGTTAAATTTTTCTACTTCTTGTTTTAATTTATCCTACTCCAGGAAAGTGAATACCAGTGAAAATCTTAAAACGAATTTTTCAATCTACAACATCAATTTGTTACTTGACAAAAAACCAGTAAAAACCCCCGTTTTTCCGAGTTCTTCCAAAGCGCGAAGCCAACATTTTATTCAATTTACTTCTTCCCACGGAGCCAATCAAAACAATTTTCATTCAAAAAATAACACTTGACACCATTCACATTTCACCTATAAATCTATGAAGTCTTAACTTTTTTTTCTTCTAAAGCCTTTTTAATTTTTTTCTTTTTCAACGGCAAGTTTTTCAAAACTCTCGATAGACTTATAAACCTGTTGGATCCAAAAAAATCTTAATTTTTATGCAAACAATGAAAAAAATGCTTTTCTTTACTTTTTAATATGTTCAACCGTCTCAATATTTTTTTATATTTTTTTAAATGAAATAAGTATATATTTTTCTTTTGAATTTGGCGCATTTATTTGAAGATCGGAAAAACCATTGCACATCTCAAAAAGGCTGCGTTGTTATTTTAAGAACTGCATTGCTCATACTATCATCATCTTCTCATGTATAAAAGCGAAGTTGCCGTTTTAGCGAGTTTTCTTTTTTGTTTTGAGTTTGAAAATTCAAAAAACGAGAAAACGCTTTTTCCTGTTTGTTGAGATTTTTTAATAGCTTGACATAAAAAAGATTTTAAAAAACATTTCTTTTTTTCTATCCCTTGCTAGTTGAAAGGTCAAAAAGACTTTGAACTTTTTTGAGCTTCATTTTGTTAATCGTCTTATAATTGTCTTAAGACTGAAACAGATAAACGAGAAGTGATGGAAAAACTGAAAATCGATGTGAAGTTTTCGCTTTCTCACGACATTTTCCGAAACTTGATCATCTACATCTTCATTCTTTGAAAAGTTCGCAACAAAGAAAATAAACCCAATATGTTTACAAAAAATGACAGCGTATTTTTTGAACCTTTGCCAAACCAAACCAATCACCCCACAATTGGCATGATGAGGTCTCTCGTCATTTTTTTTTCTTTTTATCGAATTTGTCTGCTTTAAATACTCTCATTGTTCATTTTTTATCTTAACTCGCTTTCTGTTTTTACATTTTTTTTTTGAAGAATAAGTTGGTTAAACCTTTTTTCAATTCATTGTTAGTTAAAGTATATAAAAAAGGAGGTTTAACGTTTCCTCCTCCATTTTCCTGCGGCAAACTTTTGCATCATGCTCCACTCTAACCTTGTCATGTGGTTGGTTTTGGGTGTGTAGTTTCTTGTTCTTTCAAAAATAGGAAGGTTATCTCACTTTTTCTCTAAAGAAATTCCCTCCAATTCCCATTTAACCGGATGTCAAACATGAAGAAAATCATGCGAGATAAAGTAGTCGTTGATGCTTAAACTCGGCCTTCTCGCATTTATTTTCTTATTTAGCTGTTGTTTGTGACCGGCTCTCGCACCCCGCCCCCAATGAGCTTACATTTTTCTGGAAAACGCTAGAAACTTCCTGCGCGTTGGCATTGTCCCGTGTGTCACGTTATCTCACTCTTTATTTGCTCGCCGCTCGACCTAGACCGATTCAATGCTTTCAGTTTTTTGTGTTCAGACAATGTACAACGTTCCGGAGAGCAATTTCCGAATGAGCAACGCCACCAACGGCCCAGGCGACGTGCCTAGAGGCAAAGACCGTTTTACGGAGTACGATGTATTTCGAAGAAATCCCACGAGTCCTGACTCCATGCCATTCCAGCGTCAGGTGAGATTTATTAATCCTTGGAAAAAGACGGATACTTTTCATTTGCATCATTGGAATTTCAAAAAAATCAGATGATTCAAAAAATGCATTTTTGAGTTATTTCTTTGTTGAAAACGCATAATCCCGACTTGTGCCGCAAACGAAAATTTACAAACTGGTTAGGTTATGGAAATTTTCCTTTTTAGTTGTTCGTATTCAAAGCTTATAAAATCAATGCGCCCTAGTTTTTTATTGTGAGAAGATTTGAAGCAAATTAATTTTGATCATAATTTTTGGCGAAAAATTCCAATTTTCTTGAAAAAAAAAAGCAGTGAAATTTTTAGAAACCTTTTTTGAGCAAAATCCCTCAATCCGAAAATTGAATATTGTTCCCAGTCTTCGATCTTTTCTCTTACAACCGGAAATAGATTCCTTCCAAAAATAATCAATCGAAAGGTGATGAGTCACCAAACGCGCGTTTTCGAAAAGGATGACGTGTAGCAACTCGTCAGCTGCGCGCATTGTCCCCTCCGTCGTGTGTCACATGACGTCACTCGGAAAGAGAGGGAGAAAGGCCCAAAAACAATTCGATCGCACCACCACGCGGCAAACTGACCTCGAGTAAATATATAAGTACTTTCAGGACTCACTTGCGATTTGCGCCGACTTGCAAGAAAAAGACAGAAGTCGCAGCGAAATGCTCGATTTTATGGAAACCTCGCTGGATCTCAGCAACTACCTCAACTGCTTCAATGTAAGTCGTCACATCATATCGTGACTCACAGAAAATGTATCTCAAAGGTCCAAAATGGAAGAAAAGGAGCTAATTCAATTTTTTTTGTTTACGAAAACGTTTTTCGTTTTTTGTTCTTTATTCGTCATAGTCACGTGATATTGCTTTTAAAATCATTTAGAATGTTTGGAGTTTTCGAAAGCCTCTGAGGTCATTTCATTCCTCCTGTTCGCGGCCAAGCACTTCGCTCCGCATTTTCTTCTTTTTTCAAAGTTTTTGTTAACAAAAAACGTTGAATTTTGCTTTTAGTTTTCTTCTAACTTGAAGTATTCTTCTAGAGAAATTAAAGCGACTATTTCCCTGTAGATCTTTGGAATTTGGCCAAATCGCGTCCTGCCAATATCTTGGTTGTAGAAAGACGCAAAGCTTTGTTTTTTATCCTCCTTCTGCCAGACCTTTCCAAAGCATATTCTTCATCTCCGCTTTCAACAATCTCATATGCGTTTTTCAGGAGTTGAACGTCCCTGCGGATCAGATTGACCTGGACGACAACGAACTCCAGAAAGCACACATCCTCTACGAAGACCCTGCCAACGGAGAACACTCAGTCTACGGAGGGAACAGTCAGTACGAGCCCGAACAAGCCCAACCGACGTCGGACTTTGAATATTACCAAGCTGAAATACCTGACGACGAAGAAGCTTACGTGATGCAGTGCGACGTGCCCCAGAAAGAAGCTGGTGAGTGGTAGTTTAAGAAAGAAAATTTGAATCAGTAGGCATCAAAATTGTATTTTTTCGGCTGAACTTCTCACAAAAAAATTCTTTTTTTAGATCCTACTTCACAGCTTTTTGTTTTTCAAAAAAAACCATCTTTATAGGCAAAAATTTTTCCCGGTGCTTTAAAACTTGAAATTTCAAAGTTTTTGTCCGAAAATCTACACTGTCTTAATGTTTTACATCAAAAAAGCCACCATGAATTTTTTGAAATATCAGAATTTGGAGCACCAGCCCACTCTCATGAGCTTGATTATGCATTAGTGATTATGTCACCCGTTAATCAGGGAAGGCATCAAAAGCCGGTCAGTATCAAAGGATAAATAGATAGGCTCGTACGTTTTCTCACGTGACAACATATTTCCCTGTAAACAAAAGCAATGTTTTCAAAAATATCCTTTTTTCAGCGACCGTGGTGGATGTGCAGGTGGAAGGAAACACTCCGCGACCTACGAGGACATTGAAAAGACCTGCCCATATGACCGAAATGATGCCCAAGGCTGAACCTATTGAAGACTGGGATGGTGAGTCATCATCACTATTCGTACTTTTATTCAATTGTATTCAGTTTCAGACTCGACAAGCACTTCTAGCTACGCGTCTGAGAAGAAAATCCGGCAGAGAAAAGGTGGGCCCGGCGACGAATCCAACGTCGACTACAAACCTCAGACGAAAGCCAGAAAGTACCAGTTGAAGCCGGAACAGGAAAAGGTTTGTCGTAATCGCTCTGTTAAAAAAATACTTCAAACTCCAAAAAAAAGCTTTATTTTTCCAAAACTGAGTTAAAGGTCTTATCATTGTCTGAATTTACGAGAATATCCTTAACATTTCATGAATTTCAGGCCCAGCCACAATACCGACTCAAAAGAGCTCGAAACAATGACGCCGTCCGCAAGAGCCGAAACAAGGCGAAGGAACAGCAAAAGCAGCGAGAAAAGGAGAACGACAATATGAGACTAAGAATAAGAGAGCTCGAAGCCTTGCTTGACGCCGAGAAGAAAGCTCGAGATCGCGACCGTCAGGTCATCAGCGAGCTGCTCCAGGCCAAAAACTGCAACTGCTACAACAAGATCATGCGCAAAAATTGACAATTTGCTATTTTTTAAATATTCTACTTTATTGTTTGTAATTATTATTTCCTTGCTTGTTAATATTTAGATTTCTATCCCTTGTTAATATTTAGATTTCTATCCCTCAAAAAAAAAATCCCAAAAAATATATAAAAAGACTTCTACGTTGTAGTTCTACTTTCGGCTTAGCTTGAATTGTTCAAATTTCTTTAGTTTTCCAGTGCTTTGATCTCTATCCCGATGTGAAAATTCTGTTCTTCAATACTTACTGTGTAGCTCTTTTTTTGGAACATTTCCGCTCAGACTCAATCTCTTTTTAAAAATGATTTTTACCGGTGCCTTCTTTCAAATCCTATAAAAACACCAATTGGTTGTGATATTTTTAGTAATCAAAATGCTCTTCTTCATCTTTTCCCGTTGTGATCATTAACTTTCGAAATTTTTGACTTTCCTGAACGTTTAGGCAATACATCAAAACTTCATTGAAACTATCAAGTTGTATTGAATAAATGTTCCAACAACAGACGTGAATTATGATAACAATCAAAAGTAGAAAAAGCTCTGCAATAAATTTTGGGAAATTATAATTTATGACACAAGTTGAACTTATAATAGGGAATGTGAGAAGGAACTAGATAAGGTACTTCAGATCAAATATTTTCGGCCGTAAGTCGTCGCTCTTTGCTCAAAGTCTTTTGACTTGATCGGAGAATCGATCTCGTAGAAAGGGTTCATAGAGTGTTTGATGTATGTCTCGTACATTTCCTGTAAAATAAATGGACATATCGAGAGTCTTCAAAGTCTTTGAAAGGGTTGAACCTGCTGAATATTTTTGAAAGAAGCTTTTAAAGCAGTAAATATAAATTCTACTTCCAAACATATTTTAAAAAAAAACGTAGATTATTGGGAAGTAAAAGGAAGTTTCCATTGTTTCCAATTTTTTTTTCCAAAACGATCCTTTTTATGAAATAAATGTTTCACCTTGACGGACAAAAACGAACTTCGAAAATAAAGCTATACAGAAAAATTATTATGGCCGGATTTCCCGGATAGGACGGGTTTTTTTTTTAAATTTTCATTCAGAACTTTGCGATGGGCCGGCCGGGTAGGCCATAGAGTTCTAACGCGGTCGCGAAGCGTCGAAAAACCGTCACTTTTACAGCCTCTCCGTATTGAAATTTTTTTGCAGAGAGTATAAACGAAGAAGAGAGTGAGTAAAAAAATTCGTTATTTAAATAAATTATGCGATATAATTTAAAAAAATGAGATAAAAAAATTTCAAGATTGCGACTGATTGTGGGCCGATTTTGTGCGCCATCCACAGCTCTGCTTTTTTTTAAATCTTCAACTGAACCTCTTGAAAGCGAACAACAAGACAAAGACAAACCTGAAAAAACTGTTTGATGCCTTCGTCACATCTTTGTGTATGAAGCATAATGAAACGGATACGGCTCGCTGTGACAAAAGCCGAAACATGCCATTCGTTAAATTTGTCTACGAGCTGAAATTTGTAACTATCAGTGAACATTTTCAAGCTATATTTTTGTCAAAAATCTCCACTTTTTTATATTGGCCATTCTTGTCACGATGTTCGTTTTTCTCTGAGCCACGGAGCCTTCTTTTTGAGGCGCGCGATTTTATCTTTGTCTACGCCTTTGATAAAACGGTAGTTCTAGGTCGAATACAAGAAGCAGACAGAATAACATCCTGCGCGCTTCGAACGGAATTATTTTCTAGCTTGAAGAAAAACAAAAATCGTGTAAAGTTAGCATGGTATGACTACTTATTGATTCAAATTTTGGATTTTGAGAAAAAAATGACATTAAATTTAATATTTTTTTCCATTAAAAAAATTGTAAAATAGAATTAAAGGCTCAAAAAAACCCCCGAAAAAAATTTTTAGATTGTCATTAACTTCGAACTTTTTCTCACAATTTTCTGATCACATAAGCTCACACTGGTTCCATAACACGAAAAAAGTACCTTGAGGTACATGCTCGGGCTGGTCAAAGCGTGTTCATCAATGACGTCAAGTGCCGCGTGCCCGATGTAGTGATTCAGATGTCTAAAATCAAACTTCATCAAAATTCAAGTAGAATAAATCATTACCTTGTGTCGATCGATTCTTTCGTTTTCTTCTCAACCAACGGAAAATCAAGCTCGAAAATAGGTTGATCAAAGTGTCCCATGATGGCAAAATAAAACTCCTTTCCCGGGAGAGCCATCTCAAACTTCTTTTTAGAAACCACCCATCAAGATTCTTCCAAATAGAACAATATGATCAAAACATGATTAGATTAAATTCAAAAAAATACATCTACAATTTATTGAAGCCAAGAAAAATAAATGCCCAGCAATATATAAAAAAATTAGAAGGAATCGAATTATGATATGTTACAATAGAAAAATATATTTAAATCTGTCAACTCTGAATTTGAAATTTTGAACAGCGAGGAAAGAAAACATTTACAATGGCACTGCCACAAAAATAAGGTTAGCTCATTTATATAGATATTTATAATAGTGAATAGTACAATATGTGAAACGAGAACTATTTAGACAATCTCCATCAGGAAAAAGTAATAAATATTTACAAATCACAAATTTGGCATAAATAAAAAAAGTAAGAAGACACCTGGGAAGTACCAACTTAACCATAGAAATAAATGAAAAAAATCGATGCGGGTAGCTTTTTGTGTTTCTCCTTTGTTTTGGACATAAAATATTGAGTCAATACAATCACAATCATAAACTAAAAATAATCAAAGAATAAAAAAATTAGTGAAATAGTTATAATAAATGCTTGTTGAGGAATACTTATTCATGTTAAGGAATAAGGAATAGTTATTTAATATTCGTTCCGGCGTTGATAGTCGCCGTTTCTGTCTTCGTAGCGGTTGTGAGCCCAGCGAGAACGACGGTCGCCTTGATCTCTGTTGTAGAAGTTCCTTCTCTCGTTGTTGTAAGGACGTCCTCGGTTGTTGTTGATGTTGTAGTTCATCGCGAACCGTTCTCTCACTTGTCGTAGCTGGAATTTTCAACTTTCTCACGAAAACCTATACTGTAAGGTTTGATTTTAAAAAGGAATGATTAATTAAAATCAAGTTTTGTTTTACAAAAAATTGATCTAAACTAAAAATGGCTACATTGGGAATCTCAATCGATGCAGCATTCCATGCTCATCGCCTTAGAAATATTAAAAATTTTCGAGAACAAAATGAAATAGGCCGCGAATTAAAACTTTAATTAAATGCGCACAAGAATTCGCCGCAATCCACCTTTGCGGCGCACGTTAGACCGCCCGTTTGTTGTATCAAACCAGGCGTGAATGGGATTTACAAAGCTCAAAAAAAAGCAAAAACTTTGAAACCAACCATATTTGGGTCATGAATGAAACGGCAACTTCCAGCTCGATCGCAGCCATTCGCCCTGTGCAGGTAATACCGACAATGTTCTTGAATTTGACGGAAACTATTGGTTTGAGGAGGAGTTGGCGGATCGACAATTTCTGTTTCTGCGGTCCCGTGAACATCGAAATCTTTCAGAATCTGAATTTTTTTGATTTAATAACCAAACAATTTTCTTATTTTCTATTTCTCCAAGTGTCTTTATAGGCAAAGTCGGAAGGGTGAAAGAAAGCTCTATAGAAATGTTTCTTTTAGAGGCTCCGTAGGTTCCTTTTAAAGCTTTTTTGCACCATTTCCTTGGCACTTATGCACCTTTCTTTTTTCCACTATTTTTGAGCCTTCACAAAACTAGAAAAAATGCGCTCAATTTAAGTGATTCTTTTTTCTTCCTTATTGGGGCTCATTGAACATTTCTCTACCATTATCCATTGTTCCAATTTTGCCCAAGTTATGAGGAACTATTAGGCAAAACATTTTGGTGGAGATCTATTTTTATATTTTCAAATTTCTTAATTATTTTTTATAATATTTGGCGTTTTTTCATTATCCATTTTGATTCTGATAATCATTCAAGTTTAAAAATTATTCAACTGACAATAGAGAAAGAAAAAGTTATTAAAAGAAAGAAATAATAGTCAATTTCAAGTGACTATTTTCGAAATTAAGAAAAAAATCCTTTATAACTTGAAAAAAATTTCAAGATTTTTTTCTCATTATTGTTCTTGTCCAAAAACCCTAAATCTTTTATTTAGAATCTGTTTTTTTATGGGTCAGTATAAACTTTTTAATTCTTGGAAATCCTCAAAGTTTGGCTCAAACGGATAAGCTCAACGAAACTACTGAGAAAGCGGTGAAAAAGATCTTTTCTGATTATCTGAACTTTATCTAATGAAAATTTTTTTGAAAGTGGAGAGGATTTAATCGAAACAACGGCTCAATTTAATTATCACTTGAGAACAACAATTTGTTCCAATAATTGGAAAATTGATATGACGGATAGAGCAATCCGTTTCAGAAAAACAAATTATAGAATTCAGGTATAAACAAGACAATTATTGGATTATTCTAATACCCTTTTTCTAAACCAAAGTTCTTTGAAACGAACCATAATTGAAGAAGACGAAGGCAATTCACTCGACTGAGTCGTCTGCTCATCGAACCGATGATCCTGAAATTGGTTCAAAATTATATTTAAGAATCAAAAGGTTTACCGAGTCTTGAAGCCTTTGCTTGACCAACTGAGCGATATGATCCGGAATAGTGAAAGTTGGATACTCCTGCTGTTGCGGCTGCTGCTCATCGTAGAAGATTTGCTCGATGACTGGAGGTTTCGTCGGCGTCACCATCGAGGCTTTGTATCCATACATGGGCTCCGCGTAAGATTCTTGCGTATACTCCGTAATTTGCGTCGGAGTTGTCTCGATTTGCGTGATGACAGGAGGAGGAGCCGCAGAAACTTTCAATTCAAGTCTCCCAGCCTCAGTTAGTCCTCGGAAGCGTCCGGGCAGCGGAAGCGACATGATCTTGGAGACTTTGGAAGTTCTGATGAGAGGACGAGTTTGGCTGCTTTGTCCATCGTTTCCACTCCTAAAAGAAAATTTACTTTACTTCCATCGCCACTTTATAAGTATTATCAAGAACCGAAAACGAGCAAAACTTACAACATTTTATACCAATCTTTGCCGCAACCGATTCAGCTGCCCGAGCGCCTGAAAAAGAAATTTGAATTCAACTACGAGATTCTGGAAAAAGCTTTTCTGACGACTTTTTATAATTCCGAGAAAAATTGGAACAAGCTGTGAAACATGATTCATTCTTTAACTTTCATGTTTTGTTCACATTTTTCCGATAGATGAGGAAAAAGCATATTTTTCATTGTTGGAGATAGGAGAAGTAGGAAAAAACCAATGAGAAAACGTGGTCGATATACAATTTCCTTTATTTTCAAAAACAATTTCATATAAGAGTAAGATGGACTAAATCTCTTTAATGGGTCATCTCGCTAATAATCATTTATATCAATCGTTATATAATAGTTGCTCGTGAGGAAATGGGGATACATTATGATACAGAGAATAAAAAAACAAAATACGAATCACATCAGTCACGGGACTTAAAAATAAACAAATACAAGAAGGTATATTCATGGTTGGTCATTTACAGAGCATTGATAGGTGCTGAAGGTTCTTCCGCTGGCACGTAACGCTCGATCACCGACTCGAAGGTCCGCACTTCTTCGGGGGTGTGTTGGCGGCCTGCAAACCGTACCATCTATAATTAGTGTTTTAAAAACTGTGGAATGTATCTATTTCTACCTCTTTTCGGTTTGAAGCAAACATTCACCTCCTTCGTTCGTCGGGATTTCTTTGAAGTGTCGAAGAGCCAGGCCTTTTTCATCAGCGAATGTCAGCTTTCTAGAAGCCTTCAGAACGTTCGTTCTTTTCTTGAGGATAGACTTTGGCTTCTGGAAAAAAAAAATCAATTACATCGATTCTATTTAGCTGATGTTTTCTATTAATTTAGTTGATAGGTAATCAAAGTTATAGCTGATAAAAATTTGAGAGGAGAATTTCCGGCCTTTCACATCATAAATTGAGTGGAAAAAAATGGTTTACTTGCATTTTTTTATCCTTTATTTTCGATGAAAAAAATTTCAACTTTTGCTATTCATTTCCTAAAAACTTCAAACTTTTCGGTAAATATATCTTCAAACTTCAGCTTAAATTTTCAGTTTTCAAAAAAAGTGTAAGCAAGTTTTATGTTTTTTTAATTAGACTTTAATCAAAAATTCAGCTGTCCTAAAAAAATTCACCGGCTTTCCGTCATCGTTCTCGACGATAGTGTATTTGGTCTGTCTCATGTCATCAGAATCGGAAGCAGCGCGTTTACGGGAAGGCAGAATGAAAGTGACGCTTTGAGGCGGCAGCTGCGGGAAAACTGAAACAGTAAAATTATGAAAGCAGAAACCGAGATTTTTTCCGACCATCGATTTCTTCAAGGTCGTTGGAATGTTGAATGAGATGGAATGGATCATCGGAGCTGATATTGTGACCTGCAGTTCCAAAGGCTAGTTTTCTAGAAAAATGCAAAAAAAAAGCTACCTGAAGACGTCAAAGGCTGGACATCGATATTGTCGATCCAAGAACTGAAAAGCGATGATTTGAAAGATTGGAGAGAAAAGGAACTAACTGATCGTCGTGGATATTCTCAACGTAGTGGTTGCCGTGATGGGGAGGGTTCATGTATCCCATGTGCCTAAATTTTGGATATATTTCATCGATTGCAAAGAAGAATCACCCTGCGTGTGAGTGATCCATCGAAGTCTCTCCTAGAACGGCCAACTGGGATCCATCCGGTTGACTGACTGAAAATATGGAGTTTGAAACTATCAATTTAGGATTAAGGTTAAAGTTTTTTTTGAACTGTGATGGCCTCAAAGATTTTTTTTTCAACATCCGAGTCATCATTGCGGAAAATGTTTCATAAATCTTTTTCTTGGTTTTTTTTTATTATCCATCATCAGATTCCACTTCTTCGAATAATTTTTTTTCTCTAGGTCATGAAGTACGGAACATTGATGCCGCCTTTTGAGCTCTCTATTTTTCTCAATCTACTCATTTTCTTTCTCAAGAGTGGCACTTTCAATACTACGTAAAAAAAAAATACTTCGTACCTTGATTATTAGTTTTTTGCCTTTTAATTCCTGTTAGTTTGATAATAATGTATCAGAAAATTGGATGTTTCAAAATCATTGAAAAACAACTTTTCCAACCTTTTTTGATTGAGATTTTTATTTTACTTCAATGTTACTGAAGAGCTAAAAAACCTTGAAATTATGAACAATGTTTTAAAAAAAATTTCTGGATAGATAAGATCATTTTACAGGATGCCTGTACCTATCGGATGGTTCTGGTGATGACTTGGCTCCCAGATGTCCCGCGAATCCGGGAAATAGTCGTAGTAGGCCTCAGAAGGTCCGGCAATGCTCCCCACGTACCGCGGAAGTGTGGTCGTCGGCATGGCAACCTCAAACCGACAATTGTTGCTAAATTTCAACTTTTATCACCTGCTGATTTTCATTGTAGGCAGTATGATAGATATGTTGAGCATCAGAAGTTGTTGGACCCTTGAGAAGAAAAGTTAGAGACATATTATGAGAGAATAACTTGTGACGTCACCATATCAAATAAATAGTACCCGTACAGAAAACATTTAAAAGAGCAATTAATTACCAAAAACTGTGGAAATTATGGAGAGCGGAAAGAATTTTCGCGAAATTTCGCGTGCAAAGATTGGAACAACAACCAGAAATTAAAATTTTTCGGACAACCCTCCCATTCGCGTGTGGGAAACCGATTAAAGAAAAAACGAACCGAGCCGATGAGAAAGCTCTGAATAGAGTCGTAGTCTGAATCATGCGCCAAGAGCTCCGCAAACGGATCGTCTTGATGAGAATCCATCTTGAGAGCTGAAAATAAAAAAAACAGAGGATTTGAAGCAGCAACGGGTGTTCGCAGGGACGGCCAAACAGCGATCAATAACTGCGGCGTGCCATGCGCCAAGGGGCATTTGCGAAGCTTCTGTTGCTTTTTTTTCTCCTGATACTACAAAACGAAGCTAGATTACACTGTCGCCGTTTCGCCCTTTTTCTTATAACGGAAAGCTGATGAGAGATGATAGAGAAAGAATGATATGACTGGGAAACGTTTGCGAATCTTATGAAAAGGTCACGCTATCAAGTCCTAGAAAAAAAAGAAGACAAAGGTTTCGATAAGGGAAAAAAGGAAGAATAGATATGATATGACCTTCTTCCATCAGGCGAACGAGGGATCTCGGTTCCTCAGCCTCCCGGTCACGCACACTTTTTTCTGATGGCTGTCGACTCATTTGCGGTCCTTTCGATTACCGTACACCAAATGGAACCTAAATATTGGTTTTTTGAGCGGTGATATAAAAAAATTATTGTAACAAAAATAAACTGACGCATATTTTCCGTGATAATTAAAGATTTTGAAAGATCTTGATAATTTCGCAACATTTATCAATTTTTACGCTGAAATAATCGCACCAGATCCTTATTAAAAATTTAGAGAAAAAAATGACCAGCAAATTTTTTTCATTGAATAGGTATCAGCATTTCGCAAATTTTTTTGAATGAACTTTTTTTGATTTTTTTCTTTTCTCAGAGAAATAAGATTTTTCTTTATAAAAAAAGTATTGAGATGGGAGCGTTCCCAAGAAAAAAATAATTTTATTTTTCCTATATATATCTAAACACGTCTTCGGGTAATTTTATGGGTATATTTTTCCCAAGGCCTGATTTCCCCAATAGTTTTTCTGCGAAAGATAAAAAAATTGTTTTTTTCAAGGATGTTTTAAGCAGCATGGTTAAACAAATAAAGGAAAAATAGTCTAAATGGCCTTCTTTCGAAAATAATTCAAGTATGAATCGTAAAGCCTTCTTTCAGGAAGGAAAAAAAAACTCAGAGCCGTTTTTTTCATAATCTCTCTGGTTTTATTTCTTAGGAAAGCTAAAACCCACGATATTTACAAGATAGGATTTTTGGACTTCCCTTTTTTTTTGAAAATCATCATGATGAACTGATTAAAAATGGAATTAAAATAATGGAAAGTTAATGAGAAAAGAAAAATGTCAAAGAAAAGAAAAGGAAAAGTTGAAACTGATAAACGACGGAAGAGGGCGCCGAGCAGGGAACGGCCGATGGCAAAGCAACGCTGACCATACAGGCAGGGGCGAAGACGCTGTGAGAGCCGGCGCGCAGTTTCGAAAAAACCTTGTGAACGTAGGAGAACGAGACGAAGAAGGCAAGTTGGCGCCTTGGTTCACGTTGATCCCTTTGTTCTTCGAGTCGCTTCCAACCGAAATGTGAACGGCAGTTGTGAGACTTGCCAAATATCTGTTTGGTATGGTTTGGATCACAATTCACAGAGAATAAAACTTGTGAAAAAAACTGTCTTTTCTCCGGAAAAAAATTTAAAAGTCAATAATAAAAATCATTTTTTTATAAATGAATATATAAGGAAATAGACCCTCCCAGTGCAATTTTTTTTTTCCGATGAATCAGATGAGTTTCAGATGGTTCTACAGTGCACGAAAAATCCGGTTTCAAAATAAAACCTTTGGGTTTTAGGCCAAAAATTATGAAATTTTGAGGCACCCGTCTTGAAAAGAAAAAAAAAATTGTGAAAACGAGACCTGGGGTATTCAAATGCATTTCAAAGCTTGCAACCATAAAAAAAAGTCATTGCAGAATTACAAAACTTGTGTCAAAAATAGGCTCGTGCGTGTCTGAATCATCGATTTTTACCAGAAAATTTCTTCAAAGTTCTGGAGAAGCTGTGAAAAATCGAAAAACTGAGACAGAAATATATAAAGATAAGAACGTGATGTGGAAAATCTGCGAAAAAAGCCTCTCTCCAAAAAAAAACGGTGAGCAAGAATCGCTTTCAATTTTCTTCGATAACAAAAAAAGTAGAGATAAGAAGATTTGGAGACCATGGTTTTGACAGCACTTTCGACAGAGTTTCGGTTCAAATTTTTTTGACTTTTTGTTTAACTCGCGGCGTATTTACTACTATTCAAAAAAAGGAACCTATTCTATTTATATTATGAAAAATTCAAAAAAATGTTAAGGTTCTTCTTTCATTTTGAAGTTAAGACGCTCCAAAAGCTTGAAATAGCGGTTTTTGTCTTAAATTGCGTTTTTTGCGAACTTTGAAGCTCCATGACTCGGAAACAAGATCGATTGCAAGGAATTTATTTTCTTGTTCTGCAAGGAGGTCCTAAAATACACTTAAGCCATCACAATCCCAACCGAAAGTAAAAAAACGTTCCCTAGCTAAAAAAAAAGAGCAGCAGGTAAAATGGGCTTGCAGCAAAAATGAAAGGTCGAAATAGGGAAATGTCAACTGCAGCAAAACGTGTAATAACCGGGAACGCATCTACGCATTGCTTTTCTTAGAATGAAAAAGCTGAAAGGTGACCCTAATAAGATGAATCATTATTATTTTCGTTTCCAAATATGTATCAACGAAATTTTTTTGAGAAATATGAAAAATATTGTACAAAATAACCAATTCGTCTAGAAAAAAATTGCATGTGATGTATATAATCTTCTCCCCTCAGTTACTCCGATCAAAATCGTGGAAAAGTCCATTGAACACCTGTTTGCTGGAAGCTCTGGAGTCACAAGACATGTGTTTGATAGACCCAAAACCTGGAATTTCTGATTCTTCCGTGGTTGAAAGAAACGAGGGGTTGCTTCCTGGGACTTGAAGTTTCATGCAGAAGTTTGATGAATTTTAAGACTATTTTAAAATTTTTTTTCTTTATTCAACAAAATCAATTTAGATATATGCAAAGCGAGGTGAGAAAAAAATTTGGCCTGGAAAAAAGTTTTTTAAAATCAACGCTGTTATTTAAAGATTAACTGACCAACTACCAATACTACTCTACCCACACAGCTCCTTTGTTCTTCAAAAGATATTTTATAGCTGAGCTATGAAAATAACAGAAAAGATTTGGGTTGACACTACAATCCAGAAAAAGTCGGAAAATGTATCCGAGATCATATTGATCAACTTTTCATTTCTTCAGCAGTCTAAGAGAATATTAGAAGGTACTAAACTAGTGTGCAAAAAATTTTTGAAGCCAAAAAATGAAAATTCAAAAAAGAAGCAGACCGCGTTTCCAGCGAAGCGGATAATCACTAACGCATTTCGAAGTGATAATATTATTCAAAAAGAATGTCAGGTTGGAAAGGTTGAATTAGTAGCTTCAATTAGGTGATTGGCTTATCTTTCTAGGATGAGCAAAGAAACATTTTGAGGTCACAGTTTTTCCCAGGTTACGTCACAAATTGAAACATGCTTAATTGTTAGGGCCTTTATTTATTCTATCAGGGTTGCAAGTCCAACTGAGAAGGACCAAGTTCCTCAATAAACTAGAAAAAAAGCTAGTTTTTCATTTTAGAAAACGGAAACTGTTGAAATATTCCAAAAAATCCAATATTTGAGTTGAACAAAAAACTTGCAAAGTCCATTCTCGGTCCAAAATTTTTTAACCTTTTTTTACTTAGTTAAACTTCAGATGGTAACCTTCCGGGCCTTATTTTTTAATTTTTTGATCTCACTTTGGGATACGCTTTATTTTTCTAAAAATGAGCAGTGCTCATAAAGTTTACTGTTTAAATCCCTTAGCTTTGAAACTTGATTGGATCTGGTTGAGAAGTTCTTCAGGACAACCTTATTTAGAATGAATCCGACATAAAAGTGTTTCTCGTCTTTTAGTGATTCATAAAGTTTCAAAAACCAAAAAAAAGCTTTTTTTTTCTAATTTGGTTTCAATCTTCTAGTCGTCATGATTCCACAAAAATCAATATTTCTAACTGATTCGGAATCAGGGAGACCTGGACTACCTCTCAGCAAATCTGCATCCATATACAACCTCAAATTTCCAGAATTTGCTGTGTAATATACTTAGAAACTCCAGAACTCCAAGTCTTATAGTGGCAACCTTAGAAACTCTTGGAGGGTAACCTCTAGGGCCCACTTTACCAACCTCCGTAGGGGCCACTGAAGCTTGCAAAAGAGGTCCGTATAGGGGTTTTAGTTAGTGGACCGTATATGGGATTAATTAAGCTTTAAGGGCTATCGGGTCAGACCCTAAATTCCTATAAGGACCACTTTAATTTTACCCTCAAAGGTATCACTTTTTCTAACCCTATAAGGGCTGTTCTTTTCTCTAACCTCTATAGGGACCGCTCTGAAGCTCCTAAGTGTTATGTACCCCAACAGAACCCTATTCGTTTTAAGAATGAAAGCCACAAAAATTTGAAAACTCAACTTCTTACAGATCTCAGATAGGCAGCGTTTGAGGCATCAATTTTTGAAAAATGAAGCGCAAAATTTTGATTCATTAGATTTATACTTCAAACCCACGGAAACAATGAGAATTTATACACATTCTGTTGATGATTTCTAAGAAGTTCAAAAAAAAGATGTACAAAATTCCCATGCGACTAAGAATAAGCTGAGAACTCCATTGAACATTTACGAAACCTCACTTTTTGTGTTTCTCTGTGAAGATTTACAAAGTAGGCATCTCTTCGCTTTTTTAAATAGTCCAACATTCATAAACGTCCTAGAAAAGAGCAATATTTTTTTTAGTTTCCTTTTAAACCACCCTTCGTTCACCTTTTTCTCATCCGTTTAGCTTTTTTTTTCCCTGTCTAGAAATCTCTTGCCATCCCATTAAACAACGGAATTAGGGATTTCGACCTGAAAAAGGCCAGAGAGAAGACAATGATCACTTGCAGTTCTCGGGGAAACCAAAATCCTCCAGTCCTCGTAGAAGGACTCCGAAAGAGAATGCGAGGCATGCGACCACGCCCACGGGGGCTCTCTGCCGGTGACACCTCGTTTTGCGGCAGCGCACTGGTCCCAAGTTGTCCGTCACGATACAGCCTTCTATGATCATATCCTATCTCGCTCGGATTGTGCTCCTTCTCCCGGAGTTGTCTTCTGGAGACGCTGACAGGCTAGCTGAGATTGCAGCTCATCAGGTGAGGTCTTTCGGAAGTTTGGAAATGAAAAGCTTTATTATCGAAATGCATTGACTGATAACAAAAAAAAAATCAAAAAATAAGGTCTCTAGTCCATTTTCTTCCTTGAAGCTCTTAATTTGGAATGGATTCAGAAGCATGAGCAAAACTTTTAAAAAATCGTACTGTATCTATGACTTTACTGGGGATCTTTTGGTGATTATGGAGTGGCCGTCTTTTTTAGAATCTTAGGAACAAATTTTTCAGCACGGTCAACTGTCGCCAAATCTAGCCGAGCCAGACCGAACCTTCACTTTGCCTCCTGCTTCTCATGAACGTCGGAAAGATGGGGGAAAACGGAAAAAGTACAGAAAAGAGAAGGACCGCGACACAACTACAGAACAACCCGAACCGTGTGTCCAAATCAACGACACGCTTCGAAAAAATCTTCTCCAGGTTCGGTTTTGAAAAAACTTTTTTCAATGAGTCAGAACCAATTTCATCTTGTTTTCTCCGATTATTCCAAAGATTTTTTCTCAATTCAATTTGTCGCCAAATTCATTCATTTTCCAGTTTTTTTGTTTTTATCGAGTTGCATGAAGAAAGACAAATGGAACAACACAAAGAGATTTTGGTTTCCGTTCATCATATCCACTGAGAGAGCTATTATTTCGGCCCCACGTACCTTAATCGTCCCCAGCCATGCTACGTTCAAAAAAATTTGGCAGACTTGCGCTTCTCTGGCAACCTTCGAGCTTTTAAGTGGGCTGAAAATAGCCGACATGTATTGCAATAGTTTGTGGGGCACTTTTTCTTTGAATTTGCTTTTGAAGGTCTGAAAAAATCTTTTTTACATTTCAAATGAAGTGTTTTGTGGTTCGAAACAAAAAGACTTTTGAAAACGCTTTGAACTTTGGACCTTCTTACAACTTATGAATATCTCAAAAGTCAAAAATCAAACAATTTTGAACTTCTAGTCTTTTTTTGACATTTGAAGAAATTGAGGAAATGAATAAAAATCGTCTTGACCTTTTCATTAATGGAGGCTTAACGGAAAATGATTGTTCCCAGATTTCTCCACTGCATTTTTCTCAGAATCGTTTCCGACCCAACCATCTGAAATTGAATAAGAATAAAGGTCTGCCAATTCCGGTGGCAATTCCAAACTCCCCCGTTCATTGCTAATCAAATGGAGCATCGCAAGACTGCCAAACTGATGTTCTTTTCATGCGAGTTTTTTTATTTCACTGCACTTTTTTCGTTAGGAATTGGTTCAATCAAGTTGCTCTCCTTATGAGGCTCCACTGGAGTGACGATACTTCCGTGTTTGCATTTGGACTTTTTTTTTCCGATGAACTGCCTAGGGAGAAAAATTAATTAAATTTTTCGAAACTTGCGCCGATTCGTAGTTGTGACTTATACGAATGGACCTTCGCTTTCGCAGTTGACAGCTCTCATGAACCGACTTTTCTGTTTGTCTCTTTGTTTGTATTCCCTTACTCTGTTTAGATTTTTTCTAGAAATAATGTCTCTTTTTCATTATTCCATGAGAATAGAGTTCCGACGTCGTTAATTTTTGAAAAATTAAGGAAAAAATCCATTCACTAGTCCAGAGTTCCCGGCTGTTTATATGATTTTTCTCATACAAAAAAAAGTTCGGTGACTGAAGATTTTTCAAAAAAACTGTCCATATTGCTTTCTGCCACAAAATTTTATTTTACGTTGCTTCCCCTTTCACAGCTTTTTTTTTAGCCATGCATAAGCAATTTAGTCCGCAACCTTCAAACACTTGACAGATTCTGGTGTTGTTTTTTTATTGGGAATGAGCGATTTTGGAATTGAAGAGGGAAGAAAACAAGCCGGCAAAAACGTTCGACGTAAACGAAAGGCCGTTTTTCTTCCTTCGGCGGCATCTTTCTCAGAAGGGAAGAATTCCTGAGAAGACCATGTTCGAGAGGAGTTCTCAACACTCTATTGGTTTTCATTCAGAAACCTGAAAATCAGCCATTGAAAAAAACCAAAAATTGAAGAGTAAAAGTCAAGGCGAAGTCCACTAAATCATATTCCAAGACTCCCCGAAAAACACATTTTTCACACGGTTCACGTTTTTCTTCTTACTCAATGAATTATGAGGGAAGTTAAGGCTTTTCTGAATTGGTACCTTTTGAACAATATTTTCTCTATGGCATCGAGAAAAAAGTGAAGCGGCCACCGACGTCGAAGGGCCAATGAATAGCCGTTTAGCGATGATTCGATGCGTGAAATCGTGCTCCCATCGCTTTTCCCAGAACATTTGTATATCTTTTAGAGATTCTTTTGAACGTGCACGTCGTCGGGCTTTTCTCAGCCGACAAATGCCATTCTCGGGGCCAATAACCACGTGTGTAGATTGAATTTTCGAGATACCCTCCACCGTTACGGATACTCAAAAGCACTTTGGCGGAGAGAAAAAACGAACCTGTGGACATTATATTGTTAGAAGACGAGCAAAGATTCGTTTTCTGTTTCAAAATGATCATTATATGACAAAAAATTCTTTCTTTTTCACTTTTTTGATTTCAAGGGAATTTTGCTGAACTGGATTTTATATTAAATTCTAGTCCCATAAGAGAAAAACTTTCGCAACTTGGTTATTCGCAGAAGAACCTGCCAATCCGCACTTCAGAGTTTCGCTGGATTAGATGAGGCTCGAATGAAAGTTTCATTGCTCTTCGTTTGAACATCCGAGCTCGCTCTATCAACCATGAATCCTTTATGGGAAAGGAAATTGGCCCGAATTCCAAAAAAGGTCCAACAACAACACAAGGGATTTTCTCCGTCATCCGGTTGCACTTTGTGCAATTTGGAAAAATAATGGAATTTTAACTCGATTGAAGGTATTTAAGTTAACGTTTTTCAGAAGGAGCAGTTAATTTTTTTTTTTGGCTGATTATTGAAAAATCTGACAAAAATGAAGTGCAGGGAAATTTGCAAAAAAAAAAGGTTTTGATTTCAATTTTTAGTCAATATGAACCAGCGTTTTTTTTGATTTTGTAAAAATTTTTGCTTGTTATAAATAATTGTCCAGAAAGAGTGAAGTCTTTTTTTCTATTTGAAGAAAAAAATTTTTGAAAAAGTAAGGCCGCACCTGTATTTTTTTCTTTTTTTCTAGTTTTTGTAAAGCTGGTCGAAATCCTTCTCAAAATTTTTTTGAAGCAACGGTGGACTTCTGAATACAGTGAAAAAGCTTTTTTATCTCTTATTCAAAAACTCCACTTCAAATCCGCCGTTTATGAAACGGTAAAGCAATGTTTCTCGTTCAATACTTATTTCATTGTCATCAAAAACCAACTTCGAAGGAAGGAAAGCAAAAACCACGTAGATTTGATTAGGAAATTTGCGATTTAGTTGTGTTCGACACAGCCGATGCGACAACACAATGACGAAAAAAACTGCATTGTGCGGGACGATTGAGGCGTCTTTGCCGCTGGATAACCAATTCCAGAAAGTCGTCTCCGAGATTTCATCTGATCTTGTAGTCCCGTCCCCATCTTCGGGATTCATTGCTTGCCGTCAGTCGGAAACGAAGCAAAAACCACAAATTCGCCGCGAGGGATCCATGTGAAACAGAATGGGGTCGAAAATATCCTGTCTTTTCAGAAATGAAATAAATTATTGAGAAAGAATGGAGAATTGCGTGTTTCTTGCAATGCGATGGTTTTTTTTTCAGGAATTATTCAGCGACACGTACGACAAGAACAATTTGCCGAGTGCGAATTCTACAGAGGTGGGGGATTTTTAGTTATTCTTTTTGTGTGTAAAAAAAACTAGCTATTTTAAAAATTTGTGCGAAACCGTTCAAAAGGCTTTTTTTATCTCATTCAGAGAAAAATTATATTAATCGCTGTTGTTGAAAGTACAGTACTGGCCATAAAAATATGCCTTTTTGGTTTTTGGCTATGATTTAGGTACAAACAATCAGAATTTACTAAGAGTTTAATATATGGTGCATGACAACGGTTTACTCATATTTAAATCACATTAATAGACTTTTTAGAACAATATAAAAATTTTAAGCTCGCAAAAAAACTGAAAAATGGCAAAAGATTTTTCAACTTTTTAATATTTTTTTGAAATAAATCATTTATGAACTATTATTATTTTAATTGAATATTTAAAAAAATTAATCGAAGGATTGCAGTGACGAAAAAAACCTTGATATTTCAAAAAGACTTCTCTGAAATCTCGGCCCATTATTCCATGTGGAACTTTTTTGACCACCAAATAAACCACAAAGATGTTTTCTAGAAAACTTTCAATATATGAAACTGCCTTCAAACAAATTTTGCAGGTGATAGTCGAACTCACCGTTCAATCGATCACGGAAATCAGCGAGTTCTCGTCCAGTTTCAAAGCCGATGTTTGGTTCTCTCAAATCTGGCGAGACCCTAGACTCGACTTTACGGATCGGAATTATTGTCTCAAAAATATTTCTCTGGCGTCCCACAAACTACCAACCATGTGGTCACCGAACGTCTGCTTTGTCAATAGCAAAAAGGTAAAATTCTAGAAGTCTCAACCTGCACAAATTTTTCGTTTTTGGAAAAAAAACGCCTTAAAGTCAAAAAAAATCCTCAAAATCCATAAAAAAAGGCTATTTTGAGACTTTAGACCATTATTTCTCGGAAATTAGGAAGTTGGGCAGGTTCGAGGAAGTTGTAAAAAAGCTGTGCAGAAAATTTTTGAAAAAGAAGCAGTTTTTTAGAAGAGTAGATTAAGGATCTATGTAACATTGAATACATTTTTTTAATCGAAAAAAATTGGATTGAAACAGGTGGAGATCCATTCATCGCCATCGCAAAACATTCTGCTCCTCGTTTTCCCAAACGGCACTGTTTGGCTCAACTTCCGAGTTTCTTTGATTGGACCCTGCAAATTGGATCTCACATACTTCCCGATGGATCGACAATCTTGTAACTTGATCTTTGAGGTTTGTTGATTTTTCATAATCAAGGAGAAACGTTATCGTTTTTTGAGAGAATTATTCTCGGAATTCAGTCTTTGAAGGTTGAACTAGTTATGTGGTTCTTTTGATTGAAAAAAAATTATGTCACGCACAGAGAGACGTTCCCAATATAGAATAGCTTTACGTCACATATTAGTTCATTTCGAATGCCCTGAGTAGCTAAGGCTTTTTTTACATCAGAATCTCCAGAAACAAATTTTGTGGGCTGGAATCCAGATTAAGATGACGCAAATCGTGGGAAAGTCGGTTGCAACATTCGAGTGGTTGCGCGTACTAGGTTTTCTAGAAAGTGTAGCCTTTTTGGGTGTCCGACTTGAAAAAAAAATTAGGAGACTACAAAAAGCGAAAGTATTATTTGGTTGAATTCTAGGTCTCGAGAAAAATTGTATATTTTACATAGTGTGAAATCTAATTGAGAAGCTCAAAATCCACGTCGAAAAATCTTTGAAATAAATTATTTTTTATGGTGATTTTGTAGAAGTATTTTTTCAACATACAAGTTTATAAATATTGTTTTCCTCACAGAGCTACTCGTACAACACTGCGGAAGTTCGAATCGTATGGAGAGACTGGGAGCCGGTGACGATTCCAGATCCAGATTCAAAAAACTTACCTGACTTTGAACTGGTTAATTTCGAGTATGGAAGGAATTTTGATAAAATCGGTAGGATTATCGCCTTTCAGACATCGAAATGCGACACTGGTGTACACGGCCGGATTGTGGGACCAGTTAGAAGTTCAGTTCACATTCCGTCGGCTCTATGGATACTATGTTCTGCAGGTTCCCTGTGATTTCCGAGAAGATTTAACTCGGAACTTTCCAGGCCTACATGCCGACTTATCTTTCTGTTTTCATTTCTTGGATTGCCTTCTGGATTGACACCAAGGTGAGCTCCACGTTGAAAAAAACTTCAAAATGAGAAAATTTCTACTCGAACATACTGGGAAGGCAACCAGTAGGAGGTTGGGAGGTGAATGGGATCTCGAAGGTCTTGAGTAGGCCTAGAGAAGGTCTTTAGAAGGTGGGAAGATAAAAAATCAAGAATTTGTGCGAGGATTCTTCCAGCAGGCTTCTGGTAGGTGAGTGGAGGTTTAAGGAAGGTATATCACTTGCTGGAAAGCTTCCAAACGCCTTCTGAGAAACCGAGAAGCTTCCCAACTTTTTGCTGGGCCTCAAATTAGCAGGGAACGTTTTTCACCCCCGGTTGAACTTTTGCTGAAATTTTGCTGAAGTGTCTTTGGGACCCCCTGATTCCAGAACAAAAAGAAAATTTCCCGCAATAGATCTTGTTTCCGAGTTGTGGAGCTTAAAAGTGTGCAAAACACGCAAATTACGCCAAAAAAGCGCTATTTCAGGCTTTTGAAGTGTTCTAACTCGAAAACGAGATTTATTGCGTAAAATTTTCTTTCTGTTTTAGAATCAGGGGGTCCTAAAGTACACTTCAGCAGAGTTTCAGCAAAAGTTCAACCGGGGGGTAAAAAAAATTTCCCTAGCTAGTTTGAACAATCCCTTACATCAATAGCTTGACCATTATTTAAGAAAAAAAGTTTTTGCTTTTTGAAGCTAACGTGAATGTTCCAGAAATAGGTGTAACTCATTAATCTTCGCCTTTGCTTGAGATCACTTTCCAGTTGAAGATTACAGTAAGTCTCATTCAATTGGTGATAATCCGAAAGCTCTTCATAACTTAATAGTCTTTTAAGTGGGGGATATGGGATTAGTGAACAATTGTCAGTTTCAGGAATATTGAGATAGATCAAAAAAAAGTTGTGACGCATATAACATAACTTCCTTTGAAGATGAAAATAAATTAATCGATTTGAAGACCTAGATTATTTTTATTCAGTGTTCTTCTTGCGTCAGATTGAATAAAAATTTTGTAATTTATGAATTTAAGGCTCTTCCGGCCAGAATAACTCTCGGAGTTTCCTCGCTGATGGCTTTGACCTTCCAGTTCGGTAACATCGTCAAAAATTTGCCTCGTGTGAGCTACGTCAAGGTAAACTAACTTTCAGAAATTGTTAGCTCATTTGAATTTCAGGCTCTGGATATTTGGATGTTTGGCTGCGTCGGCTTCATTTTTCTGTCTTTAGTTGAAGTATGCTCCATTCAAGTTTCAAAATCTAGTCATTTTTTTTAGCTAGCCGTTGTTGGCTTTGCTGACAAGTTAGATGCAAAACGGAGAAGGCACATGAGGTATGTAAAGTAAGTGTTGTCTTCTAAGCCAATTTCTCCTCTTTCTTTCCAAAGGTCTCATAACCTTCCCTTTTGTACTCCCTGACATTTTTTTCAGAAGCAAAGAGCAAATGATGATGCGAAGCGATTCTGAACAACAATGGCTTTCGAGATTGGCAGGTATTATCAAACTGATGATAAATTCCTTGATTAATCCTTGGCTTAGAAGGGACTCCGGTGAATTCAAACGTGTCGAATGCGAACAAAGACGGGAATGGTAATTTGAGACGGAAAAAAAGCGAAGAAAAGCGACAAAAGCTTTTACTACAAATGGAAAATCCGTTGCATGTGAATGGAGAGAAAATTGACGAGGTGAATCATTGAAGATTTTTTTTCGTTAATTGAATTTTATCCTAAATGAAAAATCTTGTGATCCCAGGAAATATTTGAATTTCAAATTGTGTTAATTTTTTTGGATTTGTGAGCGAAAATACAAAAAGATGAGATTGATTTTTTTTTTAGTTCAATTTTATTTTGATTTAAATGAGAGTTTTGAAAAATTGAATCCGCAACGCCAGCATATTGGTATGTCCCTAAATTTGTCTTTTTTTTCTCAAAAATGCATCAAATGGGTCTTACTATATGTCCCAGTTTCAGGCAAATATATAGTCAATTTTTGTCGTTTTGCATTTTTTATCATATTGTACAGTTTCAGCGTTAGAAATAACTTTTCAAAGTGACATTTTTGCAGTCGTAACACTTTGAACAAAACCTAATATTTCAAATCAAAGCTGAATGAATCAATCAAACGATACTTTTTGAATAGAAGCTGGTTTTTAGAAAAGTTTTGTGATCATGAATCTCTGATGACGCTAAAAAGAAATATAATTAAGGATCGAGATTACGTCAATGGAGAGATATTGGATGAGGTTTTTGGGTGTTTATTGCGTGTTTTATTTATTTTTTCTTTCCACACACACCCACTCATCTTTCCGAGAGAACTCTAGCTTCAATCGCCTCGGATTTACATGAGCTTCACCTCACCAAGCTTAACTTTTCATATCGACTTGCTTAAATTGCTTGTTGCCCCTGCAGTGCTTCTCCACCGAGTTCTCCTCTTCCAATCATTACTTTGCAGATATCCGCCAAGCTGTTCCCGCTGCTTTTCACGGCGTTCAACATCTTTTATTGGTTCTACTATATTGGAATGTCCGGCGGAATCTTTTGAATTGAAGAAAATTTGTTTCTTTCTTTTTTTCCCACGGGTTCTATCGGTTTTTCCAATTATTCCGTTGATCTCTTTTCTTTATGTACACAAAAGAAGTGTCGTTTCTTTTTTGTTGAAGATTCTTCTAAATCATCTCCGGAGCTCATTGAATCATTTTTTTGCAAAAATATATTATCGGTTTCTTCTTTCTCTTCATATCCCATTTTTATGTTCAATAAAACAGCTTTCGCAAGATTGAATGGCAGATATTATAAAGCGTAATAATTTTGAACATCCAGAGTATTAAAAAAATGAACAGTTTTCGGTGAGTTTTCATCTTAATAATAAATTGGCATTGATTTGGTGCTGAAAATAAATTAAATTAGTTATCTTTATTTGAGCTTTTCGTTTTTTCGTAATCATTTTTTGGAGATCTCTTTTCATGATCTTTTTTCTGCAGGGAGATTGCTTTTCCAGGCTTTTATAATCTTATTTTTTGTGTGAGTCATCCTTAATAGAGTCTGAAAACTTGAAGTTTTTCCCATGTTTTACGGTTCTTTTATTAATCGAATTTGACGTGATTCATAGCCGTTGAAGGAATTATTTTCAGCCTTCTCAGCACGAACCTATTCCAGCGTCTCATTTTTCACGAGCACCTTGCATTTTTTCTTTTTCTGCGATTCAGAAAATGGTGGAAGACAAAAATATTTAGATTTTTTACAACCGCAAAATGAGTATAATAGTTCTTTTGCAGTTTGCTCTAATTGAGAAAAAATTAGTGTTTTTTTGAAAGAAAAAAATTAATGAGTGTCAGATTTCAAAACCTTGAGTTTTTTTAATTTTTCTCAAAGTCTTATTCAACCGTTTTTTTAAATTTTTTAACTTTCATTAACCTTAAATGAATCCATTAGTAATACTTTGAACTTCAAAATTTTACTCGTGGGTCTACCTGGATCTCTAACGTGAGACTATGTTGTTGCATAGGCGCCAATTAGAAAGCTCGACCCAAGTCCCTCAACGCCGTCTTTTGCCGAAAAAGTACTCGGCTTGGCTAATGATAGCCAATTACCGCGGGACGCCGCTTTTCCTACTCCTTCGGAGGTTCATTCATATTTATTTTTATATGCAAAGTGCTTGAAAACGACGAGTGGCAGGAAACGAAGGACACTGGAGCCAGAACCGGCTCCGCAGCTTCCCCGTCCGTCGTCGCGCTCCGCCTGCCGCCTCAGCGCTATTTTTGTCCACTCATTGCCATCGGCCACATTTTTCTTATAAACCAGCAAATTTTTCCACGACATTCTACACTTTTTCTACTTGGCTGGTTTTAATTATTTTTAGCGACGAAGTAGAGATAAAAATCGAATAACAAAAAAGGCTGATGTTTTGAGAAAAAGAAAAAAGGGTGCACGGTCCAACATTTGATGCGTATTAGCATCAAAATGACCTTCCTTTCAGTTCAATTTAAACATCTCACTCCAATTGCTAAGCAGAATATTCAACGCTCTTAATGTCAGTTCCGGTTTTTCGCGCCTTCAGTTTTTTAAGTCGAAGGGGAACTATGTATTCCAAAGCAACACCTAACACAACAGATCATCAAGAAATAACTTGAATAAGATCAAAATTTTTTGAAAATTTCCAAGTCAGCTTCATTCTTTTTCAATGAATTCAATTCCAGTTTCTTTAGATATCTAATAATTGAAGTAAGCTTGAAACATTAAAAAGCATGGTGAAATAACCTGTTCAGGCCGACTTGCTGAGGAAAATTTCTCGAGATTTCTTTCTAATTTGGAACTTCAATTTTGTTGAATTTCACTTGTTTTATCCCCAAAAAGACATCAAAAATCCAAACGTGTATTTTATTTTTTTCATTTTTTTCAAAGTCATACGCGAGATTCAAATGGAACAATTTCTTTAAAAAAATAAAGTGACTTTCAACTCATCTGGGTCATGGGAGATTCCCACGATCAAAGACGAAATTTTTTTCTCCAATTTCGAATTCCTTTTTTTGATTTTTGTAGTTTTTTTCTCACGGCTAGAAGATTTTTTTGTTTTCATGGAAATTTTGAAAGACTTTGATGGGAAAAATAGAGAATTCAAATCATTTTAAAAAAATTATTCCGGCAAATTTTTTTGGACATTTTCGTGACTTATAATACGACCTCCTTCACCAGTATGTTTCAGAAAAGTATTTTGTGAAGTGAAGCGAGAGTAGAGAAATTTCTTTTTCCAATTTCGGGTTCCAGACTTTTTTTTGTCAGTCTTCTAGATTCGTTTCCAGTGATCTCAATTGTCGATAGTGAGGATGATAAATTACTCTGGACGAGATTAGCCGGTTGACGACAGATGCCGGCGGCCAATAAACTATTCGAGATAATCTCCATGTTAGTTGGTGCGGACCCGAAGGAAGGGAAGCACGAGGGCGCGAGAGCGCAGACGACGAGGCGCCAGTGTGGAGGCCAGTGACGCAGAGACGTCGCTCTCCGCTCGAGGCGTTTCTCTGCGCCTCTCTGCTTCTCTCTTGCATTTGCGGCGGATCTTTGTCTTCATTTCTTGTATTTTCTTACCTTTTGCCGGTCATTACTGTCGCCACGGCGGCTGGTTTCTTGAACCATTCCTTTTTTGCGACAGACTTTTTAACTAGTAATGGACTTGCCATCCATTCTGCCCTAAGGTCATCCAGAATCATCTTCCTTTTGTCTTCAATTTAGGGTTTCCTGTTTCAAAAAGACGTTGACTTGAAAATAAAGTAGAAAAATTGAGTTGATATTTATTAATAGATGAAACAATATATGAAACGTTTTCAAGGTTATATGTTTTAGAACATTTACAACGACTTTTTTTTTCAAAACTTCTCATTTCTCGAGTTCATTCATTTTTTCCTAGAATGAATAAATCTACACAAATGAAATCCTTTCCAATGAACCCTCCCAAAAAAAGGATTTATTCACCCTGTGGCCATTTCGACTTGCATTCTTATTTCTTCATTCACCTAATCCTCTCAGTTTGATACTAAATATTATATTGTCTTTAGATTCATCTCAATAAAACATTATTGCATGAATTTCCATAATTTTTCAGAGCATTTTTCCGCAAAAAAATATTACATTTTGTTTCAAACTCCCTTTTTCAAATTGATAGCAAAGGACAGTTGAGTTTGAGTCTTTGATTTTGTTGAATTCTTCGAATTCATGTTTTTCATGTTTTCTGAACACCCTTTCCAATCAATTACCTTCTCCTCGGGCGTTTCTAAATATGAAACGGAAACCGGCGCTGCCCCATCCAACCACGCTACTGCAACCACACTTTTTAAGTCCCAACTGTTTGACTTTCTTCGCGTCTTTTTCTCTCTCAACTTTTTTTCATTCAATTTTTAAAAAAATTTTGGTAGTATTTGTCACGTTTTCTTGTTTTGAACTTCGATTTGCTCGAAAAAAAACTATGAATCATGAAGTAACCGCTTCCTGCAGAATAACATTTTTTGATAAGGTCGGCTTACAAAAAAATTCATTCTTTTTTTCTGCATATTTCCGTAATGTGCAAGTATGCCGAATTTCCGAGCTTTAACTTTTTTTTACAGGACTTTTATGGACGAAGCCGGTTCGTCCGGCACCGGCGGCGGTGGCGGCGACGTCCTGCCGAATGATCTGCTTGCCTCGGCGGCGTCGAACCTCGACTCCGAGCGGGTCAACCAGCTCCAAACTCAGCTTCAGGTTTAATTTTCCCGCCATTTCTTACGAAAAGATGTTTTTCTCGACTTTCATTGTATAATCGAACAACTCATTTTTTGTATGGAAATAAAATTTGAGATCACGAGAAACTGTGATTCATTTTTTTTAGGAACTATTCTAGAAAACCGGCCTCTCATTAGTCAAACTCCAGGTTTAACTACTTTTATGAGTTTCTTGAAACCAAGAACTTCATTTCACATGTTATATAGTTTTCCTTAGTCAAAAATACATTCCCACGACACTTTTACTTTTTTTTAAGAAAATCTTTCTTTTTTTTCTCAATCTTATCAAGCCATTTAGACACAATCTTTAAAAGTCGGATCAAGTGTGCGAATGCTTTTATTGTCCGGGAGGCAAGACCACTCTCGCCAGGTCTGAGCAAAAACCGACGAAAAATAGAAAGCCATTAAACGTCGACAATGCTCCATTGATAAAAGAGTCACGCATGGATCCTTGCGAACAGTCGAATTTGCATTCGAAAACGTGGAAATACTTTGCCCTTCGAAACTGATAATCATTTTGAAAAATGATTTTTTTTGATCAGGATTTGACCGAAAAATCGGGGAAAGAAGGTGGGGATTTCTTTTTTTTCAAAGAGGAAACCCACTTTCTCTGAAATAAAAGAAAGTTCGTGAAAAGTTATTTTTGAAACTGTTCGGCGTTACTGATGTTATCTTCTTTTGCCCATCGTTTTTTTCTCGGTCCCTATAGATTTATAGCCGTCATTTCGAATTAAGCTTTCGCAATGGAAAAAGAGGATTGTTAGAACAGCAAAAAATTCCGGAATTTCAATTCAAAAATATAAAAGAATATCACATCCATTTTTCTTTTCGTTCAGATATGAACTTTTCAAAACCATAAAAATGAAATATCTACAGTAACCCTTAGTTATGCAACGAGAAACATTTTTCAACACCCATATTTTCAAAACCAGTAATTACTTCAAAACTAATAGTTACAATTAAAAATATATTATTGATTATCTGAAAAGAGAGATCATTTTTGGAACTTTCTGAAAATTGGCCAGAACCCTTTTCGATGAACCAAAAGAAGGTTCTGAAAGTCTTTCACCTGCAGAATTTTCTATTTTTCGAGAAAAAAAGACTTAAAGCCCAAAAATGGACTGTTTTACCGGATTATTGAGACCTTTTTTGACTTAGATGTGTTCTTTTTCAAAATCCAGGAATTTTTGCAGTTCAGGGCTTCCAGAAAGTTCTTGTTCATCAATCAATACTCTGTCAAAATACCAGGCCAATCCTGAACCACAAACTTCCTTGTGAGTGATTTCACAGGTTACCAATTTATGACTAAAATCATTTTGAAGTCTGTCAACCTCAGACAGATATTTTTTCCAAAAGTGTATAGGACTCAGAAAAAAAGAAGAAGAAATCTTCGTAGATCCAACCACAACCCAGAAGTTCCACGTGCGCGAAATCTCGCCCGATTGACCGCTTTTCTTTCGTTTTCCTGCTTTCCGTCGCGCAAGCCTATTTTTAGCGTTTATTTGCTGTCTTGCACCATCGATTGCAGCGCAGGGATTGAAAAGAGCGCAAAGGAAGTTGAGTCAAATGTTTTCCTCATTCGGAAAAAAAGAAGTAGTTGCAAGATGAATGGAAAACTTTCCTATGTAGAAAGGAAAGTTGCACTCGTTCGTTTGTAGTCAGACAATTCGAAAGTACAAAAAATAGCAACTGCCCTAATCAAACTCTAAAGGGCTGGATCACAAGTCCCATATTTTCAGATTTTCAATGGATATACTTATATGCAGTGTCTTCATATAAATTTGAAAAATTTCAAAACTTGAAAAAAAAGCTTCATTCAGGCGAAAAGTCTAAGACCAGGCATAAATCATCGTTTCAATTATGAAAAAAGCTTGCTTTTTGATAATTTTCCACATGTTTGAGTAGCTGAGTCATAATATTTGGAATGATTCGAATTCTAAGGAAATTGTACGTTCAATGACGCTTTTTAAAAAAATATTGAAAAAATGCGTAGTTCGAATGAAAAACAAGAAAGATGAATCACATTGCTCCAGACAGAGAGCAAAAAATTTGTCACTCTGATGATGTTATCATCATAACAGAATTAATCATACTATTATGAAAAAAATGTTTTTCAGTTTTGTTATAACGTCCTCAGCTATAAAATAAACTATATTTGAAAAATGTTCCAAGAAGAAACGGCCCATAAGTCGTAATTAACCTCCAATTCGTTGAGTCACGAATGCGAAAAAAGCCACCAATTTCCAAGTAACTTATGTTCCGATAAGCTCTAATTTCCCTGATAAATACAAACCGCATCATGGGGTCAAACTGCCCACGCCTTTCTGAAAAGCCTCTTTGTCCGGTTCCAAATATTATTCGTAACAGAGAAGCCTCCGCCGATGGCTGGAGCTTATTACTCATTACCTTGTCATTTAGCTTTCATAACAGGTATTCATTCCAAGAACGGAGCGAAAGAAAATACTCTAATCTCCATAGTAGTTGGTAGAGTATTCAGCTACGAGATGGAGTACGCTTTTTGTTATAAATAGGCTTCCACTCCGCTTCGCGTGCTCATTAACCGCAACTCGTGGCGTTCCGCTCGGAAGCCCGTTGAAATAACAACTCTTTCCTGTCCTCTTCTTCCAAAGAACGAACTTTTTCTCACCAATTGTACCTTCAACTCAAAACTTGCTTCTTTTTTGATTTCCCTTTCAGTAAAAACTAAAACTGATAGCCTAGAGAAATTGAAAACTCGCTTTGAAACTGCTTTTTTGGCCTTACTCTGATCATGACTGATTTTCTGATGGGTTGTATCGTTTCCAAGGCTGATTAACAAAGGACCCTGGTCATTTTTAAAGAATATTTCCCTAGGAAGATTTAAAAACCAGCTGAAAATTCCCGAAAATCGCATTTCTTAAAAGTCCGTCAATTTAGTACTTATGGGTGAGAAATAAAAAAATTTGATTTTGAAACTACTTTCCAATCCTTGATGTTTTTTCTCACCTAATGACTTTCAGGAATACCGACAGAAGCAAATGGACCTCATTGGGCACTTCCATCGAGCTCAGCAGGAGCTCAACATGCAGCACGTGCAGAACATCTTCGCCGCGTTGCAACAGCAGCAACAAATGAATGAAAGAGCCGCTGTGATGGCTCAGAACTCAAATCAAGAAATAACAGAACCGGGTAGAAAAAATTCATCCAAGATAAATAATTAAATATCAGCGTTTTCAGTGGCGCCTTTGACCTTGGCTTCGTCGTTGACAAGTCTTCTTGGCTCATCTTCAACCCCGCATACGCCGACGTCGTCGAATCCGCGAGAACATCAACAAACTTCTGTTCCGAATAACAGTCGAAAATGGTGAGTAGCAAAATTGAAATAGAGTGAAAACATCTAAAAGCAGAAAATGCACGAAAATACACTTTTTTCTTTGATCTCGATCAAAATTTCTTTTTTCTACCTCAAAAAGTAATCAAAAAAAAAAAGTCCAGCAACATCGACAGAGAAATTTGTTTGTTTTCCATCGAATCTCGGTGTAGAAGAACTACAAAGAAATCACAAATGTAGATCTGAATTTATGATCTTCGATAAGTTCAACGTGTTTTTTTCCAAGCGTTTAGCACTTATCTAACTAGGCTACAGAAGGGCAAATAACTAATATCATATCACGCCACTCGAAAAGAAAAACAAGCTGATTGGACTTTACAGCGAATGCAAAAGGTTCTTGATGTATGAATTGGGATGGGAACAATTTGACAGTTTATAAACTATTTTCAAGTCCTTGTTCAAGGTCGCTGTACTGGGCATGATTTGCATAGTAATAATATAAAATTTCGCAGACCGCTCTGGAAAAAAATTGTGATTTTTCTGAGCCGGTTGTACGCTACAACATATTTAAATGGGTTATAACTTTATTTTAAATTTTGATTGTGAGACTCGAATTTTGATGTAATATTAGATTATTTCAATGATTCTGAAAAAAATTACTTGTCTGAATTTTATTTTTTTTTCTATCATAGCGGACAGAGAAGGATAAAATAGCGCGTAAGCAAGATGTACACAACTTGCTTTTTAAACGTCGCTATTTTACTAAAAAACTAAGATTATAATCTAGTTTTTAAATGCTTGGAAAGGGATATACAGTACCGTCAGAAAAGATACATAAAAACGCGATTTTGATCACAACTTTCTTAGAAGGAATTCAATTTTCCTGAAAGTTTCTAAAGCTGCTTTTTTCTTTCTTTGAACTGAAACTTCATCAGAGTGATGAAAACAACAGTCATAACATTTCTGGGAAGTTTCAAAAAGATTGAATCCCTTACAAGAAAATTTTGACCGAAACTTTGTTTTTCGAAGTCCACTTTTTATCTCTGACATCGAATGTGGAAAAATCTACTATGAATCTACTATGACTACTACGATTGGAAAAATCGCAACCTGAAAAAGGAAAACTCAAACTATTCAGCGATATTCTTCCGCGGACCAACTCCACGACGATTTCACAGCTGACAAAAGATCGTCTGAAGAACATGATTGCCAATCGCAGTCGCGGGGAATCCAGCGGAAGTCAGAGCAACTTGGTCGGCACTCCACCGAGCCATGCTCCCATTAGCCCTTACGTCAGTCTTGACCAGAAATATCTTCTTCAATCCAGAAAATTTCCAGGTCAATGTATCATCTCCCCACTTCGAGCCTTACCGTTTGCCGTCGAGCTATACAACTGCGAACTCTTCCAATCAGTCTTCAGAGTTTCAGCTTCGAAAGGTGATACTCCTGAAATATGTCGAACCTTCAAAGAAAACTTATCAACTTTCCGTTTCACTCTAAAAAGTGCGATCACGGATCTTTCAAGTGTGATGAATGAAAAAGAGATTTTGAGAGCATTTTTTGAGTTAGAAAGACTCGAGATTCCACGTATTTGCCTTATGGTTTCTTATGGACGGCTCTAAAAATGGGAATTTGTGAGGATTGCCTCACGGGGTCATGATTAAGAACATATTTTTGGACAATTTTGAGCGAATTCTTCAAAAGTCAAATGAAATTTGAGTGGGATTAAAATCAAGAGTTTCATTCTTATCAGATACAGTTCAAAAACCATACGCTTTCAGGTCAACTCGGAGCCAAATCTCAAGATGCGCATTCGAGCCAAACTGCTTTCCAAAGGCTCAAGTCCCGTGCAGCCGCCTCAACAACCGAACAACACCATGTTCAACTTTGCGCATCCGCAATTGAGAAGGTTTGTGAAACTTTATCAAAACATTTCAGACAGTTATTTTCCCAGGAGCGACAGCGAGACGTCGAATATGCCTATCGACACTCTTCTGAATGCCGGCGGGAACAATAACCCCGCTTTGCCGCATCTGATGCTTCCTTCGCCGTCTCTTCCCAATCTGGCTGCTGCCAATATCCCTAGCGTTCAGATTCCTTTAGGTGAATATTCAAATTTTCAGAAAAACCGTATAGTATATTCAGACTTGCCTTCAATTATGGCGGCTGCGAACAACTTGGCCCCCTTCCTGAGCCTTCCAAGTCTTCTGAAAGCGCAGCTGGAACTAGGAGGGATGTCTACCGACGACAACAGCGGACCCGGAGCGCCAAGCTTCTCGACAGCCTTCTCAACAAGGCCTTCTTTCTCAGAACGTCGCTGTCGGCGGCTACCCATCACTTCTGAAACAGCAAATTCGTGAGCTTGTGCTGCGAAGAAAAAGTCTCGTCAAGTTAGAAGCTCATGAGTTAGAAAGTTCAAAGATGGTTTTTGAGGGAGGAGCCAGAAGACGCTGTAGATGAAGGACTTTACGCTGGGCTTCTGCCAGCTAGTCGACTTCAAGTGAGACTTTTTTTGTTTTCTACAGATCTGAAGAAGTTGGTTGGAAATTAACCAAAAGGAGCTTTTCTAAAATGGGAAAATGCGGCATTTTGGATTGAATTCCACTCGGCTTTTCAATAATCTCCATAGTTTGACGTTTGAAAGGTTGTATTGAAAAGGTGAGCTCTTGGTAGAAGCCTCATAACCGAAATATCTTAACACGACAAAAAAATGAGATTCAACAAGTTCATCCAAATCTCTCGAGATAAACTGAAAAATCATTTTACAAAGCATAAAATTGATTTTTCTTGTAGGAACTTTCTGCGGAGTCGATGAAAATGAACTCTCGTGAGTCGCGCGTCACCGGTCTGGCCTACGACTCAGCTATGGCACGGCATGAATGCGTCTGTGGAGACAGTGCCTCTCACGTGGAACATGGCGGTCGTGTCCAGAGCATTTGGGCTCGTCTCATGGAACGAGGACTGACAATCAAGTTTGTTTCATTCTCATCCCATTTCAGTTTCTTTATCTTTTTTTCAGGTGCGAAAAGGTGGTAGCGAAGAAAGCTACCCTAGAGCAGCTCAAATTGGTTCATACTCCAACCTACACTACCTTTTTTGCTGTCTCACCCACAGCTTGTCTCAAAATGGAAGCGAGCGCATTGCCGGTCAAGAGTTTTGTGCAGCTTCCATGCGGAGGAATCGGCGTTGATTCTGACACTTACTTCAACGACGCCAGCACTCAGACGGCCGCCAGAATTGCGACCGGCTCTTTGATTGAGCTTGCTTCACAGGTGAGCATCAGAGGAAAAACTATATGAAAACCAAATTATCTTTTACTTTATGATGAAGTTTCCAGGTAGCTGAAAGTCGACTAAAGAACGGGTTTGCTTGCATTCGTCCCCCGGGTCATCACGCAGAAAAAGATACGGTAATGATTTTGTAGTTGAAAGTTTTCATCCATTTTCATCAGGCTATGGGATTCTGTTTCTTCAACAACGTGGCCATCACCGCCCGCTATCTCCAACAGAAGTACCCCGTTCAATGTGCTCGAATTGCTATCGTCGACTGGGTGAGCTGTTATTGGAACTTGAGAGTAATTCACACGGTTTTAGGACGTGCACCATGGAAACGGCACCCAACTTTGCTTCGAAGAGGATCCTTTCGTACTCTACTTGTCTCTTCATCGTCATGACAACGGAAACTTCTTCCCAGGCACTGGCTCAGTTGTTGAAGTCGGCAAGGGAGCTGGAAAGGTAGTTGAAAACAAACGAGAAAGTTTCATTTTGTGAGAAAGTTGGAAAGTTAGCCGTTTAGGCGATTTTTGCGTGTTTTTTCCTGGTTTTAGAAGTCACCCGTTTTTGAAAAGTGCGGATAGATATGAGATTTTTCCCCTACTTTGACCACTGTTTGAGGTTGATTATCTTCGAGGTAACAGCGCTACAGAAAATCTTTTTCAAGCTTCATGCTTCAAAAACATTTTTATGCAAAAAGCTAACTTAGAAATTTCCATAAATAAGAAACAAAAAAACTCTATTTCAGGGCTTCACTGTAAATGTACCTTTCTCTGGAGACGTCATGCGGGACAACGACTACTTGGCTGCCTGGCGTGGAATCGTTCTTCCGGTTCTCGAACAATACCAACCGACTTTTGTTCTCGTTTCTGCCGGCTTTGACGCAGCTCACGGGCATCCGAATGCTTTGGGAGGGTGAGCTCTTGAAAAAAAATAACTTGTAATCTCAAAAAATCGATTTCAGCTATGAGATCTCTCCGGAACTTTTCGGCTATATGACAAGATCTCTGATGAACTTCGCGAATGGCAAAGTGGTTCTGGCTCTGGAAGGCGGTTATGACCTTGCCAGCATTTCTCGAGCAGCTGAACTTTGTGTCCAAGTGATTGAGATCTATAGAAAAAATGCTAATTTGATTTTTTAGGCTCTCTGCGGTGAAGACCTTAACATCACGAAACTGGCCCCGTCAGCCTTAGAAAATCCACCATGCCTTAGTGCTCAAGAAACGATTCAAAAGGTAGAGTTTTCATTATTTCCATGATCATTCAAAACCGGAAAATATACTAAAATTCCAAAAATTGGGGAATTTGTTAGATTTTTTCTTTCTTCAAAGTTCCGGCAGTTCCAACAAGTCTACAAGAATTAATCACTCAACGGTATTACAGGTGATCGCCATTCACAAAGGGTATTGGCCGGCACTGACGGCTCACAACGGCATCACCACTTCGAGCGAGTTGCAGTGGCAGGCGGTCAAGCACCAGTTGCAGAGCCTTTCAATGGCCTCCTCAAACTAAATCACAAATTTCCAAGGAAAAGAAACAAAGCTTCCCACGTGTCCTACGCATAATGTGCAACAGAAATCAAAACACCCAGATATGAAACAAATGCCCAATTTTAAACTGAGCTTTTTTCCGTTGTTTGAAGGGTATCTTTTCTTTTTATTCACATGTTTTTAGTTATTGGATCATCTTTTTCGTGAATTTTGAGAACGGGATAGTTCATTTCGGCTTCAAGCCCGCTAGTTGACGCCTAATTCAAACGCATAACAGTAAAAGACTTATTCCTCTTTTTTTGATAACCTTCATTTTGCAAGATGTATCATACATAAATATACATAGCTCTACCACAAAATTTGATTTTGCAAGTGTCTCCACCCCTGTGAACTGTAGAAAATAGAGCCAGTTTTTATATTAGAGAAAATCCTCCAACTTTTAATATTTACTTTGCGGAAAAACGGACGGTGGCGCTATCTCACTGTGTGTAAATTTTGAAAAGTTTTCGATCAGAAATTTTTGGATTGTTCCAAGTAAAACTATATACCCTATGTCAAATTTGTTTTATGTTCCTATGTAACCCATCCTCTTACCTTGAATATCATCCCGTGAAACACATATGATTCATTCCCAGCTCTTCTTTTGTAACCTCGTCTCTCTTTGATTCGATTTCTGATTCACTCTGTATTATTCTTCTTCTTCCAACCATCCTCTGACTGTTGTGATTTTTGTACCCTATCCAAGCAAAATGATTCAGGTTCACCCAATACTACCATTTTCCATTCATTATCTCAAAAAGTCCTAATATACACATATGGCTTGGATACGGTGCTCGGGTTTAGAACTCTGACAAAATGTTTCGTTCATTTTTCATTTTGAACCCTTTTGCATCGACCAAATCATTGTTCCCTGTCTAAAATAATTTTCTCTTAAGATGTAATCTAAAAGCTCTTGTTCCGTATAACCGAAACGAATCAATTACATTATCAACTGTTTTTCGTTCGATTTTATGCTGTTTTTTTTCTCTACAGTACCCACAGTTTATTGTACTTTTCAGCGCAAAGTAGCTGTTTGTATAATTTTCATTTGATTCTCCGTATCAGATTTTATCATTTTTATAACTTGCTAATTCGCGAGAAGAGATAAATATTTTTTTGATAAAGGTGAAAAAAACCACTATTCTTCTCATACAGGACGTTTTCTGGTAAAAAAATGGATGTTCATTTATTTGAATCTGACATTGAATTTTTTTGAAAAAAATTTAGGTTGAAGCACGCTCTATTGTTTTTTATCTTAACGAAATCTACAGGGATAGCTGAGCCTTCTTCTCACAAAAATTACAGTTTATCACGGATTATATTCCTTGAATAAACTATTAAGTTCCTTTAGTTTTAGATCTTCCCAAAACAGTTTTCAAGAAGAGAAGATTAAGAATCTTGACTTTTCCCTTATCAAAGTTCAAAAATGAATGAATTGTACAGAATCTGCATCTTTCTAATTTTAGAATCAGCTTGAATGTAAACTCTGTACTTGCAGGCATGGATTTTAACCTAGGTTTAACCTGAAATTTTTCTTGATTTCTCAAGGATCGAAATCTTCTCTTCATTAAGAGTTGACTAGTCGAATATTGCTCGAGGTCAGATATGATTTTATGCTTCTACTAGATTTGAAGCTAAATTTTTTTAGATCGACTTCGACAAAAAAATTTCGTTTGGTTTTCTTCAACCCCTTCTAAAATACTGGCAAAAGGAAGAAAATTGGAGTTCCTCCTAGTCGAGCGGAGTAGAACGGAGCAAAAAAAGCGCGGCATTCTTGCTCGTATTTCTTAAAATGTGTCTCTTCCACTCACGAATCCGACGACGTTGGTGTCCCCTGCCTGCCTCTGCTGTTTTCGCTGAGCCTATCGACTGGCCTCAGCTTTTCCTTTTTACAACTCCGAGTTTCCCACCCACTTACAAATTTCGTGCTCAGCCGGGTCTCCCTTGAGCTTCAGTTTTTTTTTCGTTTCTGGGTGAAGCTTGAGAGGGTCGAATGCCAAATCTTGCCGACCTAAATGCGGCGAGTCTGAAGATATTTGTCTTCATTTGAAAATTTTTTTTGCACTGAACTCTTGACTCAAAGGATCTCAGGGGCCTTTTTATGGTATTTTCATAATTTGTTGAATATTGAAAAATTCATCAGCCTCTCATATTTTTGACCACATGGATATAAGATTATTCAGATAAAACAAAAATAAAAAATTAAATTTACACTTTCGAGAATTCCGTTTTTGAAGAAAATCTTACTTTAGTACATTCATCGTTGGCTTGAGAAAATTATTAATTGTTGCCAAAAACTGTGCAAAAAATTGAATATCAGGTCTCTGTAGTTTTTTCAAGCTAGTGGTAGTAGGTAAAAAAAACTTCTGACTCCAATAGTTTATTTTAAAAGCCAAATCACGCTTTTTCAAGTTCTCCTGTTCAAGAAAGACATTGAAACGCTGAAGTAATTTGGTGCAGATCCCTTCATTTTGAAAAATAGCTAAAGCTCTGAAATTTGAACTTTTTGCGTCTGAAACTTGAATACTTTGTCTCAAATCCTCCATTGTCATTATTCCCAAAACCCCTTCTGTTCTTCAAACATGCCGTTTTCGCATTCACAGTGGCGCTGAGCCGCGTTTTTCGAGGCCACTTGTTATTTCGGTACGGTGCGTCGGCGGCAAAATGTTGCAGAAAAGCTTTAACGAAGGATTAGGAGAGCCGAAGTGCAATCGCCGAAGTTTGGAAAATGTTTTTTTTCTTCTTCGAGAAGGCTCACAACTAGCAAATGCAGTGCGCGAGGAGCGTGTCAGTAGCACTCTCGTCGGAGTTTTTCGCCGAGGCCGTTTGGGTTAAAACGACGGCGACAGAGGCGAAAGATGGCCGCAAAACGAATTGGCACGCCGGAAGTTGCGCGCCTTTCACGTTGCTCCGTTTTGCAAGCAGTCGTTTTAAACTTTGATGAGATAAGATTTGTCCTGTACTCCATTGATTTTGAATTCACAAGTTCAGAAGGCCATGCTCGGGAAGTCGGCTTAAAGGGATAGGCTCAAAAAGCGTGCTGAAAAGCAGCAAAAAGAGTTCCTTTATCGAACCTTGAATCTTTTTTAGTTTTTTAAAGGCTCAAGAAATAGTGAAAAAAGTGAGAAGCAACAAAAAAGGTGCATAAAAGCCGATAAAATGGCATAAGGGGCTGAAAAAATAAGCCTTTTTCACCCTTTCCAATTTTGCCCATGAAATGTGATCAAGAATAAAATCTTCTGCTTTTCTATAGTTTTATAATTTTGGAGAAACCCTAGTTGGGAAATAATCCAATCAGTCTTATCAGTTCAGTGAATGCCACAAATTAGTTTCCGACTATTCAATCTTAACGGCGTCTTGCGTCAGCATTATTAAAGTCCTTTTTCGAAAAAAAAATAGTCCATTATTCAGACGGCCTGAAAACTAACTGCAGCGACCACTGAGCCGCATTCCCATAAACTAAACTGGAAGGCTGCATCAGCGATAAATGTTTTGCCATCCCACACTCGGCACAAATCCTTTCTCCATCCAAAGCTCGAGGGAAAAGGAGTGAAAGTAGAAGAAGAAGAGGAAGAAGAAGAAGAAGAAGAAGAAGAAGAAGAAGAAGAAGAAGAAGAAGAAGAAGAAGCGGGACACAATGCAATGCTTTCCAGCGGTAACCCTAGACGCCCCGTATTCAGCAAACGTTTGCGTTTGCATTCATTGGACGCAACTTTCGAGGAAGCGCCTCTTTCTCTTGTTTTGGCTCCCACCAGACTCCTAAACAATTTCGACGACGTCGCTGCTCTTTACTCTTTGCCGCCGTCTCAGCATTGTTTGTAGAACAAGCGATTTACTCTTCCTTTTCATTTAACCTTTTTTGTAAAGTTTGCCTTTCTGCTTCATAAAGTGATCTTTGCCGTAGACATTTCAAACTTTGAACTCAAATTGACTTTTTTGTTCTCGATGGACTTTGATCGAAGTACGCGGATGCCTTGATTGGAAAAGAAATTCATATCTTTTGCACAAGTTTGAAAGTTTATACTCGCTTCAAAATCAATGAGAAACATTTCCCCCCACAATTTGAACTTTTGCTGAAAAGGTTTTTTTCGAATTTCAAACAGTCTTTTTTCCACGAAACGAATTTTTCGCCGAGCAAATATAACACTTGCAAGCCTGTTTCAACTTCTGTATACTATCTATTTCAAATGCTATGAAAATTCGGGAAGACTTATTCAACGGTTTTTTTTTCAGTTCAAAAGTTAGCTCTGCGACAAAAGGTTGTTTTTGGTTGCACAATATTGGTTGTGCTTCCAATGAATGCATCTGGAGATGCAAAGAATTGCCGCCTCTCAAGCAAACCAAAAAAATTCTATTCTTCTTGGAACGTTTATTCAATGCCAATGAAAATTAGATTCAGAGCGGCTCTTTAGTCCATTCATCGCATTTTCTGAGATAATATTTAGGAAGCTGAAAATTTGATGTTCAGAAGTTTTTGTATTAGTTTTCTGAAAAATAGCGGTGAATAGAGTCTTCTGAAGACCACTTGCAGGCCATTTGCAATTCAAACGTTCATCTCAAAGAAATTGTTTCTCTCAGTTCAAAATTTCTCTCAAAGAAAACCAAAAAAGCTTTTTTTTCAAAATGCGCATTCAAAAAGGAAATTTATTTGTATTTGTCTGAAAATGTTTTTCGAAACCTCAAGGGTGTCATTAATCCCTACACCTCTAGTAGCGATTTTCACGCAAAATAGGTTGAAAAATTATTTTTTTGGTCAAAAAAGTTCACCATCCCAGCTTGGCAAACAAAGCAGGATGGAAATAAAAAAGAAAAACTAATTTGGGGATGCATCCAGTATTTCCGTTTCCCTGTGGCACATCTGTCCGCTTTGTCCCTGCTTCAGCGCCATGTTTTTCCGCTCTTCGCCGTGACCCTTCTTGCTACCCACAAAACTTCGTGTTGTCTTCAACGGCACTGACTTCTTTTGAAATATTGTCAGATATTGAGGATACTTCCTTTTCTTATTCTTCTCTTTTTTCTGGTCTCTTACAGCTTTTGAGTTTGGTGGAACATTAGAAAAGTAAGTAAGGTTGTGAAAAACGCAATTATGATCAAGAAAATTTCTGTTTCTCATTTTTTTTCAAACACTTTTTTTTTACTCTCCATGCCTTAATATTTAGTTTTTCATTCAGTTGGCTTCAATCAGAATAATAACACCCTTCAACATTTTTTTTAGATTTTCAAGTTTATTGATCGTGAAATTTCCAAGCTTCGGCTCAAACTTTTCCTCAGGAACTTCAGAAATAGACCTTTTTTCAGTTCTTAATGCTTTTTTTTTCAAAACTTACTCATTTTCCCTACCTGCAAGTTTTCTAGATTCGAATGTCTGTACCTGAAAACCCAAAATTGTTCCTGAACAAAAACTGCGAGAGGAAACTCCTTCTCCTTCCTTTTCTTCTTCTCCTTCTCAACGATTTCTCAAGGTCGTTGCGATTCGCTCGGTGTTTTTTCTTGTGCCTCTCGGTTTTCACTGCTGGGAAAATACTCAAACCGACCTATTGGACCTCTTTCGAATTCAACTTTCTCTTTTTCATTGGATTTTATTTTCTTGAACTATTAGTCGATTGATCATTCACCATATCGAATAAACAATGAAGAATAAAAAACAATGCTGTTTTTAAAACCTTCCGCTATTATATTCAAGATCGTCATCAAATGTAGTCGCGAGCCTGCACTGAATACATATAATTACGAAAAAGTTAAAGTTTGAAAACTAACGAACGGATGTTTAGAAACATTCAACCTGACGTTCTGCGCTCAAACAAAACATTAAAGCCTCTTTTTTGTCGTTAAAACCTTGACGCATTCCCACGTTATCACGTTCAAAATCACACAGGTATTTTGGGACAGGGTATTGAAAAAAGGAAAGAACACTGAGTGCTCATAGAAAATATCACAACCGGTGAAGCCTGAGAATGAGCCGACATGGGAGGGGCTGTTGTCGTCGTCTCAGCTCTTTGATAAATCAGTTGACCAATCGATTTCCTTTTGCGATCTCTTGGTGACCGATCATTGTATACAAATTTCGTTGCGGGTAATGGACGTGCGCGACCAGCCGGCCGTCTATTTGGCGATACGGCTGCCGACTCAACTTATGAATGAATGGACGCAAGTCGTCCACCGCTTTATGTCTGCTCAAAACGTTCCCATCATGCTTTTTCATCTTTTCCCAGTGATTAAGTAAAAAAAATCAGAGTTGCTAAACTTCTAAGTTTAACTACTTCCTCTTTCCCTTTCAAAAGCGTAATCCCTTGAGTTTGAAATTTGCCTAGAAGATTTCCGAGAAGTTAAAGTTTCGGTTCAGAAACAGCAATTTACAGACCCTTTCATTTTTGAAAATGAAAATTCCCACACCAAAATACTTACTATTTTTTACTTCACGAGGAGAATTGATTTCTAATCGACCAAATGCTTTGGCATCTCAGAACAGGTGTTCCCTGGCATTAGTGACAGCTGATCTGCCTGCGAAACTACTGTTCTCACCCCGTTGAGACTCCAGTCACAGCTCTGGCTTTTTTGACTTTCCTCCTGCTCAAAGACTTCAATTTTCATGAAGTTTAGCAGTTTTTTTTCTCTTGCTTGAGCGCATTTTCAAGTTCACATCTGTCTTGCGGCGTATTCTTCCGCACCGGTGCTCTTTTCCATACGCCGTTTTATTTTTCACGCACTTCACACTTGAATTATTCTCAAATTTATACTTTTTTGTCCTTGGTTTTTTGGAATTTTCCCGTTTCAGTGCCACTTTCTTCATTTGTAATATCTTCTGGAAAATTTAGCTTTTTGGGGAGTGATTTTTAAGTCATTAGACGTATCCAATATCCGATCATTTCCGGAAAGTATCTGAACCTCATTTTCACCTAAACAGATTCTGAGTAAGATTAAGTTTTCATAAGAACCCATCGACACTGTTAGTTCAATTTAAACTAAATTTAGAAAGTTAAGAGGTTTCGCTAAGCGGAAAACCTTATCTCAAAGTATTGCAATAAACGGTGTTTGAAGACCAACAACGCAATAAGCGACGTCAAAAGAACGATAAGAAAACGAATGTTCTCCAAGAAGGCAATCATACCTCAGCCAGAAAGATAAAAATGCACCTAGGAAATTCTATTACTCGATATCGTTGGCGATTACTCCACGTCTTACTTCATCTTGCCATTTTCCACTTTAGCTTGTCTGCGATGAACTATTTTTGAGAGGGTTTTCAAGACTGAGAGGTATTTGTAAAAGCTTTTTTTTTGAGTTTGAAACAAAAAGAGCCTCAGTAAAATCCTTTTTGTAAAAGCTCTTAGGTTTTGAGGCCCCAGTCACCAAAATGTTTTTCTTCTTTCCAGCCAAACTGCAGCACTAAAAACACCCAAGAGTGTTCTATTTTGCGCTTTTTTGAGATCCTATCTAGGCCACCTCTTAAAGCGGTGATTTACGGAGTGGGTTGAGACGACCCATGAGCACATCACGCCATCTTCGGGCACGACATCCAATCTGAGTGCGAGGCTCGTTTATTGAGAGAGAGTTTTGGAGAGATCCTTTTTTGAAACCTTTGAATTTTTTCGAGTCAAGTGTAGATCGAACATTTTTGAATATTCTAATTTTAAACATCTTTTTTCTGATCCGCTTTTTCTTTATTCTCTATTTTTTTTAATCTACTTTCTTTGAAGCGGTAATGAAACGTTCCTTCCACTCTTTTCAGAAGCAGATTTGATAGGTTTAATAGAAGCAAACAGTCAAAAACTACTGTAAAAGGGTCGGATTCTCTCATCCATTTCAAATTCAAATTTTACGGTCCACCAAGTCGGCTACTGACAGTATACTACAGATGACTGGTTATACGGTTATTTTCGTTCCACGCTTGTCAGTTCGATTACAGGCCCCATCGCTCTCCTCTGCCATCGAAATAACAACGGCGGTGTGCAAAAAACAATTGTTCTCTCACCGGAAACCTATCCAACCCATCCAATTGCAATCGTCCCCCGTATCTTTTGAATCATGGCCTATGAGATAGATTCTTGAGTGGGATAAGATGATGTCATGAATTCGGAGAAGCGCGAAAGTTCAAGGTCAATATGAACTAATTTTCAGTACAGGCAACGATTTTCCATTGATTTTATTCATCTCTTTGTGCGATATTTTTTTATTAAAGGTTCTAGTTTTTGTGGCCTTTCCATTTCTGTTTAATCTCAAAAAAATCGACCAAAAAACGGAATCCGATAATTTCTTGATTCCAAAGATCAGAAGACAGCTGTCGCTTTTAATAGTGATGGGAAAGACACAAAGATCGAAAAATCAAACATTTTAGAACAAGGTTTTTTTTATTCGCTCATCAATCTTAGCTCATGAACCAATTTAGAAAGTTCGCTAGACCTTTGATAACTGCGAACATTACTCATTAAGAATTTCAGATGGAAAAAAATCAAAAAAATCATAAAAAAATTTTTTTCCCTGTCACTCCAGATGGTCTTGGAAGCTGATTTGGCCCATTGGCCTATATTTTCAAGTAGTCCTCTATAGTCAAAACTTTTTTTTTCACTACTCATTTTTTCAAGCTGCGTGAGTAAAACATCACTATTATTGTTTCCCTACACATCTCAAAAAAAAAGAAACGAAATTGTAAGCTATTGAGTGCTGGCTGTGCATGTGTGTCACCCAATACCTGTGCGTGTTCTTTTTCGCCCGCCCTCGTTGTATTCGGTGGCTGTTCTCCGTTGCTGATTCAATGAATCTATACGTCAGATCGAGCTACTTTCTGCTTGCGATTTCTTCTTCGATATTTGCCCTTGCGGTCGTCCGAAATCGCGGCTTGAGAAATCGCGCCCGCCGTTTCATCTATGTCTTTTTGAGTGCTTCGACGTAAATCTCAGTTCATGTGCAAACAAACTTGTTATAGAGACAGGGATATACGAAGATTTTCAGTTGGGAATCAGTTAACGTTTTGCAAGTTTTTTTTTCTTGAAACAGTGATATCACATACACTGAAAAAATTTTCTGAAACTTCAAAGTCCTTTGAAAATGTTACTTTTTCATCTAAAAACTATGAAGGAAAGAGTAAATAATTATTTCTGGGGTTCATTGAAAGGTTTTTTGAAGTGTAGCTATATTTTCAAAGTTATCTCAACGAAGGAGATTGAATCTTTTTGACGATATTGACAGGAAAAATCTCCCAAAATGAACAAAAATCTTCTTGAAAGAAACTTTTCAGGTTTTCCGCGCACAAGGCAGTTACAGGCAGACCTTGTAAGACCGATAAAAATCTTCATTTCATTCTTGTTTCCTATTTTGGCAGCCTGGGTGTCGTTTTTTTCTCGTCCATCGGGCATCACTTGTAATTTCCTGTCGCCGAAGACCTTGTCTGGTTCTAACCTTCCTAGTTCCGTCTCTTCTACGCTACTTTCTATCATATTTCTACTCTTTTTCCGAATAGGTTCGAACATCAGGGTAGAAAGGAAACCTTTTTCAACCCATTGACGTAGGGCTTATCTGTGATGGCAGTGTCAGCCGGTCTTAAAAACCCTTATCATTCACCGGCAGCCATTCTTTCTTGATTCTGTAGACGTTGCGGGGTTTCTTATCATCTTGAGCTTCAACCTAAGTTTAAAGTAAGTCTCGAACGTTTTCTACATTTTTCTGAGGATTTTTTTCTAAACAAAAAAAAACTGATTAACCCCATGAAGGACAGACTGAATAAAATACTATGTTGTGAAAATTAAAATATTAAAAGATAGGCTCCTGAAAATTTGTTTAGCTCCTCAGTTCTTCCGAATATGGATGTCTGAGTATGAAAGGTTCCGAAAATTTTTATTTTCCCTTCCACTTCTTTCAATATATAACTTTAATGTTTCAATTGACTTTAAGAAGTTTCGCAGCCTCGCACAACTGTCTTTTCTTACTCATCGTAGCTGCGAATTTTTGGATTAACTAGATTAACTTCTTGTAGATCCCAGCTGAAACAAGTATTTGAAAAAAAGCTGTAAACACTCGAAAGAGGTGATTTGTACATTTTTCTTGAAGTTATAGTAAATACTGGAAATTATTTATTTTGGAAGACTCCACAGTGGGTCAAGACTTTGGAAAATCTCAATTTTTTTTTCGTTGCTTTAAAAGAAAAATTGCCTTAGGGCACAATGGTTTCGCACTGTAGATTTCGTTTCTGAGAAAATCTCAAATTTTTAACTGTAGGAGCAAAGCCTACATAAGTTCTTTGAAACTGATAATTCATGAAGTCTGCAAGCTTCAAGATTCATTTACTATAGACCTTCCATCGTGAAAAAGATTTTTTTCTTCGAAAATTTGGCCCTGAAATCTTTGGCTTATAAGATTTCAAGATTCTTATTTTTTTTCAATATAATCGGGTGACTGTTCCAACGCCAGCTAAAAAAAGAGTAGAAGCTGAAATTTTATTCCAGAGAACTGTAGGAAGCTCTCAGACGCTCAAATAGAAAAGCATTGACCGGAACGACGTCGACGTGAACCGTCGGTTGAAGTTTAGATGCTCCCTGGCAAAGTGGTGCCTCGACAGAGGCGGGCCGCTGGCGAGCGCAGAGTGATGAGAGAGAAAACGACCGGCGGCCGTCTCCCACCAACCGACGCACCTCATTTTCGTTTCACTTTGTTTGCCAGGGCACGAGTTTAGCAGCTTGTTTCTCAAAAAAAAAGTGCTGGGAGTTCACTCGAATTTTTTTTCGTCTTGCCAGTCCTCCTCCTACTGGCAAACCCCTACACGAAACTCAGACTCGGCCGTTGCTCGCGTCAGCGTCGAACCGTTCTTTTTTTTTGCTCGCAAAACGACGCCCAACGGTTTCACCAGCTCTTTTGTTGTCTACGGTAGCCTTTGTTTGTATTCATCAAGTTTTTGAGCTTTTTTTGAGTTTTTTTCAAATTTTTTTCACTTCTGTTTTTTTCCAGAGAAGAAGAAACTGAATTTTTTATGTTTTTTTTTTGAAGTTCAGCGATTTTTTAATTTCCAGATTTTCTGAGTTATCCAAGCAGACGGAACTGACGTTCTTTTCTGTTTGTTCAGTGCAAAACTTCAAGAAATTGTTACTTATCCTTTCTCAGATTTTCAAAAGGTTTGAAATTTCGAACTGAAGGCATCCAGAAAACTTGAAGCTTCTTATTGAAAAAAAAAATCGATGCAAGAACGGCAGTTCTTCCGCCATAGATTATTTTAATGACTCGTGCTCAAAATGTGTAGAACATATGTGAAGCGTTTATGGAGTCGCGCGAGGAAATTTTCTCGCCTTCGTCCCTCTTTTTCCGCTTTTTGCCATATGCTTAAGTTCCCGCGTCGCCTCTTTTCTTTTTCGTTTATTTTTCTTTGGAGTTCAGTTTACGTGAATATTCCGATGTAAAAAGGCATTTTTCAGGCAATCCATCACCAACCGGACGGTCTACTAGTCAACTTGCGGTAGAAAAAAATCGAAGGCGTCATTCGAAATTTAGTCTGATATTTAACAACTTTTTTTACTTTTCACTACCAGCCCGCCGAAATGTCGAAGGACAATGCTATTGAAGAAAATACGACGGTAAGCTTTTATTCTTTCAAAGTTTATATCGAGCTTCAATGATCGTGAAATCTTGTAGAAGGGGGAAAAGGAACATGCATATATTTTCCACATGTTAGCTCAATTCAAAAAAATCTCCAATAATCACGTTATCTTTATATTTTTCTTCGATGGTAGTCTCAAAAAACGGATATTTGAATTAATCGCAGCTTTATGGCTAGACTTCTTCCTAGCCAACATGAAACGTTGCGTGCTCGAATATTTCTTCCTGTTTATCATATCAGTTGCTTCGCTATCATTCACTTTCCCAAGTTTTTGATTTAGTATCCCGAACTCTGACATGTACGCTTTTATTGTTACTTGGTTTCTTCCAAGTTGAAAATTTCTTTTTGATTTGCAAACATTTTTTTTGTTAATAAATACGGGATAAATTAGAAAAATTTCATGTGGAGAAAAAAAGTTCATAAGTTTTTCAGTTTTTCAGAAATATATTTATTCTCTCTATAAGATGTCAGTCACTAAAAATCTGAATCTTCTCGAAATAGCTATAAAGCGCTCCAAACGCTCAATTTTGCCGGCTCCACTCTCTATGAACACAGCGAATATTCACTATTTTTCTGCGAGCCGCATAGATTTTCGACTCAAAATTGGACCAACGCATTCAGCGGGCTTTCCTCAGTGGGATGCGTGCGAGTTTTGAGCTTTTTGAATTGAATGAGTATGAGCGGTCGCGCCAAAAGACTCTCCTATGAATAAACTGATGAGAAAAGAAAACGCGCGCTAGCGAGAGACGAGGCTCGCCGTGGAGAGACCACAAGCAAAAGCCTTCGCTTTTACGTCATGCCAAAGGAGAAGACTGCTTTCTTGCGGTGACGTAATCGATCCTTGGTTGGACACACAATTTCAAAATTTAATGCTTCGCGCTTGAGTACCGCTACAGTGTTGTTAGTTGATAGAGCTTTGATGAAAAAGGGGGAATTTTCACTCCTCATGCCATGTAGGGAATAAGAAAAAGTACTCAGAAATAGAAATTCATGGGCTTTTAACGGTAGATAAAGATGTTCAAAACATGACTAATCTGCGTTCCTCGGACCTCGAGAAAACAAATTATTCAAAAAGTGAGATGGAAGCTATTCCGAGCATAGACGACAGAGAGTTACGGCAACCAGAGGTTTGCGTATAAAGAGAGAGTGTGTGCGTTTGACGTAATCGATCCCTGGTTGGAGGGAACAAATATCTCAGTGAGCCGCTCAGCGGAAGTCCTTTCGAAAAGCAACTAATCAGTTGGATGCACCTCTTAACTTTATTACGACCATAGAGTCTGAATTTTCCAGCTCTCCAAAAGTCCCAACGAAAATTTCCACTGAGTGAAAAAAGTTGACTCGGAATACAAATAGCAAAAAAATCGTAGTCTTTCCAAGCCATATTTAAAATGAATTGGGTTTTTCCTGTTAAAATTTTCTAGTTCCTGAATTTTTTCACTTGAGAAATCGCTATCACAGGCTGTTTCTTAGGGATAACTTCTCGATATAATATTTATTCGATTTTTCTAGGTCATTATAAATCTCAAAACGAAAAAAATAACGTTCAAATCACGTTCATATGAAGCGTTAATGAAAAACGAACTTTTTTCCAAAATTTCTTTTTACAAGAATAATTGATTAATTTTCAGTTAATGAATGGGAATCACAAACCAGCGGAAGAAGAATCATTCAGCAAGTTCTTGTATAACAGAGAACGCGGCACCGTGCTCGGGAGAACCGGAGCTTCTTGGAGTTAGTCAAAAAATCCGATCCAACTATAAATTGATTATTTTCAGTTCAAATTACCGTATTTTACATCATTTTCTACGCGTTTCTCGCTGCGTTTTTCGTCGCTTGCTTGGCAATATTCCTGAAGACATTGGACCCCAAAGTGCCTCGTTTCTACGGCAAAGGCACCATCATCGGCGTTAATCCTGGTTCGTATAGTTTTTCAGCTTTTGGAGGGGTCGAGTTTGACGCAAAAAAATTATAATCGCATTACGATATGGTTAATCCTATGTTATCAGTTAATGGAGAGATGCATTATGAAGCTATCGATAAGAATTTTTATGAGCAGATTTTATAGTCTAGAATTGCTTCTGAACCATTCATTTGAGAATTTTTGGAATTTCAAAAGATAATGAAGGAACGTGGACCGTATCTTTTTCGAAGATTCTTGATAGCTTCAATTTCTGAGAGAAAACCTCAAGTTTTGATATTTTGATATCTTTCTCAACTGATAAGGAAAGCAATACTAACAGGTCATTTTACTTTACGGTCGGGAATTTCTTGAGAATTGGCCAGAATACTTCTTGATGTACTAGAAAAATATTTTGGATGTTTCAACCTGCACAAGTTCCTAGTTTTTTAGAAATTCTCCAAAATAGCCAATTTAATGAATTTCGAGGGCTTCCTCTAACTTTTGGGCGTCTTTTCTCAAAATTTTGAGACTTCCAGAATTTTCTTCTGATTGCAACCGCAAAGTAAAATAACCTTCCTTATAAGGCATTCCACATAAAGATATAAAGTTTGAATCAAAGAAACGAAAGAAATTTAAAGTTCTGTTCCGATACTCAAATCTTCAAGCATACGGAAAATGATCCCTTTAGAAAAGAGAAAGAGTAAATAACTGTCGGACTTTGACAAGTGAGCAAATTGAACGCAATGGATACGTGTTTGTATGAGAAGACCACTTGAGATTTGTTGCTTTAACACTTGTCAGCGGTAAAATGATAGAAAAAAAAACGGAGCCGCCGAGAGTCTCAGTCTATTTTCTTCCCGCCATTTCTTTTGTTTCTTAAAAACAGCAGGCTTTCTGGTATCAGTTGAGACGGCTCTGACGCACGTGCAAGCCTGATTTTTCAAAAATAGCCGGAACAACAATTTTTCACGGCCAGTGGAGCAGATAACAGACTATACACATACGAATCAGAAGTGGTATTTCTTTCAAAAAAAAAAACCTTCAAAAATTTCTTTGTTATATCTCCACTGAAACTGTGAAAGAAAAACGCTCACTGTAATATTTGAAAGCAAAGGAAAACGTGGCTGATGATAAAAATAGGTTTTTAAGTGACTTTACTTTTTTGAGTGTCTTCCTGTATTTTTTGATTGACTTTCAGGTTTTCAAGTGTTTCAAGAACACAGCGAAACATTTTTTGATGCTTTCATAATTTTCTTTGAGCTGTACTTATAACTGAAATATTTTTTCATGAAAAAGAGGTATAAACCTCTTATTTTCGAGCATTGTTTCCTATACACGTTTTTTTAAACTTTAAATAACTGCGTTGAAAATTGAGAAACGTTTCAAAAAGCTTCGGTAAACGTATACATAAATTCATGGTTTAAAAAAAAACGGAAACCGCCTTTTAATATCAAACTTGATATAAAAAAACTAACGTATGAAAAATTCACCACTATTGCACTTTAATTACACTCAACGGGGCTTCACTCATAGCACAATGAGGGTTCACTCTTCACAAGGGTTCGGCGTGAAGGAAAGAACTTTTTTTTGAATAATTTCTCTTCTGCGAGTAGCTCTCCAAACTCGAATCCTAATGCGCTGGCACAACAAAAAAGCCTCAGGGCCAACCACATTTGGTTCCCAAATCCAATTTACTCCGTCTTTTTCGGGGGGTTGCTTGAGTTCACGAACAACTTTCTCAAGCATGGTCGCCTCAGGGGTTGAAGGCTCCGTTTTTGTTGTGTTGGAGAATGGAAAAAAGGACATAAACTTTGATTTCTAAACAAATTCATTTTTTTCTTAACGTTTCAGGAGTCGGATATCAGCCATGGTTGAAGGAAAACCCGGACTCGACCCTTATCAAATTCAACATTCGGGATCCTGAATCTTGGGCGCCATATGTCAATCAGGTTCTTCTTGAAATAATAATATTATTGAATAGATTTTTTTGTATTTTTTTCCTCCGTTTGGTAAGAACATTTCATTTAGCAAGTTATTCAATCTGATGAAAAAAAGCGTTAGAGGAAAACCAAATTTTCTATAAGTTCGTTGATTCAATCAAACAGATAAATCAATACAAAAATTTTTTTCGTAGAACAAGTGGAAACGATTTTTCAGATCAACGGGTACTTGGACAAGTACAACAGAACGGACCTGACCCGTGAATGTGTCGACGATGAGGACAACACCGCCCTCGAAACCGCCAACGACGCTTTGGTAAGACTCGAGTATTAAAAGTTTGATTCGTAATGATTTTTTCAGCCTTGCCGCTTCGATCTCAGCATTTTCGACAAGAACGCCTGCAGCGCACGAACTCAATATGGATTCAAATCTGGATCTGTAAGCGTAATTTTCTTCGTTTAAAAATCAAAAATGACTTCTCAGCCCTGCGTCATCATCTCTTTGAACCGTTTGATTGGCTGGAAGCCAGTGAATTACCCAGCCGGGTCTGTTCCGGAGGAGGTGAAGAGCCGTTACAAGGAAGGATCTATCGCTATCAACTGCAATGGAGCCGTTAGTTCCATTCTTTCCTCAAGTTCCAAAACGAGCTTTTTAGAACCACGTCGACCAGGAGCACATCGGAAAACTGAAGTACATTCCTGAGAACGGTATCGACGGACGTTTCTATCCCTACGTCTTTACTCCTGGATATCAGCAGCCAATCGTGAGTGGCTGACAAAAAATTCTTTAAAGGAAATTTTGTGGTTTCATTGAGAAGTTATCCTTTTCCTGAAAGATCTGATCACAATAAAATTATTTCGATTTTTCGGAATCATTTTATCGTGATGAGAAAAAAACTGGTGTAAAAGTAACTTATCTGCTTAGAGTTACAACGGACGATTTTTTTAAACTTCTATTCATGGTCCTGAAGTTTACGGATCTTTCAGAGCGCAGAGATTCAATTTGTGAGCTAAGTGAAGTTTTTTTCATCCTTTTTGAAACAGCAAATTAGAATATCTATAGATTTTAAAAAAAAATTTTACAGATTTTTTTGCCGTTGAGTGAACAAAAAAAGCCAGAAAAATTAAAAAAAGGCTATAAGAACTTTTTTTCTAACAGGCCATGGTCAAGTTCGAATCAATCCCTCGCAACAAGCTGGTGATCGTCGAATGCCGCGCTTTCGCCCTCAACATCGAACACGACATCAGCACCCGACTCGGCATGGTCTACTTCGAAGTGTTCGTCGAGGACAAGCCAGTCGTCCCCCGTACTGAACCTCAATAATCCATTCATTCCGGACTTCTCCACTTCCATTCTCACACCTTACGTCATCTTTTAGCATTTATGAATGAAACAAAAAAAAATCGGAAAAAAATAAACAGAAATCGTATTTGAAATGTGTGCACCCGGCGACTTTTCCCCCATTTATCTTATTGCTCACTTGTGTAGGTACCTTACCTTTATTCTGTTTTTGTTTCTCGAAAAAACCGCTTCCGAAGTGTTAGAATCATCAGCGACATCAATAACCACATTTCCCGCATTTCATGTTATTCACGCCTCGTTTAGGAATTTCTGTGAAGATCCTTATTATTTCCATTTGCACGAATTACATTGTCTACGTTATGTTATTTTTCCTAGAGGGTTTGTTTTTTGATAATTTTCTACTTTTATATTCTGATTTTCATTTATCGTATCAAGCCTTTTTTTGGGCGGTTTAGTTATCAAACTGTGAAGAGTCTTGATTTCATCGTTGCATTCAACGAAGTCCACTTTTTGGCTCAGTTCTCTTGATTTTCAGAAAAGCTCTCGTGAACACACATTTTCTTTTGCAGCTGAAAAAAAACGAAAGGTTCAAAAAATCTGTATTATTTGGGCTGCGAAGGCAGAAACTCATCTCGAAACAATTCCAGAAATCTACGCATGAACTTAAGATAATACTCTCCCATTCTATTCCCTCTACTTGAAATTTTGATGATCCCCTGCGAGTTTAGAGTTCGGGCTTGACGTAACTCTGAAAAGTGAAGCTGATTTTGTCTGATAGCCTTTTCATTTATGTTCTTATATTCCTTAGTTTTAGTCATTCGAATCGTTTTGCTTATTTGTTTTACTGATAAAAAATTTTGAAAAATGACTCTTTGATTATATGTTTGTTCTAAAGCTCTAGAATCTGAATGAAAATATGTCCAAGCCGCCACTGGCGCAAATTTTCGATTATTGAAAAATTATTCTTTTTTGTTTTTCAGCTCAGGTGCAAGGTGTAATAATGTGATTAACAGGAAACCATTTATAACCCTCATTTCTATTTTGGTCATGCCAGTTGAAAAACTGACCCAATAGACTAGAAAAACTCAGAAAACGGCTTCAAAAATGTCAAAAATCAACAGAAAGGAGCTTTGAAGCCGTCGATGGTAGGAGCTGTGCAGACCCAGAACCAAGAATCGGCGTGGTATTGGACGGTTTGAAACGGGGTTGGCATTATGGATAGATAACGGTTTGAAGAATCCATAGGCAGCCATTTGAACGGCAACGATGAGCCGCTGGGTACCGGGTTCCTAAGAAGAATAATTTTTTATCGTTGAAAAAGTGTGATTTCTTATAATCTTATAAGCCGGAAGGGTTTGTATCATCGACTCGACGGTTTTTCCTCCTCAAAAAAATGTCTTCAAACTACATGCCTTTAATTAGGCTGATTCCCGTTTCAACCAAAAGTTTCAAAAAAAAAAATGATCATTTCAATTTGGCCATGAAACACTATAGTCTCTTCTTTTTTAAAAAAATTCAAAAACGTTCTCATTTTTAATGACTTAGGACATCAGCACGTAAATTCAAAAAGGTGTGTTGTCCTCTTTAAGCGAACCCCAAAAAAAAATCATAATTTTTGACTCACCCCTGTTTGATGAAGTTGACCCAAGTTTGACCCATGTAACTTCTAATCTGATTATCTTGTACTTGACACGTGAAGCCGTCGCAATCTAATTCAAAACGGTTACCATACGTGGGATCAAGAAAACCGACTTGTGTCGAAAATGTACTGCAGTTCCCAAGCGTGCTGGACTCCTCGCAACTTCGGTTCTGTTATTTGCGGAAGAGCTGGAACCATTTTTAGGCTTGAACAGGTTTGAAAAAAAAAACCTAGTGGGCTTAAATAATCAAAAGAATACAAGTAGACCGGGCTTTTAGTGTAGCTGAAGTATCTGGCGTCTCGCAAAACTGGGCCAATGAAAACCATTTCACTGTACAGCTGAAAAACTCAGAATTTCAATATTTTGACGCTTTTTAAGCGACCTTGATTCTTTGAGCCATCCAATCGACATGATCGTTTTCGGCCAGGTTCTGGCTATATATGTACTTGTTATTGGCAGCATACAAAACAGCAGCTTCAATCAAGAAATCATGATTTTTTTTTTGAAATATTCACCTTCATTGTCCCAATAAGTCATTTCGTAGCTGGTTGCTAGAGAGTTTAGCAAGCCGGTTTTCGAATTTCCGTTCGAATTCAAATTGTTGACAATGTCGTAGATTTCTGAAACAAAGAGTTGGTACAGCAATGTTTGAAGAGATGTGACAGGTCTGGTCAGGGGAAAGCTCCCGTCTTTGTCTCACTTGTTGAAAGAAATCCGCAAACACGAAAGTTTTCCGATTCCCACCTTTGTCGGAATGTAAATCTTTGAGAAAGTTACAGTATACCCTTCGCTAGTTTTTTTTCTTCTTATTCGAAATTAGACAGCCTCGACAGACCCTGACATGAAAAAGAAAATTGATCGTGAGAAACTTTGTCGGAAAAAAATGGTATTGAGTATAGCCAAAAATATTTCCATCACTCTAAGCATCTGAAGTAAAAAAAAATGGCCTTCCAAACCCCATGCAAGCCATTCATCGTGAACATCTCCAATGAGCACTGGATACGGCGGTCTATTCAGTGCCAAATATTCCAAACGCTGAGGGAGCCATTTTTTGTCCTCAAAACAAATCCAGGTCAGAAAAACTTTAAAAATTCACTGGTAAGGAAAAATATTTCAATTCACGTTATGAAAGAAAAATCTAGAAACATCCACCTACATTTTTCGATTCTTAGAAAATCGTTGAAAAATATAAACGGCACAGTTTTTATTTTATTTTGGAGGAGCCAAATTCTCAGAATGAAAAATAATCATTGCAAGACGTTTGAATGAGTCATGGATGACTCTCGCATACGTCTTGTTTGAAAAATGAGCAGTTTTGCAGTTTGAGACTAGCTAACTTAATGCATAAAAAAAAATTGGAGCCCATTCTCAGAATATTGAGTAAGCAAAATGAAAAGATGTATCCTATCAAAAATGAAGAAAACCTGAACGAGACTCCATTTCATTCTATGACCAGGAAGAGCGTTGTCGGCTTGCACGATCTGGTCCGACGTCAAACTTCTCAGGCAATTAAGAATCGGCTATAAATGGCTTCAAAATGAAAATGAAACAATACGGAATAAAACTCCAAAGTCGCTTCCACTGCCCCAAGTTTCTTGTGAGGCACACTGTGTTCGAATCGACAGCTGGGCACTGGTATTTCGAGTTTTTTCAGAGTAAGACATGACTGCCGCACCAAAAGCACTTCCAGATTCGATGATCATTCTGTTGAAAAGACCTGAGCAACTTTTATGTACTCGGTGGAGGTGAAAAATTTTAAACCCGTAGCAAGTGGCGTTAAAGAAAGAGCAGAAACTGCCTCTCCGCCGGAACTTTGTCCTCCGATTGTCACTGTTTTTGGGTCTCCACCGAAGAAGGATATGTAGCTGTTAATTTGAGTTATAAGTTTATCGCTGGATTTTTTACCGTTGAACCCAGTTAAGAGCCTCAACCCAGTCAGAAATAGCCCAGTTTCCTGAAGCCATTGAATCTCGCGTTGAGAAAAAGCCTGAACGTTGAAGTTAAATCACTCCTGTCAAAAAGTTCACTAACCAAATGGTCCAAGACGGTAGTTAATGCTGACCAAAACTATTTTTCCAGGGTTGATAAGATTCGGGTACATTCCAGCTCCCATATTTCCTGACCCTTGAACAAAACCACCGCCATGAATATACACGTAAACGGGAAGTTTCGAGCTACTGGTTGTGTCCTGTAATCCTCATGATTCGTCAGAAACCTTGGAAATCTCACAATCGGACTGAAGACGTTGAGAAAAAGACAATCTTCCGAATTGCCTTGTCCATTTCCTTGGACACAGGAATAACCATATCCTAATGCTTCTATCAATCCTTGAGGGTCGTTTCGCTGGGCTTCCTGGTATAAGTGAAAGTTTGAAAAATTCGGAAGAAAAAGGATACTTTGAAACGAAGGTCTCCCAGAGGAGCTTTCGCATATCGGATTCCTCGAAACGATAATCCGTAGGAGTGGTTGTATCCTGTAAACGAGATAACTCTCCTAGTTTGCATTTTGGAACATTTTTTTCTTTGCTGAACTGAATTCTTTGATGTGAGCTGTTGGATAGTTTTCATAATATATCCAAGTTTCGTTGAGATTCCCTAACTTTGAAGAGAGTTAAGGCAAAAATCCTGGTTGTTGATTTTTTGGATTGTACTGTATTAGAAAAGATGTAGGAAACTGGAATCTAAAGCAAAAAAATGACTTCTGTGCAATAGTAACAGTGAACGAACCCCTGATAGTGGCGCTCACGCCGTCAGCTGCAATGACGACGTCTGCCTTGGGGTCATCGGCAAAAACAAACGGATGAAAACTGAAGCAGAAAAGGAAAAGGGCCACGAGTGCAGCAAAAACCGTCATCGCGACTGCTTATCTCCCCACCAAACGTCCTTTTTCTCCATGAATTTGCGATAAGCTTGAAAATTTGACGGAAACAGTTTATTCGAACATAAAGTGAATACACGTTGCAAAACCAACTCGGAACTCGGTTAAATTTTAACCAACTAGTAAGATCCTCAAAAATGGAATTATTTACAAAAATAACACTACGGAGGATGCGAAAACATGTGAGCTTATACAACCGAGATATGCAAGAATGAAGCTTGTTGCTTAGCTTATGGGCTTGTAGAGAAGGGTGGTGACGTACTTCTTGCGGTACCTGAGATTGGAAAAGTTTATCGTTGCTGAGAGCTTTCTGTTCTGAATAACCTCAGAAGTGTCAAATATCTTTTCACGGTTTCATTTTTGTCATTAGCTCGTTGTAAAGATTGAAAATAACCAAAAAAGGTCCGGTAAAAGCACAAAATTTTTAAAGAATGTTTCAAATTCACCTGTGCGTGGCAGAAAGAACCATGACCCCTTCCTTGATGGAGAGAGCGTACAGGTGGTTCAGCATCACGTGGTTCGGTTCCGGCAGGACATTCGGATCGCAGGTCACCGGGGTATCTTTGTTCAGGATCACCTATAACAAATCTCGGTTAAAAAATCCTCAATGAAAATAACCTGAAGCAAATGAGGTGGGAGGATGGGAGGCGCCGCTGTTTTTTCGTGGAAAATCTTGCGGTCCGGCAGATCTTGAGTGAATACGCGATGTTTCTCGAGTTCACTGAAACGTACAAGTTCAGAAAATATCTATGATTTCCATTTTTTATCACCGCTCATTTGGGGTGTCATGAGATTGTTGGTTTGTTGGCTTTCCTCTCATCAACTCGCCAGCGTTGGACGACGCAAGATCTTTATCCAAGGCATCGAATACCTAAAAATAAGTTTTTAAACTCGTACGGTACGAAATAATTTTTTTTTTTGATGAGAAAATATCAAGATAAAAATAACTTCTGCCTTGATATCACTGGAATTTGTGCCCGGAAGTAAAACTTTAAAAAGTTTCCAAGTGAATCATATTTCTGACAAGAGCTTTTAAGAACAGTTTTATGAACATCATGAAAGCTGCTGAAAGGTTTCCAAATGGATAAAATTTATTTGTATGTACTTTGCAGTGTACAAATTTGTCCGGAAGAGTCCAGGAAGAAATGTCAAAAGTTAGAAATATACTGTAGAATCGGTCACACTGTTTTTTTTGTTTCTTCGCTGTAAATTTTTCTCTATGCAGTTGTTCTTCCTTCAAACCAAGTAACCAAGAACTTTGAACAAGGCGCTACAGTAATCTATCGAAAAATCCCGTGCACCTTTTTTTTCAGAATTCCTTTCTCTCAATCTGAGAAAAATTGAAGTTTTTCCTTTACAGTATGCCGTGGGAAAATCACGCGACTTCAAAAAAAGGGAGAGCCATTTGAAAAAAATAACGTTAATTTTATATCTTTTCAGTCGTTTTTTTCAGAAAAGGTAGCATTGTGAAGAGATTAGGGAACTTTCAAATAAAGAAAAAATGAACTGAAAGTCGGTGTGTTTTTTTATGATTCTTTTCTTTTTTTAGTGGTTACAATACAAAGTTCAGCCCCAAATGCCTGCCTCAAAGTCGTCCTGGTCGATCGTTATAATGTTATTCTCGCCGCCGAGATTATCGGCCGTTTTCAGCTGGTTGTCGTCAACCACCCACTTGTTATCAACCATGAACTTGTACTCATGTTTGCCTGTAAAAACAGTCGTCGAAAGTTCTCGCAAGATGGCGGCACCTGGTTCCAAGTCCAGAATGGTGCAAAAGTCGGCCGTCGATTTGACGAGCGGTATTTTCGAGCGCCAACCGTCCCATGATCCACAAAGGAACACCGACCGCGGCTGGCTGTAAAAAACATGAGAAGTTTCCCAGACGGTCAAAGTATTCATTTCACAAACAAAATAGCTCACCAAACAGCAGAATTGGTCCATTTGAAAACGACAGGATACTCATTGGATTTGAATTGAGAGTTGGTTGGAGCTTCGCTTTTTGCGATTTTTACCTACAAAACAAAAAAAAAGTATAATTTTCTACAAGACGACGCCTACTTGTACAGGACACTCGTCTTCAGCGTTTCCGCTTCCCGATCCACTCATAGCCCTAGCACGGTGTGGACTTCCTATAGAAATCACGTAAATACTTAGAATTTCAATTTATCTTACCAGCATCTGGGAGACGATCACGTTTATTAGCCGAACCTGATTGGTTGTTTCCCATCTTCTAAATTTTTTTTTTGAATTTTGAACGAAAGTTGGTGAGTCGAAAAACGTGTCATTTGGAAGGTCTGCGAAATGCCAATTTAAAATGAATATATGAACTATCCGGCAAGTTCTTCATTGGAGCTGGACGGTTTGGAAAACCGAGAAATTCAAGTTTTTGAGAGCTCTAGGGGATTTGAAAATGAAAGAATTCTGAAATCGATACTTAGTTCAGATCATTTGCGTACTATAACTGCATGGTATCATCTAATGTCCCTGTACTTTACTAGTTTCCAGTTTTTTTTTTGGAAGAAAGTTTAAAAAAACGGTTTTTTTAAGCGAGTTCGGCTCTTATCTATCAGTGAAATCATGAGCAATCAAAGCGGATGAATCTGATAACTTGTGGCACCGGAAAAGAAAATCAGCGATTCCCGGAAAGAACCGACGCCGAAGGCGAACGAAAATAGGAACGATAGAGGATGGGTAGAGGGCGCGGCGGCTGTTTTCGGGGCCTCTCTATGTCTGCGTTCTCTCTAATGGCACGTGCTTCCATCGCCGTCTCTCTCGCCATCGAGCGAATTTTCTCATGTACCTATATGTTACTGAAAAAGACACCTGTGTAACGGGAAAACCGATCAACTTTTTCCCATTTCAATGAGAGTTTTGTACTAAACAGGTTGAAAAATTATTAATTGCAAGCCTGAATTTCATGGAGAGTACGCTTAGAAAAAATGCCAAACAGGGCAAAAATTGGAAAAAATGCCTAAACTGCAGCTTACAAGATTTTCCCGACCTTGGGAAGGTGTCAACATTTTTGCGATCATCAATTTGGCGGAATAAACTTATCTGAACGAGAAAAATGAACTTAGAAAAACCTTCAAAACTAATTTTTTTTTCTCACATTTCTCCGTGAGAATAAGCGTTTTTATGTTGCTCATACTAGGAAATTCTAGGATCACTGCAGAAAAAAAAAATCATTTTTACAGTCCAGCTACAAAAAGTTCCTACACTAACAAATCCGCAAAAAGTTTCTCCACTATCCGCGGTGAATACTTTTTTTGATAAGGGGAAAAAACAGTTCAGATGAGAATCTGATCCGTAAATTTTTGAAAAAAATGAAAAAAAAAAATACACAATAGGATTCGCGTTCAGAATGCCCTCTGGAAGTTCAGCACAAAAGGAGAGTAGACTAAATCATGAATCAAGAGATTATTTTAAAAAAAGCTCTTTGGCTGTGCCAATCCCTAAGTAAATTTGAATGAAAAACGTGCTTTCATACGGAAAATCAGAACTTTGCTCTGGCTACAGTCAAAAGGCAGAAAACACCAGTCAGTGGCCCATTCAAATCGCAGCCGAAGGGGTAAGGAAGACAAACACTAGGGCTTGAGAACGCCCATAAAAAGCAGACGTGACCATCGAACAGTTCTCATTTTCAAATTTGGCGCCAATTTTTATTCCGTTCAAATCATTCACAGGGGTAAAATGACGTATTTTGCCAAACAACGCAAAAAAAACATGTTTCGAAGCTCCGAAGCGTAGATTCTCTCCGAACGGGGACAAACAAACAAGGTTCTTCGGCAAAATAACAATATAATATATTCAAATGAACTTTGAGAGATCAATGACGTCGCTCACGTATTAAAATTGCATGCAGTAAATAGAATCACTCTGATATTAAGAAAAAAATATAAACTCGAGGCAGTAATATTAAAAAGAGGTCAGAGGGTCAAGAGCAATATTATATAACACAGACAATAATGTTTTTTCAATATTAATGATATGTTTGAAATTATTAAAAAATGAATCGCTACATACGAAAAAACGGAAAAAGTCAACAATCTAGAGAAGACATTCTTTGAGAAAGAGTCTGGCCCTTGGATGAAGGTAATGGATCACAGTTTGGATCTGAGGTATCAATACAACATTATGTTTACCACACATTGCTTACTCGTGATGAGAATACGCAGTTAAGATCGAACAAAAAAGACGGTTCCTAAAAAACATGATATAATGACCGCAAATAAATAAACATAGTTAACAGGGTCACGATTTAAAAAGACGAACTCTATTGAAGTACAGACATGAATAAGTGGATTATTAAACCCTGAAAATTAATATTCTTCAGGTACTCGTTGCAGAGGAGAGTAGGCAAGTCTCGAGAACGCTTCCATTTGTTCATTCTGCAAAAGAATATTTTAAACGATGCCGGTGAAATTTTTCAGGTTGAGTGTGAGAAAAAAGGGGAAAGTGTTTGCTTAGGATACGGTAACCAAAGTCGGTCAAAAGCTGGTTTCTTGGCTTCAAGTCGCCATTTTGGCAGACCGTCGCTACCGTAAACTGTTGTTTTTTTTTTAAATAGGGAATTCGAGAATCCCAGTGTTGAATCAAATGAGACCTGATTCAGAACAGAGGGCTTGAGTTAGAAAAAATGAGACGTTATCAGAGAAAAGCATGCAAAAAGTAGCAGGTTGTAAGTTTTCAAGTTCTTTCATGCAAACGAATTTTATTTTCTCGAACTTTTGTGAGCTCCAGTCGTTGCTCTACTGCACGAACTATTTTCAGAGGGTCAAAATAAATCTGAATTTCGTTGGGAATTTTAAAGCACTAGCAACGTCGCTTGAAAGAGAAAAGAGGGTGCAGAGAAGCCAGAGTGTTCAAGTCGTGGTGAATGAAGAACGAAAGTGAAAAGTAGAAGCAAAAAGTGCAAAGGCCGTGCAACTTTCAATGCAAACTCCACCTTCACGCGCAGATGGTGGAAAGCATTGATCGGACAGCAATCGACGGCTTCTGTGAAAAAATATTCAATTTCTTTCAATTTACACAAGCATTTCCAAAAGCAAAATTATAAAATATAACCGGCGTATAATTTTTAGAGGTCAACTTACTCATGGCGGTAAAACGTTTCAAGTTCTCGAACAGATTGGGATCGTAATAGAGAGTGTTGGTGTTGATCGACGTGTAGCACAAAGATTCGTACCTGGTTTCAAAGATTTTATTTTTTAAAAAGCTGTTATCCTACCAGCAATCTCCCATGTCACAAAAATCGAAAAGTTTGGCCACTAGGAAGTCTTGGCAATGCATTTCGCAGATTGTCTGAAATTTTCTTGGCACTTTCTTCTGTTTTGGAATTGAAGAAGGGTATTGAAAAAAAATTGATTTCAAGAAAGTTTCATCAGACGCTGTCTCCATTCTTCAAGGTTTTCATCCAAACTATTCTGATAAAACTGAAATTTACCTCGATTTCCCCAATCATCAGCGTCATCTGTCCGAAACGGAGACCTGGATCTTCGAAGCGGTGCTCGACGTACCAGTCAAAGAGGCATCTCATGCACCAGTTTCGCCGCTCTTTCATTATTTCTCTGGTCTGCGGGGTGACATGTTCACTGTCTGAAATAACGACATTTTTCAAAGACCACAGAATCACTAGTTAAACTCAAAGCCATGAATATGTGAAACATTTCAACTGTCTGAAATTTGAAATTTTCAGATAGATCAGTATGGACCCTCAAATTTGATGGATGAATACCGTTTGGAATCACCTAAAAGTCAAGTCAACAATATTGACTTATAAAGTCAAAAAATCAACTGTTTTAGATTATTTATTACAGTCTTCCTACTTCTTCGACAGTACATAATTTTCGAATTTCTCTTATTCATTCCAAAAAGAAAAGAAGAAGATCAAATTATGAACTAACTCGATTGACTCCAAAGGAGCATCATTTGGAGGTAAGTTATCTCGGCGTCAGTCACCCGGAGTTGCATAAAAGGAAAGATGACGTTGGTCCAGAAGCGTTGGAAAGTATGAGTGAACGCACTGAAAATCGACTTAAACTTGAGTCTCGAAAATGTCGGTTTCTGCGTATTTGTAGGTACAATTACAAATCAGGTTGTTTTATAGAGAACTATTCAAAAATTCTCGAAATGAGTTTGAAGAAAATCATCATGAATAATAGACGAACCAATACATCTGATAGTTTCACAACATATTTTCAAATAAAACTTGGAATGGCTTTCCATTATTTCATCTGTCAAATATAAAACAGACGCATGGCTTCGTCCCTATTTCATTTAGCCAATCTGATTTTTCAACTAAAATTAATCTGAATTACGCGAAAATGTTTTATCAGAGAAATAAAAGTTAAAACAAACTATTTTTTGGCACTGATCTGTTGGAAGTCATCATGGGGCATTTCGAACCCAGTCTTTCCGTATTGCACATAAGTATAGTTGTTCATCACGAACTCGCCTCTCTTGCACTGAATGAATTTCGGAGATTATTCAAAATCATGAAAAAATCCACTTACATGGTAGGCATTCTTTGAAGCGCTGTAGAAATGATCCAAACTGAGCTTGCGAACAGAGTAGCGTTTCAGCAAGTTAGACTGAAACGACAACTGGTGAAAAACATGGAGCAGCTTTTTGATTGAGCACCTTGTCTTCAGGGGGCAAATCAGAATAGGGGCGAAGTTTTTCGATCCAGAAAAAAAGTCCGGTCAGCTCGACTTCACTCAGCTTTTCTACATCGGTAGGAACCATGGGCCGCAGTACAGGACCCTAAAATAAGTTGACTTTTAGATTTGAAAACAATAACTTAGTTTGAATATTTTGACGCCCGCTAGCCCTGGACAAGCTGGGCGCCGTTTCGTTCCTACATGAAGGAGTTTTCAGGGATAAGCAAATTTCGTCTACTACATCCACAAAAAAAACGTGCTGAACTACGCGCCGTCCTTGATCAACTACAAACCGACAAACAACTCTTGAATTATCCCATTATTCAGCATAGAATCTTCCCAGAAAATTGAGAAAATCATCAAATATTTCATACGTTCTCCAACTCGGTCAGAAACTGATCAATCGTCGAGAAAGACAGCTGCATCATGCGCTGATGGTCAGCGAAAGCATTGACCAAATCTCGGAACTCGCATCGATCCGTTTCATTGTACATTGGGCTCACTGTTCCGTATATCTGAATAGAAAATAATTCCTCAAAATTTCCGGTAGGCCAAGGGAGATCTGAATTCAGGAGCCTCAGCACAAGTCTTTAAGGTCTTTCCAACATTAAAAACCGACCTGTTCGTTACTTGTGCTGGCGAATTGATCGTCGTCGGTATCTTCCCCGTCGGAAGGCTTATTCTGAAAGAATTATCAAAATGAAAAGAGAAGTTCTCCCGCAAAAACCTCATTGTTAACTCCGAGAGAACGAGGAGAGTCCGACAACCGCCTGTTTTTTGGAGATCTGAATTCAGGAACCTCAGAACTCCTCGGAGTTCTGTAACTCAAGTTTCAAAGTTTTAAATCATGGTGTAGGTAGGAATTACTCTGGACAAAAGTCTGAGCCTTCGGTCTCTTTGTAGGACGTGCTAGGGAATACTTCGAATCTTTTTTTGCGATCACGCTGAGCTCCGGTCGGATCGCGACGAGGCTGCACCGCTGGAATAATTTTTCGTTTTTTTTTTGTGACTCAAAGCTTTTTTCGCTCCTTGAAAACGTGGCTACGGTAAACTGTGTAAGATTGCAAAAAAAAGGTTGAAAAAGACAAACTTCTGAACAAACCTGTAGTCTTCATTCCAGCCTCAAGACACTTCCTGAACCGGCAAGATCTGCAAGCGCATCGCAACTCCATGTCGATGGTACAATTGCCGTTTCCTTTGCACTGATACTTCTGTAACTTATCTGGGTCATCTGTGATTGCCTACTATGTGATACGAATCGTTTCTTTTTACATGGTTATCTCTTTAACTGTATAGTCAACTTAAAATGCGTAGCATGCTCGTTTGTCGCTCTTTTTATCTATTTTTCAATTATTTATTGATTTATTTTGTTTTTGCATTAAAAACAGTAAAGTAAATACAAAAACAGCGGTGACCGAGCTTTTGAAATGGTCGGTGTCGCTTGAATTGAACTGCCAAGAACCGCGTTTGAAAAATGATTTCAAAGCAGTTCTGTATGAAAATTTTGGTCTTGAACTTCAATAACTTCTCAACAACGTGCTATGGGAAAAATAACTCAATCAACCTTATTTCATTTAGAACATGTTTAGAGCCGCTAAAATTAATGTTTGCCTTCAAGTTTGCTTTCTTTTGTCTCCTCCTTCACATTCTTAACAAAAAAATAACTCTATTTATTGCATTCTTGCGGCGGGTTCATTTTTTTGTTTTTTTCATGATAAAAAAACGGTAAAATGACACAGCAATCACTAAATTTTCTTAAAAAAACCTCACGGAATGCTGATAATCTCAAAAAGCTTCGTTTAAAAACATCAACGAAAAAGGAGTTCGCTCCCAAATTTTTTTCGGCTCTCAAGTTTTTAATTTTATATGACAAGTAGATTTTCCTCAATTCCCACTGAAAAGAAGTTTTCACACCGCTCACAAAAAACTCCATATGAAATAAGCTTCTTTGGGCTTACTGTTGGATTTGAAAGAACGCGGAAGTGGTCATAAGTCGGTGCAAAATTTTAAAACCATCTGTTGTTGTCAAAAAAGTGATGCTTCACTCGGGGATATTCGCAACAAACGTTTTTTTTTGCTTATCGCATCTCGGAGACTTTTTTAATTGGGCTAAATCAAGATTTCAAAAAATTTGTTGGTTTTTTGATCTGGCAAGAAATTTTCGGCTTGACGTCCTCCAGTGTGTCTTTTTTCCTCTTCAATCGACTATGGGTCATCTCCGATCCAACGTAGATAACGCAGCTCAAATTTTCTCTTTTGAAAATCGTAAGATCAGAATATAGTGAATTTAAAAAGAAAAACAGGGAGAAATCGATACTGAATATTACTCATACGGTACTTATTCATTCGCAAAAATTCTTTTCTGAAGCCTTTCTTTTTTAAAATGCAGTCATCGCTCTAGTCTTTGAGCCAAGGTTTTTGGAGGAAAAATTTCATTTTTTTGCTGTTTTTAATTGAAATTTAAGAATTCGTTCGATAAATTCATTTTATCTTGGCTTTTTTTCTAAAAATACATCGTAAAAATTCAACTCAATTTTCAAATTATTATTCATGATTGAGAAAAAAATTTTCCTTTGAGAACATTGTTAGAACTCCTAATTACTTTATTTTAATATTGCAATATAAAAAACAACCTTTTTGCTTGACAGAAGGTACAAAATTACCAATTATCTCCTGCAATCTTATGTTTTCCTTCCGCAAAAAAAAATAATGAGAAAACCTTAGCTTCTGATGAGTCACAAGATCTTTTCACGCAGAAAAAATTTGTGCTTAGTATATTTTTCACAGACTTTGAGATGTAAGAAAAAATACCGATTTTTCGACAACTGTTCGGCGGAAGAAAGCGTTGCACGAGCGGCAGCTAATAGCTCCATAATGAAGTCCATCCGCGGCGCTTCCGCAAATGGTGCAGATCTGTTAAAGAAATTTTGACAGTGTTTCAAAGCATCCAAAAAAGAATCGCTGTTGAACCAAAAGTACTGCTTAAAACATGAAGGCTCTCACTATGGATGTGTGTAATTTCATTACACTCTAAAAATAATAAAGTTCAATACCTGCCCAGAGTAATCTTCTTTCATATCGAGCGTAAAAGAGTCACCCGCCTCAAAAAAACCAAAACGGCAGGTTCCTGCAATTATAAAGTACAAAATTCAACACGAAAAACGTTCTGATATGGGTCAATGTACTGAAGATAAGGAAACAGGGTATTTGCATTGGTTAGCGTTGTAATCAGAAATATCAAACAAGAAACGACGATTATCAGGGCATGTTAACGAATTCTTTACTCAAAACAACTGAAGAAAAAATTGAAACTGGGAAGTTGCATTCTGTCAAATCGCATTTTGGGTATTCTCCGAATGGAATGACTATGCCTTCCCACAAAAAAAAGTTTAATGCATTCTGCGAAAAAAGGACACGCGTTCAGCGATTCTAAAAATAATTGGCCCAGCTCCGCCCTTGACTTCAGTTTCCATTAGCCAGCTTAGATCTCTAGGATGATTTTCAAGGATGCTTGGAAAACATTTATTAATGATAATCTTCCGAAGACCTTCATTTTATAAATGGCTGAAAAAGAAGTAAGTCTAAAATTTTTAGGTTCAGGATGACGCATTAACCACTCAACCAATTGGCATGTGACATGAGAATGTTTCGTTAAACTGTGATCATAGGCTTTGCAGATTGCTTCCTGATCGAATTTCGCGAGATGGGGAGACCTCAGTCACTTTTGAAAAAGAAGCCAGTAAAGTTCGCTCTCCGAAAAGATATCGTTTTTAGTTTGAACGATCGCTTCCGACCTTACGCTGCAAAAAAAGCAAATAGTGGAAGCCCCGGAAAAAAAAAGGTCAAAGATCAGGACGCGGCTGAATGCCTAAAAGTGAAGCCGAGAAAAGAAAAGAATGCGATGAGAAAGAAGACGTTAGAACTGAAACACGACGAAAACGCGTACAGCCTATTCGCAACACAAACGAGGACATTGACCTTTGAAACACATTTCGCCTGTTTTTTTTAAAGGGCGAATCAACAAAAAAACATTTGAGAAGAATTAAAAACAATCTATGCTATTGAAAGTCAAGTATAAACTTAAGCAAAAGAATTATATAAACTTTTTATTCAGAGAAAAAGGTAAAAAGCGCTGCCGCATGTCATTGCCAAGGGGGATAAGCCGAGAAAAAATCCCAAAAAAACCACTTGCTCGCAAAAAGATATCGATAAAAAGAGGGGAAGGTTTTTTTAAAACGATTGAAAAATTGCGATAAACCTATTTTATTCCTTGAGAAGGATCGACCAATTTCATAATCATGTCTTTTTTAAAAACTCAAAAAACAGCTTCCTTAAAATGAAATGAAAGGTGAGTCAGAGCGGAAAAAAATTTGAAAACAGCCTAGAAGTAGGAATAATATTTGTTATGTCTATACGGTAAAAAACTTAGTTAAATGATGAATCATTAATTGTGCTCCAAAGATTACCGCATCGTTCTGCCTCAGTAATTATACTAATTGGAGTCTGCTATGCACGAGACGTCTCGGCCGTTTTTTTAAACGCATGATCAGCAGATTGGCGGCTAGTTCGTTATGATGACTTTTTGCACTTTCCCGTTTTTCTATCAATTAGAAATGCGGGCTTCACGAAGGAAAGAGTGCAAATGATTTCGAATGGAGAGAAACATACTTCTATTAACTTATGAGGATGCGGATATCCTACACTCGAAAAAAAAATCCTTCCGTCACATGTTCTTTTATTCACAACCCCGCACTTTGTCAGAGATTTTTCACGACCAACGGTCAAATTCAGAAAAATGTCAGCCAGGCGCGGAAATCAAATGAGGATGAAAATGTTTGCCTTTTTTGGAAACTGAATACTTGGAACAACCCACATGAAATTGAATACTTCCAAGCAAAACTGCCAATTTGAAAACTAAAAAAAACTTGGAGGGATCTCACGTTTTTGTAACATGAGTAACACAATGAGAAACGGGTTCCATGAAACTGCAAAAAAGGCATAATTGAGATCAAACATTGCGAACATTAACATAAAAACAAAGCTGAACATGACACTCCAGAGAATCATCTCCTAAGCAACGCAAATGAAAAAAAAACGAGGCATTTACATTTTCTTTTTGAACTTTGGTTCCAAAATGAAAATACGTTATAATAGGTTTTCCCGCCTACATGAAGCAACAGATGAAAAGGAAGAGGCCTGTGTGGTGAGAGAAAAAGTAAAAATCCGCTTTTTCGGTACAATTTCTTTCGCTGACCCATCATAAAATCTTTTTTTGTAGCGGCAAGGCAAGTTTTTTTTGCACTATATAACTTCTGAGAGCAATTGAAAATAGGAGAAAGTTTAAAAAAGCTTTTCTATCTTATGAAGAACTCAAAAAAATGAAATTGAGAAAATGAAATTTGAAATACGATCAAATTAATTTTTTGATTGAACCAGCAATTCAATAAAAACTGCTAAAACGAAAAAAAAAAACAACTTCAAAAGGTTTATATTGCTTTTGGAAGCGGATTTCATTAAAAGTTGCCTGGCATTTGAGAGGTTGATAATAGACTCTAGTTTACGTTTCCCTCAAGCTTCGGTTATTATGACACCAAAGCGGCGTGAACTCCTGATAATTATGTTTCCTGTGACATTTGAAAAAGTGCAAAATTTTTTATCGCAAAAAAGGTTTGGAAGTTATTGCTGCTTCAGTTGCTCTATGATGAATCATTTGGCATTTTATATAAATTTGAAAGAGCGAAGGAAAGGGCAAAAACGGTTTATGTTTAAATTTAGTTTGACTTAAAAATTTTAGTGGTTTTCGCCAACGTCTTCATATAACGTTGAAAACTGTTTTATTAAGGTCTACGTTCCAAAAAAGAGAGGGAAAATGTCAAGGAAGTCATTTGATCTCCACCAAGCAAAAACAACGAGGCTGATCTATGTTCAATTAAACCAGTTTCAAAAAACAGCCTTTCGGTTTGAGATCACAGAGCGATGAACTTCCACTGCTGATAAGGATCGCTAAACTCGAAACGTGCGCCGTACCAAGCAGAAACAAGGACGAAATTGGAAAACTAGAATATGAAAAACTTGGCGGGAACTTTTTTGAAATGAAAAAGTCAGCGCCTTAGTTGTCCCATGCGGAACAAATGACAAAGAGTAGCTTCCAAAAAAGGTAATAGAGGATGGAAAGAAACCGATCGATCGCAAAAAAGTATGAACAACGTCGTTGCAGGGTACGCAGAGTACAACTCTGCTGGTTTCTTGCGTATTGAGGAGCTGCCGGCGACCAAGGCGCCAAACCAAAGCGCGCCAAATCATCGCCTCGAGACCCGCCGGTTCACGACCTCCTTTGCAAAAAACACCTCGCGTCCTTTGATCAGACTATGAACACCGCTCGAACAAACTTGACATATATTTATTTGAAGATACTGTTTGTTTAGATTTCTTTCATTGTTTCTTGTAGTTTGATTTAAGAAAGAACATCAGAATAGGTTTGAAAACAAATTATAAGTTTCTGTTGTATTTCTCACCAGTCTTTTTGAACACGCTGTATGAGAAATCGGAGCTAAAATTTGAAAAACCTAACAAAAAGCCTGAAAATTATTATTTATTCATTAAAAAGTGATGGTTTTCAGATTCAGTTTTTGGTTTCTCGTCTGAATTTTTTTTCCGAGCTGAAAGTCTTCTAATATCCATAGAAAAGGTCATCAATTACATGTTTCTTTTTTCGTCATTCTGCGATTTAATAGGATATTAAAAGCTGTCATTCATGTAATCGGCAACAAAAACTGGAGCTTTTCTCAGAAATAATCTCTCTGAGAGCCGCATTTATTTGATTTTCCGGGAAACTAGAAAATGTTTCTCATCGTGCTATCAAACTATAAGCGTTATCAGAAACTATTGAGAAAAACTTTTTTGTTGCAAATTTTGTACTTTTCAGCCGCGTTTTTGAATTTTTAAAATTCACAAACGGAAGAATCATTAGAGATGGCATTTTTGGACGGAACTACAGTAACCTGAAAAAAATATTTGAAAAATTTGCCATTTTTCCTCTACAACATTGCCTCACTGTTTCAAAAAAAGTATGAAAATTCAAAAATGATATCAGAACCAAGCCAGTTCAGAATTGCACTAAAAGTTAACCATGCCCTTTAACTATTCGTGAAATAACATGGTGGCAGGTTAGTTTTCATTCTACAGCTCTATAATTAAGTCACCCCTTATTTAGAACTTCCCAAAAATAGTTCAAAAACTCTCATTTTGTCATTCAAGTATGAAATCATAGTTTTGACTATGTAATTAAAAGTTCGAAATCTTCAATTTTTGAAACGCTATACAAAGCAAAAAGCAAGAAAATAGCAGAGAACAACGCTCAAGTGACCCTTGGTGACAGTTTGCTGGAGTGCTGGAGGTGCAGAGCGCCACGAAAAAAAACGCCGCGAGACGTGATTCGGAAGATTTTCCAGTCTCGTAACAACTTTTTTCGGACTTTTCTTGTGTCTTAACCTATCAGCAAACTATTCTGACGGAACTATCGAACTGGAACCGCGTTATAAATCAATTTCTCTTAAGATTCTCTTACGACACGAGGCAAGTTCGTTAGGAAATATGTTTTGTCTTCAAAAAATGTGGGAATGTGATATTTGCACTCATTTCCTTGTCTAATTGGCAAACTATAATTATGTCGGAAATATTTTGAAGCTATCGTGAGGAGCTTTTCTTGAAATTTTCTGCCACAGTACCGTCAGAAAAGATACTAAAACGGAATTTCGGTCACAATTTTCTTGTAAGGATTTCAACCTTCCTGACGCTTTCTGAAGTTCTGATGACTGTCATTTTCAATACTCTGATGAAGTTTCAGTTCACAATAAAAAAAAGCAGCTCTATTAAGTTTCAGGAAGATTGAATTCCTTACAAGAAAGTTTTGAGTTTTTTCGTATCTTCTCTGACGGTACTGTCACTGAGCTTTAAAAAAAACTTGAGAAGTATTAAAATTTATTTTGGTTGCTGGACGTATTTTGAATTCAACTATTTGTTTCTCAGATTCCTCGTAAATGAATGATCATTTTATCCTTTTTCTATTTGGAAATTTATCGCGGAAGTTTAGAGATGAACTCAGGAAAATTGAATTTCTTACAGTAGCTATGACCCAAGTCGCGTTATTTGTGTCTTTTTTTGACGGTATTGTATCCAGCAAAATAAAAAATGGAACGTAAGTTAAGAAAAAAAAAGTCCTTAGAGAAATATGGTCAGGACGACCTACGCTTTAGTATGCCGTCCAATTTTCTTGCTGGTGCAATATTTGCGTTCCACTCGCGGCGGTATATGCAGCTTGCTCCCTTGCACTCGTTTCCATGGGGCAAAAGAACATTCAGAATAGAGTTTGCTTTTGGCGAAAATGAAGATCAAACAGCGAAAAGACACCCAAGAAGACTTTGTAGTCATCAAACAGAAAAAACCGTATTTCGTTCACGAATCATATAAGAAGGGAGAAAGCTTGCAGAAAGGAGGGAATTAGGGATTCTGGTTTGCAATGAAGAAGGTGGGCTTAAATATGCCTTTTTATGTGAATATAGACTATAAAATTGAGGCTTCCACTGATCTCTGCGGACTATCATTTGTATACTCCATACTTTTTAACTGCCACGTTTTTGGCCAAAAAGAGATATCCTATTAACTACTCTGCAATGAATGAAACATAAAACTGAGGCTAAAAAACGTTTCACATCGAGATTCTTTCCATAGGATCACTAGAATAGATTCTACTACGTTTCCCATCATTTTGCAATAAATTCAGTTCATCTGTGAACTCTTGAAGGCTAGATACACAACATTTGTGAATGGAATCGAACATTTTCAAAGAATTCGATGTCAAAAATAGAAAAAAAATTTTGTGAGTTGTATTTTTGTGGAGTCTAAAAAGTCCAAAATGTTCATTTAAGTTTAAGAGTTTAAAAATCCATTCCATTTACTACCAAGAATGACTTTTTCATAAACAGTTTTTTTCGATTTTTCAACTTTGCTTTCAAAAAAACCTCCAGCGAGCTTCGAAAAACTTGATGGTTAAGAGGAAATGCTTGAGCCGAAAAAAATTGCTACTTTCAGATTCCGATAAAAGGGGTAGTGAAAAAAATCATCAACGTTTAGTAAGATCCTTTTTTTGGAGCTTCCAAGATAAAACAAGCGAAATTGGTCGATAAATACATAAAATCCTCCCCAAAAAAATTTGTGAGATATTTTAACTTCCAAGCTTTTTATTTATTATTTTTGACCCACTAGCTTCTTGAAAAAAACCTCTTCGCAAAAGATTAGTTACGAAAAAATTTAAAACCAAAAATCCATCGCTGAAACAGAAATCTCCGGTGGACCAATGAAAGGGAAAATTTTCCTCCGAGCACCTTTCATCGAAAGAAAAGGCGGAGAAGTGGAAACGGCGTGGATTGTCTTTGGAAACGTTTGGCGTTTGATGGACGTTCGATAAAAACATTTTATATCCATACAGCTACGCAAACGCCACCGAAATTTTGAAAAAAAAAAACCACTTTGACTTTTTTTCGATTCTCTCGACTTTGTCGTTCGAATTAATAATTTCATATTAGTTTGAACTTTTTTGAAACCCACACATAATTTATCAACGAATCAATATATAAAAATAAAGAAACCATTCCAATTGCAAAATAATAGAAAAAACCGGAGTCATTTAAGAAAAGGTCATGAATAAGTTACAGAAAACACGTAAGAAAATGAAGATCATTTCATTTCTGCCATTCAAGTCCGAGCGTTTTCTCCAGGAACGAGAACACGACAGCTGTTTCTCGGATCTGCAAGAACGCTCATTAGTGCAAACAAAAAAGTCGGCAGAATCATTTTTTCGACTTCAGTGGAGTTTATAGAGCCATCGAAGAAACATTTTTTTCATTTCGAAAATTCAATAATTTGCTGCAGACTGAGTTATTCGTTAATGAAAAATAATGATAAAAAAACTGTTTTTTTGAATAATCTTCCGCTTCTTCTCATATCGAAAAAAATTACTATGTTAAAGTTTCCTTTTGATTGTCCATTTCTAACTGATTAAAAGTAAACTAAGACTACTTTTTCCGGTTGTCAAGAAAAAAATCGGCTTTTTTTAATTTTTTTGCAAGTTAACAAGCTTATAAATTAGCGCTCTTCTTTTTTTTCATTAATCATTTTGCGACTTACCGTGACATAAGTCGGCTTTCCAGCGCCATGACCAGCATCCGTCGTAATCACACCGGCAAAAAGTTTGTTGGCGACTTTCTGTTTTTCCGCCTGCAAAAGCTTTCACGATTTCAAAAAATCTAGAAAAGAATCTTCAAAACCTTGCCTTCTGTCATTATTTTAACTATTTTTTATTATTTCCTCTAGAGAAAATTCTGAAAATTGCATCTTTCTTTTTTTTTTTATAGCGATAGGATTTTTAAAGGTTGATTTTCTGAAAAAAAGCTTTGGGGCATCTTTTTCTCAATAATTTATACTTGAAGGCTCAAAAAATTTTAACTTTTACAAATAGCACTTTCTGAGAAAAAAAGATAAAAAAATTCTGAAAGGTTCAAAATTATCATGTTATGATGTAAATAATTTGTTTTTTTCTGTTTTTTTCTGTCTTAATGATCTTTTGAAATCATTAACCTGGAAGTAGAGCTCGGCCAGGTACTTCAAAGAGTGGCCAGGAACCACACGATCGTCGTGATCGGCCGTCAAAACCAACATATTCGGATAGTTTTGCAAGTCGGCGGACGCCAAGTTATGATAGGGTGAATAGCTGAATTAGTCTTTTTGAAAAAAATTCCAAAAAAATTATTTTTGAAAATTTAAAAATGACAAAATGAAGAAACCTCATCAGATTTACAAAATGCTCATCCGATTCCGGATCACCAAACTCTGGGACCCAGGCGCAGCCAATAGTGAACTTTGGATAGCGGAGCATGTCAAGAACACTGAAATCAGAGAAAAATATGACTTTTTTTTTTGATTTTGGAAAGTACCCGACGTGGCAAACGACGGCGCCCAGGATTTCCGGAGCTCTACGAGCACAGGCTGCGACGAGAAGACCACCGTTAGAGCCACCTTCGATTGCAGTCCTGAATATTGAAAAATACGCTGAGAACATTTTTCTGAGCTTTTTTGAAAAAATGAAGCAAAAAAAACTTTTTTTCAAAGATATTCCTTTTTCTCCCACAGTGTGAAATTAATCATAGCTTTTCCAGCTTGAATCTTTACAATTCAAAAAGACTTCTATCGAAGCAAACTAACAATTGAGGAGTAGTTACGCCACGATCGATGAAATCGGCGACCACAGAGTTGAAATCATCAAAAACGTTGGTTTTCTTCAGAAGCCTTCCCGCTTGGTAGAAGTCATCACCGAATTCACTATAAAAATATTAAAATAAAACCACCACATATAATTTCCTCTCACCCTCCACCGCGACAATTGACAAGTACATAAATTGCGTCATAATTGGTTACAAAAATTGGTCGGGAAGTTGAGTACCCGGGCGACAGTGAGATTTGGAATCCTGGAACAAAAAGTGAGTTTTTTGCCTTTTTTCAGCGCATAAAATGGTTCCTCCCTGAATAAAACAATCTGACTACCTCCATATCCGTAGAACAACACGGGACGCGGGCCTGCCGAACGCATATTTTTTGGCTTCATCATGAAGTAATGAACCTTAAAAACACATATTTTCTTATTTAATATTAAAATGAGAACTTTTTCCCCATCGCTGCTCCTAGCCCATCCGTCAGAAACCTCCAGTCGATCCGAGTAGTCGTGCTGTTCAGTTCCACTCTTTGCAATAATCTGAACCATCTTATGTTAGTTCTTTGAATCGAGTTTTAATTAGAACTACATATCGAAGACATTTCCATTAAAAAATTCCTTTTTTATTCGATTTTTCAAGTTTTCCTGGCATGATGACATGTGTAAAAAAATTGATCAATTTCTGAACTTTCATTTCTCAAAATTTCAAAGTAGTAACACATTCCGAAAAAAGTTTTTTTGGCTTCTCTCGGCCCCTGAACATTTTCTGCACGATTGAGATAAAAGAGTATAACTTTTTTCACGACTCTTATCATATGGCGTTTTTGTTACTTTTTCTAACTTCTTCAGTATTTTGCAAGGAGCAGGCCCTTGTATATCTTTCTGAAACTTCTAAAGAAATCCGTACCTCGATGACCGGTTTCTCTTTCAAGGTCAATTTCTGGATCACAACTGGAGTTGTGAAAGACTCCTTATTGAAGTAAGTGACATCTTTGCCGAACCAGTTTGAGAAACCAGAGAGCTTGCTGGAATATTTTAATGAGATCACTCCTTTAGAAAGTTTCACTAACTCGAATCCTTGGTAGATCGTGTGAAGCTTCTCTCCTGAGTGGGAGCAGAACTCGACGAGCGTCTGAAAAAATTGAATATTAGCAATTTTTCCATTGAAACCATTTCTTTCAAATTGACACGTTATCTGCTATCAACTAAATAATGAACAAGAAGCTCTCAATATGAATTTCGATGTTTTTCGTAAAATGGGAAAAGAACTGAGGTAAAAGTTAGAAAGTTTAAGGCTGAGCCAGGTTGGTGATGCAAATTTTGTACGACGGAAAGAATGGATTCGGAATTAGTTAAGCCATAATTTTCAAATAAATACCTCCAAAGAAGGTGTCGTGTAGTGAAGAAGAATCCCTGTATCGTAAACCGTAGCTCCCTGCAGAACGAAGCCTTTTCGCTCCGGGACCACTTCAACCAGTTTAGAACAGTCGTTCAATTTTCCAGCCAGGATTTTATAGAAAGTAGCGCCATCTCTATTTGTCAAATAGAACATCTTGTCTTCAACATTTCCAATGAACTGAAATAAAAAATCACTGCTTTGAATCATCAGAATAATCCAAAATGAGGAACAAAAACACACATCGATTTTCTCGGTGAATTCGCTACTTATAGTGATAGGAACCACATGGTCGGGAATAGGGTCGGTGATTTGCCAGATGAAAACTTCGTTGACCAAGTCGCATCCGCGATAAACAGTGATTATCAGATATTTGTTACAATGGGACACGCAAGCGTTGCTGAAAAAAAAAAAGAAGCTGATGATGAAAAATAAGTTGAGATACATGATCAAAGCATCGTTGTCTGGTCTTTCGTAAACCAAAATATCATTTTCGGCATCAGTGCCAAACTCGTGGTAGAACAAGGCGTGATATTGAAGGGCCTTGGTGCAGATGTTATCGTCTTCAACATCTTTGCTCTTCTGAAATTTTAATTTTTCTTAAAATATAGAAAAATCAATAACTAACCTCGCTCAAATATTTTGCGTAAAAGACGCCTTGGCGTTTGTAGAAAGTGATCGGGCCGAATTTGGCATTTGGAATCTTGTCTGGGAGATCTTCACCGTTTACCTTGCGGAACTGAAACAGAAAAAAAACATTAAGTGATTTGCTGATACGGTTTTCGAAAATAAATGAAATTTTTAGGAAAGTTCAGGATAAAACTGTTTCATTGTTTATTGTGAAAAAAAATTTGACATATGGAAAAAAAAAGTAGAATAAGCATATTTCACAATTGATTATGCTGCACTTTGGAGTTCACTTTTAATAGAATTTATAACATTGTGATTTGTAGCCGTTGGAATAAAATCTTGGTGATTCATGAAGAAACTTCTCTTCAAATCCACAAAATAATAACCTGTATCGTGTAATTATCCGAGCCCTTTGCGCTCAACCCGTAACCCAAAATGGCTTCATTCGTGTCATCAGACCAGTCGTAGCAACTGAAACAATTATTTTTCCCAAAAAACAAAAAAAAAACTTACTGAAGAGAAACAGAGCCATCCGTAGACAACTGATTAACATCCAAGAAAGGCACATCTCTTTTGTCCGTCCGTTTGTAGTAAACGCTGAAAAAATTGTCATTTTGTCTCAAAACTACAAAAAGACAAACGAGTGGTTTTGTACTCCATTATGCCCGAAATAAAAGAAATGGCCGCCCTGCTCCGAGGCATTGCTTACCCGCTCGTAAACCCAAGCTTCCGTCAGCCTAAACTCTGCTTTTCTTCAAACGCCTCGAATGACTGAACTAACGTGTCGATAACTCGCTGAGTAGATGGATCATCTGCAAAACGAGCCTTTGAATAAGTGTTGAGCTGCTCAACGAAATTCTTCGTGTCGCTGGCGTCCGCGTCTTCCAAGCTATGGTATGGATCTTTCACCTGCATTGAAAACAAAACTTGAACAAAAAAAACTTCTAACAAAAACCTCAGTTTTCTTCGAAGTGTAGGTGTAAACCTTCGATTCATCACGGAAAGCTTTGGGGAAAGCCAACTCTTCACCAACAATTGAGTTGTCCGCCATCTCTGTAAACGTTGATTTTATAAGAAAACCTCAAAAAAAAACAAATAAAAACGAAATAAGCGATGACAAAAAACTGCGTCTACGAACGTTCAAATACCGTCTCTTTTCAAAAAGAAAGCGCGCCCTACCGCACACTGTACAAATATCGGCTTTTTGCTAGGTGGCTTTGAATGGGTTTTTATAAGGTGAACACGCAGAATTTTGTGTTTCCTTCAAAAGTTTATGTTGGAGGAGGTTTTGCCCCCTTTGGGAATTTTGAAAATATCTCGCAAAAAATTTTTGTATCCTTATAAAAATTGCTCTGAAATTTTTACATTCCAGTTAGTTTTTGTGCAAACACAAGCAAAGATTTGCCTAGAATGCGTACAAAACATTTCAAAAACTTAATTTTTGAACCAAATTAAATTGAATATGAGTTTTTTCTCAAACTTCTGGAAACGATCTTCAAGATTCTGTGAGCAATTTTGATGGTTAACTTTTTTAATTTTTCATGTCGCAAAAATCATGAAATTTTTTTAACATTGATTCTGAAGTAGTGCAAAAAATAATTGTGTAAAAAATGAGATGTTTGGCGAATTCATGTTAATAGGAAGATTTTTGATGTTTGGTTTTACAAAGCGTATTCTGAGCTCAATACTGTAGGCTCAATTAATATGATAAGTTTATTATTATTGCTGATCTATGATAACAAAAATCTTGCAGCTTTTCATAATTTTTCATTTAAAAAAATGTTCTATGAAAAAAATAAAAATTCAAAAAAATTGTTCTATGAAAAAAATAAAATTTTGGAGTTAAAATATAAATATTGTTACAAAAATATCAAAATGAATAGTTTTTAAATGTTCGGTAAAAGTTTATCAAACGACAAAAAAATTCCAATGGAGAGCTTTTTTTATCGATGGCTTAGAACAAGATTTCATAAAGGTTTTTGCAGAGTTTGCAGGAAATGCAAAAAAAAAAAACAAGTTTTGACGTATCATAAAACTTTAGTCATGAATTAGTTGTAGTTGTAGCTTTGAATTAGCAACTCGTAAAAAACTACATCAAAATTGAAGCTGGAAAATGAGAGAAACTACAGCAGAAACTTTCAAAAAAGTTTATTTTGCTTAACGACTGTTTTATGTGGAATGAATTTCAAACGTGTTTTTAGACCGGTGAGGAATAGATTATACTTCCAAAGCTCTGAAAAAAAATTTTTTATTCTGGGAGTATCCTTCAGCATTTGAATATTAATGAAACATTTCGCTGTAAGTATTGTTGGGCTTTTTTTCTTGTTAACTTTTAAAAATTTCTTTATCATTGAGAAAAAAACTCAAAGTAAGTAACAATTTAACATAACAATTAAGGGCACTGAAACGATAACACGTGTGACAAATGCAAAAAAAGGCCGCTTACAAATTATGCAAAAAGTATGTTTTCTGTCTGAAAACTAAGCGGAAAAAAATGCCTCTCCGATCAAAAATGAAGAAAGATCTGGGGGTATTAAAATGAGACGATTTTTGGTTTGTTATAGGGAAAGTCCATGATTAAGTATTGTTACTGCGTTTGAAATGAGTGAAAGAACAAAATGAAAAGACAAGTTTTATGATAGCATTATCTTGACAATGACAAATGAGCTATTATATAAATTATAACAAAAAGTGATTGACTTAATTCAAAAGATGAATATTTTTAAGACAGGATTGGATGAATAAATTGAAAAAAAGCAAATTTAACTTCTTTAAAAATTAAATGTTTCTGAAGTTAACAGCCAATGTTAATTAATCGAAAAAAATGAGTTAGAAAAACGAGTTCAGTTCATTGCGCTGTCCCGTCTTCCAGATTCGTTCAGGGCGGAATTGCTGTCGATAGTGTTGTTGGAAATGCTCTTCGGCAAAAAATGTTCAAGTCTTCTGCGAGCTTTTTGCTCCATCTCGACTACCTGTGAGACAGTTAAAAATGAAAAAAAAATCGCTCTAAAATATATCTACCTTGTTCAGTCGGTGGAACTCGTTCTGAAGATTTGCTAGTTGGTCTTTGATAGAATAGACGGCATCGACAATGCTTCTGTAGTTTTTTTTATTCAAGGGATGTTTCTACAAAACGCTCACTTCTCTTGAAAAACGACTTCGTCTCCGACCATTTCCTCGACAAGAATTCGTTCGTCTTCAGCAACGATGAGCTGTGGAGCATGACTCTCGACGATGGCATGATCTTGCATTCCGCCCGTTTCGATACAGTACCCCTCAATGATTCTTAGAAGCGCAAAGTCGTCTTCTTCATCTCTTGCTGCTGAAAATTGAAAAGTTCAAAACTATAAACTCGACTTTTTGGTTACCTTCTTTGCGCATTTTCACATGCCCCTTCTTGCTGGGTTGAACAACTTTTGCAACCCCGCAATAAGAAGGGAGAATCGTATGCCGATAAGAACTGCGCTCTGAAAAATTCCACGTCATTTCTTGTGAGACGAAATTCAGTTAGACGCATCGCTAATGCTTTTATCTCTTTACCGTAAGCTGGAACGTCGTAATCGGGAGAAAAAATTTAAAGAATAATGACTTTTGATCAATTCTGATCAATTTTAATTATTGTAAAAATTATTTACGTGTTTAGTAGCTAAATCGGAATACTCTACACCTTTTTTTATCATGCTAGTCTGACTACTGAAATTCTTAAAAAAACTATGCTCCAAATTTTTTTATTCATTTCCAGAAAAAAATAAATTAAGTTCAAAGTTACACTACCTGAAGGCGTTCTGACGTGGTTCTCGCTCATTGGAGAAAAAGCCTTCTGGGAGAATCATTTCCAAATCGTGATCGAACTTGATCCCACTGTTGTTCAAGCTTTCTTCTAACCTGAATGGATGGGATAACATTATCAACCATTATTCCCTTTTTCCAATCTTACCCTTTCGAAACACGTCTTCTTGGAGTGAGTTCGACCGGCCGCAGTGCGCCATCTTCTTGGCACTGAAGTACTTTTGAATAATGAAAAAAAAAATCATGCTCTACAATGGTCAGCTTTTATTTTAATTTTTTCTGAACCCAGATCAGGTTTTAGTATGAAGATCGCAACTTCAAAACCACTAGAAATGGAGAATATAGAACTTGAAACTTAATTTTGGAGCATGTCAACACGTTTTCACAAATAAACGGCTGTGAACCCCATTAATTTCTAACTCCAGAGTGGTGCCTATAGAGCAATTTCAGGTGCCCTCGGAGGGTCCCTTTTAGGGATTGCTTTCCCAACCCCTATAGGGGCGCTAAAACTGGCAAAATTGGTTATTATAAGCGCTTCAGATAGTGAGGATCTATGTGCGCTTCAGTTAGTGAATAAACTGTAAGTGAACCCCATTAATTTCTAACTCACATTATCATTAGCCGTCGTGGAAGGCTTCCGTAGGGCAGTGACGTTTGTGGATGTCGTGACTCCGTCACATTTGCCAAAGGCAGCCATCCAACGGTCAATTTCTGATTGCTGAGAGTTCCCCAAGACAATTTTGGTTCCTTTCCTCTCTATAAATAGAAATTGCAACAGTAAGCAGTACTTTGTCCCATTACCAATAGTAACTTGCTCATTGTTGATTTTCGTAACATTTAACCCGTTGGTTGGCATTTTTTCTTGAAGTTCGTACCCCATCGATGTGGTGATGTCGAAAAACATCAAATAACGAGAAAACAGTGAGATGAATCTGAAGAAGTTCAGTTAGAGGAATGATTCCCATCTAGGATTCACTTATCACTGGGCTCCTTGTTGTCAACCTGAACACTGCTCACTCCCACGTAAAGAATCGACCCTCGTTCAGTAAACGGCACAATTTTCTCTACTTTCGCGACGTATAAAAACTCGAGTTGGGCTTCTTTCTGCTTTCGGATCGTCGTGCAGCATTCCTGTAAAGGGCTAGCTGATATATACCAAGAAAGTTATATTGATAATTGGAAAAGTTAGGAACGTCAGGAAGTGAAATTTTGATAATATGAGATTGTAACCAGAGTCAAAAGGAATTTTATGAAGCCTTTGAGGGTTTGTTATGGTTCAAGAGTTTCCATTAATTGTTCCTAAATGAGTGGTTACTGCCCTTTTTCTGTCCTTTTGTCGGCTTCTATCCACCCTTTTTAGACCCTTTGAAAAACACAAAATGTTTTAAATTAAAAATATCTTTACTATTGACTGTGTATGAACCAAAATGTGCTACAGTAATATAATCAAAAATCATCAATGACCGAAACTTTCAGCACTCACTCTTTTTTAGCACTCTCATTTTTTCTTCCCTCTTTTTGAAGGCATGAAGGTCCAGAAAAAAAAGTTCATTAAAGTATTTAAAACTGAGCCTTTTTAACAACCATTTTGCATAAAATAAGATTTGAAAGGAATCTTCGGTCCGATTCACAAACGTTTTTATCATCAATAAGTGAAACTTACTTTGATTTCTCTGTACACTGAGCCACTCCTGTGAAGATCTCCTCGATCGGCATAACCTTCCTGAAGAAATAACTCGAATAAAGTCTCCCAAAAATTTTACCGTCACGATTCTTTCCATTTCTTGCATAGCTGGCTGGTATCGCTCAATGTGGCGGAAAGGCTCACTCAGTCCGGATATGAGATCCTTCATTTCCTTGCCGTTCTTGGTCAAAACTCCTTCCAAATCGCCACTTAATACAATAGTTATATAAACATATTCCATTTACACCATACAATTTCTCTTTGATGACTTCTGCAGCTTTCGGATGGTTTTCTGAGTAACGCAATAGAGCCTTGCGCAAGCCGACAGCAGCATTCAGGAGAATACCGCCGATTCTTTGTTTTTGTGGCTCTTCTCTAAAAAAAAGATTTTTATCAAAAATCCGTATGATGGCGCTAACTTGACGTTTTCTTCCAACTCGTCCAAAATTGACTTTTGAACTTTAAATATTTCTTCAAAGTTTCCGGCAAGAATGTCGAAATCCTCAGCGGATAAACTGTAAAACGTTAAAATCCAAACAAAAGTTCAGAGTTACATTTCAGATTTCATAATGGGGTGCAGGAAGTTGACGATAGTTCCTCTGAGGCTTTCTACGTATTCACTTTCGTATTTGAGAAAGTTTTTCAAAACGTCAGCCCTGTAGTCTTGACGATTCAGCTCGATTGATTTGAGATGTTCTGAAAGAATTTCTCCGTGAAACATTTTAAAACTTGCTCGCTTACCCATTCCTTTAGCACTGGCATTTGGGACAGAACGCGATCTCATCAACTTTTCTGAAAATCCATTTTTCTCAAAACATTTGGAAGGTTTCTAACCTTTTTCGGTGATCAGAGTGACATAGGCGGCAGGAAACCAGCCGGTCTGTCCATTAAAAGTTCCTTCCCACCATCCTCCGTCCGGCTGTTGGGTTATCACAATTATGTCGTCTTTGCCAAAGTGTAACTGAAATTTGAAATAAAATCACACCAGTTAATACAAAAACCTCATCGTTATTACTGCCCACAAACTCGAACTTTGCTTTGGCCATCGTCTGGCTAGCCGAACCAGGCTCCATTTTTTCTTTCAACAGCTGTAAAATGCTCTCTTGATCAAAAGAAATTTCAAAAAAATCTTCGAAAGACGAAGGAAACTTGAATCGCAAAAGAGTCAATGTAATTCAAACCGAATCCTATTTTTGTTTTGCAGATCAAAAAAGCAAGCGTGCTCCACGGGACGCGGCGCGTATCGACCTCGTTTTTGCGCGCCAGGTCAAGGTGCTAAAAATATAACGCCCATACATCAATTGTATTGGCTTCCCGCACAGGGTACCTGTAATAACGCTCTTGCAAAATGACTCAAGAACCTGAAAAGTGAGTTTTTTTTTTCCTTTTTCTTTTCCTTTTCCTTTTCAAACTTCGTGAAAGTTTTTCTTTCTTTTATTTTCATTATTTAGGATTCAATTTAAGATTTTTGTACAATTATGAAACATCCTTTTATCTTCAGAATTGCGAAATTCCTTTTCTTTTAGAATTGCTGCTGCTCCTCCGAAGGCTCCAACGGACGCCGAAGGCCTCATTGAGGTTTTAATACCTATACTGAACCTGTAGCGACCCATTGATTTTTAGGGTAACTATGACCAAGTTGTGCCAAGTTTCGACGAGATGAGCCTGAAGGAAGAACTTCTGCGAGGAATCTATGCGTTCGGTTTTGAAAATCCATCGGCTATCCAACAACGCGCCATTGTTCCGTGTACTACCGGTGAGTTTATTTTTCGAGATTTCTGTCTAACTTTTTTCTTGATTCTTAAAAATCAACAAATTCAGGCCGCGACGTCATTGCACAAGCTCAATCTGGAACAGGAAAAACGGCAACTTTCTCGATTTCGATCCTCCAACGCATCGACCACACTCAGCAGAACATCCAAGCCTTGGTTATGGCTCCAACTCGTGAATTGGCGCAACAGGTCGTCCGAAGATTTTAGTCCTGTTTATAGATGATCTTGCAGATCCAAAAAGTCATGAGTGCGCTCGGAGAATATCTTAATGTGAGCATTCATCCTTGCATCGGAGGAACCAGCATTCGCGAAGATCAGCGAAAACTTGAAGCTGGAGTCCATGTCGTTGTCGGAACTCCTGGTCGTGTCAACGACATGATCAGTCGTGGATTCCTTCGTGAGTTAACTAATGGCGAAAAAAAAAAACTTTTTATTTGATTTTGAATCTTTCAGACACCGACTCGATCAAGATGTTCGTCCTTGACGAAGCCGACGAAATGCTTTCTCGAGGATTCAAGGACCAAATCTACGACGTCTTCAAGACCATGCCACAAGACGTTCAGGTAATCAGAATCCTGTGACTTCTGTCTTCTATCTTTTTCTTTAAGGTGGTCCTTCTGTCTGCTACGATGCCAGCTGACGTACTTGACGTCACTGACCGCTTCATGCGTGATCCAATCCGCATCCTCGTGAAGAAAGACGAGCTCACTTTGGAAGGTATCCGTCAGTTCTACATCAACGTCTCGAAAGAGGTTTGACGGTCAATATGATCTCCCACTTCCAGTTATTGAATTAACAGGAATGGAAGTTCGAAACGCTTTGCGATCTCTACGACGCTGTCAACGTCGTTCAGGCCGTTATCTTCTGCAACACACGCAGAAAGGTAAAATCAATTTGGTTTTTTGATTGATAAAGAAGATTAGGTCGAATTCCTGACGGAGCAAATGCAAGAGAAGAAATTCACGGTCTCGTGCTTGCACGGAGACCTGGAGCAGCACGAACGTGATCTCATCATGCGCGAGTTCCGTTCTGGATCTTCTCGTGTTCTCATCACCACTGACATTCTTGCTCGTGGTATCGACGTACAGCAGGTAAATTGCAGATCAAACCTCAGAGCTTCAAACCGTCCAAAATATGTTTTTGATCGCCAAAAAAGCAAAAGAAAGTTCCCATGCATTGGCATATTTTATTATGAGCGTGGGGAAAAAAGTCGCGACCGCATCACGATGGGAATGAAACAGTCTCATTCGAAAGTTTTTTGAATTTTCCAGAGCCCTCTGTAAAAAAAAATGAAATAAAACACTATATATCCGAATAGCATCGTTATTCCGAAGAAAAATTAATTTTTTTGATTCGTGATCGATAATCGTTTAAGGCAAGCTCAAACCAAAAATGACGCAGAGAAACCCTTCTACAAGCTTATTGCGAGAAGACCCTCGTTATGAATACAATTAGTAATTTCAATTCAAGAAACCTGAATAGCAATTTTTGTGATAATTTACATCTTCAACTCTTTCACTACAAAACTACGTTTTTCGATTTTTTCGTCTCAGTTTCAAAAAACAAATAATGAGATTTCTGTTTGTTGCGTCACAGAAAGAACTTTCTCGTATGAAATTCAAGCTTTTCGAAACTCTTTGAGGGAAAAATCCGCTTTTAGTAAATTCAAAAAGATACATGACATTTGGGAAGAAAAAAATTTTTTCCATGTTTTTTCTTCTCTCGCGCAACTTGGTTTAAGGGGCGTTGAAAAAACAATTTTCTTAACCAAGTCACATGTTTCAGGTCTCTTTGGTAATCAACTACGATTTGCCATCGAACCGCGAAAACTACATTCATCGTATCGGACGTTCTGGTCGGTTCGGTAGGAAGGGAGTGGCGATCAACTTTGTCACTGAGAACGACGCTCGTCAGCTGCAAGAGTTGGAGACTTTCTACACAACTCACATCGAAGAAATGCCCATGTCCATCGCTGACCTTCTCGCTTCCTAAGCCTGTTGTTTCCGATTTGTTTCAGCTTGAATATTATAATCAAAAATGCTTAAAAAAAGTCCTATTTTTTTATTGCTTGTTTTATTTTTTTGGTGTGATTGTTTTTGTTTATGTTATTGGGTAAACCGGACGGTATGGGTTTGTTGCACATCTAATGCTCATCGTTCGAAATGTTTACACAATTTACGTGTGAAATGATTCGCTTTTTTTATTCATACAATAAACTGTTATTTGAGGGATTTTATTTGCTGTTTATTCCGTCAAAATCAAAAAGTAATATTTGGTGGTTTTTTTCTTTTTCTAATCATAAAAAAAGGAACTTGAAGACAAGAAAAATGAATAGAAATTTTAAAATTTTTCCTTTTTTTCAAGTAAAATGCCACTGGTGCAGGAATTTGAGCATTGTTAAATTAATTCGAGCCATTTTACGACAAGAGAATTTAAAAAAAGAATATTCTTTATTTAAAGTCAAATATGGGGAAAAAAAGGACATTTTAACGGTCATTTTTTTAAAAAGCGATCGTTTCCAGAAAGTATATATTTAGTATGCATAAAAATTATCCTTGTAAATTGATCAAGTATGAATCGTACAAAACAAGTTTTATTGCAAGAACTAAACGCCAAAAGCTCAATTGCCTACTGAACATTTCTAAAATGAAGGGTTTTGAAAATTGTTATTTTTGAACTATTAGGAGGAACAAGATTCTGAAGTTTTGAAAAAAAAATATCAAAAAAGCTTCGAATTTCTCATTACAGTCATTTGCGAATGAGGAAGCTGGAAAACGCCAAATTTGGCGCTATAGTCGTCCGTGGCGTCGAAGAAGGCGGTAGGACCTGTATAAATGGTTTGCCGTTCGTTTCGCCGGCTATTCGGATGCTTGGAAGGTTTTCATTCCAAAAAATGCATTTTACCCGTTTCGTTCAGGTTTCAAAAGCTCAAGTCTTTGAAACACGATAATTTATGCGCTTGCTTGGATTTGATACGGTGTAGATCAGGTGAAAAAATTCCGAAAATGTATAAATTTGTTAATTTAAGCTTCCAACCTGGTAATCGTAATAACAGAGGTCCACTCAACACGGCTCTGCGACATTCTGAATAATTCTTTTTCGTAAGAATTCTTGTTAGCAGTCTCCAAACAATATTTTCAGGCCGAAAGTCATTCAAAACTTCGGATATCAAATCGCCGATGCGTTATACTACTTGCATAGCCAAAATATCCTTCATAGTAATTTGAGTCTTTCAAATATTATAGTACTTGATGATGGAAAAAGGCTGCGTTTGTCAAACTATGGGACGAGGTTTGAAGATTTTTATTTCATTAATAAAACTTTTTATAGTTTTGTTGCCAACTACGGGGCTGATGCGGATCTATCAGGCCATAGTACAGTTTTCGCCTTCTCGCCGGAGCGCTTCATACAAGAAACTTCTACTTTGCCATCCCAGAAAAAAACGATGTTTGGTCCTTGGGAATCGTCTTGTTGCAACTATTCACAGTTTGTCAAGAAAAAATATAAAAAATTTGTTTCAATTTCAGGGAGTACCTTTTTCAAATGTGTGGACTGAGAGCCAGTACATAGGCATTCTTGAAAAACATTGTTCGAAAAAGATGGTTTGATTGAAATTTTTTTATTCGATAATGTTTTTTTAGTTGAATCCGCCCTTGATTTGTTTTTAAAATGCTTTGCGACAGGCAAATGGACTTTGTACAGATTTCGTCGAAGATGAAACGGTTTTGACAGCAAGTTATTAGTAAAAAACGGTTTTTCAATAGATTTCTGCGATTCTTTACGATTGTTTGAAAGTTAACCCTCGACGTCGTCATAGAATGAGGGAAATGATGAACAAACTGAAAAATAGCGATGCTTGTGACGGAAAAGATTCATTTGTCACTACGATTCCCGAGATGAAGGGTAACTTTTACTTGTCTTTTTATAAGAAGATTAATTTTTCAGAAACCATCAAAGAACTTCACGATCAAAAGTCCTGGCAATTCACATCTTTCAGCATTGAAGATGCTTATTTCCTGTGGAGGCTTTGCGGAGCGACGCCAGAAAATATCCTTCTTCGAAACTCGGTTATCAAACTTAAACCGCCATTGACAACGCTGCCGAGGTTTTCATTATCATAACTTTAATCTAGAAATTCAAAATCCCAGCATTGTGATCGAAGACTTTACCATTTTTGGAAACGAAAAAAAGCGTCAGTTTTTCGTTGCCTCGTCGATTTTTATTTTTGCCGACTGCAATTTGAAAAGTGTAAGCATTAATTCTTCGTTAATCAAAATGCGGATTTTGTCAGAAATTGTCGGAGTTGAGTGTCAAAGACCTGAAAACGTCTTTGGAACTAAGCAAGTTGGGCGTGAAAAGCGTGGAACCAGATCTATCTGATGTCCACCTTGCAAATTTGGCTGTCATTGTGAAAGAGAAAGATGCTTTGTATCAGGTTCGTTAAAAATCCACGGAAAATATCAAAAAAAGCTTTTTTCAGGCTAAACGTATGTCTCTGCTCCGCCATTTAGTTTCTGCGAAAGGATTTAATGAAGCGAAAGATTTTCTGAAGTCCACGGTCCGTCAAGACAATCCTCCGGTCTATCGTAATGCAGGTTTCTGTTTTGCTTATCGAAATTTTATTGGAATTAGACATTGATTACTAGGCTTTTTTCAAATTAAAAAAAGATTTAAAATTTTTCCCATTTGATATTATTTTTACGAAAAATTCTGGAATTAAGTATCGGTTTTTTTTCTTCTCATCAGGATCTATCTTAAACACACTGCTTATAAATTTGACGTATCCTATGTTTTTCAAAACTTTATGGAAGAAACAAGGAGAAAAGCGAAAAAAAAGCAAAAATTTCGAAAATTCAGATTTTTAAAATACGAGGTTCTGAGTGCTCATGAAACCAGCAATAAAAAAAAATTGAAAGTAGAGTTCAGAAGTTACATTTTCAAATGTAAACATGAATGTTTCTTTTCTTAAAAAGCTGAAAGTCATTTTTTTCAGCCTGGTCAGTTCTGCTAGACGTGGACGATAGCGATAATTTCCTTTTCTGGAGCTTGAACACTTTGCAACCTCATCCAAGTGACCGGCAACTCGACGTGGACATTCCTCGATGTCATCAGGTTAACTTTTTTGGTAGCCCAGTTTGAAAGGTTTTTTCTGGTTTTTTTTTTGCAAGAAATCCGGTCTGCAGGTTTTTTCCAGAGCTATCAAGCTTCTTCGTATTTTTTCAAAGATTTCGAAAGCTGAAAAAATAGATCGGAGATTTTTGATAGGATCTTTAAAGTATTCTGAACTTCTATTGTAACCTACAAATAGTGAATGAAAAAAACGGTCTTCCAAATTTTTCAATCATTTCGATAAAAAAATGGGTCATGAATGAAATTTAAAGCCCTGCAACCTTTTTTTAATTTTGACGCATATTTTTTTATTCTCACTAGGGAGAAATAATTTTTGGCCTTTCAATTCAACATATCAACCAAAAATTCATTTATCAAAAAAATATTTTAAAAAATCAAAGATAAAAAAATGTTCATTTCCAGTTTCAAGTCTCTGAGAAAACAATATTTTTTTCAGACTTAGGGTGTTCTTACATTTCAAAAATCTCAATGTAGTTGGAAAAAATAATTCTATAAACTGCAGTACGAAGAAATGATGACGTCACCAGCGGCCCATGCGGCCTTGCGGCGACTTCTAAAAGCTTGGTTGCTGACCAACGAGCGCTACGTATACTGGCAGGGCTGTGACAGCTTGGCGGCGCCTTTCCTCTTGCTGAATTTCAATCGACCGGGTGCGTACTTGTCCAACCTGGGCGTGACCCTGTTCTTTTGTTAGAGTTCAGAAATTTTCAGCTTCAATTTTTTCTTTCTCATTTTTAAATAGGAAGGAGAAAACTATGGAAACCTGCCAGCAAAATTATTATTTTTTTATAGCTCACTAATGGAAATAAGATGTTTTGACTCGATCAGGTAAATACACATTTTTTTGCCTAGGTGAAAAAAATGTACGTCTCGATTTTTTTAGGAAAGCGGGCTGCCTCAAGGAAAAAAATTTGACACTCTAGTAGAAAGTTTTTTTGCTGAAAATGGTGAAGGTTGAGAAAGTAAAAATACCATTTTGCTTTTTTTTAAATCAGTTTTCAACTATTTAACGAAAAGTTTCAAAAAACGAATAAAATGGAAACCTACCCTGATATTTTTTCATAATACCGTTCGTTTGAACATGTGCCCGAATTTTCTCAGAAACCTCGTTTCCACCAAATCCTGACCAAAACCCATGATCTTCAATAATCGGAAGAATAGTGGGCTCACAGTCCAAACGATAACAAATTGGTCGCTCGGCTCAGAAACGGTAGCCGCTGGGTCATTCTTGAGGCGCGCACCTGTAAACAAAACATGTCAATTGTCACCGACTGATATCGTTCGGTTTGACAGCGACCGCTTGGAGGTCGCCGTATCAACAGTGGCTCTGTCTGTTGTAGGCTAGAGGAGCCAAAAATCAGGAACTGAGTGGGAGAAACATTAGACTTGATGACAGAAGAAAAAAAAAAAAATTTCAAAAAAACTTTAAAAAGCAACTAAGAAAAAAAGATTTAAAAAAACATTTTTGAGGGTGTTCGATTTTTCGACTTAGCAAATTTTAATTAAAACTGTTGAAAGAAATTCTCAAAAACAGCTATAGAGATGCTTCAAAAATATATTGGTAAAATTCAATGATTTCGTTATTTAGATTTCGGAAGGTTTCAAAAAATTAATGAAACAATAAAGTCTTTTTGAATCAAAGAAAGGCTCAAAAAAAGAAGAATTATCGCTTGCCAATTTTTTTGGAAGATTCCCTTGAATTTTTCTAATTTTTTTGAACTCATTTAACTACAAGTTAGGTGCTCCTGTTTTCCGAAAAATTGATGCGCTCTGAGGTTTTCTGGGAAGCCAAAAAAACTTGTTTTTAGAAAAAAAAAGTTTAAAAATCGAATATCAAAAATTTCAACAGAAAAAAATTTTTCATTTTTCATGATTTTTCGGTTTTTTTCTCACAAAACTGGTCTGACTCAAGCAAGTGAGATATGCTACCGGAAATAAGTTACTGGATAGCTATTTAAATTCTTTGCGAAGTTTCAAAACATTTGAACCACTTTCAGAGAAGTTATGCTCGAAAAACCACTTTTAAATTTTTGGGCCGGTCACAATGAATAAAAAAACAATTAAAAAATCGACTTACAAAAACAAATTTCAATTATGAAATATAGCAATTCGAGACAGGAAATTGCAAGCCTTTCGAAGAAGCTGATAATGAAATTTGCTTGCAGAAACGGCGCTAGCGTGTCTGAACGAGTTCATCAAGCGCTATCTACATGACTTCTTCCTGAAAGATAACTCGGCTATCATTCAAGGTGTGAGCATGAAACGTTTGATAAGATGGAATTGATACTGCAGAATACCTCACCGTCTTCAATCATCTGCTGGCCTACGTCGACGCTCCGCTCTACTCTCATCTCGCTGAACTTGGCTTTTTCCCAGAATTATACGCGATTCCATGGTTTTTGACCTGTTTTGCCCATGTCCTTCCAATGCACAAATTGTTGCACATTTGGGACCAAGTACTGCTTCATGACTCTTCTTTTCCGCTTTTTGTCGGTAATTTTTATTTTTCAAAGTTCTTTTTTTCAATCTTCATTTTCCTCGTCTTTAAATATTGCAGGGCTTGCTCTGATGCGACAACTCCGTCCAAAACTGATAATTGCAAGTTTCAACGACGCCATTTTACTGTTTTCCGACCTTCCTGGTAAACATTTCCCGGTAATGTTTTGAAGAGGTTTTGTTTTCAGACTTATCGATTGAAAAGATCGTATCTTGTTCGCATCGTTTCCGTTCCATCGTCCCCCCGAGCTGTACTTTCCGCGTGCACGATGGCCCTTGGACAGGTGCCTGAGTACTTGAAGTTTTTCACATTGTCAAGAGCTAAACAATAGTACCTTCCTTCTAGAAATTCCTGATGTTTCTGAAGATTAAACTTGATTTTCAGAAAAAAGAATCGCAAATGAGGTCGAACCATTCAACTTGAACCGCACATTGATAGCAATGACGGTAGCGGAGCTCAAGGAAATGAACTGTCCCAGGATTTCAAGTCCGGAATTCATTTGGAGAGTCACTCAGAAGCAGATCTGCGTGATTGATATTCGTTTGAGCTCCGAGTGAGTTTTTTATTTGACCTGAAAATCATGCCAAAACGCGTATTTCTTGTTTCAATTTTGAGATCTTCAAGGGGCTTTTTTTGTCATTTTTGATAGGAAAATCTGTTACTAATTTTTTTCTGATTATTTTTTTGAGCACTAATTCGAGTCAATAGTTTTAAATTGATGATCAAAAACAAAGTTTCATAAGTGCAGCACTACATTGTAGCTCTTTTTTGTCAATATTCTTGATTCAAAACTGTATACTAGCCCTTTGAAGTGTCCGATCCTCACAAAAAAATTGAAATTTTCGCAGAATTCTCTTAAATTTTCTGTGACGTATTCAAGGAATACTTTAAAACCGCTGCAAAAAAGCAGCTAAAAACTTCTTTTTTGGTTCCTACAGTAACCGAGGGCTTACAGGTTTGCGCGCGGGTGTGTGGTCGGCTCTGTAAATTATCCGAGCGCCAGCAGAAAACAACTGAAAAGCATCGCCAACGCTCTGAAGACGGCCACAAGACAAGCTTATCCAATCTGCATTGTCTGGGGCAAGGACCACAAGACGGCCATTAAAGTTAGTTCCTTCTTGCTTTTCAAGTCGTGAAACCCAAGAAAAGAAGGAGACTGATAAAAAAGAACCGTTTTTGCAGTTTGGCGCTATGCTCGTCCGGATCGGCAGAAACTATGTTTGCATACTCGACGGCGGTTTTGAATCGATTCGTGATGAACGGACCATCTTGGATGTTGCACATTAAACTCGAAATGTTCCCAAATTGTCTGTATATTCTATGAAACTATTGACCGCTGTCGCGGCTTAGTGTTATCAAAAAATTACCAGTCACTCGTTTATTTTGCCCCATTAAATTTTTCGTCGATCGGATGGTGCTTTCCTGTGTGGTTCATTGATTATATTTTTGAAAGAATCTCTTTATCAATGAAAACTTTTCTTAAATTTTTTTCTCACAATTGTTAAATGAGAAAACTCGAAACTTCTTCGAACCTTTAAAAACAATTATTTCTCCGAGATTTGACCTGGAGAATGGAAAAAAAATAAACACTCTTGAATGAAAAAAAAAAACTGGAAAGCAACATTTTGAGCCATTTAGAATGTTTTTCTGCAGGAAAACGTCGCTTTCTCAATTTCAAGGTTCTGTGATAGACATCCTCATTTTTGGTTCCAAGTTTAGATGCTTCCATCCATTGATAAGATTTGATGGATGGTTGGTTTCCGCATTATGGGAAAACTCACAATTTTTCATGCTATACTGTATCCATTGCTCCGGAACTTTGTCCTCAAAATTACATGAGAATTTAAGTTTTTTGAAAAATTTTTTTTTAGGGCGTTGGATTCCATCTACATCTAGGAGGGTCTACGTCTGAGAAAATTATTCCTGGTTCATTTCTTCAAATATCACGGAAAAAAACAACTCAAATTGCCATACAGTCTTGCTCAAATCATAGGCCGGTTTTTGTTCACTTTTCATATTTTTAATTGGAGCTTCATAAAATAAATGATCAGCTATTTTTCGAAGCAAGAAATTGGAGTTTGATACTGAATTTCAATCAAAAAGCGCTTGCTGGTGTCCGAAACCTCGAAAAAGTGTATCAAATGGACTCACTTATTTTTGGCCTCGCGCCGTTCGAAAAGTAGATCTTTTAGAGCCCGCGAAAAGTGGCGCGAATGTATTGCGTTCTCGGAGACCCGGCCAACGTATTTTTATCAGACTGTGTAACAGATTGTTTTTTTGTCTGGTGTTCGTTTTTCGATATAATTGATTCTAATTGCCGTTTCAGCTCAGAGATTTATATTTCTGTACTTTTCAAGTTTTTTTTTGTGAGCAACTTCTTTTTTAAAAAAGTTCAGTGTTTTCTAGCTCATAAGGAGTTGATCCAAAAACACCTCCTTTTTTATATTTTGGGTTTTTTCGCGTTTGTTGGAGCGAGAGCCACAAGATAGCTCTTCTTGTCACCTTCTGCGCAATTCAAAATTTTCAAAAAAGTCGTCGGAACTTCAAAGCTGTTCTCGTCTACCTGTAGCTGCCAATCAAGTTACTCCTGAGAAAGAGCAGCGCTGTCAGTGGCGGCACGCGGAGTTCCTTTCTTGGCGGCGACTTATGAAGGTGGCAAGAAGTCGCACTTTGTTGCCGCCGTGCCTCCAGGAGAGCAATAAAGAGGCGGATCTGAGTTCAATGGGGTGGGACTCTCAATTACAGTTCCTTCAGTTCATCCCAAGTTGGGTTTGTCTTGTCCAACTCGCCGTGTTTGAGTCGGAGGCACGGAGCTGAAGTTCTCTTTGATAAGAGACATGTCAGGTCCTTGTTGATACCCAGCTCGCAAGGGCCGGGTCATCCACGTCTTTTGTAGAGCACAAAAGTTTTTTTTTGCCTTTATTTTCTTTTTTTTTGCCTGTATTCAAAAAGTTGTTGAACTTTTCTGGTTTTCATATTTCAAAAAAGAAAATTCCAGTTTCCAGCTAGTTCCCTCCAGTTACTGTAGATCGTTTATTTTCAATAGATCCTGTTCTTGGCTCCTCAAATCTCAGAAATCCCACTTTTTCTTGAAAGTTTGAACTTTATCGATTTCTCAATTACTCTCATCGTTCAGTATTTCTCACATTCGGTTCGTTTTTTTTTGCCTTCGAGGGACGGCTTTGATTGTTTTCGATTGCTCCTCGCGTGTTCATTTGTATGTTCGCCGGTACCTCAAATATTGCGCGTCATGCAGACGCCAATTATTCTTTTTTTCTTATTCCTATCTTAGTACCCCTTTTTTAATGAATTGACGTGATAGCTGAAAAAGCTGGGTTTCGAAGAATCGTGTCATGGCTGTGAGATAAGCTAGTAGGTATGAAGCTGATTCGTTCAACAGCCGATTTTTTGAAAAAAAAATTCATAGAAAAATCTTTACTACTATGTCGACAATATGTGTCTATAGGCATTATTTTCTAAAAAAATTTCAATAGTTTTTGCAATAAAAGTGGTGGATTTTGAGATATTCAATAAGAACTGAATAATGGCGAAAATTTTCACAGGACCTCAAACTTTCAAGAAGCATCTTCAGACTCTCAGCCAATAGAAGAATTTCGTTTTTTTGTTCCATGAAAATTCATGCATTACAAAGCTCGCGATTTTTTTTTGAACTTTCATCTGAAAACATAATCGCGTTTAAATTGAGCAAACTGCAAAACTCTGCTAAATCGCAATTTTTAGGATGAGCTTTTATGGAGTTCACGAACATCCACAAGAACCATTGGCTTTCGACCACGATAGTGCAGCCAAGCAGCACTGGGAGCCTCTTCCGATGCACGGTCCGTTTCAAAATTTTCTTAGATCAGATATATCTAGGAAATATTTCTTGAGAGTCCTTACATGATGTGTAGAGCTTGTAGTACTTTTTTGAGAAAGCGAAAAATGAAATTTTTTGAGAACCAGTTTTGTTGTAGCTGACAGTCTAGATTTAATAACTTTTACTGTTTTTTGCAGAAATGACGCCGAGCCCTTCAGCTTATTCGTACTATAATCAAGGTTTGTCTACTGTAATTTTGGACCTTTATTGATATACTGTTTCTCTCGAATGTGTCTAGTATTCGAAAAAGGAATTTCCTAGCGTCGAAAGTTAAACCTTTAAAAAAAAAACACGATATTTTTACAGTTCACGGAAGTTTTACTCATCTCCTGATTTAAGAAAATTTGACAATTTTCAAGTTTCTAGGTTTCCGCGATATTTTTTATCTAAAATCGACCAGAGTTTTTTCAGCCCTATATCTTTTGAGTGCAGATTGCTTTTATCAATCCATTTTTTTCCAGGAATGACGCCGAGCCCTCCGACCTACGCCTACCAAAATCAAGGTATGGCTATCTCTATTTCCAGAAATGAAAAAATTTATTTTTCATTTGACTTCAATTTGATAAGATGATTATTTTTATAATAATTATGAGCTTAGCGCTGTTTTTCAATCAATTTTTTATTGATTGAAGCTATTTCTCATTATTTGTTTTCCAGAAGCTCTCGAGGCCGGAAGTCCCACAGATACCATGATGCAGGGGAATCCTCCGAGTAATCAGTGGAACTACGGTAAATTATAGATTTTCTCTTCACTTTATAACTTTTCTTAATGGAGAGGAGAAAGTGCTTCAAAAAATTGATCTAGATGTATTTGAGCGATTTTTTGAATTATCATTCGTTCAAAAATGCTGACAGAAGCATTTTTCTGCTCGAGATCTTATTTTGGTGTTTTTTGCCACTGATCAATTTTGCGTATTAAATTAAAACTTTGCTCAAAATTTAATGAGAGACGAATAAGAGCATTGAAACATGTCTAAGCTTCTTTCTTCTTCTTAAGAGAAGGTTGGAACAATTTTTTAAATCTCCGCTGCAGTCTCAGCTCTTTCGGCCAAAAGGTCTAACCATAGAAAGTTTTGAAAAGTATCCCACGCTAAAAGGTTGCGAGGGTTGAAATCTTCAAAACATCTTTTCGAGATTGAGCTTGTAGTCGTTTTGATGGTTTCGCTTTCCTTGAATCTCAGAATTTTTGAGCAGAAATTTGAAAACCGTCTTCTGAGACTATAATATATTTAAAATTATCTCAGTGGTGGGATCGAAAACGTTTTCGGATCTTAACTGAACAAAATTTAAAATGCCCAGAATGGTCTAGGAGTTCTGGAGCCTCTCTCACTTATTTATAAACTAGATTAATTAATAGGTGCAGTTTCATAACATCAAGAAGTGTCTTCTCAACTTTTCTCAATGAAATAATAGATATTACAACTCCTTGTAAAGATAGCTTGATTTTTTTTTCCTTTTAAGGACAGTCTAACGGATGTTTTTCCTTGTAAGGATAGTCTACCTGATTTTTTTCACCTTTTGAGAACAGTAAAACTAATTTTTTTTTCTTGCAAGTTAATTCGAACTGATTTTGTCTCCTTGCAAGGACAGCCCAACTGATTTTTTTTTCATCTTCTAGAGAGAACTAACTTTTTTTTTGACCTACTACCGTAATCGCTAAGGGTAACGTTCGCGGACCCGGTTAACAAGCCGTCTTTGCAACAAATTGACACCGGCGGCCGGACAATGCGAGCTGGAGAGGCATTACAACGCGACGACGACTGTCCATGCATCATTGTTTCACGGTCATTCTCGAGACCACGTCTTCTGAATTCCTCCCCCCTTCGCGCTCTCTCGACGCCTCTAATCATCTATCTATCTATCTATACTGACTTCTGCGGACGGCGACGGACGGCGGGGGCGAAGAAGACGGAACAACGTCTCCACAATTTGTAACCTCCATATATTTCGTGGTGCCCCGCACTCCATCCGGCGACTCTCTATCAGCGTTATCTTTCGCGCGGCCGATGCGCGCTCTCTGTACGTCCGGAGCGATTCTCGCCAACGCCGTCCCACAATTCCTTCGTTTTGCGTTCATCACTTTCTCCAGCCGGGGTTACCTAATATCGTCACAACCCATTCCGCAATCTTATCTCTTCTTCGCATGCGATATAACGTTTTGTTTTGCGTTTCTTCCTTTTGACCATTGCTCTTTTTTGGAAAGATCTTTAAAATTTCTCTCTTTTTCTTGCGACAGTTCTACAGTATACTTGAACGTTTATACCTGGATGATTTGTGAGAATTGGGCTACGCTACATCTAGAAGCTAGTTGAGAGCTAAGAAATGAGGAAAATTCAAGGTGATCATCTGCTGAGCCCATTTTTCGTCTCAAGATGAAGATCTCATTACAAAACTTCTTCCTTAATCTTTTTCAACAAAAGCCTTTGAAACCCTTAATGAACTATCTCATCGTAACCTTAAGTTTTAATGTTTTCAAAAAGCCACTGTAAAGTTGTTACATCTCCTCTTGCCAACTCACTAAGAGCACAAAAGCTTCGTTCCCCGGTCTGCTATCCCTCGCCGCAAAATGTTCCTATACTGTACGATTTCTTAAGTCTTCAAAGCAAAACTCTCTCTCCTTTTTTTCTTGTAGATTTTTTTAAATCATAAAAAAACGAGGATATTTTTTTCAAAAATTCAACTGGCAAATTTAAAAAAAGTTAAAGTTAGAGATTAAAAAAACTTGAAGAGTTCTGTTTATGATAAGACTTCTAAAGTTTCATGTCGTTATTTCAAATCTTCTGAAATTTTTGCATTTTTTGAAAAAAAACGTCTCTCTGACCTGCGCTGTTTCCTTTTTTAGATGGTTCGTGAGAAAAAGGTCCTTATCAAAGATCGTATTATCTTATCAGGCTAGTTGCGATAGCAAATTTTCAATGGTCATTTCATGACGTGCTTTGATCTTTCCATCTGTCGCCTTCCTTTTGTTTATTGCAAGAAAAATGCGAAAAATCCAATCGATGCCGAAATTAAACACAGCCATCTGAAAAATAGTTCTCCTTCTTACTCTGTCCTTCTTCTTTTAATTTTGTTGGTCTTTACTGCAAATTTTTATTTGACTTGACAATAACCAAGACGCTTCACTACAGAGTGTCTGGTTCCACGCGTATTACTACCAGCCGCATTGTCTCATTGTGAAATGGCGCAAAAAATTGCGTCCATTCGACCAATCAACCGAATTTTCATGAGAAAAAGTAAATGGTCTTCCGGTGGTAAAGTAGGACAAAATTTTTCTCGGTTCCTTTATGATTTTCCAATAAAGGATTAGTCAAAATTCATCTGATAGATTCTTCAAAAACGCTTTCCAAGCATTTAAACTCGCAGAATTTTGACGTCAACCCCCCGGTTGAACTTTTGATGAAACTTTGCCGAAGTGAACTTTAAACCCCTCAAATTGCAGAAAAAATGAAAATGTGTCGCAATAGATCTCATTTTCGAGTTATGAACGCAAATTAGGCCGAAATGCGCTATTTTAAGCTTTTGAACCGTCCTAACTCGAAAAGCAGATCTACTGCGAGAAATTTATTTCTTGTTCTGGAATCAGAAGATCTTAAAATACATTTGAGCAAAGTTTCATCAAAAATCCAGTTGGGTGTAGAAAAACGCTCCCTAGTAAAAATTTTTTTCATCCAAAAATTTTCATAAATAATACTTTAAATTTTTGTGATTTTTTTGTATCAGTCTCCTACAATTTTTTTTTTCAAAAAATGAACAAGTCTTTTAGAAGTTTCCATGAGAAAAAACAAAACGAAATTTCATGTCTATTTTCATTAATTTTTTGAATTTTTTTGGCAGTTTACAAAAAAAGACTCTTGGCAATATTCAAAACCAACATTTTTCCTGTTATTTTCTATTCTATTCCTAGTCGTGTAGGGCTTGGCAAAAAGGGTTTGTGTCATTGTGCACACAAGCCATTACACAAATGCATACAGTATTCGACCCGAAAATACCAAAAACTGAATAGAAAGATGAGATGGTGGCTCATGCTAGAGCCCGTTTTACGAGCATCGCTTCACGCCGTTCTCGTGTTTGCACTGTTGCCGATTTTGGCCGGCTTGCCACATTTTGCCTCTTCAACTCCAACTCTGCCTTTTTTTTCATCTTTTTCCTTGACATGGTCTTAATTCAATTCTGAGATTTCGCCCGTCGGAAAAAAACATTTGGAAAGTTCCCACCGGAATCGATGGAAATAGGCGTTTGGTTGGACGTTATGCAACAGGAATGTGAAACAACTTGCATTTCTTCAATTTTTTTCATATATATATCGCTTGTTTTTTTGAGAGAAACTGTGAAACCTTTTTATATTTTGTAAAAATCTTATTGATTCCGCTTCTTTTTGAAAACTCCAATTTTTCCTGTTGAATATGAAATACCGTGGCTAACAGTTGAAATAACTTTTTTTTTTGAACTTAACTTTTGTCAGAACTAAACTGCGGTGATTTTTTGAAATCTTTTTCTGACGAAATCGCATTTTTACAGGATTTTGGCTTCAAACTTATGTAGCAATGCTTTATATATGTATAACAAGTCAATTTTCCAAATCCATCAGGAATTCCAAGTGTTTTTATGGTCCTAATGGCTTTCCTGTTTCAGTGAACCATTCGCCAGCAAACGCGTATTACGAAGAGCCTCGTGCAGCTCCTCTGCCACACATCAACTCGTTGATGAAGGAAACCAAAGACGAATACGAGTTTTTCGGTTAGTTTTTTTTTTGTGTTTAATAAATAGTAAGTTCATGATTTTCAGCACAACACTCCGGAATGGCCAGCGACTACTCAGTGGAAAAATTGACTTCGATGCCCCTCACAGACTATTCGTTGCATATTCCTACTGAGAATCCCCAGTCATATGCAGACTTCGCCAACGCGTGAGTTTTTTTCTTGCTGCGACCGTAGAAATATTTACTTTTTTTGAACTTTTTTTTCGTAGACAGCAGTTCTGAAAAATCATGATTTTCATGTTTAAGATGTATTCAGAACCACTTTTGAAGATATTTTCCGAATTCGATTCAAGTTTCCCTTTTTTAAGCTAATTACTAGGTTTCAAAAAACGGAATAAAATATATTCCACAAATTAAAATCATGAAAAGATACCGTATTTTCCTTTCATCCTAAGATTGCTTTTATCTGTACCATTTTCAAAAAGAAATTTTGAAATAAACAAAGGTTTCACAACATTAAAACTATCAGAAACCACTTTCCTGCATTAACGCCTGCTCTCAGCCTAAAAGCATTACAGTTCGCTTTTGAAACTTTGAAACTTTCAAAACCATTATTCTCGCTCAAAAACATTTGCATCACCAAAACTTTCATTTTAGCTCGATGTTGGGCCATCCGACGGACGTCCTGCCGACGGTCACGTTTGCCCCGAATCCACTGCACGCCTCCTATGCAATGGCTGTAAATCATGTACACCCGGCGTCTGCCCATTTCCCGCTGTTCGATTTTGTGAGTTCGAATTTGATCAACTCATTGGGAATTTCAGCTTACAGAAGGGCTTGAAAATTGCAAAAGGGAGAAAATTTTGGAAGTTGATTTATATAAAAACCTTTAGGGTTTGCTGAGGATTGACAGTTCTGGACATTTAAAGCAAGAATTTCGTGACGACAAAAATGAATATATGAACAAAAACTTACTGCAATCCAGTGTTTGAGGGTTATATGAAACTGAAAGAAAAGAATGGAAAATAATTCTTTTATAATATGTTTTCAAAAAAAAAAAAATGCACTTACCTTCCTTGAAACATAACTGAACTACCCCAAAACTGTCCAAAAAGTACATTTCATAAAAATTATCAAAATTCAAAAATAAGAAGAAATCTCTGCTTCAGACGCTGCAAACGCTCCACCCGATCTACGAACCTCCGGTGATGCAGCCAAGTCCCCAGCCCGTTCAGGCGCAACTGGCGCAGATCCCGCAGCCGACCTACGCCGCCTCGACCCACAACAACTACACTCCGCCACCTCAGGATCCTCTGGTCCAGCGTCCCATGATCAAAAAACGCCTGCCGGTACAAATTTCTATCCTCTGATGGCTCTAAAAACTGAAACTTCTTTTTTGAAACTTCGTCAGAGGCATTTTTGATGAGTAGAGCTTTGATAGATAAATTTAATTAAGAAATCATAACTGAAAAATCATGTTATTTTGAAGTTTTTTTGACTTGTTTAGGGATACCTCCACCTGTCGGAACCACAGCCGAAGCTGAAACATGAAGTTGTACTTTCTTTAAGTTTTCAGAAGTTGAGGGTGTCAGAGAGTTTTAGTTTGACTTGAGAATAGACCCAGCTTTAAAAAAATCTCGCCCTTCCGCATTCTTACCATTAGAAAAAAACAAAAAATTTTTTTTTCCCTTTTTCGCAATAATAATTTCAACATATTTTCCACTGACAAAATTAATTTTCAGGCCGTGCAGTGCCACGTCAACTCGGTCTGCGCCAACTGCAAAACTCGCGAAACGACTCTTTGGCGACGTAACCAAGATGGTGATATAGAGTGCAAGTGAGTTTTTCACTTCTTCCATCGGAAAAAAAATTGAATATATAAATTATTGATTAATTGCAATTTTATGATCATGAAAGTTCCTGAAAAAGGCTTCCGTACTTACGAAAAAACTCAAAAATAAGGTACATCCAGGAATTGCGTTTTGCAACAGGATTTACAGAACCTGTTCTTTATGTCTTTTTAAAATTGATAGAAACTGTAAAGAAGATTAAAACTCAAAAAAAGTGAAACTTTAAGTTTGATAAATTCTTGCTGTGCTGTCATATGACAAAAAGGATGATTCGAAAAATGAGAACCGGTTTTTCTCACTATTTCTAACTCCTCCCGGCTTCTTGACCGCTATTAAGCTTCTACCGGAGTTTAATATCAAAACTTTGAAGTTATCTTCTTGAAGTCATAGTAACCGGACAAACTCTAAAAATGAAAACTGTAAGTTCAAAAAAATGACGTAATATTTCAGCGCCTGTAACCTGTACTTTCGGAAGAATAACCGAAAACGCCCGCTGGCCCTTCGGAAAGAAGGAATTATGAAGAGGAATAGAAAGCCCCGCAACGAGTCGCCGCCCGAGCAGCCTCTCGGACGCTAATTCCTCATTCATACCAAATTTCGCAACTGATCTTCTCGAATTCGCTCATCGTAGCCTGTAAAAACCGTTATTTATGACTATTTTGTCGTATACCAATCCCTTTTTCTTGTTTTTCTCGCATGTTGATTTCAATTTTTCTTCTTGTGATTCAAGTTTCAACCTTCCCCATGGCCTTTCTTACCTTTGACCTATTGATTAATACCTTTTCCCTACTTATCTTGTAGCTTTTTTGAATTTTAAAAAGATTCACTTTTGAGTTCCGCTCCATTACAGGTATTCCACAGATTCCTTTAAGAATTTTTTCTGTTATTTTTTCTTCCCCTCACATAGAAAACATAATATTTAACTCAGCATAAAATGTGTCTGTTTGAAGAGTCCACGGCTCTTTTGCATTTTTTTCTTATAAAAAAATAAAAAGGTTATATCCTTAGAATATGTATCTCAACAAAAAGTCTTTTTCGAAAGCGCTATAAGTTTTCCGAAAATGAAATCAGAAAGAATTCCTGGTTGTAGGGGATTATAATCATAGATTTAATTCTCGTAAATCTGAGATACGCGGGAAAAACTCTGCCCCCGGCAATTTGTGAATAGTGCAGGATTTAGTTGTGCCGCTGCATTTTTGTCAAAGCGTGAGTTTTTTTCGAAAGCTTGTCTTCTTATTCAAAAAAATTTTTCATTTTGAAAAAAATAGAAAAAAAGATCTTCTTTGAGTCTGTTCGAGAATTTCATTGGAAGTTGAGCTATAACTTCGATTTTCGAATATTTTATAGTGTTTTTACATGATAAAAAAATCTGAAAAGCTTAATTTAGTATTTAAAAAAACTTAGTTCCATAGTTAGTTGCGAAGATCTTGCAACTGGTTAACCGAGATAGTGTTTTTGGACCAGATCTGCAGTTTACCCTTCAAAAGTTACCTTGTGAGAAGATCAAACTATGGACGTTCGAAAAAAAATACTCCTACTAGAAATATTTTTCAAACTCAAGGTCAACCTTCTACAAAAGAAATCAACCATAATAGTGAGCCTATATAATATTGAAACGGTAAAATTTAGTTCTGCGCCTCATAATCGTAGATAACTCAATGTGTCATTTCAATAAATCAATTCAAAACAAAAACGATGAATTTTAATAAGCTCCATGGTTACCGCTCAAAACGGCTCTTGTTCACGGATTTTTCAAAGATTTTGAAACGTTTTGAAACGGTTATAAGTTCAATTTTGAGAATTTTGCAATTTCGTCGACGCTTGTATAATATCTGCCGATAGTTTCCGAATTTTCCTTTTTTTCGCAGAAATTTTCGAGAAGGGAAAATAACTTCCGGTTGGATGTCTCGAATCGCTACGGTTGAGTTAAATTGCTTCAATTAACTCATATACTATTCTGAGAATTTTTTTCAATTTGCTCCTTTCCTATTCATTCAATGAAGCAGACTAAACATTTTTTTTGTAATCTATCTACTTCTAATTTCAAAAAAAGTCTTGTCACGAATTCATCAACTCCATCTAAACTATTCGGTCAAAAATTTATTTTTGAAAAAAACTTTTGTCATGATATTTTGGATCTCTGAAAAATTATACTCATTATTAATAACTGAAATTTCCATAAATGACCTTTTTTTTCTTTTGTTGCCACTTTCAAGAGTGAGGTTCAAATTTTAAACCTCGTTGAACTTTTTTCCGCTCTTATTCGATAAATTAAAGCCAGACTTTCTTCCAGAAAATGATGAAATAGCTTTTTTGAACCGTCCTTAGCGTTCTCTTTGTTTCCTTTTCCTTTCATTTTTTTTCAAAAAAATGATGTTTTATTGGTTTGAATATTTGAAAAGTACTGCATTTGTACACAAACTGCCAAGAAAACGATTAACTTTAGGCGAGGAAAAAGGCGTCAGGCCTTCGCGGTTATCCGATGGCGAAAACCGCTGCCAGTCGGGTGAAGAACTACAGGGGGGTATAAAAAGAACGGCGCTTGTAAGGTCAGCGGGGCTCTGCCCCAGATTGTCAAATGAAGAGTGCGGTCTGGATCCGGCATTCCAGGTTTAAATCGAGGTTTGGCCTGGAGTGTCGAGGCTAACATGACCGCGACTCTTTTGCAATTTTGTAAATTTTTTTCAAATAATCTTCTGTATTTTTTTCAAACAGTTCCATAAATTGAGAGAATTTTTTTAAGTCATGAATAAGAAATGTTTTTTTATAAAATTCGATAGGAGATACTATCAAAAATTCGTATTTTTTTCTTTATTTTTTTCTTCTAAAACCAATTTTGATACCGCCTTGATTTGATGTACAAAATCGCGATTGAGTGTATAAATAATGATAATCAGCTAGTGTTCGGAAAAAAATCCTAATTTTCCAGTAGAATAACGGCATCCGCCATACATTTTAGCCGTTTGTAATGCATATATTGTTTTTTTAAATAAAAAAATTGTCAAATTATGCAAACTTTTCTTCCGATAATGTTTGCATAACGGTTACTGTTACGGTTAAGAACACTCAAAAATAAAAAAATTCTCTTCAAAAAAAGCTGTTTTTTTCTTGCATTTCTCCTCTTCTAACGATCGCTTTATTGAAAAAGTTCCATGAAATTTTTTTGTTAATGTGAAATTTTTTTATTTATTCTTTTAATTTAAAGATTCTTAAATCAAAAAAATGTATAAAAATCCTTCAAAAAAACCTGCACACGACCGTGAAAAACCCCAGGAAATACTTCGAAAAAAATTCAATCGTTTTTTTCGAAAAAAAGGCGCGGCTTTGAGTTCTCTTTTATTTCCTTTTCCTTCCATTTTTTTGAAAGAACTTAAATTTATTCTATTTTCACAAAAATATTGTTTGATTACTTTTACTATTTGAACAGTACTGCGTTTGTACAGAAAATGCCAAGAAAAAGATTAACTTTCGGCGAGGAAAAGGGCGTCCGGCCTGCGCGGTTATCCGATGGCGAAAACCACGGCCGGTCGGGTGAAGAACAACAGAGGGGTATAAAAAGAATGGCGCTTGTTAGGTCAAATGAAGAGTCTGCGGTCCGGATCCGGCATTCCAGGTTTAAATCGAGGTTTGGCCTGGGGTGCTGAGGCTAACATGACCGCGACTCTTTTGAAATTTTGCAAAGGTTTTTTTCTCAATTAATCTTTTTGTATTTTTTTCAAACAATTCTATAAATTTAAAAAAAGGTTTTATTTCTTGAGGAATGTTTTTTATAAAATTCGATAGGAGATACTATCAAAATTCGTAAACCGTTATTTTTTGAAAAAAGGCTGACAAAGAAAAAAAAAATTGTGGCTCAAAAAGTTAGGCGTTCAGCTGAAGGCTCAATCTCCCGAGCCGTATTTTTATCTATTTTGCGCATTTACGAACAGTTTTTCAAATGCTTCCCTGCTGCTAAGCCTGGGGTAGACCATGAAATAGGGAATTATTTTTTTTCTCTTGATAGAGTATATCAGTTTGAAATGTCCAACATCAAAAAAAAAACCAAGAGCTTTAAGATTTTCAATCCGAGCCGCGCAAGGTCTACTCCCAGTATCTCTACAGTGAAAATCGAAAAAAGCAAATGATATGAAGTTTCTCAGCAAAATTAATTATTTCAAAGAACTTGCTATGTCGTTTCTTCCGATGATATTTGACGTGTGATACTTTTTTTTTGAATATCACTGGAAAATTTGAAATTTTTGAAAATCTCCCTCCAAAGTATTCGCAAAAAAAAATGTTCAAATAGCAATGATAACGTAATAAATTTGAGTTACGAGAGGAAAACAAGAGCGTGAGGTTGCATATGATAAAGTGCACGTGCTCCCGGCTCATTTCCTAGTCTTGCGCGATTTTCGACGCTCACAAACTTATCCTCCGTATTCCGTTGCTTTTCCTGGCGGAAATATTCTCTTGGGATCAATTTATGAACGGAAATTTGAAAAAATTGTTATTTTTTCTCTTTCTATTTCCTATCATAACCACGATTCTTTTTAATAGAAAGAGTATTTTGGAAAAACTTTTTGTGTTCTTAAAATTGAGCTCATCTTATCATCTTTATTTTTTTTCTACTTTTTTTCATCCAAAAATTCGTTTTTTTGACTTTATTCAAATTTAAATTTTTTTCTAGTCTATCGCAAAACTTCCAAAAATTTTTTTGTATTCGTTTTTTTGATATAGAGAAGGCCATTTTACCTTGCGGTTGGGAAGTTTTTTTGAAAAATTTGCCAGAACTTTTCTTGGTGTACCAGATGAAAACTTTGATAGTCTCAGCTTGCACAAAATCTCAGTTTTTGAGGAATAAAGACCGAAAGTCTCGAAATAGCCTATTCTGATGGATTTAGAGAATTTCATTTAATTTTGAGGCGTCCTTTTTTGAAAATGAGGAAGTTGTGCAGGTTGAAAAATTTAGATTCTTCTTCTGGTATATCAAAAAATGATCTGGCTAGTTTTCAGGAAAATCCCAACCGCAAAGTAAAACGAACTTCCTTGTTAAATAATAAAAACCTACTTTTTTCACTTCTGTGCTGCTTTTACTTCAAAAAAGTTTGTTTTCTCCCAATCCTCCATCAATTGCTTATTTCAGTGTCTGAAAAAACTCTACAAAATCAATTATATTTGTATTCATCAAGAGTTCTAAGAAATGGCTAAAAACGATTTTCAATGCACTTGATAAAAAAATGCTAAAAGTTTGAAAAAAAGAAGCTTCGATGGCCATTTACTGGGCAACTTTGTAAAAAAACCAGGCAATTTTTTTCTTGTGGTAAAAGTTTTCATGTGCCTTGAAAAATTCAAAATTTTACCTAAAAAAAGCCTGTTTTTTTAATGATGTTCAAGTATTGAAAAATCATGTCAAGAAGTGACTTTCATCGGATTTACATTGTTTTTCCCCCAAACTTCCTCGATTCCAATTCAACAGTGTGAGAATCGGACCCAGAAGAAGCTTGGTACCGTTGAGGACAAAAAGACGCGTTTTGTGTTCCCTCGACGATTCGCTCCAGCCTGGCAGGCGAGGCGAACGAAAGGGATTCCGCCTAGGCGGAGGTTGTCCGTGCCTCTCTGCGGGCTCCGCGATCAGCGGCCTCTCTCGTCGGGGCCGTCCCGCGTCCTCAGTTGCGTCTGTTTGTCGGTGACCTCTCCCTCTCTCTTTTGCCGCACCACAGCGTGGTACGCGCTGCTAGCCGCGTCGCGTTTCTTTTCCTCTACCCTCTTTCCAAGTCTTCTGATCAATTTACAAATACGCTTTTTTTTCTATTTATATTTTTGAGTTACGATTCCATGTTTCTTATCCTCCCTCCCAACGATTTTCTGTTTCATTCAAGCTTTATGTTTCATTCAACATCATGCTGACATTTCCAATTGAGAATATATTTCCTAGAAATTTATCTGACTCTTGACATCTTGTACTTTTATCACTGCCATTTGCAGTTCTATCTGCAATTTTCCAATCTATTTGCACATATCATAACGCTATCTACTCGAGAAACTTTGAAGCTTTCTTAGATTGTGAAATGAATTTCCGCTCTCACAAAGATTTCCTATTCTTCTCAAACGTTTCCAGTTTGTTAACGAGTTTATAACTTCGTTATTTCTTAGCTATTGGTCTTTTCTTTCTCATAGATTTCCAACTTTTCAACTTTTTCGAAACAGCGTTTCAATCGTCATGCTGATTTTGAGCCATTTTATGAAATTTTTTTGTACGATTTCGATTTTTTAGAGTTCGGTGTTTTGGTTTTTTCAAATATTATTTGGCACATGGATTTCATTTTTCTAAACCCTCGTGAAAATTTTCTCTCAAAAGTACAGAAATAAGATTGATTTGGGTTTTCATCCGTAGGTTTTAATGAATGAGCTATAACTTCAAATTTTCACAAATCGTTTCTCAAAAATATTGCAAAATCAAAGAAAAATGAAAAAAAAATTATGTTTTTCATAAAAAAAAGACCCCGCTTTTAATGTTTGAAGTTGACAGTTTCCTTCATTTTTGCCCATGATCCTTAGAAAAAATATGATAAAATTTGATGATTTATCTTTTTAAAGCTGAAGATTTTGTAGTAGCAACGTTATTTTTTTCATTTTTTGCTTACTAAGAAGTTTTCCAAAATCCTACCGAAATTTCCACTCTGTCGGTATTTTCGCTCTCTTGGAATAATCTGAAATGCAAAAATGTCCAAAAATTGCACTACCTTGTATTTCGCCATTTGGACTTCAAACGTTATTATCTTTTCTGAATGTATATTATCTTCAAAGCGTTTACGTTTCCATGGAAACATGTTATCTGCAATTTTAATTGGAAATACACTTGCTCAACAATTACAGCATTTGCCTCTGACACAAGCTGAAAATCTAGAGAAAGGCACTTTGATCACTTTCGTCAAGCACTCCATTTCATTTACACGAAAATGCATTTTTTGTTGTTGGAGGAGAAACTTTTCTGTCTCTAACCTCTTTCGACGTCATCATGACTCACTTTTCTTTTGTCGGCCTCGCCCTTGAATATATTTGTCAATTTTTTGCTCGAAAAACTTGTGAAATTCCAATTTGTTGCAGGAACGAGCCCTTCGTGGCAATTCACTCCTCTCCAGGAGCTTCTTCCATCAGAAACTCTCCAAAGGAGAACACTAATACGGGACAATCCAAGTTGAATCAAGTCCCGAGGAAGACTTGCAAAAGAGAAGAAAAGCGACAATTTGATCTCGATCGTCTTCGGCTTTAATTGGCAACTTTGCCGTTTCCAATCAACTGTTACTTATCGTGCCTGTCGTCATCCAACCCCCACGGAAATCGGGTCTACCTCAAACTTCGCTGATTATTTTGATTCGCTTTGTCATAGCCTGAAATTATGGCCGCCGGTATCGACCAACAACAACAGATGATGACGATTTTAGGTTGGTTTTTATCTTGAAAGTGGCCTCAAAAAAGAGATCCGTTAGGTTTTTTTTCTGCAAAATGCGCCATGCCCTTTACCTCAGTGCAACATGATAGAAAAAAACTTCGATTATTTTTAGCAATAAATTTAAAAAAATAAAATTAAATAGCGGTCTTGAAAAAAAGCGTGAAACTTAGGTTCCTGCTGAATATTAAAAAAACAATTTCATTATATATCTTCTTTTCAAGAACTTAAATTACACGTTTTTGACTCGAAGTCATATAGGTTTTTTTGAAAAATAGCTCAGTTAGAAATATTTTTTTGAAAAACATCGAATGTAAATTGATTCTGATCCTATGCAAAAAAACCAAAAGAAAAAAACTTACGAATATTTCAAAAAGCAATAATTTACACTTGTTCTTTTAAAATACTTCACAAGTTTTCGAACCAATGAAAATGTTTTTTGGCAACTCTCTAGATATTTTTGAACCCAATCAACAAAAGCAATTATAATTTCTCGGCAAGAATCCCAGGCTAATCTTCTAAAGAGAGCAATTAGCGGACGCACTGAGCAGGTGCGAATCATCAAAAGGGCATGGTATTGATTGAATGCGCGGTATAAAGATCCCTCAAGCGTGGTAGTGCGTGAGATGGTGAGAGAGGTCAAACAAAAAGTGTCCAACCATGGTGGGTCGCGTAGATAGAGCGGCAAAAAATTGGCGCGAATAGGTACCGAGGAGGCATTGTAAGACCCTCAGTCAGACTCTGCGCCATTCCACCGACCACCACCACCGCTCGCTGCTGCTCTCTTAGTCATGAGTGCCATCAAGATTTCCGGACTTCTAGAATCGCTATCTTTTTCCGACTCGATGATTCCCGGCTCACAACAATACATGCCTGGCCTTCTCGGCAACTCGTCCATGAATAACCCGACGATGAACAGCCAGCCAGTCAACAACCAGTACATGTCAGGACCGCCAGTACCAACAAGTAGCCAGCAGTTCGTCCCGCCAACCACTCAACAGTCCTCCAGCATTCAGGTTTATTTATTTTTTGTGTTTTTTTGAGATTCGACATTTTCCTAATGTTCAAAAAAATTCAAAAGTTTAATTCATATATTATTTACGGACGTTTTTATATCGACTCAGGTCAGCCAGGAGCCATTTTTCATCTAAAAAATGCCCAAAAACACCTTCGGACTGTATTTTTTTCCCATTTCCTCTTGATAGAAATGAAATTTTGATAGTTTTAGACAAAAATTCAGAGCTCATCCCAAAAAAAGACAAGAAAAACCACTCAATCGATTGTTTGAACACCTCTGTGTTGAAATTTTTTAGACTTTTATTCTCGAAGAAAGTTTTTCCAACTCATTTTGATTACAGGACATGTTTCCGGGCAACTCAACGGGTGTCGGTGGATCACAATCCTACGCAGATGTACCTTCAAGAGGCGGCGGCAGTCTTGCTCCAGGAGCTCCAATCGGAGCCTCGGGCACCTCGAGCGAGACGACCGCACCTCAACAACACGCACAGCTCACCAGCAGCACCGGCGCCTTGCAATCGTCAGTTTTCCGATAATCAACGCCTACTCGAAGAAACTCCGCTGGAAAAATTCATATTGAAGGGAAAAAAGTCCCAAAAAATATAAACTTTTTCATTTTGGCTTTCTGTAGTGAACTAAGTGTACCTTTTTTTAAACAGTCGAACTATCTCTTGAAGAAAAATTCTAGTTGATAAAATCCTCAGATTTCACCTCGAAAATTTTCCACTGATTCGACTTTTTAGCCAGTTTCAATCATGAAAACTACACCTTTTCGCATGGCCCCAAAAAAACAAATGAAAGTTTATAGTATAGATAGATTATTTGTTTTTCTTTCCTGATGACAATAAATAAACTATCGGAATTGCAGGCTGTCAGCGTCGGGTGTCCAATTTCAATGTCCTCGACGGCCGAACCACGGTGTCGAAGGTCGAGCGATTCTACTCAGGGCCAACCATTTCGCCGTCCGGATACCTGGAGGAACCATTCACCACTATCAAGTTGATGTTCATCCAGACAAATGTCCACGACGAGTGAATAGGTTAGCTTGGGGAGCGAATTATCGATTATCATCTTATCATTTGCAGGGAAATCATTGCGTGTATGATTCGGTCCTTCTCAAAGTACTTCAACAATGTGCGTCCGGTGTATGACGGAAAGCGGAACATGTACACCAGAGATCTCATCCCATCTGTCATCGATCGCATGGATTTTGAAGTAGCTTTTGACAAGATAACTTTGAAAACTGAATGTATACTCAGGTCACCTTGCCTGGAGACACGGCAGTTGAACGAAAGTTCTCCGTTTCCATCAAATGGGTCGGACAAGTGTCGCTTTCCACTCTAGAAGACGCGATGGAAGGCAGGATACGACAAGTTCCGTTCGAAGCCGTTCAGGTAGCTCTGAAAAATTGAGTCTTTGATGGAAAAAAGAGTTCTGCAGGCTATGGACGTTATCCTTCGACACCTTCCCAGCTTGAAGTACACCCCAGTCGGCCGCTCTTTCTTCTCGCCTCCAATGGCTGCTCATCAAGCTCAAGGCCAACACGGCCAAGTCGCCACGGAGAGCAAACTCGGAGGTGGTCGCGAAGTTTGGTTCGGTTTCCACCAGTCGGTGCGACCTTCGCAGTGGAAGATGATGCTGAACATCGATGGTTAATTCTGAAGGGATTTATGAAGTTTCAAGGATGATTTTCAGTGTCTGCCACGGCTTTCTACCGCTGCATGCCCGTCATCGAGTTCATCGCTGAAGTCCTTGAGCTTCCAGTTCAGGTAAAGCTGTATCTCCAAGAACAGCATCTCATTCGTTGTTTCAGGCTCTGGCTGAACGTCGTGCTCTTTCTGATGCTCAGCGCGTCAAGTTCACAAAGGAGATCCGTGGCCTCAAGATCGAAATCACGCACTGTGGAGACATGCGCCGCAAGTACCGTGTTTGCAACGTCACTCGTCGTCCAGCTCAAACGCAAACGTAAAACAAAAATCTTCATTTTCGGTTTTCCATGATCCATTTTTCAGCTTCCCGCTCCAACTGCCGACCACTGGACAAACTATCGAATGCACTGTTGCCAAGTACTTCTACGACAAGTATCGCATTCAGCTCAAGTACCCGCATTTGCCGTGTCTTCAGGTAGACTTTCTTGTTATAAAACCTTTCAAAATTAATGAAATTTTAGGTCGGACAAGAGCAGAAGCACACGTACTTGCCTCCTGAGGTGTGCAACATCGTGCCTGGCCAGAGATGCATCAAGAAGCTCTCCGACGTTCAGACCTCGACCATGATCAAGGTAAGGATTTCTGAGCTTCTTTCAGTTATAAAAATAATATTTTCAGGCTACCGCCCGTTCTGCACCAGAAAGAGAACGAGAAATCTCCAACCTCGTGCGGAAAGCTGAATTCTCTGCTGATCCATTCGCCCACGAGTTCGGAATCGCCATCAATCCGGCTATGACGGAAGTCAAGGGACGTGTTCTGTCGGCTCCAAAACTTCTCTATGGAGGTCGCACCAGAGCTACTGCTCTTCCCAACCAAGGTGTCTGGGATATGCGTGGCAAACAGTTCCACACTGGAATCGACGTCAGAGTGAGTTTCACTTTATCTCTCCCACAAAACATTGAGATTCTTCCAGGTCTGGGCTATTGCGTGCTTCGCCGCACAGCAACACGTCAAGGAGAACGACCTTCGGATGTTCACTGCTCAGCTTCAACGCATTTCCAACGACGCTGGCATGCCAATTGTGGGCCAACCTTGCTTCTGCAAGTAAGAATTTTTCATCATCTCTCAGAAGATGATCATAATTTTCAGATACGCCGTTGGAGTGGAACAAGTCGAGCCGATGTTCAAGTACCTCAAGCAGAACTACTCCGGCATCCAGCTGGTTGTTGTCGTGCTTCCTGGCAAGACTCCTGTCTATGGTAAAACTTTTTCAAGTAGACTTCATTCAAATTTCTATTTTCAGCTGAGGTCAAGCGAGTTGGAGACACAGTCCTCGGAATCGCCACTCAGTGTGTCCAGGCCAAGAACGCCATCCGAACCACGCCTCAGACGCTCTCCAACTTGTGTCTGAAGATGAACGTGAAGCTTGGCGGCGTGAACAGCATTCTGTTGCCGAATGTCCGTCCGCGAATTTTCAATGAGCCAGTCATCTTCATCGGCTGCGACATCACGCATCCACCAGCTGGCGACTCGCGGAAGCCTTCGATCGCAGCTGTGGTCGGATCCATGGACGCTCATCCCAGCAGATACGCGGCGACGGTCCGAGTTCAGCAGCATCGCCAGGAGATCATCTCCGACCTCACCTACATGGTCCGCGAGCTGCTCGTCCAGTTCTACCGCAACACTCGCTTCAAGCCCACCCGTATTGTCCTCTACCGTGATGGAGTCTCCGAAGGACAATTCTTCAATGTATGTTAAAATCTGAAATTTTCTGAAAAACAGAGAAATAATTTGATGCTTTCAGGTGCTGCAATACGAACTAAGAGCGATCCGAGAGGCTTGCATGATGCTCGAGCGTGGCTACCAGCCAGGAATCACGTTCGTCGCCGTCCAGAAGCGCCACCACACTCGTCTGTTCGCCGTGGACAAGAAGGACCAAGTCGGCAAGGCCTACAACATCCCGCCTGGAACCACCGTCGACGTTGGAATCACGCATCCGACCGAGTTCGACTTCTACCTCTGTTCCCACGCCGGTATCCAAGGAACCTCACGTCCATCCCACTACCACGTTCTCTGGGATGACAACAGTCTGACCGCCGATGAGCTCCAACAGCTCACCTACCAGGTAAATTACTGCTGGCTCACTTCAATACATCTAAATCTTGCAGATGTGCCACACCTACGTCCGGTGCACGAGGTCAGTCTCCATTCCGGCGCCGGTTTACTACGCTCACTTGGTGGCCTTCCGAGCTCGTTATCACTTGGTCGACAGAGAGCACGATTCCGGAGAAGGAAGTCAACCTTCTGGCACCAGTGAAGACACAACCCTGTCAAACATGGCGAGAGCTGTTCAAGTAAGAAGAAAACTTTCGGTTTTGAAAAATGAAAAAATTTTTAGGTACATCCTGACGCAAACAACGTCATGTATTTTGCTTAACCTCTGGTATGCAACTCGGCGACAAAAAAACATCAAAACGTCCTCGCAATGAAGAAGTTGTGCATTGGAGAGCTGCTATGCGCTTGGATAGGTCGATGGTTGATGTTCCATTGGGTGATCGTTCTTTGCCCTGACAGGTTGGTTTTCGAACAATTTTCCTTGATTCTCATAAAGATCCAAGTTCCCTTAAAAGTCAGAAAAAGAAAATAACAGAAAAAGTGAAGTTACAGGTTGGCCGTTTCCCATTGAAAAGACGGTCTTGGCCGTGTACGTCCCGCAACCAACTCTCTGGTGGCGCGTCTTTGAGCCTCACGATCTGTTCTTGCTCATATCTCCTCTTCATTCACAGCTTGGCTCATTTCTGGGACAACAAAAAAATATTTTTCGTTACAATTTTGATTTGATTTTTGATTCTGATTTGATTCTGATTTGACTTTGATTCTAATATGATTCTGATTTGATTCTGATTCTGAATTGATTTTTGTATATATTTTTATGATTTTTTTGTATGTAATCTCTTTTTTTATTTTGAACATTTGAAATCTGGTTATTTTAATAATTAATAATAATAAGACTGCCCGAATCTCTAGTAACGCATCCACTATAATTGTGTATTCTGTCCAACCTTCTCTGATTCGTGATTCTTACGGACAAAAACTGTCATATTCAGTGATCCCAGAAGATATTGATCCGTATCATACATTTCTTGTATATAAGCGGGATTTGTTTTTCTTTGTTCAATTGTTAGTGATTTATCTCATGGTTGTATATCATTGATTTGTGTTTCTTGAAATGGTTTATTAGGGTTTATTCTTGTCCCTATACTAAGCCATATTGTTGTTCATTCCTCTTATATCTAGTAACTCCTCTGCCGAAGTTGTCTTTCGACTGAGTTTTACCTTATTTCGGTTTTGTTTTGTGTTTCAAGCTTTTCTGCTCCTAGGATACTTTCAAAGTAATAAAAAGAACTTCGCTCAAATATTTCGTGCAAAATTGTTAGCTCTTATCTATCCTCAATCTCAATATCAAAAGTGTTTTAACTCTCACGCTTTTCGAAGGCTGAATGGTCTCTACAACAATATTTCAAGTTATCAATCGTCATAAAATGCTCGTCCTGACTTCAAAGAGTTTCATTCGTTTTTCTCCGGTCTCGCCCTTTCCTCCATTAAATTTTAATTAAGGGTCTCGCGTACTTCTCTGTCCAACTCTGCTGTTAACCTTCATGTGATCTACCTTTTACTTTCTTTCATATTCTTCTCGAATTGCCGTGTTGTGCTCAGTCCTCGATGATGTTCCAAAAAGTCATTAAACCAATAACAACTCCTTTCAAATTTTTTTCTTGTGCCACAAAGTACAGTTGTCCTACTGTGATCAATAATTTACTGTGAAATACCTTCATGTCTCGCTTGAAATCCCACCATAAAGCCTTGTCTGGGCGTCGCCCTGCGCCCTTCTCGAACTTAAACTCAGAAACAAGACGTGTAGCACTTTTGTTGACTGGCGGTACAAACTTTCAATCTTAGGTCCCAGTATTTCGGTATTATGATCATTACGTCCTTCTCAAAAACCTCATTAGTTCCTTTTTTCTTTTTTTGTTGACCTACCTGTTCGCATTTTCTCATGAGATGTCTTTCCGCGAAACCGCCCATTTCGCTCCAATCTCTTTGTGCTTATCATCGTGTGTGGTGTGGATCAATCAAATTATGTTTGCCGATAGGTTTTCAAAATTTTGTTGGATAAAATTTTTTTTGAATCGGTGTTTTTTTCTTTCAGCCAGGAAGTTCATTAAAAAAGAAGCATTCGAATGGGGAAAGATTTGGGAGCAAAAAGCCAAACTAAGAAATCCTCAACTTTGAAGTTTTCTAGAAAAAAGTGAGTTCTCTGTTACAAAAGATTGCTTTAAGCTCCAGTTCCTTTCGCCTCTGTGAACGTTTCCAAGGCGTGATGAATCGTTCATCACATATTTTGAATAGCAGAAGTGGAGAATTGTGGGTTTTGAAAAAATCGTCTACTTGTTTTTTTTTTAGAAAGGAATGAACTTGCGCAAACTCAGAAAATTAAACAGAAACATTTTTCAAAGAGTCACTAGACTGAACTGTTTCTTTATTAAAAAAATTTTTCACAAATAAAAAAAGATCATTTCAAATTTTGAGGAAATCGTTTTAAACGATTTTTTTCCTGTTTCAACAAAGATTTTTCCGAGATTTAAGGCCCACAATATTTCGGAAATTTTAAACAGTTTTCGACGCTTCAACTATTTGAACAATTGTATTTTTCAAGATCAATTTATTGTTTTTTTACAATAATCTCTGAAAATTGTTTACTGCCCTATTTAGAATCGATTTCCGTGATGCGAATGCACCCGTATTTGGAGCGCGGAAATGTTTTTCTGCGCGATTATTTCGAAATCCTCTTACATACGCCTTTCCAGAACAAGTTTGAATTCGTAAGGCTAGGCACCTTTTTATAGACTCTTTGTGAAAGAAATACAGATTTCTATTCAATTTCGAACTTGATATTTCTGAAAAAAATCAGCACGAACCTTTCTTGTAATCCGCTTTTCGAATTCATCAATGAAATTTTTCTCTAACATGAGCAATTAAAGATTTTTAGATTTTTTTAAAAACACTTCTGATTTCATTATCAAAGTTTTGTGAATTTTTTTGTCCCTCTTCGAAGCTTCAAAATCAACAAACACAATATTACGAGGAGATTCCACGGTTTTACGATTCGCATGCATTTTTATTCGATTTTCTGCTGAATTTTATGTTTAAAAAAATCCCGATAAATTTTTTTATTTTCTTCTACAGGATCATATCTGATATTTTTGTAATTGTCTTTCACTGAGCTTTCCAAAAAAACGTCATTGTTCCTATTTTTTTCTTTGATGAATAATGGGTAACATTAGGAAGAAAAAAATAGTTTCTGCATCGCATTTATTTTTTTCCGAAAAATCAAAAATTATATCTTCCTTATACAACTTGGAAAGGCGAAACTCGATCCTGGCTCATTGACAAAAAGAAGGGTTGACAGAGCCGCCATATATTTTATTTATAACTTGCTTCATGGAACATTTTTGAGAAGGCATAAAATATCATCTGAACAATGGAACTGTACTTTTTTTAGATCAAGATCTTTTTAACTGTTTCAAAAACACAATGATCAAATGTTTTGAGCAAAAAGCTAAGGTTTTTGTTAGAGCTTTGGCCTGCTGGACACTTTCATTTAGGCCTTTGAAGGTCCAATATAGTCTATTCAGATTTTGAATTTTAAGCAGCTGACTCCGCCCCTATAGCTATAATATCTTTTCGCGACAATTTTTTTCATCTCCAGCAGACGATGAACCTTTTGATATGACTTCGACTTCTTTTCCTATTTTTTTTCGAAAATAAAAAAATTTAAAATTGTTGCGAAAAGGGGACAAACTGATTGACATTTCAAATCTGAACAGACTATACATATAAAATAAAGACTTTTAAAGTGAAATAATCATGAATAATCTGATGAATACAATTTCAATCATTTGCTTCTTCTTTTTCCCTCACAAAGACAAAATATACTAATGGTGCAGAAATGGAACAAATCTCGGACTACATAGGGCTAAATAACACTTCCAACTGTATCGATACCCAAGAGTCGCTGTACAAACAGAGCGTAAGTAGGCGCAGGTCGTCGCGAAGGTTTTTGTCGCTCCGCCCAGTTGCACCAACAGGCCCAAGTCGTCGTCGTCAACGTGCCTCACATGTGCATGCGCACTCTTTTCCGTTCTGCCAGCCGCTCCGTTGTTCCACCTGCCGCCACCTCGTTTCCATGTCTCTGTCCAGTGACTCACGCACTATTTCTGAATTTCTCTGCGATATTGACGTTTTCATTGTTTTATTTGCATTCATATCTATTTGTGTAACTTCTCCGCTGCCTCACGAGTTTCCCTCAAATGCTCAATTATTGAAATTTTTTGCCTCGCCATTTTTCTGCTGTCCATTTGCAACGATTTGTGAGCTATGACTACATTTTTTCCAATTAAACACCCGCCGTTTTGAAATGTTTCTAATTAACTTCATGAAAAAAAAAATAAAACTCGGCTTGTATAAAGCTTCATGGTCACCATGGAGTTATTAGAAAACAAAGAAGCCAGTTATGAAATAAATGCGTCATAGCTTCTCCTTATTTTTGGAAAAATAAACGGATTCTTCCTCATTTCTCACCTTTTCTTATCCATACACGATCCTAAGCCCGGTTTGTATGTAGTCTGATTTTCTTAGTATATATTTTTTTTCATTGGTTGAGAATACAGCTCTGATTTTTTTTTTGCCGATCGAACTTCCACACCATACATCAAAAATTCTTTAGTACCTGTAATATTTTCAAAGATTTCTCACCAAGAACTGATTATATCAGCCTCATAGTTTCGCAACGAATCAAATTTCTAGTTCCTCCCAAAAACTCTTGACCATATTATTCATACAATCCGCGATAAGACCCCAATTTGATAGTGACGAGTCTGACTCAGCGACCGTCGAATTTTGCTCTTCTCGAGCGCAGTCATTGTGTGCCTCGCAATACGTCAACAAATAACTTTCACGAAAAACCATTCATAAACCACTTTCAATTGTAGCATCGTCACGAGCGGAAGAAAATGCGCGACCGATTCAACGAGTTTCAGGTTGGTTTTTGTTTCTGAATTATCGTTTAAATCTGGAAAAAATGTTTTCTGTGACAAAAAAAAAGTCTAAAATATGTTTCCGGAAAAAAAGTAGACAAAATTCGATTCTAAACTTGATCATTGAGCTTTGAAATGTTTTCATAAAGTAAACAGGGATTTTTTTATGGAGCAATATTTTTTTGGATTCGAAGCGTTCACTGTCTTTCAATGAAACTTTAGGAATAACTAGAATTTTAAATTGAACAGTTTTTTTCTCTGCCAGACATCAATAAGTGCACGAAAAAAATTATCTTTGCAATGTTTCAATCAAAAATAGAATTTTGAACCGAATTGAAGACATACATTTTTTTGACAAGGTTCCACTGGCCATTAATCAAGAAAAAAGTTCATTCGTACTGTTTTTGTTTTTTTCATATTCTCACCTGGCCAAAAATGGGCTTGGTTTCAAGTCGCAGTAGATTCGGTTAGATTCAAAATTTCACTTGCTCGGTATTGAAAAAAGTTTCGTTTTCTCATAAAAAACCTAATATCAAGGTGTTGGTTAATATTTAAATCGATATTTATGACAAGAAAATTTACAGAGCAGAGTAACTGATCGTTTCGATGAAGTTGAGCTCGCAACACCGCGGCCAATGTCTGCAGCGGATAACATGGACCGTCGCTTAGATGTCCGCTTTATATCAATTTTTCCAAGGAATTGGTGATTTTTAGGAAATCCGAAGCGCCATTGAAACCGTCCGTAGTGAGATTGAAGCCCTCCGTCGGAAGCAACAGCACATTTTGGCTCTGACTGTGGCTGATCCGCGTGATAAAGTGAATAAATCTGTTTCTTCATTTCCAATCATTTTTTGCAGGACGTTCTTGAAGAACAGATAGGAACGATCCGGAGAAGAACTGGTGACTTGCGAAAACTTGTCAGAGAAACAGAAGATGAATTTTTCGAGTTTTCAAGAAGTTTGTTCATTTTTCTGTTTCCTAAAGAGCGATATCATCTTGTTCTCTTATTTGATTGCAATCTAATGCTGTTTATTTTTAGACGCTCACTCGACGGCTGAGGTGCGCATCAGAAAAAACCAAATCGAGTTGCTGAAGAAGAAACTGACAGATTTGATCTACCTGTTCAACGACACACACTCCGATTATCGATCTCGAGTCTCAGGTAGCGCATGCCTCGTTTTTTCATGTTTGCTTTCTTCTTGCCGAAAGTCGGTTCTGTTTTGTGAGATCTGTAGGGAAAGTTGTTTGGGTTCGGTAGTTTTTCTTCAAAAATCGGTTCCTTTGCTGCGATTGGTCTATAGATAAAGCGAGGAAAGCAAAATATTTTTACAGTGCGAGTACGAAAACAACTGCAAGCATGCGGGGAAGACGTCAGCGAGGCTGAAATCGAACGCATTTTGGAGTCAAATGGATCTGAACAGGTGAAATCAGAGAAAAAATTCTCGATCCGGCTTTCAAAAGTATCTTCGTGCTATAGTCTGTGTGCCACGACTTAATACACCGAACGACATTCCGCTTTTCCACTGCGCGCCTTTGCGAATCTTGTCTTGGTCGCGCTTTTAATTTTTTTTTCTTATATTAGGCACTCTACTTTCATGTGCTCCCATAGCAATAAAAATCAGTTAAAAGCGTGACCTAGATTAGAAAGACGCTTCGCGAACGCACGCAGCGGAACAGCGGAATTTCGTTCCGTGAAATTTCAAGTCGTGGCCTACAGACTACAAAACAGCTCTATTCAAGTTTAAAAAACTGTGGACTTTTTTTTTGAATAACCCACATTTTTTTTACACCGGGCCTAACTTATGAGGTTTTTTTTCCCGTTTTGAGTCATTCCCACCTTTTCCAATTGTCAGAAAAAACGATGCCAAGAAAAAAATCAGGAAATTATTCAACCTTTCAGATTTTCTTCCGAGAAGTCAATCCACTCTCCGTGTCAGGCAGGGCAGCTATGGAAGACGTCAAACAACGGCACAATGAGATTGTGGAGCTGGAGAAGAGTGTGGCGATGTTGCAAGAAATCTTCCAAGACATGCAGCATTTGACGGAAGAACAGGTTGATACTTGAAAACCATCCAAAATATATGAAAATGAGCTGAAACTCTATTGTATATGAATGAATCTTCATGAAAACGGGTTTAGAAAACTTTCAAGCATTTGCATTTCTGCAAGATGCTCTGTGGGAGCTAAAATCTTCCTAAAAACTGGAATCTTCAATTTAAAGCCCTTGAATGCTCGTAGACTGAGTGCATGACAACTGCAACGTAGCCGATCAAAAACGACTTATGCTAGAGTTATATCCTACTGTCGAAGAAGTTCTAACTATTCTATTCGAAGTGTGACTTCAATTTCGATCGAAAAAGGAAATTTCAAAGTTCTGAGCCATTCCAAGTGCGGCCAGTCATGACTCACTCTAAAAACGATCTCTAGCCTCACCAAACAAATTTTCCAGGGCGAGATGGTGAACCGAATAGAAACGAACGTCGAGGACACCAAAGGTCACGTCGAGCAAGGCGCTCGTAATGTAAAGACGGCTGTCGAGTACAAAAAGAGCGCGATGCGGAAAAAGGTAGTTCATTGTGTTGCTCGACTAAACCAATAAAGTTCAGATCAACAGTTGTGCCATTGCTTAAAGTATGTTTGTAAAAAAAACCTTCAAAATTTCAGATTTGCGTCATTACGATTTTGATCCTGATCGTCCTCATTCTCATCGTGGTTGCAATCATTCTTGCCGTTGTCCTTTCCGGAAACAAAAAATGATTTTGCTGAATAATTCTTTAGAACTGTACATTGAATGATCCAAAAGTTAATCCTTCATATTTTTTCCCCAAAATCAATATTTTTCCATGAATAGCTCTGGAAATTTTGATTTAGAGCCTCCATAACTTCTGTGAATTAAACTTTTCAAACTAATTGCTTGAAAATTGGCCGAAACACTGATTGATGCACCAGAAAAGTACTCTGAAAGTTTCTGCCTGCACGAATCCCAGGTTTTTGAGGAATGAGGGCTCAAAGCTTTAAATTGGCCTATTTTTACGGAGTTTGAGATTTTTTTCGACTTCGAGGTGTTTTTTCTCAAAAATTAAGAATTTTTGCAGGTTGAGACTTTCAGGTTGATCCTGTGGCACTTCAAGGAGTGTTCAGGCCAATTTTCAGGAAAATCCCAACCGTAAGGTAAAATGATTTTCCTTGTCAAAGCCTCATATTAAAAAAAATTTTTTTAAAAGGATTACGCTTACAAAAAATGTTCCCGTCATGCTCATTTTTGCCTTCTCTTCATTTCCTCAGCCTTATATTTTCTTGTTTTACAATACCGGTTGGCTCGCATATTACCCGTCCTTTTTCCAATTGAAAATCCCTTGCCACGTGGATTGATTTTTCCCTAGAAATGATCGTTGAAAATACTGTAATTTCTCTCACTTAAGCTCTCCTCCCCGGTATTGCTCTCTCGTGCACAGAAATTGAACTCCGAACGATTTTTATTGTATTAAATTTCAAGATTGAATGTACATTTTTTTCATTCTTTGATTGCCTTAACTTAATTGGGAAAAAGAAGTGATGAGGATGGAAATAAAAGAGTTTCACTATTTTTTACGGAGCATTGCCTTTTTTCTAATGTACTCTGTATTGTTTTTAAGTAAAAGATTTATTGTTTGAGTTCAGGACACATGATATTCATGATGTAGATGATTTTCTAAATAACGTTTCGCTGCCAAGAGCAGAAAATGCGACGTTTGCCAAACTACTGTAACTTCAAAGCTAGAAATCGAAGAAAAGTGCCTGGACGACCGCTCGAAACAGCGCTGAACAGACACATTGGATAACGACATGAGTAATTCTAGACCATGCCCATGACAGTGAGAAATGGCGATATCGCTCCAGGAAAGCGGACTTTGCGATCGAGGACCACGAATAAGTCCAAACTTGGGTATTCGAGTTCTGCGAACTGCAGACGGACAAGTTCTTCGTCATTCATTTTTCTTTGTATGTTGAAATGAATTTTTCTTGGAATGGCTCATTACTTTTTTCCAACCGGATAAGAAGATAATAAATTATTTCAGCTGAAGTTATCAGGGCAGCAAACATGAAGAATCAATATTTAGCGGTGGCGTTGACTTCCAACCGTCGAAAAAAAATTTTTTGAGTTAAAAAAGAAAGGAAAAAAACTTGGGTTTGCTCTAATTATGTGTCGTAATTTTTCGTAGGTTTGAAAATTTTAATTATTTTCACTCGCGAAAGATCCAAATTTGCAAGGCGAGATTGCCTCGGAATCAAGTCTTATCCTCTCAAAAGAAATAGTTTTTAGAAAACTTTTTTAAACTTTTAAAGTTCCAAATCTCTCTACTGAGATAAATTCAAGCCATTCGAGCTAAGCAGCAACTAATTTCTGAACTTCTCGAAAATTGAAGACGTTTTGAAAAAATTTCTCATGAACTTATGATAAATCTAACTATTCTCCTCTATGGCCTTGGCGCAGGCACCACTCGACCTACTTCTCAAGAAGACAAAACGATAATTGATATTTCTACTATGCTTCCACCGCTTTATAAAATATTTCTGATATTGATTTTTCTGGCTATCATATTATTCATTTCTCTTGAATTTGTCACAAAGATTCAAAACAAGAGAAGTTGCACAAACTTGCCAAATGGACACTTTGCTCATCCAGTTAGTTTTCAAATTAATCATTGAAGCTTCTTGGTCTTCTCTATAAAAGGTCATCAAGCTGAAGAAGATTGGTGGGAAATTCCGAAAGAATTCTGCTTGCAGGTCATATTTCCTACCGGTCCCCCAGTACTGCCTTTTCCAAAGTCGAAATATACCCCGATTCCGACCCGAAATTCTTCAAAGGTGAACTGTGACAAAATTGCTGGCCGCGTGGTTTTTATCATCAATTCGCGGTCTACCAATTTAGAAGAACAAATTTTCCAACGACGCCAAATTGACGATCTTTGGTTGCAGAAGGTTGCACTTTCTGGTTTCTTGCCCTTATAAGATCAGTTTCAGATCAATGCAGTTCGATATTTTGTAATAGGAGTAACGAAATCTCAGAATATGGAAGTAAAAAACCTCTTTGACGACTTGTTGCAATGTGATGTAGAAGAAAACTATCACAACATAACTTACAAAGCTAAGATTACGGTTTCATTTTAAAACTAATCGAGTTTTTGCAGGCTCAATGCTGGATAAAATTATTGGGGGAATGTCGTGAACATCCAAAGCTCCTGATAAAAATTGACGATGATGTTATGGTGGACAAGTTGGGAGTTGAGTTTCTAATCGAAAGGTTAGAACTTTTTTGGTTTTAAAGTTCGAAGTTTTCAGATACAAGAAAATGAAAAATTCGATAGTTTGCCGTGTTTTTTCACATGGTACGGTTGTGAGAAACCCTCTTTCCAAATGGTCTGCCAATTTATGAGAAAGTTTACGTTAGATCTTCAGGTACCTTTCACAAGTAGAGTATTCTGAAAACGACTTGGGAACTTATTGTCAAGGTATGGCCTACATATTGAGCGGAGACTTGCTGCAGCACATGCGCATGAATATCCCGAGATTGCAGTTTTTATGGGTGAGTTTTTAAAAGTTTTTTTTTCTAATTTTTACTCGAAACATTTTTATTTTGAAGAAAAGCCTAAAACCATGGTTCGAGCTTTCTCATAGCCGACTCACGGCTAGTTTGTGACGCTGAGGAGGCGTGGCCTGTCTGAGCCCTTCACCAACCAGGCACTGTCTCTTTTTTTGATCGTGTCAGGACTCTTTTTTTAATGACACAAACTAGCCGTAAATCAGCTAGAATAAAGACATTTTTTAAAGATATAGAGAACTTCATATCTCAAGATTTCAGATGGACGATTGGTACGTGACCAGAGCTTTGGTACATACTCAAAACCCAAAACTCTACTCTATCGATCGTCACATCATTTCAACTAACTCGGAAAACGAGTTGGAAGTAGCTCTCAGAAAAGCAAGTAGAAAAAGGGAAAATCGGATCATATTCGCTCATTTTCGTCCTGCAGAACGGTGAGCTTTTGACCAGACAAGGAAATAAACTTCTTCAAAATTTCAGCTTCAACCTTACAAAAAGGATATCTTCATGGAGTAGAATCCAGAAATTGAACAATTTGTGTCGATCATAAAACTTCATTGCAACATTTCGCTTCAGAACGCTCACCAAGCTTCTCCAGAATACCAATTCAACGCACATTAGAAATGTGAAAAACCTTCTCAAAAAGGATGATCGAAACAATTGAAAAAAACATTGAAAAATAAAAAAATCGTATCAACAACAATCGAAGCATGGGGTGGATGATCTACCCAGCCTACAAGTTTTCTCTCCACCGGGATACCGATCGATATTATTCAACAAAATGCCGGTCACAATATTTTTGATGGGTGGAGTATATTAATCAATCAAGAAAAATCAAAAATAAAAATGCAAAATACTTCGAAATCGGACAATAAACTTCTGAGCGACTCAATCAAAAAAATCAATTCTGAGTGCTCAAAAGAAAAAAATCGCCTGATCAGCGCTTTACAAAAAATGAAAAGTTGCCACAGACATAGAAAACAAATACAGCAATCAAATAACAGTACGATACTCTAGAATCATTAAAAACTTGATAGATTTGAAGAAATAAAAGCCTGAAAAATGCAAAATGGTTACAGTTTTCACAGAAAAGGAATTCAAGGTCTGCTGATGCAGAAAAACCCAATTGCAAAACTGCTCTGTTAAATGCAAAGGGAAATAATCAAGATCTCAAGTGGATTGAACAAAGATAAAACTGAGTCAGACTCAATTTTTGTTGGCAGAAGACTGAGCCTCCGCTTCCGTTGCCTTTTCGGGTCCAGCCACCGGTTTCTCAACCTCAGGCTTGACTTCGTTTCTGGAAATCGGTCAGAGTTGATCCGAGAGTTAAAAGAGGATATTACGTTTGAACCGGTGAGCTACTGGTTTCTTCATGGTTTTCTTTGACAACATATCTTCGACCACCTTGGCCTGTGCCATTTCTGATTCCACGGTTTCCAACGCCGCCGCCGCGCACGTATCCATCCACGATTCATTCTCTCAAACTGAAAAAAATCATCTTTTTAAAACTTGTAATTGAAAAACTACGCTGTTCTTAATCTAAAAGGCAGCAAAATGTTTGAAAATAGGACAACAAACCGCTGGGACTGGAACAACAGGGATGAAAGGACCGTAAGATTGAGCGTCCAACCACGTGTTGCGGAACTTTTGATCTTGAGCCGGCTAAAAATAATGATATTGTCTCTGAAACAGTGATATGATCTACTTGAGCAAACGGAATTATGGTAGGCATGGGAGGTTGAAGAGCGCCACGAGCTGGTCGGACCAAAGTCGCGGCGCCACGGCCTCCACGGAAGTTGTTGCTGGCGCCCGGGATCATTTGAGGAATCCCAGCCATTTCTGAATATTTTAGGTTTTAGAAATTATCTTTTTTTCCGTTTAATTTTGAAGTAAACTGAACTTGGAAAAACTAATTTTGAGAAACTGCCCCCAGCAATATTTTTTGAAGTACTGAAAAAAGCTAAATTTTCTTCATTTCTTGAACTGCATCTTCTGGGAACTTTTAAAATATTTCTGTCCAAGCTACAACTTAAATCTGTGTTGTGTTATTTCCGAACAGCCCACATCGTTATTCAAACTCAAAATTTTTACTTACGAGGTTGAATCGGCTGCATGGGAGGATTGAACCAAGGGACAGCTTGGCCGTTCGGAATGGCCATTTGTGGTGCTGGCACGAAACGTGACGGCTCTCCAGGAACAATCTTCTGCCGATTGTCTTCCTCGAAACGCTGTCCGTAAGCGTTTGTACTTGGTCCCTTTGGCACCTCCGGGTTCGCAGTCTGAGAATTTTCCATTTTCTCAACTACTAGTTTGATTCTAACCTCTGGCTTCCATTCCCGATTGTTGAAATTGCGCTTCTCCGAGGTTTGGTTGCCGCCACGGCCGAACTGGGAATCTCTGCCGCCGCGCGAGCCATTCGGAGGACCGCCGCCGCCACGACCTCCACGGAAGTTATTGTCGCGGCCGTTGTTGTCGCGCATCTCGACACGTTCTTTTTGCACCTGCGCCTTCTTCAGTCGTTCATCCCACGTCAGCTCTCTCGGCTCTTCGCGAATCTTTCTAAAATGTTTTTTACCGTTTTTCAGTTTGAGATTTTTGAATTTTTCTCACATAAACGTATCATCTGAAGCATAGATCCACTTTCCGAAGAAAATTGTTTTTTTTTATTCACACTGAGATTCTTCCTAAAACCCACCGTTCACCGCCTTTCCTGCCGCCGAAGTCGTTCTTCTTCCCGCGGTCATCGCCGTGCCAGTTATTTGCCCGCATGTCCCAATGACCAACAGCCGAGTCGCCAGCGAAGTTAGAAGAGTTTCGGTTGTTGCGGTACTGGGGATAGGCCTTGTTTTCGAACTGCTCGCCGAAATGAGTGAATGGCTCGTCGTGGATGTTCGGCTGCAAAAATGAAGGGGTGTGCCGAAGGTTCAATTCAAAATTGGCGGTCTTCTAAGACTCAATCATTTTAACGAGCTTAGCGCGCATGACAGATAATGGGATTTGTTCCCAGTGTTTTTTTTTCTCTTTTCTGAAGGGCGTATTCTTTCCGTTTCGGGTTTAAATATTTGACAGACATTTTCAAAAAAGCTTTTTTGTTAAACTTTAGAAATCGTTCGAAACATAGAAGATGTGAACTTACGTCGGGCTCATCCCGCATCTCAGGAGGAATGCTCGAAGTGCTGCTCACCCAGCTCGCAGTATAGGCAGCGGCCGTTTGAGCAGGATTTTCGAGCATCGAAATACCTTCAAAGTCTATCATAGTCAGCAAAAGAATAAGAAAGCGAATTTTTCTCGAGATTTGTGAATGAAGTCGCCATCATTAAAACGGTTGCTAGGATGAGCGCCGAAAAAAAAACGGAAAAATAGAGATTCGCGTTTTCCAATTTTAGTCACGCAAACGAGAGGTCGTTTCACTTTTCTGGTACCTTTTGATTTGCAAGAACATCCATACCTACTTATTATCTTTTTTCAACGTTTTTTTTTTTGAATGAAGAAAAAAACATATAGCCAAGGCAGAAAAAGCCAAAGGAATTCTAAAGTGTGGCAAAATGGGCGACCTCTTGGAGCCATTAAACTCCCTAATGGTTTGCCTTTGCCTTCACTATCAATGTTTTCCAATTGATAAGAGTCTGTTGGATTTGATTTTCTAATTCTGAATTTTTTTAATGGGAAAGTTATTGGAGTTACTTTGAAAACTTTTTGCGACTTTATGGGGAATTCAATAAGAGTTCATTTTTAGTGGAGTTTGAAACTTTTCATGCAATATATAACTTTAGAAAAACTTGTTCGGAAACACCAAAAAAATCAAATTTATCAAGGTGAGTTTTGCACAGTTTATTTAGCTTTTCCTGTGAATGAAAACATCCAGAAAAACTATTGTGCAACCCAAAAAATCTAAAAAAGTTGCCCGTCACTAGGGAAGAAGTCGTTTGGAAAATCAAGGCTCTTGGAAACTCGCCATTAAAGGTGTCAGGCTCATGCTTGACTCCTGGAGGTGGCCTGTTCATATTAGGAGGCGGGGCAGTGTTATAGGCATCCTGAAAGCGTTCAATCAATGATTTTCCGGAAATTAGAAGGTTCGTACTGCAGGCAAGTTGGCGGGAGTATATCCAGCAAAGGCGAACTGTTGTCCTTGTTGTGACTGATATTGCGGCCACTGTCCGGCCTGAAAAAACATTCTGATTTTCCAAACAAAGAAGTTACTTTTTTTTTGAATTGCCTAGAAAAAATTCAAGCCAACTAGAAGCTAATTGATTGCCCTAAAAATTGCCTTGACTCATAGAAACTTTCACATGAAGATACAAATCTACGTGAAAACCCGAAAGTTGTCGAGGCGACGACGCTATTTTTGTCCCAAACCAACATCGCAGATCTCTTTGCAACCAGCAAATTTAAAATCGTAAAAAACTTTTTAGCCTATTTTACTAGAGAAGAAGGTCATTCCATCCTGAAAACAGGTGTTTTGAACATTGAAAACTCCAAAAATGAACTTTATTCATCAAGAACATGTCAAAGTGAATTTGAATTTTTTTTTCTAAAAACATGATTTTTTTTGAAAAAAATCTTAGAATCGGAAACAATTTTGAATTTTTTCGATGAGGGATTTTAATGTGAAATTAGTTGAATCTTTTTTTCCAAAAACAAAAAAAGATAATGTTTATTTGAGAAGGAGTTTCTTTTAGACTTTTCAAAGGTTCAAATTTTTAGCTGCTGCAACTCCTAGAAAAAAAAACCTGAGCAGGAGTGAACTGTGTCGCGAAGCCTTGCTGCTGCTGTTGAGTACGGATCATGTCATTTTCATACTGAACTTGGGTGTAGCCAAACTGCGACTTTTCCTGGTATCCACTAACATCCGGAGCGTGGTAAGACACTGCGTAGGCCAACTGAAACCGTAAAGTTGCTCAAAATCGGAAAAAATTCGAAATTGACGAAAAACACAAAAAGTTCTTTGTCAATCATCAAGATGGGCTACAAAGTCCTACCGGCTGTTGTTGTGGAGGCTGATTCCAAGTTGAGATGGGCACGTTCTGATGGTAACTGGCAGGATATTGTTGTTGATACACAATGTGTTGTTCTGAAATGACCTTTTTGAACAGCAAAAAAAAAATCTGAAGCAACTTGAAAAAGTCGAGAAAAAAAAATTACCTTGATTAGATGCCATTATTCGATCTTATACGAAAACCACGGACGACGCCTATTTGCGCCTTTGATTACCTGCAAAGACAACAATAATTTTGCATGACGAAAGCGCGCGAAAAGGGCATATTCAAATTTTTCCGAGCAATTTTTTTTTATTGCAAGGACGGAAATATAAAACTTTGAAGAGTCAAAAAAACAGTGTTCAGATAAAAAATTGTCAGAGGAATGTTGCAATTTTCATAGGAAAGTATTGAAATCAAGCGATTGTACAGGAAAAAAGTACTTAAATTTCTTTTCTTCCTGTTGATCATGGTCCATTATATGTTGAAACTGCAATCTGAAGTTATAATTTACAAAGTCTGAAGTCACTGTTTACATGATGAAAATTATGCGAACTTCAGAAAAAAGGCATTTTTTTAAGGAGCCAAGTAGAACTGGAAGAAATTTCCCTTTCAATAAAGAAGCAAATGTAATGAATAACTAAGATTTGGAGAAGAACTTGAGTATTTGCCTAAAAACCGTTAAAAGGTACAAAGATTTGCAGAATTTGAAAATGTAGTATGTGTGTTGACATTAAAGGCGCGGAAATCGCTGCGAGACCCGTTCGGGTAGCAGAGAAGTGCACTCTCTTCGCATCGAGCGCTCTCTCGCGCCCTGTTATCTCTTGGCGTTGGGTCAAAAACATCGATTGGAAAGTTGACGATATCAAGTCCATTTTTTCTTATTTTTTGAGTTAATTTATCCAGAAAAAACCATTGGCAAATAAATGAATCAGTTGATAATCCATGGGAATTAAAAATTAAAATATGCTGAAAAATCAACTGAGAGAGTCAGGGGAGTCATTTTTCAAGATTTCGATCCCAAATCTTCGATCGATTTTTATAAAGTTTTGCTGGTTTCATGAAGTTTGAAATCTCTTGATTAATCATGTTATTAGCTATCAGACTCCATTACTTTTTGTTAGAGAACGTGTTCTTTTCTTTTTCGCATTTTAAATCGTTTCAAAGACTCACTGTTATTTTTTTCAACTTTTCGAGCGTATTTTGGCTCCTCAACTACTTTCAAAAGCAAAAACTTTATACGTAGGTTTCATGAAAAAATAACGTTTTTCAATTTGTGTCAAGGCAAATTTCATTCAGTTCAAGCTAAAACCACCATATTTCCGCACAAGTGTTTTCTTTCAAATCGTGCGATTTTTCTCAGCCAAATCTTCTGATAAAGATTGGTTCATTTAAAAAAATAAATCAAAGGGAGGCTTAGAATAGTTCAGAAATGTCATTTTTTTGTTGAAAAATTTGATTTTATGAGCAATTTTTTTAAGTTCATAAACAAAATAGAAAAGGGTAGAAATAGGCTCTATAGAAATGTTCCTTTTTTGCTAAAAACTTATAGGCCATTTTTGCTGCTTTTCTCTTTCTCACAATTTTTTGAGCCTTCACGATTCTAGAAAAAAAAATCAGGGCTCCATAAAAGAATTGTTTTGCTGCCTTTCTGCAGCCTTTTTTAAGCCTTTCCTTTTTAGCGGTCATCATCTACCAATCCGTTTTGGCCCCACTTAGAAAAATAAACAATTTTTTTGCTGAGTTTTACGTTGTTTATTACGTTTTGACAAAGTTCTATGCTCTTTTTAAAAACTTTCTTGTTAAAATTTAAAAATTTTTTTATGCCCGTCAAGCAACCCAAAAAAAGAGTTCAAAAAAAGTTTACAAAAAATGAAATTTTCAAATCGATTTTCCTTCTTCAATCCCTTCTGAGAACTCAAATCTAGAAAGGAAATACTTGCTTTTTTTGGAGAATGAATGAAACAGTGACAGTCCTCCAAAAAACTTTTCAAGTGGAACAATTATAACAGGTTGAAATGCATTTTCAGCGCGTTTTAGTTGTGTAAAAAAAGGAAAAGAAAAGTGGAAATCATAAATTTCTATTTTTTTGATGTTATTTTCCAAATAACAATTCAAGTTGCAAAAAAACTAAGTTTTTCATTAAATGACAATAAACAAATTGAAAAAAATAAAAAAACATCTTCTCAAAAAGTTCAAAAATTAATAAAAAAAGCGTATTTATTTTCTGTTTTGTTTCTTGTTTATTATCGTCTCACTCAGATTTTCATCTTCAGACTTGCTCCTTTTGTGATTTGTGAGCAAAGTTTTGGCGGTAGATCACCGAGGTGGAGTAAATGGAAGGGAAAGCGGGAGGGCAAAAAACGCTCGCGAGACCGACCGCGTAGTGAGCAGAGTGCGCTACATTGTGCCTTGACGCCTGTATCGTCCGATTCGATCGGCCCTCATTTGCTGTCTCCCAGTCTTTCGTTCCTACCTTCTGTTGTCGTCCACGTGTAGAAATATTCTTTTCTTTTCTTTTTGAGGGCTAAGCTTTGGGTATTGATAAGTTTTTTGGAATGAGTTATGAAAACTTTATTTACCATAGAGTTTTGTAAAGTATCATAATAGAAAACAAAAGTGAAAAAGAGTAAAAATCTTATAGTTTTACAGCACTTTTTTTCAACTTTTTACATTCTTGCATCATAGCAATTTTACTATTTATTATTACAGTTTCAAAATCAGAAGTAATAATATTTGTAGCTTAGCGATTTTTTTATTAAGAATTTAAATTTGTTTTGATAAAATATTTCTAATAAAAAATTGCTTTGATTACTAGAATTAAAAAAATGCTCCAGTAATAATTATATTTTTTTGTTCGTTTCATCAACGTCTTTTTTTCCAAGCACAACTTATCAGTTTTTTTCAGATGACGACCGTGAAGACATTCTCTCGCCGCGACGTTTCCGAGCATAACACCAACCGCTCAGCCTGGATTGTTATTGGCAACAAGATCTACGACGTCACCAAATTCTTGGATGAGGTACTTTTTCTTGGATGAAAAATTTTGTAGTAGTTTTAAAAAATTTTTTTTTGCAGAATGAAACGAAAAAACGGCCCAACAGTTTTTGAAAATTGAAAATCCTCTGGAAATGAGAGAAAGTTGGCTATTGAAACTTGTGTCTTTCGGTGTTTATAATTTTTTTTCTCAAGAGGCGTGATATTTTGCTTTTTTTATTAAACTACAAAAAAATTTTTTTAATGAAATGAAAATTTTTCAGCATCCGGGAGGCTGCGAAGTTCTTCTCGAGCAGGCTGGAGGCGACGGCACTGAGGCTTTCGAAGACGTGGGTCACTCAACAGACGCTCGTGCTATGAAGGAAGAGTTTTACGTCGGAGACATCATTGAGGTGCACTCGAGTACACCCTACGCATAATCTATCAGTTTTAGGAGGAGAAGACCACGTACTCGTACGATAAGAAGACCTGGAAAAGTGGCGTCGTTGGAGACAACAAACAGCGCGGGTACATTTTTCGTTCTGTACTTTGTGACGTCTATTCGATGTCTGATTTCGAAAATATTGAGAATCAGAAAAATGAAAATCTTTCGTTTACTGAAGCGATTGGCTTCTAGAGTTTATCTAGACAAAGATCAGGCGTTAGAATTTGTCGATTCACGGCTAGCTTGGGACGCTAAGATGGCTTGGTCTGTCTGAGCTCTCCACGAGCCAGGAACTGTCTCGTACATTTTCGTGTCAAGACCCTTTTTTTATAGCTCAAGCCAGCCGTGATCTCTCGCAAATATCCTCTCAAGATGACCTTCAAAAAATCAATAAAATGTTTTGCAGAGAAGGCTCGAGTCTGAAGGATAGCATCATTTGGTACAGCATCGTGGCTCTGATCGTCGCTCTCGTGTACTACCTCATCAACCACTAGACGATTCTGCGATCCTTTCTCCACGCCCAAATTCTATTATGTTTTGTTAGTGTTCTCGCTTGTCGAACCTACTGGTATTCCGCCCCAAAACGTGATGCATTTCTCCACTATTGCTAATGAGTAAAATGATTTATTTTTCTCTCTGTACAAGATGTGCAAAAATCTCAACAAAGACACTAGAATCGCTACTATAAATAAAAACCAGTATATTGAACAGAAAAAAAATAAGTTAAGCACTACGAGTCACTCTGTTGGGTGATGTCGATTGTTTTGTGGCGCCATGCGTTATCACTGGATCGTTGTACCAGAGAAACTGCAAGTTTTTTGTTGTCAATACCGCACGTACATTGGAATCAGTCCTTGATAAGACTACACTTCTTTTCTTGGCTTCTTTTGATGTCATTTGCAGGTACATAGTTTAGAACTTCAAAAAACGTTCAAAAACTTGCTCGGTCTCTTGATTTACAATAATTGATCAATTTTTTGGTTGGAAATGGGGTTGAGAAAAATATGAAATTGAAGAAAACTTGAATTTGATTCAATTTGAATCGATCAAGAAAAAAATCGTTCTTTTTGGCTTTTTTTCTTGGTTCAAACCCACCGACTCAGGATCTTGTTTCCATAACAAAACTGCTTCATCCGCTCCGAACTCTCCAGAGCATGTCAAAACATGGGATTCGCTAAAAAAAAATCTGTCAAATCAAAAATTAATTTCATATCACCTTTTTGCCACAATTTTACGGACGGACGAATCGGAAACCTTCAGTTTCATCAATAAAGAAAGCCGGACTTTTGGAAACCTGAACTTGGAATTGAATAAAGTTTTCCTAAGTTCATGTTTACACTATGCTTGTATCCGCGTCGCACGCAGAATCTCTACTGGTTCCTTTCACTGAAAAAAAAAAAATTAAAAATTCCGAATTTTTTTTCGAAAACCTGGTATCGGGACGATGTAAGGCTCGTCGAAGGCCAAGTCTTTCCTTTTGAGCTGTATCTTTTTATTACAACCTTAAATACATTTAGTGCTTCAAATACATTTCCGAGGGAACCTATTCTCTTCGGAGAAGTTATTGCAACTCTGCGTCGAGATCTGTCCTCATCCGAGTATAGTTCAAAAATGTCGTCGTATTCCATAGAGGTGCAGCTCGAGTCGGTAGAAGCAATCCTGAAAATTTTCTTAGAAAGTTTTTTTTTGTTGAAAAAACCTGTTATGAGGATGATGTAAGGCCATTTTCGGTTGTAGAAACAGATCATCGACTCGATTTTCGAGGGTGGTTTGTTCGACGCAAGGCTCTTCAAAATTTATATCTTGAGGAAAATATTGGAATAATCGTGAACCTGAGCTGAAAACGGACACAGCCGAGTCGCCACTCAAGCCTTTATTCAAAGGAGACCGCAGAATTTTCGCGCAGGCGCTGTTCACTCTGAAAGTGCGAAAATGATAATTCATGCGTTATTAGTGAACGAAGACGTTTCGAGCTTGAAAAAGCATTATCTTACCTCGAGCTGCCCTGTTGAAGACCCTCATCATCTTCTTCTTCTTTGTCCACTGTAACTGATGCCACTGGAAAAAAAAGTGTTTACGCCGTAACCCTCATTTTAAAACCTTTGTACTGCTGTTTCTCGGGGTCGATGTTGATTCTGACTCTGTGGGAGAAGACGCCCATGTGATCGGAGTCATCAGAATCTTCTTCTCTGTGTTCTTTCAAAGAACCCAATTTTTGGAGTTTCATCTGGCTGGTTCTTGCGTATTTTCTCTCCGAAGAGAATCTGACAAATTTCACCGGTTTTTTTAGAGATCAAGTTTTTTACCTTTTCAAGCGATATTGAATGCCATCAGCTTCTTGCAAACCATCGTCAAAAACGTTGTAAATAATGACATAACCATCCGATGTGCCGATCCACAAGAAACCGCTATTGTACAAAATAGAATTGATGTGCACGTTGCTTTCCGTTTCAAAAAGCGAAGGTTTTCTGAAAAGTCTTTGAGGATCGTTTATCTTTTTTCGATCACCTGTTCTTGTGGTCAAAAGACACTTCGTACAATAAATTGCATGTGACTTCATTCCACAGTTGAATGAGAGTCGACTGATCCGTTGATAGAAATATTCCGTACGGCGAGTCACACATACAGCTTATCTGAAATATAAAAAAAGTCAAGTGAAATTTGAAGATGGGATACTTTGTCAAAATAAATGTTTCCAGAACTGGCACTGCAGGATGCCACGTGAGTTGTGTTCAATATTGTGAGGGATCTGGAAACTTTCTTGAACCTTGAAACTCGAATTCTAGAAATACAAAGCATCGAGAGTGATGAGCTTGCAAGAAGAGGCGACCACCAAGAGGTCGTCTTGAATTACGGCATTCACCAAAGGTGCAGAGCTCAAAGGCAAATGCCACATTTGTACGTTTGTTGGCCATTTTTCGCAAGCATTCTGGAAAGATCCTCTCATCAAGCTTCATGAAAGCTTTTATGTTACTTCGAAAACGGATAGAGTTCCATTGGCGAGCGCTGCAAAAAGCGTCCCGTCTCTTTGGATCAGACAGACGGCCACGTCCGGTAGTTTCAGCTCCCACATAATGCTCCTAAAAATAGTTTTGTTGTTGGGAATTTGAACCAAAAGTGCAAAATTTCAATTCCCACGCTCCATATTCGTCTACTGTATTTTTAATGTGAAAACTAAAAATAAACCGTGGTCTTTCTTCATGGAAAAAAGTCTATTTTAATGAAACTAAAAAAACTCCTCATTTGGTTTTTTCAAATTTTAAAAGAGGATTTAGTATAGGTTCACTGAAATTTGAAAAATCTGATACGAAAATTTCACCAATTATCCATAGAATCGACGTAAGCCAGAATCAAAAATCCTGAAATCAAACTGACGTAGACCAAATCACGCTGAGCCATGCAAATCGACATCACACGGCAGTCAAACTGAAAATCTTTATTTTTGATGAAATTTCAAGATTGTCTCACTTCAATGTCGATTTCTTTGATTTCAGCTTTGTCGTTTTGAATTTGAATCTTCGCAACTTTTCCCATCATATGATGTCCCGAGACTATGAATCCTGGAACAAGGCCCGTATTTTTTAAATTTCAGACAAGTTGGTTACCGCTTGAACTACAGAACTCGTTCATGAAAATGTTGGAAATAAGACGGTTGTTTGACCTTGGGGAAATGCTGTTCTGAAAGAAATTAAGCTTGAGCCGAGTTGAATTCCAACTAACGACAAAGGCAGCAGCTCGTTTCGACCTTCGTTCGAGCTTTTCTGACAAAGCTACCACGTACTGAGTTTGCAAAGTTTTCAATTCAGCTCGAGTTGGAAGGTTTTTTATGGAAAAAGCCATCTGAAACAAGTCAATTTCTGAATATTTATCATCAAAACAACCTCCACGACTGCATGTTCGTCGAATGCCAATCTACTAGCCGCTTTTGAAACACGCATTATCCCGATAGCATCATTCCTACTGATTATTTCGTTCTCATGCTTGCCTGAAAATCAGAATTGAGAGATGAAATTTGTGAAAAGCTCACCCAAAAGAACCAAAGCGAACCGAAAAAGCACTTTTGGTCCTTCCAATAGAAAACAGTCCCAAATTCTCAGCATTGTCTGTAATTAGATTATTAACAGTTTCAAGATTTTTAAGATTACGTTGAAAGGGACAGCATCGAAAAATAGGGCAATGAACCAGTTCAAACTGATTGAAGCAACGTCGATATCCAATGAATTCAGATGTCTCGTTATTCTCGGATGTTGAGCTTCCAGCATTTCTTTCAATACTTCCTGAAAAACCAAAAACTTGGCAAAGCCAAAAAAACCCAGGATACTTGATCGGCTTGTGCTCCTGTGAGGTTACTATCGAAGTAAGTTTTGTCGAAATACTTTTCCGTTATGGCTATCAAAAACCAGAACGCATCCTTAAACCATTGTTTTCATTGTTCAAAGAAAAAATTGAGACTTCAGGTCCAACAAAAAGCAAAGCGGTCGCTGTCAAGAAGTTCATTCCTTGACAGTATCCAATTTCAGGATTATGAAGGCAAAACGCTCGCAAAACCTGCTGTAGCTGGCTAATCTGAACATTAATTTAACAGATCAGATCGAAGAAGTTTCCATACCCCTTTGCTGGTAGCTGACATGAAATGAACGTTATTCGGCATGGTCCGCAATAAATCGAGATTTATCTGCTTTTGATGGTTTTCCGAAAACTGAAACAATTTTTCGTACAAATTTCTGCATTTTGTTCGAACTTTTTGCTCGTCTTCTCCTCCTCGTGTGTTGCACAGATTTCTGTAGTAATATTTCCCGTAAAGCAGTTTCAAATCATCAACCTTGAAATGTATGAATCTGATAAAATTGGAAGCATAAAGGCCCTCACCTGCTGATTTATCAAAATTTTCCAAACTGTCGAGCGTAAAGAGTTGGGGATTCCATTTCGACAAAGATGCTTCGTTTCTTTCTGGAAACATGTTTTATTCAGTTTTCGGTTTTAGTTCCAGTTTAAGAGAATTCTGTTATTTTATGTGTATTTTTCCAATTAATTTTTTTTCTTTTAAAGACCTGCGATGAACTCAAAGAAAATTTATCAATGATTGAAGTTGACTCACCGTCAGTTCTATTTCCGTTTGCTCTTCCAGAAAGTTCCTCCATTCTAGCTTGTGCTCCACAAATGAACTCGAACGTGATAAATAGAAATGATGTAGTTTGGTGGCTAGATAGTGTAGCGCCAATGGCTCCTCTTTGTAGCAGACACGAAAACCGAACGAGTCTACGTAAGACCCTTGCAGCACACTGTCCAAAGTTCTTTTGAAACCGGAAAACTACATTCAGCACACCTTTTGAGTGTGGGAAGACTGGGATCTTCTCTTCTTGCTTCTGCGAGAAGTTTCAAAATTCGATCGACATGCTGATATTTTTCGCTAAGGGGTTTTCTAACATTGATGACTCACAGTTTCCCCTCCAATCAACTTTACGTTCATGACGTCGAGACCAGAGTTATCATGCAATGGTATTTGAATCGCAGACTGTATTGCGTAGATGTAGTCACAGCGGAGTGTTTGCAAGTCTTCATGGGTTTGATGATAGTCTCTGAACTTGCGAAACATCAAAATTTAATTGAAAGAGTGAAAAAAAAGACGCGTAAGTTGTATGGACCGATCTTAGCAAAATTGACCGAATTTTCACTGTTAAAAATATACAAATTTAGGTCAATGCTGTTCAAATCGGTGAAAAAAAAACACGCTAATCTGTTTTTTTCTGGAAAAGTTGATAGCGTACAACTCCAATCTGAAGCCAAGATTTGGAAGCGCAGTCATATTCAGAACCACGTCGAAAATTTTACATTTAGCTTTTGCCGAAAAAGTTCTCACTTTTTGATTCTGGTCAACTCGTTCTCGAGCTGGTCGCATTTCGCACTGACTCTAAGGACCTCAGAGTTCAAAAACTTATTTTGTCCAGACAAAGTATCCCGCGTTGTTCCATTAGCAGAATCGTTTCTCATTCTGAAAAAAAATTGCGTTCTTTATACAGCTATAGCTTCAATTCCTATGACGGAGATCTTTTCTTAATATTGAAAATAGTCCATCCGCCGCGACTTGACAGTTTCGCGGGTCTGCGTCTCTCTGTTCTCTCGCCGACGCGGTCAGACAAATATGAAAATAACACAGAAACATGAGAGGGTCGTCGAGAGACGAGGAGGGCGCAGAGACGCAAAGAATGGACTATATGTCTTTTATAAACGGAATATATTTTCTCAATCTCAAGGAACTTGCCGCATTTGTTCTAGATGCATCGTCAAAGCATTCGTCTCCGCTTTCATTTCTTCAATTTTCTTTTTTTGAGAATTCGTGATGAGGCGAAGCTGTTCCAGCTCTTCATTGTCGGACCTGAAAAACTAATTTTCTCACTATTTTTCCCCTTCTGAACCTCTCCGCGCCACTCATTGAAACTTGCGAGCTTTGGTTGTTGGAAGATGTTGTGGATACGTCCAGATCGTTGCTGATAACTCATGAATTTTGGGAAAAGCCATGCGAACTTACTCAGAAATACTGTTAAACTTCTCTTGACGTAGCCATTGAGAAACCCAGTCCGTGATTTCCGCTTCTGGTAGATCGAACTCTAACTGAAATACTTTTTTGTGTTGCGTATAAATGTATTTTTAACCGGTAGCTTCTCTTCTCCAAACAGTTTAGGCATTATCGGTCGGAAGTACTGCCTTGCAGGGGAAGAATCTGGGGATTAAAGTTTTTTGAGTTGAAAAGAATTTAGAAGACTTACTTTTTCTACACAGACGAAATTTATTGGTTGTTATCAACGAGTCTTGGTCCTGAGAATTTTGTTGATTTAAAAAAAAAAGCAATAGAACTTACAGGCAAACTAACGCTTCTTTTGCTCTTTCTGAGCATCGCCAAAGACAATTTTTGCTTTTCCGCGTCGGTGCTTCTACAAAAATTCATTGATTCAATAAAAAAGATGATGTCAAAGTTCACCTGTTGGAAAAAGCTTCCAGCCAGCACTGCGAGCTTTTGATATTGTCCGCTTCCAATTCGATAGACTTGCCGCAAACGCTGAAACCATTGTTTGATTAGCATGCCGGACTGATTTTCCTCTGTCGGAAGACTTCCTTTGTTCACGGCTTTTGGTCATTTTTGAGGCTTTTGGAAATGACGCATCAAAAATTTTGGGAAAATAAAAGTCACGCCAATGGAAATGGCATGACCTTGAAAAAATTCTGGAAGGAAAACTCACTGTAAAACAAAGGCGCGATCGTTGTTTTCACTGATTGTGATGTAAGCAGATTGTATAGGAATACTTCCCAAAGGGTCTCTGTGAGAAGTGAAATCGGCCTCCTGTCGATACCAAAGGAGTTCTTGCTTTATCTCGTCGATTGCAAAGTAAAAACGCCGCCGGGGACGTAAGTACATCAGAGCTTAAAACGCAAAAATAAAGTTCAAAGGCTTTATCGGTTCAAAAAATCAATTCGTTTTCAAACAGAAATGGGGAACGAAGGGCATAAAAACGAGGGAACTACGCTTTCAGGACAAACGCCGGTTCCAACAATAGAAAGAAATATTGATGACGGTTCAAAACATTTTAGATTATTTTTGACAGACTGGCCAGACAATAGATTTGAAGCTTTGCGAAGGACATTATCGATGCTTTTTAAATTTGAAATGTCTCACCGCCTCCAAGTTGTTTCATTTGGAGATATCCAGAGATGGAGAAGGCATGTAGCGTCGTCGAAGACATGACCATCTGAAGTTTTTTTCGAGTTATTCATTCAAATGATTTTACTTCAAAAACTTATGAACTACGAGAAACTGGAAACTTTCATAGCCATAACACAGTTTTCAATTGCTTTGAGATTTTAACTGCGCTTTGGTTGAAGCAATTGTCTCGGAAATCTCAATATTTTGTAGAATTTTGAATAAATTTCTAGCGAATTAAGATCGCTTGAAAAAAAACCCCCAATCTTTTTACTTTTCTAGTTGAAAAACTGAATAAATACCTATTCGCCATGGACGTCGACTGGCGACAGAAAGAAAACACCAGCTGTCTGAAATTAAAAATTCTCAAAAAACCAAAAAAAAAAGATGAAAATTCTGCGGCCATTAATTAAGAACATGAACGGACCAACAAAAAAACCTTAATATTGTAAGGTAAAAAGCAAAAAGAAATAATTTGAAACGTGCGAAAAAAATTTCCCAATCGCTTAGATTCACACCGTAATCGATTGTTTCAATGGCGATTTGTTGTGGTTTTTTTTTCTTTCCAAGGAGGCCACGGCTCTGAAAAAATGACAGCCGAAACCATGAAAATTTTTAATGAAACATTTTTAGCAAAAAAATGAGGACCTCTTTGAAAACCCAAGTCATTGGTTTTCATTAAAAGTCTGAAATTTTGATTCATGAAATTTTAATTCCCTAAACGTGTTATTTCGTTCTAAAATCGAGCAAACGCATTCCAGCCTCGAAAATCGAGAAAAAAAAACCAGATCTTTCATTCTCTTTTGTAGGAACAGTGGAGGAAATGAAATGAAAAGCGACAGAAGATAGAAAAGAAACTTTGGCCTGACTGTGAAAAAAAAATTCAAATGTAAACGGAAGTTTCGCTAGACGTGGCGAGGCAAACATGATCCGGACATCCATCGCCAAATCGGCACGTTTTTCACGAGCTTTTTTTTGAGGTTGATTGAAACCGCAAACTGATGGATGTCCTGACTTTTCTGGAGAACTTTCGAAAACAGTTTTTTGATTAATTCTTGATAGTTGAGGGGAGAAAAAAACAAGAAGAAGTTTTATCGATAATGTAACCAAGGAGGTTTTCGTGAAGAAAGAAAAACTTGAAACTCTTCGACTTTATTTTTTCTTTGAAGACCTAAATGAGATTTGTAAAGCGCAAAATTTGTGACTCTGTGAAAAAAGTCCAGGAATAGTTTTGGAACAAACTTTGAAAACGAAAACAAATTCTCAGGAAGGAAGTTACTGTTGTAAGATGAATAAAGATACATAACGGGTCTTTGCAAAAAAAAAATTAGAAATTGGTTTGATCTCATCAAAAGAATCATTTCAAGCAGGAGATACAAATGATCACTAAGTTATTTTTTTCCAACTGGAATTCCATAGGAAGCGCCATATTTGTTGAATGCGAGCTGTTTACAAAAAATGACGCTGTTTTTTTGATTTTTGCATGCAGTGAAAAAAATCAATTGGGAAAACTCCCAGCCGCGATAAAAAAATTTTTATTTTGAGAAAAAAATTGTTGGAGTCACTCCAGTAGAGAAAAATTCAACTCTTTTCTTTTGAAATCATTTTTTTAGGTTTAATCAAATTTCAAACTTTTCATCGAGTACACGTCTTCGGCTTCGGTGGAAATCATTTTCATACGAAATGCAGCAAAAAAACGCAAACTCGTATCGGCGGATCGAGTTCAAATTTTAGTGGTTTGTAGACCTAAGTCAGAATACTTGAAAACAAAACAGAATATCTGCTAAACCCGATAAAAACTGAGGAAAAATTTGAAGAAATTGTGCAGATTAGACCTGAAAACTTTCAGAATACCATATTTTTTTTACCATATTTTCATATTTAAATACAATCGCCTTAAATTATTCGGCTATAATAAACTCTAAAAAATTTTTTTTCAGCCAAAAGGAGGAAAGCAAAAGTTTGATAATTTTCAAGCCTAAGCTCTTCATTTTCAAAAAGCTTTTTCTCGGTCCCTTATTGGGTTAAGCAGATAATTTTGCCTGTTTTCAAGTTTTCTTTCCTAGATCTTTGAACCACCACAGTTTGAACTCGGTCCGTGAAAAGGAGGAAAGCAAAAGTTTCAACCCCTTAAGGGGGAAGGTTGTCTTAATTATTACGGAAAAATCAGGAAAATGGATTTTCTATCTCTTTCACACGGTAGATAGTTGATTCCGTCGTAGCAAAACATCTAAACTTTTTCGAAATAATTTTTGATTTCGAAGAAAAGTGCAGTTATTTTTCGACTATTTCTGATTACTCTCATCAGTCCGTGATCATATAAAGATTTTCGTTTGACTTACGCCAAACTTATCAAAGCAAAAATGTTCTAGGCGAGAGGTTCACGAGTAAACCTCTCGCCCAAAACCATTATTTCTCCAGTCACAGAATAGGCCTCTTCTGTGACTGGAGAAACAATTAGTTGGTCGAACAAATGGAGTAAAAACCGTGGGTATTCAAGGAGTCGCGTGTACCGACTCGGAGCGGGGTGATAAAACGAGATATAACACTTTTCTGGCGAAGAGAGGGATGAGAGGTCAGACAGATTTACAGGTTTACCATTCGAGTAATGCGACGGCTCTTATATTAGTTTTGAATTGTTAAAAAACAACATTCTCGATTCAAAGAAACACAGATAGTATATCTCTAGTATGCATCAAATTTTTTTGAGAGTCGAACAAAAAAACTTCGAAAAAAATCTTAAAAAAGTAATAAGGTGTTGGATATAGTCGAATGAAATTCTTCGATAAAATTGAATAATTTTTCATGAATATAAAAGAGTTATTTAAAAAGATTAATATCAATACTTTCTTTAAAAAAATTATTATGGACCAATTGCTTAACAAAAAAATGTTAATGCAAAAAAATCAGCGAGAGAAACATTTTTTATCAGATCAAATTTTTTTATTCAAAATTTCAATTTTGAAAAAAAAACTATGAAACCTAATTTACTTGTTCTTGATCGATGGTTTCATGAGAGATAAGTAAAAGATTTTTAAATCTCAGAAAAAAATCAAGACAGATTTTTTACTCTAACATGATTCAAATGAAGTGCAGAAAAAAGGAACTCCGAAATAAAATCAGAAATCACTCAAAATCCACATCTTTTTCATAAAAAAATGCTTACTTTTTTGTATTCAGTTTTTAACTCAAGCACAGACACCTCTCCTCAGTTATTTTCAGTAAAGTATCAAAGTTCGAGATTTTATTCGTAGGTGGCCACAACAATGAACTGCTGATGTGAATCTGAGTAGGCACTGGCGACGCCGACCCATTCGAGATGTCGATCCGCCAGGTAGTTGGCCGTTCCGAACTCTTCGGCCTCGTCCCACCAGGTGTCGGCGATCGTGTCATTCACTCTGGATCCCATCCAAATGTTCATGTAACGGCTCGGATCGCTTCTAAAATGATTTTATGGGAAACAGCATTTTTTTTCAGGAATAATTGACATTCCAGATAAGATCCAAACTCTTTCGGTTCTTATTGGCTTTAATTAGTAACAGAAAATGATCGTCTCAGGTTGATAGAAGACCAGAAAAAGGAAAAGTGAAACCAAAATGCTGATTTTTCGGTTGTTAGAAATTAAAATCGACTAACCGAACTTTGGATTTATTTCTCAAGTGGTCTAACTTTGGACCAAACGAACTAGTCGTCGCGGAAAGTCGGACCATATCTAGCCTCGGAACCTTCATGATTCGAAAAAAAAGAAATTCAATAAAAAAAAATCGAGAAATACTTTTTTTTGGAAACTTAAAGTACGCAACCCATCTAAACTTTTTCAAAGAAAGGTGAAATTATTTTTTCACTATTCATGATTACTTAAACAAACTCTCATCAGTTCGTGATCCTATAAAGATTTTCGTTTGACTTATGCCAAACTTATTGTAACAAAATTGTTCTGGAGGGAGATTTCCTCGTGAAGAGAGGTTCACGAGGAAACCTCTCGCCCACTACCATTATTTCTCCAGTCACAGAATAGGCCTCTTCTGTGACTGGAGAAACAATTAGTTGATCGAACAAATGGAGTAAAAACCGTGGGTATTCAAGGAGTCGCGTGTACCGACTCGGAGCGTGGTGATGAAACGAGATATAACAGTTTTTTGGCGAAGAGAGGGATGAGAGGTCAGACAGATTTACAGGTTTACCATTCGAGTAATGCGACGGCTCTTATGTTAGTTTCGAATTGTTAAAAAACAACATTCTCGATTCAAAAAAACTCATATAGTATATCTCTAGTATGCATCAAATTTTTTGAGAGTCGAACAAAAACTTCGAAAAATCTTAAAAGTAATAAGGTGTTGGATATAGTCGAATGAAATTCTTCGATAAAATTGAATTATTTTTTTATGAATATAAAGGAGTAATCCAGAAGTTTATAGTAAATACGTTCTTTTTGAAAAAAACATTCTTATGTAATAATTGCTTAACGAAAATGTTGTTGCACGGCGAGAAAAAGTATTTTTCTTCAGATCAAAACTTTTTCTGATGCTGATTCAACTTCCAAAAAAACTGAGAAACTTAATTTACTTGTTATTGATCAATGGTTTCATAAAAGATAGGAGAAAGCTTTTCAAATTTCAGAAAAAATCAAGACAGTTTGTTACCCTGACATGATGTTTTTATTGCAGTCGAATGAAGTGCAGAAAGGAAGCAACTTTGAAATGACGTCAGAAATCACTTAAAACCCACATCTTTTCAATGAAAAAAAAGGACTCAGTTTTCCTTACAAGGGAGCATTTTACTATGCTGTTGAGATTTTTTGCAAACTGACCATACCGCTCCTTGATGTACCAGAAGAAGATTCTGAAACCTTCAACCTGCACAACTTCCATGTTTCCAAGAAAAGACGCCTCAAAGTAAAAGAAAACCCTAAAAACCCATGAAAATAGGCTGTTTTGAAACTTCAGCCCCTTATTTCTCGAAAACTAGGAAGTTTTGCAGGTTGAGATTTTCAGGATCTTCACCTGGTACATTAAAAGTGTTCTAGCATATTTTCAGGAAATTCCCAACCGTAAAGTAAATTGACCATTTCTTATAAAAATTCCTGGCGCGCTACAACTTCATCATTTTCCGGTTTCAAAAAAAAAAATACAGAGAAATTCAATATTTCATTGCACAGCGGTGAAGTATACATGACACAGTAAATAATGCAGTTACAATATGAGACAGTTTTTCATCGTTTTCGGCCTCCCCAAGGGCATTCCGGACCGCCGCTCTCGCAGGACCAATAATAGCCGTGGTCACGAGTTCCGATCTTCAAGTTGCCGTACTGATCTCGTTGGTACTGGTTCAAAGCCTGCTGGTAAGCCGGAAACAGTTGGAATTCTTGACAGATGCTGCTCAAAATCAAGACCGAGATAAAGAAAAAACAGCTGCGGAACATTTTCGAAGAATTTCTTCCAATCCGTCACTATATTTATAGCCGATGGCAACGATTTGCACGCTCGTTAACTCCATTAACGGCGTCGCATCACGCATAATCACAAACGGGATAAGATTTGTCAGCAAATTCTTTGGATCACATGCTTTTTCTGACCGTGACAAAGCTTGAAATAAGCCGGTCTGGGTGGTTTTTCGATCCAATTCATTCATCTTGATGTAAAAAAAAAAATGAAGGAGGGGTTGATTTATAGAACAAAGAACAATTCATTCGAATTCAGAGCACTGGTTTTTTATTATAAGTTATAGAGAACTGATGAAAACCATCAATGAGTTTTCTGATGCTTATGGTTTTCCGAGTCGGCCATTTCATTTTACTTTGGGGTTTGGAACACTCTAAAAACTTGCTCAAACATTCTCTGAAGGTCTAAATGAAGATCCCTCATAGTCGCTCCCTGCGCAAAAGTCTTGTTTTTAACTACATATGATACTTCAAAAATTGCAAAAAAAAAAATGAGTTCTAGGCATAACTTTTCCACTTTCAGAATGAATTATTTTGAAAATTAAAAGCTGACGGGGGTTACAACTTTGGTGAATCTTTGAGTAAACCTCCATAGACTATATGACAAAAATTTGTGCGATCTACTTATGTGTTATGAGCGAACTTTTAGAATTAATACCTTCAAAACCAGAAGTTTGCGCCGATAGCGACTATGAGGAATCTTAATAAAGACATTCAGAAAGTGTTCGTACGAACTTGTAGACAAACCGCAAAGTGAAATGAATTCCCGTGTCAGTGAATCAAAACTTTCTCAACTTGGAGTCATTCCTCTTTTTATTTTAGAAAAAAAATTCACTCAATTATTCGATGTTTTTTTCAAATTTAATAACTCTATCAAAACTTAAATTTGCCAGTTTATATCAAGAAGAATGAATGAGTTTTTTCAATGAATAGTGCAGCTTCTTCCTCCTTTTTTTACGAAAAAAGTAGGAATTTTCGGTTTCCTGCGCTTCTTGAAAATTTCTAACTCAGAAGCGTTTCAATTAAAAAGAGTTTTGGAGTTGATTCCCATTTTTTTCCACATCGCTATAAAAGTCTTCAGTTTCTGCAGACCGACATGACAGCTTTTGAGTAAACATGTCCAGGCGTTTGTCAGAATTTGATGTTCTTTTATTCCAGACGGGACGAGAGAAGAGGAAGAAGAATTTGGAGCCAACGTCCAAGAGCTTAGTTTATCTGATGGCTTGAAGGCAGAAAATTCACTTTCGACCGAGTTTCCTCCCGCTTTCGCCAGTTCTTTATGCGCCACTACCCAAGTCGGCCGCTTTTCTTTCCTGATGCCGTCTTTTTTTTTTCCTCGCTAGTCTTCTTCCAATTGCCTTTTTTTCTTGAAGTGAACATGGTGGTCTGTAATTTGTTTCAATGAAGGCCACTAAGAGATCCTTTATTCCGGAGATTTTGGCTCTTGAGATGATATTTTCATCACAAAAACGTGTTAGTTTTTTTGAAAAAAATCTAAATTTTTTTATTCAAATTTTCTTGAGAGCTGACTTTTTTATTTTCAAGAAAGAGAATCGGAAAATGAAACTAGAGAATATTCTGACACATTTTTCGATCTTTTCATCGGCTCGAGCTAGTTTTTTTCAAATGAAACGAGCCACCTGTTCAGAAAAATAAGTTGACTTCATTCAAAAACGAGGAAGTTTGAAGATTCAGCTTTTAACAAAACTTAGAAAAAAATAGAGGAAGTGAAAGCGAATACTTTCTCATGCTTGGATGCTTGAAAAAAAAGCTCGAATTTCCGGTTGACTTTATACTGGAAGTTTCTTGCAAAACAACAAGAATTTCCTAAAATTGGGGATTCGAATGAAGAAAATTTTTTGTAGTATGTATAATTATGCATCAGATTTCAGGAAAAAATTTTCATTCTGTATATTTTCCTTGAAAATTCACACCTTGAGGCTATCGAAAACTCAGTATACCGTTATGAATAGAAGTTTAAAAAAATTTTTATTATTTATTTTTTTGAATGCTCATATTTAGCTGTTTTGAATAAATAAACTCAACCAGTAACTATGAAAAAGAGGCCTGTTTTTCAGTTATGAGTTTTTGGGAACACCAACACAAATCAGAAGATGATGGACGGCTTCTTTTTGCTGAAAACAGGAAGGGCCAGAAGACGGCCCGACGGAAAGTCGACAGCTGTTCCCAACATGCCATCTGCTCTTTATCCATCCGGTCCGCTTCTCCAACCTCACAGCTCTTTCGCTGCATTCTGCGGCCCTGGGCGGCCTTCCCTCACTTGCCTCGCATCTCCTCCGAAAGCTTCTTGCTTCCCTTCCCTCAGCATCGAGCATTCAATTTTTTTGAGAAGGGAACTACGCCTTCCTCACTATTTCGCCAGTCCCTCCATGTTCACTTCCAGCCATGTTCTTTCTTTCTACGTGTCTTTGTTTATTCAACTTGTCCCAGGACTGCTCCCGATGAATAATTTGTAAAAGTTTCACCTGAAAGTTAGAATGGAAGTTTTTGAATTTGTTGACCACCCGAAAGCATTTTCACAACCCTAAAAGACATTTTATATTCTGTCTCACGCTTTTTGTTTAACTATAGGAATTTATATGGCCGCACGCATTTTTAGGACTTGGGCCGTGAGACTGAAAATTATGGGATTGATTGCGGTCATAAAATATGTAGGACTTGGCTCGCAGCGCTCGATTCATCGCACTTGGCTGTTTTCTGTTTGCAGACCTTGCCATATAAATTGCTCGCTCAGCTCCAAAGTTTCTTTCTTTTCTTCCATTCAGTCATTCATAAACTCGCCTTTTTCAGACAATGTAACTCACTTTCGTCGGCCCCTCCGAAGAGGGATATCGACTGCGGTGTGCAACTTTTGAAAATAGTGCAAAGTGAGTTGGAAGCATTTTTTATAGCTCAGTTATGAGATATTTCTGAAGACGAGTTTGAAAATTTTTTGAAGCAAAGTTCAAAGTTGAGATTAAAGGTCGACGTCGAATCATCAAAAATAAGTGTTAATTGTCGTAGATAAATGTCAACTTCTTTCAAAACGGAAGTTCCTAATAGCTATCCTTGCAAAGTTGTATTTAACTGAGTTTAAAAAAAAATGGGACAAAGGTGTGACGTATATCGAGTTTGAACGATTACCTTTGTCAGAAAGGCTACAATCGCAATTAAAAACTGGACGTAACAAAGGAAAAAAAAAAGAGATTTCAGGTAGTATTTAAAAAAAACATCCCCTCACTTTTCTAATCAATCTGAGAAGGCGACTTTGCAGATTTTTTGGCTTTGTGATGAACCTACTGTGATTGGAGACGACGTGCAGCTCTGTCGCAAGGTGACGACCACCGTTGAAGCTCTTGCCTTTACCCAAAAAGGCTTCTCCTTTCGGACCTCGTCATTGCGCCCAGTTATTCCTCGTCTCCGATGCGTTGCAATGTGATTTGGCAAACTGTTTTGATATAATTCTGACCTCGGGTTTTCAAGAATAAATATTTTTCTTTTACTAAAGATGGAAATACATTGATATCGCGTTTGTTGGGAGAAGAGCTTTGAGTTAAAAAGAACATTATATTTTCGAAAGGAACTGAAGGAAGATAGAAGCTAATAATTTTTTTCCTATTATCTGATGAAGTATTTTTCATGTTTTTTTTGATGCATCTACTGTCATTAGAAAAAAATGAAACAAATTGTTTTCATTTCAGATTAACTTTTTCAGTAACTTTAATAGACAGAAATTGAACTTTTTTGCCTTTTTCGTCAGCTAAAGCTTTTAGAAATAGATTTAAAAAATATTTATATTCAATCGAGTCGACTTGGGATTACGAAGATTTTCGTTGCCCTTGAAAAATTGAGCTTTACTTGCTTTTATCTGCTCATCTCATTAAATTTTCCAATAAATGAAAAAAATCCAACGAGTTCGAGATCTCAGAATACGCAATGTCAAAAGAACGTCAACATTCATTTCGAGAAGTTATGAAACTTCACAGGTGGAACCTTTTTCAATTTCTACCCAGAATAAAATTGTCGGATGTTCTCAGGGATGTTTGAATTTTCTATAGAAAAACAACTCGATTTGTCTGATTTTTTCATGTTTATCAAACCTCTGGCACGGAATGAAAATCAAACTATTTGCAATTTTAATGGACGTCTTCTCAGCACGTTTCCCCCTGTTTCTGCTTGAGCAGGTTTGAAAAATCGAAGTGCTAAAATTCTGAAATTGAAAGATGAAATGGTGGTTTTGTGGGCCACAAAAACGACGTCGACCTGACTCACAGCCAAAGGAATTCAATGACACCAAGTTTTTGGCTTGTTTGCCTTTCTTACAGATGCGCTACATGCACCTTCACTCAAAAATTCAGCACCATCGGAACTTTCCAGAGAATATTCGCCATGGATCTGCGGTCGTATATTCCGCCATTTTTGGTAGAGTCCAGTCAGTCTGCTGATTATCATCAAACTGTTACCCGGAAACGAATGGAGCGTTTTTCTTCAAGCGGACAGCTTCTTTCGGTTACCGACGTGGTGAGAAAGTCATAGAATGTTTCGACAAGAGATGACCAAATTGAGAAAACTACAAACTTTGACCCGCCGCGTGTTGATGTTCGTCGTCAGCGAGCGCCGTCATGGAATCCTGAATCTCGTTCGGAAAGACATGTGCGAGAAGAATATCGCATACCTCGACCAATCATTGAGCGGAATCATCCCATAAGACGTGAAAAAGAGACTATTTCCAAGACATGACTTATTTCAGGAGTGGAAGATGAGAAAGACTCCTTGCCACAGTCAACGTGGAAAACCAGCGACTCTTTTGTACGCAAGTCTTCCATACTGAAGTAAATGGGGATCATTTTCACTATAAATCTCTTGTTTTGGATTTCCAGGACTTCATCAAGCAGAGATGGATCCGAATGGAGCAGGAGTTACAATTCACCAAAAGTGGAATGGCGAGAACCGCTGGACTGTCTGATCGACAGGCTGAACAGGCTCAGGATGGCTGCAGGATGTGAAACTTTGGAACCATCCATAAGACTCGCGGATATTTCTACAAGATGGGCTCGTATGCTCGCTCTTCGGGGCGAATTCAGGTTTTTCTAATTCAAATCCATATTTCAACTGGAAGGTCATTTCACTTAGCAGTTGGGAATTTCTTGAAAATAAGCCAGAGCAATCCTTGTTGTACCACATGAAGATCCTGAAAGTGTCAACCTGCAAAACTTTCTACTTTAACAGAAAAAAAAGCCGAAAGTTCCAAAGAAACCAATTTTTATAAGTTTTGGGGGTTTCCTTTAACTTAGAGTTTCTCAGAAACGAGGATGTTGTGTAGGTAAAAGCTTTCAAAATAGTTTTCTGGTGCATCAAGGAGCGTTCTGACCAATTAAAAAAAAATCCCAACAGCAAAGTGAAATGACCTTTTTGTTGGAAAAAAACTGAAAAAAACTGCTTTTGATTTAAAAAAACTGAATACAAAAAAAGTAAGCATTTTTGTCTTTCATCGGAAAGATATGAAATTTGAGTGATTTCTGACGTCATTTCACAGTTGCTTCCTTCTACAATTCATTTGAATTGCAATGAAAACTATATTTTAGAGAAAAAAACCGGTCTTGATTTTTTTCGGAGATTTAAAAAAATCTTTCTCTTTTTATTCCATGAAACCATCGATTAAGAACAAAAAAATTAATTTTTCTCAGTTTTTTTTGAAAGTCGCAAGTTTGAATAAAAAAACTTGATTTGATAAAAAAATGTTTTTTTCTCGCTGATTTTTGCATCAAAAATTTTCAAAAATTTTTTTGTTCAGCAATTGGATCATAACTATGATTTTTTTCGTTAAGAAAGAATTGATTATGAACTTTTAAATAAGTCCTTTGTATTCGTAAAAAAATGATTCACTTTTATCGGAAAAACTTCTTTCGACTATATCCGACGCCTTATTATTTCTGAAAAACTTTTGCCTGACTCTCAAAAAAACCTTTGCCAGATTTTTACTCTTGAAATTACTAACAGAGCTTTTTAACAAATCAAAACTAACATAAGAGCCGTCGCATTACTCGAATAAGGAACCTGTAAATCTGTCTGACCTCTCATCCCTCTCTTCGCCAAAAAACTGTTCTATCTCGTTTCATCACCACGCTCCGAGTCGGTACACGCGACTCCTTGAATACCCACGGTTTTTACTCCATTTGTTCGATCAACTAATTGTTTCTCCAGTCACAGAAGAGGCCTATTCTGTGACTGGAGAAATAATGGTAGTGGGCGAGAGGTTTCCTCGTGAACCTCTCTTCACGAGGAAATCTCCCTCCAGAACAATTTTGTTACAATAAGTTTGGCATAAGTCAAACGAAAATCTTTATAGGATCACGAACTGATGAGAGTTTGTTTGAGTAATCAGAAATAGTGGAAAAATAATTCTGTTAATCGATTTTAATTTCTAACAACCGAAAAATCAGCATTTTGGTTTCACTTTCCCTTTTTCTGGTCTTCTATCAACCTGAGATGATCATTTTCTGTTACTAATTACAGCCAATAAGAACCGAAAGAGTTTGGATCTTATCTGGAATTTCAATTATTCCTGAAAAAAAATGCTGTTTCCCATAAAATCATTTTAGAAGCGATCCGAGCCGTTACATGAACATTTGGATGGGATCCAGAGTGAATGACACGATCGCCGACACCTGGTGGGACGAGGCCGAAGAGTTCGGAACGGCCAACTACCTGGCGGATCGACATCTCGAATGGGTCGGCGTCGCCAGTGCCTACTCAGATTCACACCAGCAGTTCATTGTTGTCGCCACCTTCGAATAAAATATTCAACTTTGATACTTCACTAAAAATAACTGAGGAAATATTTCTGTAAGAAAATTCAGAACTTCAAGTTCTACCGGAGAACATTTCGAACTCTTACTGTGGCTTCGAGTGAAATGATGCTCTTTTAATAATGCAAAGCTTCGACGGGATCATTTATTTACTGTGAGAAAGTGACCGAAAGGCCATCTTCCTGATAAAGTTTACTTTACTTAAGAACTCGAGAATGGTCCCTATAAGGGCAGCATTAGGAGCCCGTGAAGGGTCCTATCTAGGGGCCACTCAAGCTCGCAAAGTGATCCCTATAGGAGTTTTAGTTAGTGGCCCCAATAGGAGACATTCTAGTCAATAAGTTTTATGAAAAATATGCGACGAAGCATTTCCATGCAAAAAAAAACTAAATAAATAAGCGATTTCTGGATGAAATTGAGAAAAGACCCCTATAGGGGCGACTTAAGTTTCACAAGGGAGGTAATTTTATCTTGCGGTTAGGATTTTCCTGAAAATGGGCCAGAACGCTCCTTGATGTACCAGAAGAAAATTCTGAGAGTCTCAACCTGCAAAAATCGAGAAAGTTAATTTTCACAGATACGTGGAAGTTCAATTAGCGCCGGAAAATTCTGAAGGAAAGTTACTTCTTTTCGCTTATTCGGCCATCAATATTTTTGCCGAGCAACTGGTTCATAATAATGTTTATCTTGGAAGATAGTATTGATTATAAAGTTCTAATAAACCCCTTCAAGTACCACCTCTACGCGGTGATGGGGAGGCAACGCCATTTATGGCGGCTAACGGTACACCGGTCACGCAATTCGGCTTGCTTCTGCTAACAGAATGGGCGGTCTTTTTTAGCCCTGGCAAGGCAAAAAGGATAATAAGACCACAATTATGCTATAACACGTTCAACACCACGGATGGAACTTTTTTTCGCAAGAATACCAGTCAACCAGGACGACAACAGTGGATGACCGATTGCATAAGACCTCCTGGAAAACGTGTGGTCCACGCTTCGATCAATAAAAGGCACTAAAAGGCAATAAAAGGTCGAAAGCGAAGATGGACCATCTAAGTATCTAAGTAAGTAAGTAAGTAATAAACTTCTTTATATTCGTAAAAATGACTTAATTTCATTCGAATTTATCCGACACCTAATTCTTTATGGAAGATTTTTGTCTAAGTCTCAAAAAAAAAAATTGATACATTCTAGGAATATGTAACTAAGCTTCTTTGAATCGGGAATGTTGCTTTAAAATTCGAAAATGATATGAGAACCGTCGCATTACTCGAATGGTGAACCTGTAAATCTGTCTGACCTCTCATCCCTCTCTTCGCCAAAAAGCTGTTCTATCTCTTTTTATCACCACGCTCCGAGTCGGTACACGCGACTCCTTGAATACCCACGGTTTTTACTCCATTTGTTCGACCAACTAATTGTTTCTCCAGTCACAGAAGAGGCCTATTCTGTGACTGGAGAAATAATGGTAGTGGGCGAGAGGTTTCCTCGTGAACCTCTCTTCACGAGGAAATCTCCCTCCAGAACAATTTTGTTACAATAAGTTTGGCATAAGTCAAACGAAAATCTTTATAGGATCACGAACTGATGAGAGTTTGTTTAAGTAATCATGAATAGTGAAAAAAATAATTTCACCTTTCTTTGAAAAAAGTTTAGATGGGTTGCGTACTTTTAAGTTTCCAAAAAAGTATTTCTCGATTTTTTTATTGAAGTTCTTTTTTTCGAATCATGAAGGTTCCGAGGCTAGATATGGTCCGACTTTCCGCGACGACTAGTTCGTTTGGTCCAAAGTTAGACCACTTGAGAAATAAATCCAAAGTTCGGTTAGTCGATATTAATTTCTAACAACCAAAAAATCAGCATTTCGGTTTCACCTCCACTTTTTCTGGTCTTCTATCAACCTGAGATGATCATTTTCTGTTACTAAGTGTAGCAAATATGGACCGAAAGGGTTTGGTTCTTTTTTAGAAAGACCTTCAAATGAGATGCGATGTGGTACATAAAAAATTTTCTGACCAATTTTCAGGAAATTCCCAATCGGAAAGTAAAATGAGCTTTCTTGTCAGTCGCAAGAAAACTTTGATAGATCATTTTTATCAAAAATTGGAATTTCGAAAGAAGTTAGAATGAAAATAGCGAACGAAACAAAAACAAGACAAAAGGACAGCTGAACTGTTTTAATAGAAGGATGAAGTTTAATTCAAGAATATTTCCTAAACAATTTTTTTAATTCATCCAGGGAGTTCAAACCATCCTTCGCTTAAATAATCCTTCATTTGGATTTGATCTCCAGATACCGCAGATCCTAGAAAAAATTCCCTTGATATTTTTTTCAAACTTTATTGAGAATACGTTGATTTCAACATTTCAAAATTGACACCAACTAAAGGCAAAATTCTTTGAAAATAAATGACAGTTTTGCCGTTAGTTTTTATGACTCTGTGCAATAAATGTGAAAGAAAAACCTTGGAGGTTGGTTTTGCTTCATTGAATGATAAAAAAGGTTTCTTGATCATGTTTTTCATTTTTTTTTTTTTTAGGAACATCATACTTACAACTTTGACATGTCCTTCAAAGGTACAAGTTATCCGTTTTTGATTCTCGAACTTTCTGAATTTTTTCTTCTATTTCATCATGAACAACACCTACAAAATAAACTTCTCGATTACTATTTTTTTTGTTACCCTACACGGAAACATAAAGATTTCTGTCAGATGGTTTGATTGTCGCATTCCAACAACATAAAGGTATTTACGATATTTTTGCTGTCTGATCAAAACAAAAGTTCGATTCCATCGATCAAATGGCATCAACGACGTTATTAGAGTCGTAAAAATAGAAAACAGAAAGTGCTTGGGTTGAAAGTTTTGGAAAGGAAGAAAATAAGGAAATTTTTCAAAGGAATGACAGTACCTTCCAAGATTCTGGAAGATTTGGGCTTTTTTCTCAGAAAAGAAAATAAGTAGCACTGGCAGAGTGCAATGAAATGTAGCCGGGAAAGATGTCTTATGATGGAAACCCTAATGGAAAGAGGTACTTTGCAAGGATGGACATAAAACTCCACAATGTCCTCCGAATGGTTCACTCTTCGCATTTTTGCTGGTACCCGGAGAAATACTCCTTTTGATCTGATATTCGTTTTCCCAAGTTTTAAAACTGTCCAAAACTGCCCATAACTTGCTTTGATCGATTTTCGATTATCAAAATTGATTTTTGAATTTTATTCTCTTCTTGCAACTGCTATCAAATGTAGAGAATGTCAATTTTTTGTCAGGATATTTCATCGCAAAATTTTTTTTTTCGGAAATTTTCACCTGTTCAAGGTGTAAAATGAAAAAAATTAACAAAATTTGATATTTTTTTAATTTTTTTAATTCTCTCGAAAAATTTCAGAGTGGTCTTTATAGGGTTTAGGGCGAAAAAACAGCTGCTATAAGGGCCAAGAAGTGGTGCCTATGTTGGTTTAGGATCTGACTCCTTAGTCCCCAAAGTTCAAGCGGTTTCTATAGGGTTCTTTTGATTTCTTACGAAAACCGCTTATTTATTTAGTTTTTCGCATGTAAATGCTTCTACGCATAGAGTTTGAAAAAGTTATCGACAAGCATGTACCCTATAGGGACCACTTTTTCAAGCTTTAGTGGCCCCTATAGCGGTTGGTAGAATGGTCCCTGAAAGAGGACCTTCCTTGCCCCTATAGGGGCCACTCTGGAGATCCTAAGTGTTTTAATGGAAACCGAGAACCTTTGAATTTATTTTTTTAGCAAGCTCGGAATTTTTATAATCGTAGTAACCCACTAAACGAATGGTTCAAAATTTTCAAATTTGACGTCAAATATTCAAAAAAAGCTTCAAGCCTTTTATTATCATTTTTCGATTTTAACGAGCTAATAACTTGAGTGGAAAATCATTTTCAAATTTAAAAATAACATCTCAATCTCTAGCCACCTTTTGATTTTGAAAAAAAAAGCTGTTAGTTTAGGAATTTTGCTCAGTTTATTCAAAGCTATTTTTGTTTCATTATTGAATCCAGCGACTTTGGATGCGGTAACTGAAAAAAAAAATCAGATTTTCCTGTTCCGCGCAACAAGAAGGTCACTATTATCGGCGTGATCCCCCGCAAAAAGAGGTAAATTGTTGACGTAAAGCGACTTTGGCACCTACCAACTGCACGCCAATCAATCAATATGCACCCTTGGAAACAAGCGTTCGACCGCGCAGACCTGCCAGCCGCCGCCGGATCCCAGGTGGCTGATCTCCGCCTACACAATAATACTCATCTCCACCCTTTGTTCTCCGAGAAAACGATTGTTGACTCTTCAACTTTATCTTTTTTGAAGGTTATTCTCGAACTTGGTTTATAATAAATCCTTTTCAATTCTCAATTTGCTGGAGCTTGTTTTAGAGAGGGAAAACATCTAGATTGAGGGTTCGCTACGATACTGTAAGTACAAAATCATTGTTCTCCTTGGCTCATGGACCACTTTAAGAAATCCCCCATCAATTCCATTTTTCGAAAAATTGGTTTCTAATGAGGAAGTAAAAATTCTGGTTCCAAACAAGTTCTTCAAACGGGTCATAACTTAGGAAACAACAATATTTGTCTCGATTTTTTGTTTTCAAAAAAGGAAACTGAGAATAATTTAAACTTCTTCAATCATATCCTTCTGAAATAAGATGCTTACTTTTTTTTCCGCGTGTATTTTCTTTTGTTTGAAAATGAATAAAAAAAGAATTTTTTTTCTGTCTGTCTTCTTTCTTCTACAATATTATTCGTACTAAATAGTGTTACCGAAATTTTGAACATGATATCGAACGACGAGACAATTTATTAAATTAATTCTTCCTTTTCTACCGGTTGATTATTTGATTATTTGATTATTTGATTGTATTTCGTGCATTTCATGACTCATTTGCAGCTTCATCCGTTTCCGAAAAAACTGAAATTTTCATTCCAGAAGACACTTTAACACCGAATTCCATGCCCTTC